AGTAAGGACATTAGTCAATTTACGAATCATCAGAATTGTACAGGTGCGTATTAACACTTAGTAGCTATGGACAATTTATAATACATATATAATCGCTTTACGATAAGCAAGAGCTACGCGGATTCTCTAATCTTGCTTCCTTCATTTAAATCGATTTGGTCTAGGGAAAAAAGTCTCTGTATGATATTTAGCAGTGCTAGGATGCAGTTTAATCATTCAAAACTTTGGTCACTCCCGAGTACGGGCTGACCTCCTTGTAACATCATAATCATCAGTTACGGTGCTTTTCTTAACGTATTAGAATCAAGTGGTCGCTTAGTGCGAAGGAAGCTCGATCTTCTCTGAGTGAGATTCAGTGTCTGACACAAAAACGAACGGTTAAAGAGGCAGCAAATGACCGTCAAATGGTCGACGCAGCCGATCAGAAGACTATAATAGACGCTGAAATTGTCATCACAAATAATACTCAGTCGTGCCACTCAAGATTAATGAGCGTGATTAAATTTGCATAGGACGCGCTTAACACTGAAGTCTGATATTCTGAGAAAAACATGACTGATGCAGTGAAAGCATGGTTCAGAATTAATAGGCTCAAGAGGAGATCCTTGGTGCACAGTTTCAGAAAAAATAGGACTGTCTTTCGTTGCTGCCATTTTCAAAATTGTTGTTACATTTTTGTTATTCTCATTTCCGCTTAAGTGCGTGACTTGTCTGAAACGAGCCCATTACAATTACTGCCTCCTTGTGTGTCTCCACTAATCAAGGCTCCAGGAGGCCATGCACATTATTAATCCGATCTACATTCATAAATTCTAAAAAATTTAGGGACATTCACCGATTGCAAGTACCTAAATTTAATTTAGAGAAAGTGCGATATTCAATCAATTTATTTAAGCTCGAGTAAGAAATATCGATGTGGTACAGGAAAAGTAGCTGAATGAATTATAAATTATTAAGAAATCAGTTTCCACTGGAGAAAAGTGTAGTATCGATTTCCTAAATAAAGCATACAAATTTAATCGATCAAAAAGTATTATAAACTCATCTTTTCCTTTCAAAATGCGGTAAGCCACTACGTTTTTTCCTTTGTAGCCAAAGGTGCTGTATCGAGGACATGGATTACTGCTTGCTTACAATCATTACCCTCCTGCAGATTTTAAAACTCTCATTTGCGGATAAAGGTATGTAATGTAATGTAATACTTAATACTGTAATACTTTCTAATAAATAATGAAGATTTCCGTACAGTATTATTTCATACAAATTATCGCGTCAATGATGACCTGATGATGGCGCACATGTCCTCCGCAAAAAATTGGAAAAACAAGGAAACAAATCTTTAGTTTTGAGAATTGGTTTCCATCTCACAACATGACGGTGAATTCGGGCCCAACTTGGAATAAGCGTGTTTTATGATATTCGTTTGCAAAATTATATCTTCATAGGGATATATCTAAGCTGCGCCACATCTTCTGCATGTAAGCATTCGATAGGAATATGGAATGAACAAGGATTATGGACTGAATAAACTGAAAAACCCACCAAACGCAAAATTTGCGTCATAAACTTTCTGATTAGCATGAGGTGCAAAGTTTTTAAGTGTTATATCTACATACAGTGTTGATATATTGCCCACAAATAAAGTTGTTTCCTTTTAAGTCTTTATACAGAAGAGGCCGACATCGGGAAAAAAGTGGGACGATTGGACAACATCTCGGGTGGGTATCGTGGTTCACTGCTTTTGCTGAATTTTTTTTTCAAGCCGTTAAGCTTCCGAGCCATGCGTTACTGTTTTATTTTCCTTCCATATTAACCATTTGCCTTCATTTGTGTTGCGTTTGCGCGGTAGTCCCGGAGAAGATAGCTTTCAGTTTCAAACAAAAAATTTATTTCATACGACTAAAATCATGCACATAGTTACACATAAGATCCGGTCTATTAGTCTCCTATAAGTGTGCGCCCCATAACTAAAAGGATCCAACTTCGGCGGACAATTCTCCGAACCCCCTTAACTAAGACCTGGATCTGCCCCGGCATTAATCTACCGAGTGTGAGCTAAATCGGTGATTTCGGTATCCTAATTCCCTGCCCGTTATTGATTTAAAACAGCTGTCTCAAGTCCCCTGCTTCTCATAAAAGACAGAATGCTCAGTAGCATTAATTTCAAGCGGTATACAGTCCAGGCCATAGATAGTTTTTTCTATACCATGACGTCATGATACATAGCGTAACGGTCCAATTTAAAAAAAAAAAAAAACTTAGGCTAGCCCCACACTTTCATCCTGCATTCTCGTCTCGGATATTTAAGGCCCTTGCCCTAGTTCATTTGAAAGAACACAGAAAGAGCTTCGCGTCAAGAGCAGTTTAAATGGCGTCGCTTGAAGTGTGTGGGAGAAATCACAGTTTAAAGTCGAGATGCGATGATGGATGTTTCGGATGTTGAGGGCACACATCGTTACCATAAACCTTGACTTGCGTAGCATTCAAGAGGTTTTATTTTTCGGCTGGGCAGGTTGAGATAGGACACTTTGTGTACTAATTTTTTTTAACAGAAAAAGAGCGTAACTTTTAAACGGACGAAATATCGCATTACTTCAACCTAAGAGAAAGAAAAAAAAAGCTAAATTATCGGAACTCACATAGGTATTTGTAGTGTATTGTCTCTCTTGTCTAAATACTTCTAAGCAATTTAAAAATGCATCGGTGCAACACTTTCCTTTGGAGAAAACAAAAAAAATTACTTCAAACCTCCGGTCGATATCTGTGCTTTAAATTTATCAAAACAGAAGTCGAGTGCACGTTGGTTTAGTCCGAGTGCACTGCTGTTGTTGTTGTAACTAGAGGCGGCCCAAGCTGTGAGATGATCATCTTGCGACATAAGTGTCATGACGAAAATAAAAAAAAGAGTTTGTATGGAAATATTTACTACCGCTCTTAGGAAGTAAAAATACAGTCAAATTCTTAATAAGAAATAATTCACCTTATTTGCACAGTGCATCGCTTGTTGTCTGACCGCTTGCTTTGTTGAAACGAGGCCATTTTAGCGAGTGATCCATTTTCTAATTCCGGGAAAACTCAGATCATAGTTAGTAGAGGAGACTACTAACTATGCTCAGATCGACAAAAGTTATTTAGTCCTCAATCGATCTTTTTTTGTAGACACGTCATCGTGAAAAAGACCCCTTGTGCGAAAAACGCAAGAGGGGGCCCTTCAAATCAAGCAAAAAAAACTACCGGCGGCTAAAGCTGGTTGAGAATTTTAATACGAGATATTTCCTTTAACATTCATATGGCAATAAAATATGAGTTTTAATTAAATGTTTTATTTCATCAGTCGCTAACTTCCACGAGGTGTCGTTCAGACATCTTACCGGAAACGGATAAAATTTGATGACAAAACTCTGCAACATTGGCAGGAATATTGGACAATATTGGCTTTCGCACAATATGCGGCTTCCTCGCAGTAATGTGCACTACTTAGGCAAGAGTGAAAATAAGGCCTGAAAAATTCTTAACCGTTCATTCATCACTTCACGGGTTTATTTAGAACCAACTTCATGATCAGCTCCCAGTTGGCTTGTTAGCTCAGTTGGTAGAGCGCTACACCGGTATCGCAGAGGTCATGGGTTCAAATCCCGTACAGCCATGAATTTTTTTTTCAGGCATTATTTTCACTACTGCCTAAGTAGTGCACATTACTGCGAGGATCACTTTCATTCACGTCTTTATCCGCAGTTCAAATATATGACTTTCATATATTCTTAACCGTTCATATTGAATTCTCTTGATATTCTATTGTTCCGGAGTGTAATACGATATACCGCTGATAATTGTTAGCGGGCTCGAAATGTCCTTGATTTCTGGCGATGAACTTATGGCGTTCCAAAACTGCCAAAATTCAATAGATCGATGACACCATACAAAATACGTGTACGTGCAACACATAGCAGGGTGTGAGAATAGAGATGACATGCCTGTCGAAAATTAGATTTGTACATCTTGAATACTGTAGTCCCCTCCTGTTAGGGGTGGGGAAAGTTCAGACACATAAAATTGAGGACATCAATCATTGCATATTAAGGACACTGACAGGGCACGGGAAATCATTGTCTTGTCTTAAATATATGTAAGTTGGGTACTTTAGAGTGCAGGAAAAAGCAGCAATCTCTGATCTTATTGTTTATATGCATTAGGAATATAGGGCCGAAATACATTAGAGACTTTTTTAACAGAATAGAAACGTCTTACAATTTAAGTGGAAATGGTGTGAATCTTTGCGTTCCCAAATTTAATCTTAATTTTATGAGGAACTCTTTTACTTACAATAGCGCTCAACTATGGAATAAACTTCCAGAAGATGTCAAGTTGGCCAATGTTAATGTTTTTAAGTCTAAGCTAAGATCAATTCAGCTGTAATTTTTATACTTTTTAATTCTTTTAAATATTTTAAAATTTATTTATTTTATTTTTTTTAATTTCTTTTTTTTTCTTTTCATACTAGATTTTATTATTGTAATTGTAGATTTAATGCACGTTCGTATTTTGAACGAGCACTTGTGCTCTTAGACGATAACGTGGTTAAATAAATTATTGATATCATTATTGAATACAGTAATACATAACTAAATTAGCCAATGATGTCCCTCTTGAAATTTTTAATTTTGTTTTTCTTGCCCTCGTCATTGCAGCATGGCCTCCAAGAAAAAGCTAAGGGGAAAAAGTATCGTGCCAATCTTCCATTGGCCACACTGGTTAATTTTCGTTTTCTCTGGAACAATCATATCACGGTGGAATAAAAAGTATAGACAAAACTGTCCATGGCCCGGACTGGTATATTGTATGTTTAAAGTAGGGTGAAAATTCGAAGCTCTATTTAACAGTCCCCACCCATAAGTCGACACACTTTAAAACACTGGCCAGCCGGAAAAACCCCTGGATTGAAATGCTATTATTTTATCATTGTTTTTGAACAGTGGTCGAAGGTACAAGATTTGGCGGGAAATCCACGATACACGACTTGTAAAGTCAGTGGCAAACAGCCAAATGCCTGGCTCGTCAGTAATCCTATCGCAGTACCAAGCGCAATAGAAGAGATCGATTTCACAATTGTGTTCAATACAAGGAACTGTACAGCACTTGGCGGAGATAATTTTTGTAAAGAATATTTCGACTTTTATATCCATCAGTCTATGACTCCAATTGCACCTGACCCTTTACGGAACAATGTTACCTATGAAAAAATTGCTGAAATAACTGCACCGATCCTTAGCCTGTCTGCCAGGATAACAAATACTTCTGGGGTTAAAGTAAGAGGAAAATACATCGTTCTGGCCTTTCATGATCAAGGTTCATGTAGCTCTATTCATTCTGTCACCGTTAGTTATTACCTTTGCCCAGAATTTACTGTTGTAAGTGGCTTAGTGTCCTTACCACGATTTACGGCTCCAGCAAACAATGCTGAGCTAGTAGTGGGTACCTGCGTGGCAAATGCCGTCTACTATCAAGGTAACATAACTGCGGCCTGCCGAAGCGATGGCGTTTGGAACATCAGTTCACTTAAGGGAAGATGTGTATGCAAGGAGGACATGGAAAATAATGAAGGAGAATGCAAAGGTACATAACTTGAAAATTCATGACCAAAAAGGAGCAAAAATTACTAGGATTTCTCCTTTTAACTCTCGTGGTCTTTTGAAAAGTGACTTGTTTACGATAATAATGACAAAAAGATTGCTTTCATTTATGATATTGGCTTTGCTTACGTCATTGGATACTGCATAAAGAATACTTTAAACGCTTGTGTAAAGTTTACTTATATTGACGAAGGCTTCATTAATAAATTCGTCTTATTCTCCACCTCAGGTTGCCCAGATGGAAAATACAACGACCAAAAAGGCTTTAACTGCACTGGTAAGGATGTTATAAGATGTTGTAAGCCTGTTTTTCGTTTATTTTTGCTGTTGAAGAGTACAATAAGTACACGAATCAGTAATTACACTTTCTGCTAACTGAAAAATTGCGACAAAAAATTAAATCCTTTACTTTTGTAAAATTAAGGATACGGTAGACCTTCGAGGGCCAATTGTTTTTTACCAAGCATTATGATTTTAACTGTAGTTTCCAAGAAAATTTAGCTGAAATATTGAAACGAGTGCGAGATATTTCCTCACTGAATTCTTTAGCCCGCCAAAGAGCGATTAGCCAATTATGACATGTCAACCGAAATGATTCAGCAAACATGAGTCTCGTAGGGTATCTTGCGACTAAACATCATGGTCCTTGAATTTCAATCGCGTAAGCATCTCCTGATCTCGGTTGCTCGTGGAGATCTTTGTGTTAAAAACAAGAACGTGAATGGAGAATGGTACAAACAAACGCACGATTCCGACACGAGGATTCCTATAATATTTAATAATTCTGAAAAACAAAGATAACTACAATCTGGTATAAAGGGGGTAAGTTTTTAAAGACACGTCGGTGGGAAAGTATAACTAGGTAAGTTTGGTTTTATCAACGGAGATGATAATTGTACCTGAAGGGTAGATCCTCGTGCATAAGGTAGAGTTAGACCTTAAATGTCGTATGGCTAATCTGACCACGTGTCGATACGAAAATAGAGAACAAGTTATGAATTAAAGAGAAATGCGAGCAAGTTATATAGTGAAATGGGAGCGCGTTTCAACTAAAGTCTTGCCTGATTCAATTATAGAATAATCAGTAAAATAATATATATCAATTGGTCGTTTAAAACAGAAAAAGATAATAAGAGAAAAGAGTCCATAAGTGAAAGTAAAAAGAAAGCCTGGCTTCCAAACAAGAAGGATTGAAATGAATGAGTTGCCAGCAGTATGATCCTTGTGTTTGCGCAAAGATTTCTGGGATCGCAACGCGGCAAACATTTCAAGTTGCTACAAGAAAACATATGGCAGAAGATTGTTTCGCTATCAAAATAAACGATTTTGGAGAGAGAGATCATCGCCTTTTCGCCGCTGTTTTATCATGAATCGATTTAGGTAATGTTCATACTCACCAAAAACCTTACGCTAGGAGAGAAGGTTATCGGTATGTGTAATAACTTATTTCGTGGTTATATTAAAACTGAAACTTCCGCTTTCCTCGTATCAACATTATCTTAATCAATTACCAATAAACCAGCAGCTAAAAAGCGTTGATCTCTTTCCAAAATCGGTTTCTTGGACGTCGAAACAACAAGCCATGTATTTCCTCTAGCAACTTGTTTGCCCCTTGGCGATCCCAGAGATCACTGAGCAAACACAAGGATCCGATCACTGGCAACTCATTCATTGTGCAAACTTTCACTTGTGCGGTCAAATTTGACATGCGATTGATTTGCTCAAAGAAACATCTTCCATTTGGAGTTGTTGCTCCCCATTCGGTTTACGATAAGATTCAGCTAAAAAGGAAATAATTTTTGCCGAATTGCGCATTTCAGAAATTTATAACCTTTCCAAAGATATATAGTTTATGGCGGTCATGTTTCAATAAGCACGTTAAGAAAAAATTTTTGCGAAGGATACCCGCGAAGGTTTACCGCATCCTTAAAGAATCCTAAAATTGGCGAATATTTTTTTAAATATTTTTTTTAATACTGCTCAACCGACGTACATTGAAGGTGTTGAAATATTTTTAAGAACATATGAGTTAATGGTATGCACTGCTTTTTTCTTCAAAAGCTTAACTATATTTATACTTAAATTAGAAAACTTACAGTCCCCCAACAGAAATAAAGGACACCGTTTGTTTTCATTAGATCTTCTTATAAGTACGTGTTTGTTCAGTCATACCATCAGGTCCACAAAATGTCAAAGTTATCTTCGTTAACCAAAGCGCGTTGGAGTTAAAATGGGAGCCTAGTGCAGTAACCGGTGATCAGAACAAGGTGTTTTATGACGTCGACTGCCGTAAGCCATGTGAAGGTGAAAATGACAACAAGTGCATAGATAGAGCTTGCGGGAGTGACGTCATTTTCATACCGAGAAAGGATGGCTTGAACGTTGCTCACGTTATTGTTGGAAATTTATTTCCATTTATAAAGTACACCATGAAAATCTACGCCAAAAACCGAGTGAGCGATTTGGCGAAAAGAAAATATGGAATTGAGGCAAACTTCATGGAAATAACTGTAAGGACAAACAGATCAGGTTAGTGCCGGTTCGTGTACTGAATAGAATATTATACAAATTCCTGTCGGTATGCTTCTCTCTCTCACACTGTGCTCAGGTACGGTCGCATACAACTATATGTATTAATGTGTCTTTTTCATTAAGTTTGGTTTAAAACTTGGTCTCAATATGAGGGTTTATAACATCGTCCTAAAATTCACATTTTTTTTAACTGGCTCTTTAATCACTTAGCAGTGATAAGACGAAATCAGACACTAGGAGATTTTACTAAAACAAGGCAACTATATAGTTTGTCTTCTGTGACCTTGCTGCTTGAAAATTTGACCAATCATGCCCCAAATCTTAATTTGTCATAGTCTTGTTAATGCCGAATCATCATTTCCAAGACGAACAATTTCAACTGTTTTCCTAACTTTAACTAGATGATCTAGTTCTTCCACAAGGCTCACTACGACCATAAGACCCGCAGCGAGACAGGATCGATACCTTTTTTTAGTTATTGATACAGCGCAGAGTATTAAGATCGCATCAGAGTTGATTACCTTATTGTTATATATTTTGACCGGGCTTAGTTTCGCGATTGTCGAAAAAATCGCAGAATTAAAGACCAGTTAAAAAATATTCGCAAAAATTAATCACATCAAATTAAATATTCTTGACAAGCCGTAAGGGAAAGCACTACGTTGCCAAAAGATTGGAGAAAGCAGGAGTTGCTAGGGTAGTAAAGGGCGAGTGAGCTCTTCCTCCCGAGGATCTATTCGAATATACTTTTGTATAGCTCTGCTTTATGGAAAGGAACATGTCAAATTGTTTTCAGTTTCGTATGTTATAATATGGTTTTGTCATTGGAAACTATTTTAAAGGAAGATAAAAATCAGTTTTGCCAATTCTGAGACCCTTCATTTATGCGAAATAAAGTTTTTGCGAAAATAAGTAGCAAACAGCGAATGACCGAATTTTAAGATGGCGTATTCATCTCTGTTGAACAACTAGTTCCAGGTAAACCGGAAGTGTTTGTTGAACAACCGGAAACGGCTGTTGTTGTATCTTGGACAATTGAGGATATGAACGGTGTCCTTAAAGAGTACCACGTGACTTATATAAGAGAAGATGATTTGTCAGAAACCCAGACTCTTGCTACCAAGAAAATGGAAGCACAGTTTGATTTAGAGGCGGGAAAAACTTACGAATTTCAGGTAGACATAATTTTTAATTTAGTTTAAGTTAGTTTAAAATTGTAAAAAGAATCGCAGGGAATATAAGTATGAAAAGAAAAGTTCAATCATCGCATTGAATAATAGAAAGTTACTTGATTAAATTAGTATAAGTTTAGTGCGCCAAAAAATGGCATTCAGCTAGGATTCAGATGGTGAACGTCGAATTGCAATCAGTAGTGCTAAAGCTTATAGAATTAAAAAAGTAACTTAAACTCAAGGTTTTTCATATTTTAAGTGTTTTGGTACAATAATGATACTCTTCAGGTGAAATGTTAGCGGCAGTGAAAAACATGGTTGAAAAAGAAAGTTCATCGGGTGTAATGCTTCTTGTTCTAGCGACTTTTATTAGCAGTAACGAAAAAGTTGTAGAACTGTAATATTAGCTAGGGATAAACTGCTGGTGGTTTCAACGGGATGATAATTTGCACCCTTACCTACACAGGAATATTCCTCAAGTTTAACAACATTCGCAGTCGCCAATTTTTTTCTCTTGAGGAAGAAACCTCTTAGTGGACTTTTCGATTTCTTCTCCTCAGGTATTTGCTATAAACGACGTTGGTAGGGGTCCTGCTGGTGTGAAGACGTTCACACTAAGAGAAGGTTAGTTTGTATATCGTTGATTTACCAATCTACCCATAAGACTGACATAATTGCTAGCTTACAGTGACACTGACCAAACCTAGGTAAAAATCACTGTGAGAAGGCTTTGCCCGACAGGCTGTTTTTTCAGTTTATTAGACGAAAGCATTAAAACGAGAGTGCCTGCGTAGACAAACGTTAATATACTATGGAATAATAAACTGACAAGACCACTGATTTATGGGTCAGGATGACGAGGACAAACAAATATACCAAAAGAAAAACTTTTCATATACGGCATGACAGAAAAGTAATTTCTAGTCTGATTTAGTCAGCTTTACTGTAATAAATGAAACATTCCTCCCCTTCACTCAACAGAACCCGATGTGACCATGTATCTCAAAATCATCCATGGGTTGGTTGGTTCATTGGTACTTTGCATTTTGTCTTTTGCATGTTACATCATCTACAACAGGTAAGTGTGGGAACACTAATGAAACTAAACACGAGGTTACTATTCCTGTATAGTACCACTCTTCGCAGGATTTCAAGGACTACTATTGGCTAAAGGGATGTTCAACAAGTTCAACAAGCATCTGTAGACTGAGTTTTAATTATGATGGTACTGACGCGTCTATATTGTGGCTTAAAAGATTGTTGATGCTTTGTTTCTTCTAAGCTTTACTTGCAACGAATTTAATTTGATGCTATTTTTTGTTAGATGGAACCGTCGAAGAAATGCAAACCGTGAGAAAATTCCTAAAACAACAGAAACCAGTGTTTTGATTCATGAGGGTAAGTTGCAATATTATGTCATTAAAAGAGAAAATATGGGGACTTTGTCATTTTGAACTAAATTGATCAACTAATGCAGTGTCACTGTATATCATTTGCTGACGTTTCACTTGATAGGAAATTGTCGGCGTGTTTAATGCAAACGTCGTTTGTTCCATTCAATCTGCTTAGATAGCAAAGTCAAATTCAGAGAAAGAAAAAAACAACAACCAAAAATAGGAAAAAATTGTAAACAGTACGGAAGTCTCCACATTGTCGTTTTATATCTCTTCATATTTGACTCAAGCACATTTGCGAGATAAAACTAGGCTGCTTTTGCGGGGACTACAGATTTAAACTTTAATCACCCATCCTATTTATGCTGTGTATGTACTATCGTTAATTGTTATCACTAACAACTTTACATAGACGCGGCAATGAGTTTTGCAGCTGAACGGCAAAAAGTGGATCCCTTTAGACTTGACCGAGATCAAATAACAACAGTAAAGGTGCTTGGGAGTGGCAACTTTGGTCAAGTGTCCAAAGCAGTCTATAAACCTTTAAATTCCGAAGTGGCTGTTAAGTCATTGAAAGGTACTCTTGATTTTTCAAACGCATTGTTACATCGCCTCATGAAAGACGACAAAATTTATTGAATTCAAGCCTAACTTATTAAATGCCTTTCTACTATCTTATCTTACGAACTCATAAATTCATTCTCGTTCAAAAACCAGGAAAAAAAGCTATTATAATATTAGGTTGAGAATGTAATATCGTTTTCTTTGAAACTCACGGTAATTGTTAGCATTTGAATCTTTACCAATTTTCCAGGCGATGCCCAAAAGAAAGACTTACAAGACATGCTGACTGAGTTAGATCTCATGAAAACCTTGAGGCCTCATCCCCATGTTGTTGAGCTCATTGGCTGTTGTATTGAAAAAGGTACTGGAAATTATGATTAGTTGTAATTTCTGATTTCTTGCTGACAACCTAATTTAATAATTCACTTAAAGGCTTATTAGATTGACTGATTCAGCACCGTTACATACTTCTAGATCCACTCCTCATAGTGTTGGAGTATTTGCCATACGGTGATCTGTTGGGATATTTGCGCAAGAGCAGAGGGATCGAGGATACTTATAACACAGGAGAAAAGAGACCAAGCTCAACACTTACAGATAAGGAACTCTTGTCCTTTGCATGGATGATCGCTGATGGTATGAGCTATTTGTCAACAATGAAGGTAACCATACCACACCTATTCCGTTAAAGCATCTAAAATCTCATTACGCCTTAAGGTCATGTGTGACATGGGAGTGATGTGTTGTATAAAAAAAAAATTACAGTGCAACTTTCTGATATCGTCCTAAGAGGAATGGTTTCGAATCACCTCTTAGTCTTTTATGCCTGTTGCCGTTCTTAGATAGGCTGCAGTACCTACTAAAACAATTGATATAAAGCAAGATGCAAATGCGCTTTTCTGAAACTATCTCGGGGTATCAAGCATGAGTTATTGTGCTGTGTTTCAGATTGTTCATCGTGATTTAGCAGCTCGCAACGTGTTAGTTGGGGACAACAAAGTGTGCAAGATTTCAGACCTTGGTTTAGCGCGTGGTTTGGAGGGAGATATTTACACGAGAAAAACTAAGGTGATTAACAATAATATCTCAATATAACTACAAAGTTTTGCGCCAACGATCCTTATTTTTTCACTTGTTTATTTACTAACTAATGAAAAAGTTGTTTAGAACTTTCAGTTGTCTTTTTTTTTTTTAAATCATATTTAAGGTTTATATGATTATTCTTTTCAAGGCTCGTCTTCCAGCCAAGTGGATGCCCCCAGAATCTCTCTTGTATGGCAGATCTACAACTATGAGCGACGTGTAGGTTGTTTCAATTTAATGGCATTGCTAGTCATTTCTAGGGGAAACTTAAAAACTGCGCGTTCAGCCAATAGAAATAAATAACTGATAAGGAAAAAAGCTCTTACCCTGCACTTGAACAGTATCATCAGGGGAGTTAGAGCAGTTTTCAATTTTTTGACGAGAGTTACCAGGTGTAACTTTGGTTTTCTTTTCTCTGTGCTTGGTCTTAAGAGGTCGCGTGCCACTTTCTAAACAAAAAAATTCCAAACCAAAACTAATCGCGACTTGTTAACTCGTGTTTTCCTACCCTTCAGGTAGTTTGGTTTTCTCACTTTAAGTTCTCCTGGCTCCATGTGACATGTCTCTTGGCACTGATTTGCTGTTATGATTACTTCGTTTTTCGTTTTACGACAGTCAATGAAAATAAAAAACAAAAAAAATAAAAGAATGTGCTGAAGAGAATTGCTTCTGCCTTTTTGTCTTAAACAGATGGTCATACGGCATAGTGATGTGGGAGGTCTTTACCATTGGTATGTGGATATTTGTGAAGAAGAATTCTAAGGCTACTTAAAAACACTGCACCGCGTTGTTTCGCACCATCTCGCTACCGTCTTGATCCCTGACTGATTTTGCACTTTCTTTTACATCAAGACAAATAATCACTACTGATGCAAATAACGACGGAATTGTTTTATCAGTGAATCCATAAATCGGCTCGGGCATTATCGCCGCAGTGGGTTCCATATATAATCGTCAGGATTGCGTGTGAAAGTACACGGTCATAAAAACATAAATTTCTTTAGTATAGAACTAGTTATGAGGAAAAGTGAGAATCACCATGATCAGTAGATTCTATTGGCCTGATCGCCTGAGGAACTTTTCGATAGAAAGTGTGCTATATCTCATGAGCAGTGCAGTTTTGTTGTTTTGCGACGTATGATCATGTGGAAACCAGGGAGCCTCTCATTCGTATATACAAAAAGAAAAAATTGCAGAAAATGTTATATGAAAAAGAACTGTCTGGGTCATTTGCTTCCTTGTATCAGTAAATAAAGCGGAGGATTTCCAACTTAAGGAGGACTCTCCCGGCTATAAACCAGTGCCATTGATGGTACAATGTATGTGTACTTCAACAACTAGTCTGTTATATTTTCAGGTGGATCACCATATCCGGGAGTAAAATCAAGAGAAATTGCTGGCCTACTACAGACAGGATACCGTATGCCTAAGCCACCTCACATCTCACAAGATCTGTGAGTAGTTAAAAGCTCTTTCATTACACCAATTGAAATTAGTATTTCGACAAACGTCACTCATAATAACTAGGTATTTCACATTTCACTTTCAAACCACAGAGAAAAAGACAAACCGTGAATTGAAGGTATCTTGAGAAAAATATGAATGTGATTCTTATTTCAGGTATTCCATCATGACCAAATGTTGGGAAGAGCAACCTGAAAGGCGACCAACATTTCTGTGGCTCTGCTCGGCGGTCAAACGATTATTGGATGATTATAAGGTTTGTCTGTCGGTCGTCCTTGAACATGTCCTATTTTGCTTTTTTTTGCTTGTTTGTGCTATAAACTACTCAAGTTAGAAGAGTTTGGGAGCCACTGAAATGAGAAATGTTCTGTGTGGGAATTGTTTAGGACTGCTAGATATGTTAAAATCCTCATAAAAGTCTTGCAAGCCTTTTTTTATGTGCAACAAGACCTCACATATATTTTTACCTTTTGAGCGATGTGTCCTTGACTGTTATAGTAGGGCTTAATTCTCGTACAATAATCGTCATCGCTAGGCGTGTTTGGGTCTGTCCTTGATCTTGCTCACAACCCTCTAAGGGATGTTTTTTCTACGTTTTAGAAGTTCTCAAAGATTGGTTGTTTTCAAGTACTTTTTTGTCCATTTCGAATGTCTTCTGAAATTTTTTTGGTTAGCGGTCTAAAAGGTCATCTGCTTGTTCCGTAAGCCCAAACATGCCTACCGATAGCATATTTAAGAGCCTGTACTGAAGGCTGAATAAGGGAGAAACAGAGACAGACACAGACACAGACACAGAGACAAAAATACTCGGATACTCAAATGTTCCTAATCAGACTCTTGGTACCTATGTTTGCGCGAGGTGCTCAAGTCAGCTGACCCCAACAGTCCAAAATGTTTATTCTGCTTAGTATTGTTTCTGTTTTTATTTTTTTTGAGGACATCTTTCTTTTCGAACTTTCGTTCCAGCAACATTCTACTTGGAACTAAAAGTTTGCAACCATAGAAGTATAAGGGTATTTTGGGACAAAAAAAAAGTGGAAGGGGAGGGCGGAAATGGCAATGATTGTTGCGTTTTGGGAAAGAATACGAGAAGTCATACACTTTCAATCAAGTAGTTCGGTTTTTTTGTTTTTCTTTTGTTTTTGTTTTGATAATGTCAACTCAGCGAGCTCGCCTTTTTCAACTGGTGGCTGAAACACAATACGGTGCAAATTTAAAAAAAAGAGGCCACAGATACGCGAAAACAAAACTAAGCAAACCCGAAAAGCACGAACAAAGATTATCCAGGCGCCTTTACAACTCTCATCTATCTTATCTGTTCTCTAGACATATGTGAACTTGGAAGTCTACGAAGGCGATAACTACATCAACTTTGATGTGATAACGAACAAAGAGTGATAAAAGATGTCCAATTTTTACCATAAAGACGGGAGCGTGGACGCCCGGTGCCTAGTTTGAATTAGCGTAATCCTTATCCTTCATCTTCGATTCCCTGTGGCAAATCAAATAGGATAAGATAATGTTACAAATACTATATCGTGAACTAAACACAGTTTTTCTCGACATACCACAAACCTTATGTAAGCTTCTAAATCGGTATTATATGTAAAATGAAGAACCTTTCTTTAATGTGAGGTTCCTCCTGGAACCTGCTTGGTTAGATACGTATTGTAGTAGCTAGTTGTATCAAGATTCAAAATGGCAGGGTATATAGTTGAATTTAGCTTTAAAATAGAAGAAGTAACGACAATGTTTGAGCACATATTCTTATAAGTATGCAATATCAAAGTGTGCATTATTATTAATAAATTTTGATCGAAATACTGCAGTTTTGAAAGATTGCGCTTAAAGTCTCATGAAGATGTCAACGTAGTGTCGCAACATTCTTAATCTATGTTTGTTCCTAGCATTTTAATTACAGACGCAGAGCTAATTCTGCTGCTACATTAACTTCTAGAACGGTCTTTGTGATTATCAAATCAAATCGTCACTATTTTGTTCTCGAAAATTCTTGATCTGTTAGGAGATTTGAAGAAACATCACTGGAATTTAGATGCCTTCAAAAGCCCTAAGGCCGTAAGCACGTCATGTTGAGTAATTTTTGGGCCGTAACATGAGAACCTTTGTTGCATATGGAGCTTAACATTTTAGTGTTTAATGATCGAATGCTGGCATCAAGACAAAACCAAACGGCCTAATTTTTCAGATATTGTCAATCGCCTGGATGAACTAATTCGATCCCCAGAATTCCTGAAGGGTGATTCATCCTCTCTCCCAGAGGTAAGTTTCCATCTTATTATAACAGAATGTACTTTTTTGTCAAGGAAGGTAGCCAAGGATCATTAATAAAGACCACTTTTTTTTTTTGTCTTTTTTTAAAAAAATCTAAGAATCTATCTGATTTTGTTCTTTTCAATATCTCTCCATCAACCTTCTTACCGAAAAAAAAGGCCTTGAAATTCTTCCAAATAGTCCTCTCTTGATTTTTGTTTAGCTGACATCAGAACAGTTGAATGTTTTGTATCTTAACGAGGTGCATTCGAAATATCCGAGGACTCGGAAGAAAAGGCTGAAAACTGCAGTAGGCCCGAAAGCTCATGACATTCCATTCCAAAAGCAAATGAAAACCCGCTCAAAAGATTCTACGTTGCAAAAAATGAAATGAAGTGAAAAAGTTTAAAAAAAGGAAAGGTCAAGGCATTTTTAGTCCTTGATTAAAAACACTCCCTTAAGAAATCCTTACTGATTTATTCATGCATTATTTCAGTCCTAAAGCAAACCGTACCCCAGAATTCCAGTCAGTAGACGAGTGGCTACAACACATCAATAAGGGGAAGTATTCCGAATTATTCCGTGACGCACGGATCGATGATATGAACAAAGTCGCTGAGCTGAAGGAAAAACAATGGAGAGAAATGGGTATCAGCTTGGTTAGGCATCGAAATAAAATGCAAAAGAGTATAAATGCCATGAAATCACAACATTATAACAGTGGCATGGATGCAGATTAGTGGCTATGATGTAATCAAGAAAATGCCATTTCTGGAACATTTTCTGCTTGAAACTGAGCTGGTGATCAATAAGCAGTAGAAAATATTTAACCTTTTACGAAAGAAAGTCGTCAAATGTCTCGAGTGTTTTGGGGACCAGTCAATATTTCAACGCCTGGGTGGGGGGCCTCAGGCTATGTCGTACTCTAATGACCCCCCCCCCCCCTCGCTCGCAGTCAGTTTTCAGTAGTCCTTTCTTTGTACCCTGTCAGCGACGACTAATCTTCCCCTCGTACCACCCGAAAACCATGCAATTCTACCAAAACTCGTTTTATTTTTTAATCATTGCACGAGCCATTCGAACTCTGATCAAGGTTGTCATTCACGAGGAAATAGTGATGGTTCCTTGAATACTACTACATTTTTACACTCAAGTGCGACAGCTCAAACAACAGATATGACTTTGGAACTTGGGGATCAAAATCTCTCCAGTACAGAGAATTTAGTTTTTTATATTGCCTAGATACATATTTTACTTTGAAGAAGACAGTGGTGATTTTAGTATTCGAATGTGGGTCTTCCTATAGGAAATTTAAGAATTTTTGGTATTTTACAAGTACTTTCAGATCCATTTTATAATTTTTGAGTGAATTACTCCATCACAAAAGGATTAAGTACTTGACTATTTCAAAATTTTTATTTTTGTATATTTTTTACTCCATGGACAGTTTCATCATTTCAAATTAAATCAATAATCTATTTTGGAATGATATTGTATTTGGAAACAATTTTCTTGAACTGAAGGAAAGAATAAAGCAAATACAGCAGCAAATTTCTGGTTTAAACTCTGTTTGAAGAAACCGTTTATAAAGATCTGGGCTCGTATTTTACAATCCAAAGTGGAAATTAGGGTACATGAGGGAAAGTCTTTTTTTCTGGTTGATGTAAAGCTTGTTTATTCAAATTACGCAAGTTTATCATAGCCAATTCAGAAAACTATGTTCATTACTGTAACAAGGTTGTTTTTTAAATACAATTGCGACTGTGTGACTATTACACGTTGGGGAAGCTTAACCTGGCATTGCGTCACCATTTCTTTCAGCGAGTCTGCTAGGTAAATTTAAAATTTGTCACGAACAACTAATAAATCAGAATCAATATATATTTCTCGCACAATTCCTTGGTTGTTACGTTTCTATTACCCTCCCTGATGTAATCTTCGGTGAAATAATTCTAGTCTAACTCTGCCGATATTAGGCAGGGAGCAAAAATGAGTGCCTGATGAATTGGAGGGTTAACTTGAGGGGTAACTTGCTGTGCAAAATGATGTCCTCCAGCAGGATTGTTAATACTCCTTGTCGCTTCATGCTTAATATATCGTGATGAGCTGTGGCAGCTTAGGGTACTTGGCTTGTAAAATGTAAGCTTTCTTTCCAACAGAGTTCCCTCACAATATCACTCCGTTTTTTATTACCGTTCAGTCTTTATCACTCCCTAATAACTGTGATCTGCCTATGTCTGTTGGTATATCCCGAGTGTTGCTTTTGTTGTTGTTTTCACAGACGCAAAATTTATTTCATGGTAATGCTTTGTCGTCTTTGGGTCGAACATGACTCGCTGTTATTTAGCATCAGATGTCTTTGTTACAGGCTGCAGGTCTCTCTAAAAGCTGTCAAGTGCGTTTTGGTGCGAAAATTCGATTTCTTTCAAACTTTGCCCATGAGTTTATCTTAGTCTAAACCACCTTGTTTTTTCAAACAAAATAAGTTTTTTCCGAGCGAAAATTGCTTAAGCGTTTAAAGTCCAATTTTTAACAGTGTCGGTCATCAAAAATGGAACAAACTGCCGAGCTCGTCTTTTCACAAAACTCTGGTATGATAAATTTTTCTTACTTTGCATATTTAGATCAATCCTCTATCATAACAAATCACACAAGTTCTGCTTTTTTCGCGTTTTTTAACTCTAAAAATTATTTTTTCAGTTCGAGACCTACTTTGCCGCTGCCGCTAGGGCCATGAATATGCAATTTTAATCTCGGCTCAGCGCAGAAGTTCACCTTCTTCTCCCATCAGACAGACGGACACAATGTAGAGGATTATAAAATAATAATAATAAAAAAGATAAAAACGTGTTGTGTTTCAGCGAACTTTTAAGACAAGCCGGCTAACATATTATGTACATATTCGAAAATCCCCACCAAACAATGCACAACCGGCCTGTAGCGAACAGCTCTTGGAGAAACTGCGTCTCAATTACCTTAAATATTAAGTTTCCTACGTACTTGGTACAGTTTTACTTGCAAGTCTGTGGTATAATTTTGGAGTTCATGAGCGAATGGTAAATTTAGGACTACAATGTACATTGCCGCAGATCGACGCTATCACGGGCTCAAATAAGAAATTTCCTCCTTTAACGCATAGTATGTCTTGTATTTATCGGGGGCAAACTGGCCGTAAGCCCCGATGTATGGGCTCTTCTAACGACTAGGGCTATTGGCTATTTGTAAATCGTAAGTACTATTCCGATTTCTGCACTTAATCAGTAATGGTTCGTATCATTCTAAACAACTGCGTGTAGACTAGAGCCAGGAATATAATTCTAATTGGCATGAGATTTTTCGCCTTCTTCGTTTAGATGAAAGTGAAAGTCCCTTTCATACTTAAGTACAGCATAACCATGGGAATCTTTGATTAAGTTTGTTCAATCGGTAACTATGCATAAGGGCAAATTTCAGTCTTGTGATCAGAAGAGCGTTTCGATAAATTTTCCTACGGAATGTGATTACATATGCACTATTAGACCTAAGCTTATTACGAACGTAATTGCTTGCAGACTGAATGAGGAAGTGTGGAACCCCAAGGAAACAACGGTTATTGACAAAAGTAGCACCAGGCCGTTGTAATATGTTACCGAAATGTCGACAGTTTGAAAAATATCACAGGCTTCAATATTATGTTTGCGTAAGACTTGCCATGGCGCAAAGGCTGTTAACTCGGTTCCGTGGTCATATGCAAGTTCGGGTAATAATCATTAATAAACGAATAGTGATGATTTAAAGAAAACCGACGTGGCTTGAGAATTTAAGGTTATACAAGACAGTAGTCTTTTCCCTCAGACTCAACTAAGGATTGCTACTAACAAATCTAGTTCTTAATCCGTTGATCAGCAACAGATTTGTATCACCTCGATCATATTTCGAACCGAACGTGACAACATCTCTGTTAGTTTCGAAACGCTTTGTTAATACACACTTTATTATCATTCTGATTCATTTTTATCAACAAATCTTTCGTTAGCTAATGGTTATTACACTATAAGTTTGTCAATTCCCTATCAATTCCCATTTAAGTACACGTGTAAAGATTCTATTTCAATCATCGCTACTAAATCAGCGCTACTAATTGAATCGTCGCTGCTAGATAATCGCTACAAGCTATTTGCCACCGTTAGGAGCTATACCAAAGTAAGTCTTCATTTCTTTTACATTTACGTTGTTTACCTTTTGTATGTATTATTGGTGTAGTTCTTACTCAGTTTTTCGTGCAATCGCCTCATTTTTAGTTAGGTTAATGTTACATTTCGCAACTCATTTTTCTTAATTTAGTTTCTGTTGTATTTTCCTTTAGTTCGAACCACACGCAACCTCAACCGCTACTCTCATCGAGCAAATTAACGTCTTAGCGCTATCATCTAAAATTAATAAAGATTACTGTGTGCGTTACATTGTCTGCTCAGTCACTTAGGTAACCTTTTGAGGTTACAACTTGAGTAAGACTTTTACTCTGTGTCCTCTGTGAAGCCAAGCATGTATATCGAAGGGTAATCACAAATTCACTTTTACACGAGCACTTTAGAAGTTTCACAACGACCTGACCGGATTGGCGGAACTGGTGAGATAGCAAATGTGTACCTCGGTTTGCTTCACGGATTCCGTTCACGAGCACACCTAACGGGAACAGGAAACAACAGAAATCCACAAACACTATTTAACCAATTCAAAGCCTTGGCTGTGCTCAATTCTGTTTTAAAGCACTTAGGAAGCAACTACAGTACTCAAAAAATGGAGAGAAACACTCGATGTCTCTATTTGTTTTATAATAAAGAATCCGTTTAATTAATTCCCCAATTTTCAAAAAAATTTTATTTTCAAAGTGAACAAAAGTGTAGTCAGCATGCTCTATACTCTCGTAAAACACACTACAATGAGCCAATCAGCATCTTTGATAAAATGGTTCAAATAATCTAATCGATTGAACAAGACTACAACTGTCAAAAATGTCAAACTATCAAAGCTCACAAACCGTCAAAGTTCACAATTTGCAATAGTTTACGAACTGAAATACTTCGGCGCGGCAGGTTGAATTTAACACTTTTTCCTGAAGTTTTCTAAGTCTCTAATACAGAATCTGAAAGTAAAATATTCCTTGAAATCCGGACGAGTTGAAGCTCATAAACACACGCGGTTTTTTTTTTCGCCTAGCAATTAGAAAACAAACTGCTCAAGGCGGTGTTTTATAAATGAACGACGGTCGAATTCACAGGAACATATAGATTGCTCGCGGTGACAGCGCCGTGAAACTTGGCTGCTGAGACTGATGTGGCCTTCCACTCGAAGCATTGGAAGGATATCAGAGTAAGCTCTCAGTTGTTTACTCGAAGCGCGGTTAATGTAATTTCTGACGCTTGCTTCACCGCGATGACCGGAGATCGCTAAGATAAGCCAGCTGCGATGGACCTCAGCATGATCGCAGTCGCTCTGACACCGTCATCATCAGTATTAATTTTAACAGTTATGCCAGTTTGGCTATATTTGTCATAATTCGGTCTTTTTTCTTTTGTTTTTGAACACGAAACTATGCATATTATACGAGTGTTAGAAAATGGCTCCGGTTACACTTGCAGACGGCGTAGAAAAAGCTTAGACAGAAGCATATTAATGAGTGACTTAAGAGAAAGCAACATGAATGTTTGTCACACCACCAGGTGTGACAAACTGACAAGTCAAAATTGCTAGGTCAAACCGAAAGTGCAGGCAGGACATTGTAGGGCATATCTGTGACTGCCAAGTCAAGATTTGTCCTTAACCAACTTTAATTCACATTATATGATATTCTAATGCAGAAAATAGATATGATATGCAAAAAAGCCAGATTTAAAACTAATATCAACCGAGACGTTTTTAGAGAAATCGAGGCTCATTTTGACTAAGAGACAGTCTGAGAACATAATATCATTACTCAAGACTGATCGACATATTTACTTCGACGTTCGTCACCAACAGTTCCCGCCTCAGTTTTATGACACCTAACCGGGCAACGTAAAGGCGACAGTCGAGGTTTGTTGTTGGCACCTGTTTTGACAAGCATGTACGTATGTCAGCATGACGCTAACAGTAAGCAAGCTGAAACAGGAAATTTGCATTTGTCCGACGAAAGTTTTTCAATTTATCATCACTTTTCGAACAATCTTTTGTATAATTTCGATCCATCTGAAATGCACTTTATAGCAGTGAACCATGTACAGTAATGTAATAGGTACTTGGAAGACTTTATAAGTAGATGTACATCAAGATTCAAACATCCTACAACGGCACACAGCGATGCAAGCCTTTCAGCTAAATCTCTTACATGTACCCAGTGCTTGCAGTGATCATTTATTTTTTTTCAATATTTGGGGTAACATCATTGAGAAGGATTATTTTCAAATATAAGTTCCATTATCCTGGAAAGGGGACGGGGGGAGGGGGATTAGGAAACAAGCTGCTTCCTTGTAGTTACTTTACCTTTTTTCACAAAGGGATAATGTATTTGATATCTTGATTCAACAACAGGTCAACGTTCATCATATGCTGTATGGATCATTTTTTGGTCAGTTTCAATTCTTCTACTTTTTGTGACCCTTTCATCCTCTGATGAAGGTATGTGGGATTAATAAAGAGGGTTGTCATTAGGTGATGGATTATACGGCTAAAAGTTAAAATTTTGGCCAGTCTACAGCTAGAGGTTTATTTTTTTCCGTTATGGTTAAATTACAAAGTTTTACATGAACTTTTATTTACAACTTATGGTCAAAATTAGTCCATTTCTACGACTATCGGCTAAAGTTTTTGATCACTTCGCGGCTAACGGCTAACCACATGAGACCTTTAATAAAGTTTGATACTTTTTTTCTTGAGCCACGTTACTCAAGTCCTTTCCTATTTAATAAGGGCTACTGTCAGTAATAGTTGAACGACAAAGAAAATTAACCGTTTTTCCAAACAGAAAAATTATATCATTATTTGTTAATGTACGTGAGATAACGTCGTTACCTGAAAGGAATGATTTTTCAGTGTCATAAAATATTTGATCACGAAATACTGTACGCTTCCTCATTGGTGAAGTGCTAAGGTGTGGGTACGTTAGCATCATTGTGAAGTTTTAGATTCGCGCCTCCTCCTGGAGAAATATTGTATTCAAGCGATCGAGCACTTTTGCTGCATTAAAGTGGCCTTATTTTACAATGCGGGGCATGCCGGAAAGAATTTGAGGAAGTTCCGGAAGCTTTCGACTACTTCTCAGGTTTGAATAACTTCTCCTGGCCCTCGTCGTGTTCAACTGGGGCTATATAAACACCGAGAGTCCCCAGTTGATAAGTGGTTCTCTCTTTGTATCACACGTACGTGCTCACGAGGAAGTTACATAACAGTTAATATTGATGAAAAGGGAATGCATTTACCACATGGATTAACGTGACTATGCGAGTTGCCTTCTTTCTTCACACAGTGTTCATTTTTGTCAGATCAGAAAGTTGTCACATTTACACAACTTCTTACAAAACTTTCAACATATTTTTTTGTAGTGATTTTAGAGAAACAGCCAACACCAAGTAAGATCTGGTTCTGGGAACCATCAAGGCCGACTAATCCAACCTTTGGGCCGTCCGGGGTATGATTACATGATTACATCTTTCAACTGTTGTTTTGCTTGGTGATTAGAATAAAAAATTAAATGACAAAGAGAATTGTTACCTTTCACTGAAAAATTCTTATCAAGGTTTGGGGAAATGAGTTGTCTGCTTTACAATGCGACACAAAATGAAGGAGGGTTTCTCAAATACCAATCATTCAAACCAGTTTATTTTTGGTTTAGATTGGGTGCCCGGCTGTCTCTAGATTGCAGGGAAAATCTCTGACCGGGCCTCGTCTGGGTCTAATTCATATTCTTCAATACTCTTTGAATATTTTTTTACACCTGTTATTTTAAAGTGAAGATTAATTTTATATGGTTCGTAGGCACTCTTATCCTTTAAATAAATACCGAAACGAAGCTTCGATATTTATTCAAAGATAATTACACGATCTATCACAACATTTTCTTTTCTTTTTGTTTTTTCCCTTTCTAATCAAAATTATCTTTTAAAGCTGAAAATTACCAAAAAGGAATGGTAGCTGCAGAATTTTCCCGTGAAAGGTTGTCTTCGTTGAAATGATTTTTACCTCTCCTTCGGCCATATGTTTACGTTACTCACTGAAGCTGGAAGTTAAAACATGGATGTTCATCATTAAACTCCCCAAAAACACGGTGCTATAATGAGTGAAATCAAGTGTTCCTTGGTTACAATCTAAAACAGCTCTCTCTTTTCAAGTGGATAGAACCTAATAACCTCCTGATATATTATTTCAATTGATTAATAGTGGAGGAAGCAGACGTATTATTCAACCTGTGATATTTCTCTGGGTGCATTCCCACAACCAAACAACTGGCTTAGAAGTGATCCTATTAAGGTCCATAGTGGAGTGACAGCAGTCTACATTACTATTGAGTACCTAACTCATAACTGTTCGTCCTATTCTGACAATGGAGGGAAATATTGTAAAGAGTATTTTGACTTATACGTACATCAGTCCGGGCAAACAATGGAACCCGACCCCCTAACTAACAATGCTTCTTATGACAAGATTGCTAGAACAGCTCCGTCAGCTCTTGGCATCAGAGTGTCTCGAAGGTTTAGTGTAAATGTTAAAGAAAAGTACATCGTATTGGCTTTTCATGACCAGGGTTCATGTACTGTCCTTCTCTCCGTCGCTGCTAAATATTACTTCTGCCCAGAGACAGTTCATGTTGGTGGTTTAGTGAACTTACCACGTACAATTGCTCCAGCAAACAACTCAGTTCCAGTCGTAAGTAGTTGTACTAAAAATGCTGTCCACGAGCAAGGTATTTTAAGGGTGAACTGCCAAAGTGATGGGGGCTGGAACATCAGTTCACTTAAAGGAAATTGTATATGCAAAGAAGACATGGAAAATGTAGGAGGAGAATGCAAAGGTATATATAACTACAGTAACATAGAAGTGCAGTGCTGAATAATTCTTCAGGCTGGCAACATGATTAGACAAAAAGATGATCAAATTTTAGCTCGGTAATGAAATAGAGTATCAAGAATAAAAATCAGCGAAAATCAATTGAAATGACGTTCTAATGATTCGTTCATCATTTTTCAAATTCTAAAGGTCAGATTCCGATGAGTCTTTTTGATACTAGGAAAGCGTGTTAAAGTCTCGTTGCATGTGGTTAAAAACTCTGCAATGTGGAATGTAGAGAGTGTTAGTTGAGTACTAAATAGGTTTTCCTTAATTGAGTCAGATTGAGCGTTTAGTTTAGGTTTCTTCCTTGGATAAAGAGCATTTCTTAAAATAAGCATTCAAATTTCCTACAACATTTCTTAAGGATGGGAAATTGTTCGTGTAGATCTTTGTTACTCTGATTGTGGGCATTACACAGGTGTTTTCCAGTAGCTGAGAGCGTATGTTTAACAATATGTTGAAAAGGTTTCGACGAGCAAAAAAGAGTATAAGCGTTTTTGCGCCTCGTTACGGGCGTAGGAGAAAGAAAATTTGGATTCTCCACGAGGAATCAAATCCCAGACTTTCGGATTTTGCGTCCCGACGCTCTGCGACAGAGACTCTCTTGAGTGAACAAGCTCAGTACTAGTTTCATAGATTATGCGTGACGCGTCCTGCACAGTGTTGGTGTCAGCAAAGTCGAAAGCGTCAAGTAAAGAAATAAAATAAAAAAAATAGTAAACATGAGCCTGGTAATGAAATAGACAAAGTCTAGTAAGGAGACGAAAAAGCACCTTTCTCTCCTATTAGACAATTTAAAAAATTGGAATGTGTATCCTGAAGACCTATCTCCTAAATATTTCAGTTTCATCACTCAAAATCATTGCAAATCTTCGCCACCCCCCGAACCTTCCTCGTTCCTTTTTGGTCTTCGTCTACAGTCTAATTGAGGTGCTTTTTCTTGAGACCAGCTCTCAGTGCGACATAATTAAGCATAAGCATTAAAGTGAGAAAACTCGATTTATTCCAAGCATAAATAATAGAATGGTAGAAGCGTTTACTCTAAGGAAAGAATCTAATTAACTGATAACTCCGTAGTGAATTACGAGCATAAGTTAAAAGTAAATGGAATTAAAATTTGACAGGATCAATTTCCACTTGAGTACGTGAACTCCCGGTTAAAATGAATAGACTTTTTATAGTTAGTCGTTTTGAAAGTGACTTGTTAGTGATAGGGATGACTTGTATCATGAATGGAGGCTACAACCGATGGTAATGGGCTTTCCCTCCGTCACTGGTTTCTAAAGAAAACGCTCAACTCCATAGTTTACTCAACTCATTTGTCTTTGGCTGAGATCGAAAAAAATTTTTAAATCGACTTTATCAAGATATCGATTTCATTTCCTTCTTCAGATTGCCCAGAAGGTAAATACAACGACGGGAATGGCTTTAATTGCACAGGTACGGATGCAAATATAGCTTTGAAATGTGAATGGCATCTGTTCGATTATACTTACTTGGTTAAGTATTTGTGGTCCCAAGCTGTATCCAACTCTTCATATTTATTTTTCAGTTGTTAGTGCATCACTTTACCGTGGATATCTCGAAATTTTGGTTCACTTGCGATTAATTTTGACCTACGGTATGAGCATCTGTTGAACAAATATGACGCAATTGCCTGTTGTAGCTATACAGCAAACCAATAACACCAAATGCGTTAGAATGTTTCCTTAAATCTTGCTCTAGCAGACTAAAACGAACAATTTTAAATATATAAGTGAATGAAACATGTGTGATGGCCTAATTAATCCTGTGGTCACTTAGTTTACAAGGTCGATTTTCCTAAAAAAAATAATGAAGAAAATAGACTGTTAAATATAATTCATAAAATATGATTCCTGGATAAATAGTCTTATGTTCCCCTCACAACATATCCAAATTCAGTCATACCATCAGCACCGAAAAATGTTCAAGTAATCTTCGTTAACCGAAGTGCGTTGGAGTTAAAATGGCAGTCTCCTGCAGTAACCGGTGACCAGACCCACGTGTCTTACGACGTCGACTGCCTTAAGCCGTGTGAGGGTGAAGAAGAAAACAATTGCGTTAATAAAGCTTGCGAGAGTGACGTCATTTTCATACCAAGAAAGGATAGCTTCAATGTCAGTCACGTTATTGTTGGAAACCTTACTTCATATGTAAACTACACCATGAAAATCTACGCTAAGAACCGAGTGAGCGAAGTAGCGAGAAGGAAACGTGGAATTGAGGCAAGTCTCTCAGAAATAACAGTGAGGACTAACGGATCAGGTAAGTCATGATCTGCTCCTGGACTAAATAGAATATCATATAAATTCCCTTCCACTTATCTATTGTTTAAGTGTAGAGGCTTAGGGTTACATCACAGTTCATTTCATAATTCGAAGTCTATGAGTCATCTCCATTAAAAAAACTAGTTCCAGGTAAACCGGAAGTGTCTGTCGAACAACCGGAAATGGCTGTTGTTGTATCTTGGACACTAAAGGAAAAGAACGGAATCATTAAAGAGTACCACGTGACATATATAAGAGAAGATGAGAACTCAGAAACCAAGACTCTTGCCACCAAGGAAATGGAAGCGAGGTTTGATTTAAAGGCTGGAAAAACTTATCAATTGCAGGTAGAAACATTTTATTACTTATCCGAGTTAATAATCAGTTTATAATCTCTTTTAGAAAAAAAAGTTTGTTTAAAGCAACTAAAGAAAAAAGTATTAACCATTCGAGAATAAATGTTTTGACACTCTTAAGGTTCATGAATTTTAAGTGATAGTAAACATACGATGGCTGAAAAAGAACGTCTAACCTTAGCTCCATAGGAAGACGCTATTTTTGTGCTCTTGAGGAACAATCCTATCTAATGAATATTATGATTTCTCTTCCCTAAGGTATTTGCCATAAACCAGATCGGAAGAGGACCTGCAGGAGTGAAGAATTTTACAGTGAAAAACAGTTAGTGTGTGTACTTCGTTGCGAAGTCACTTTGCTCGTAAGATTGATATTTTGGGGCTCTCTTAATTATTTCAGTTTGAGCATTTTTCCTCTAGTTATTACTTTAATTTCAGCCCAAAATAATATCAGTCAATTTTGTGTCCCTCAGCTCTTGGGCTCCCATGACACCAAGAATCCGAAAAGAGGACTATCATGAACCTCAAGTTAGAAGAGCTGCATTACGACCTTTTTTTAGGTTAAATATAGGGGAATTTTGAAATGATAAAGCTTGAGTAGAAAAGCAACAAAGATATCAAATTATATAATAGACCAAAAAGGAAGGTGGGTGTATAAGTACGTTAAAGATCAACCAGTAATGTAAAAGACAAATCTCAAGGAATCTCAGTCATTTTTTCGTAAGGCATAACCTTGATGTGCCTGCATCAAGCCGGAAATTTTAGAACGAAATAATGATAGGAATCTGAAGGAAAGAGTTTTTTTTTTGGAAAGGTACTATGAAGAAAGAAAATGAAAAATTAGTTAACTAGGAACGAGTAATGTATGTTCAGCTAAGGGTTGCAATCTTAAAAAAAGTATGGAAAAACGACCAGAGATGGATGAAATATGATTCAATGCCCTCTCAATTCAACGTTTGGCATTTTAAGTCATACACACACTCTTAGCGGTAAAAAGAAAAAAAAACACAATTTCTATTTACAGTCTCGGTGCCATCAATTCACGTAAATTTTTGACATCGTCTCTTAAAGAAAGTTTAACAAATTCTAATTTTGTTGTTGCTTACATTTACTGTTAAGATTCCAAGGTTGAGACCTATCTAGGAGTCGTCTACACATTGGCTGCATTACTAGTACTTTGCGTCATGTGTTTCGTCTGTTATATCGTGTGGGAAAGGTAAGTTTGGAAGGTATCTAGCAAAGAAGAACATAGGAAATTTCAGCTCCGGAAACCATTTAAGTTGAAGAATACTCTAAACAAATTAAAATGTCTCAGAGCTGTACAAGAGCTTACCAAAACACAAGAAAGTCACCAAGTCACAAGTAAACATTGAATTTGTGTTTTATTTGGTGGATAAAAGGTTATTGTCAGATTTGAGAATTTCTAAAACATTCAGATGACCTGTGTGACTCAATTTTTTTCTTAGCTAAAATTTTTTTCAAGCTAGTCGAGTAAGTTTCCTTTGTCTTCGTCTTGAGGTCATAATTATCGTTTGAGGCAACAGATAGTGAAACATATTTTAAACGTAGTTAAAACTGAATCACCACAAAGACGCTTGAAGGGATACAAACATTTCAACGAAAATGTGTAAAACTGAAAATGAAATTATAACTGTCCGTCAATCTTCTGGCTTGGCTTCATGCTTCCCTACCTTATTATATTTCTACATTAAAGCAAAAGAAGAGTTTAATCATTTCGTATTTGCGCGAATAGATGGTGGCGGAGCCGAATTGCTGAGAAAAAGGCAGCTGAATGTAACTTTAGGGTGTATGATGGTAAGTCCAGTCTATATCACACTATATCTAGACCACACCAAAAAATAACAACCAAAATGAATGCCCCAGAAATAAAAAGTAAATCAAGCATGCAAACATACTGCATTCTCATAATGTTCGACTTTACAAAACTGAAAAAGATTCAATCAGCAAGGCCCCATATATATGGTCTCGGGTACCCGAGCCAACCCTCCCCCCGAGTTACCCGAAGCGAGCTAATTTTTCACTTATTTCTTTAAAAAGTTCAGCCGACAGTTTACATGAGGTTGTGAACTCGTCTCGGGAAGGCGAGACAACTCGAAGGGGAGGGGGGGGGGGAATGCGTGCGCATGCTAAGGAAAGGATGTTTATAGCTATTCTTTCCCTGTCGTCCGCCATTTTGTCGAATATGTAACTTGGCCGAACGAGGGTTAGCAGATGTCAAATTTCATATAAACGCTCCGTAAAGTTATCTTTATCCACAGGCGCACAAACTTTCCCCTTGAGGAGATAAATATAGTACAAGAAATTTATAATAATTACAATCAGGGAAGACTCCATATAGTCGCTTTATTTGACTTGTGCAGAAGAGAGGCAAAAGCAGCAAGTAGCTGCGGTGAGCCTCAGTTTGTTTTCGCTTTCTGCATGCCTGTAATTACTTTTGTAGAAACAGTGCAACGTAAGTGTGTTAGATTTCTCTGCTAAAAAGACTCTTAGACTGCACAATCATCCTTACCATTGGAAATTTTTCCTTAGAAATTCCAAGCAGTTCTCTTCATGGGTATCAAAATGTGAATGGTTTTAAACTTGACCGTCTAAAGTTAACTACAGTTCAAGTACTTGGAAGTGGCAACTTTGGTCAAGTTTGTAAGGCAATTTACAGACCTTTGAGAACTGAAGTTGTTGTTAAATCATTAAAAGGTACGTTAATCACCATTTTTTAAAGGCTGAAAAGTGTTTCAATATCTTTAATAGATCGGAATTCATCAGTTTCATTTAATCCAATCTTGCTTTCAAATATAGCTGTGTATGTATTCTTGTCCGAGCCGTTAAAGATATGGTGAAGGTTCTCGTTAGCTTTCTCCTGTAAACCTGATCATTTAGTTTGTATCTTAAAATTACATTCTAGATAATGCCTTGCCGAAAGAAGTGCAAGATTTTAAAACTGAGTTGGTCCTTATGAGCTCCTTGCAGCCTCATCCCCATGTGGTAAAACTAATCGGTTGCTGTCTTGAAAAAGGTACATCTTGATGATTAACTGATGCACGTAAATGATTGATTGACTGATCGAGAATAACCTTGGGCTTTTATTTCATTCCAGATCCCTCCCTAATAGTTTTGGAGTATTTAGCGTATGGTGATTTGTTGAGATACCTGCGTAAAAGCAGAGGAATTGAGGATACCTATAACACAGGAGAAAAGGGACCAAGTTCATCACTGAGAGAGAAGGACCTCTTGTCTTTTGCGTGGATGATCGCTGATGGCATGAATTATTTAGCATCAATGAAGGTGAACTTGACATTTTTCACCACTAAAAACGAGGAAATCACAAGAAACCTATTTATTCCTAGAAACTCATATGTATTGCAAAAGGGTGGATGTTAAAAGTACTGTATGATCGCAATACATTTTGCATTTTTCATTGTGCCTTTTAGCATGATGCAAAATAATCACCCTTGACGGAGTCTCTGTGTAAAAGAAGTTAGCGAAGTTTAATTAAGAGTATGTGGCCAAACTGGGAAAACTTTGATCGCACAATTTACATTTTATTTCAATAACAAATCGGCGCCGGCAATGATAAATGGGGAATAATACATGGTTGTAAGACGACCTGACGTGATTTGTTTATTGTACGTTGCATGAATGTTAATTAATTATGAGGAACTCGCCCACCTGGGCGAACATTTAGGCGTGAACTTTAAATACTTTTATTGTATAAATTATAGTGCTATACAAGGATTTTCAATCCTGAGAAAAGCCTTATCAACACACGTGAAAAATACGATAAATTCACGTGTGTTTGATATCGCCAATCAGCTGCTGACACGTCACTCGCCTCTTCGTGCCACTCCGTGAATACCTTCGTCATTCTTAATCGAAGGTAGTTTGTCGAAATTTTTCGCCTCGGATCATGGCTGCTAAAACACTGAAAAATTCTCATGGCTAATGGGGGGAAGACAACCAAAATACGAAAAAAAAAACCGAAAGCTACATAATCAGTGGCTTTGCTAATGGCATTTCTCACGGCTGAAAACGAAAATCCACAACAGGAAGATTTGCCACTAAGCCGATTTTGGCCGTGTACCTGAAAAGATCAATAAAAATTCAGTACTTAAGAACTTTGTAAATTGAAAGTTAGCCGCGCTCACTCGTGAGCTTTCTTGTTAAACGCTCGAATAGAAATTACATCTCTACTAGCAACCATGAATTGTTCCGTTTGAATTGCGGGAATTTGATAGTTGACCGCAAGAAGGGGGTGATCGCTGAATGGTAGGCCATTACAAAGGTTTATTTTTAGTAGCAAATGAATATCTGTACGAAAAAGAGAGTTGAAAAAAGGGTTGAAAATGAAAATTGAGAACAAAATTAAAAGAGCTAATGTTTCTCTCAAGACGTCTCTGAACAACTTTCGCATGTTGTGTTTCAGATTGTTCATCGAGATTTAGCAGCTCGAAATGTGTTAGTGGGTGACAACAAAGTGTGTAAGATATCAGACTTTGGTTTAGCACGTGGTTTGGAAGAAGACATCTACACGAGAAAAACTCAGGTGAGCTCTAAATAAACTTTCTAATCAAATAATTTTATAAATAGCTTTCACTATCCTCCCTCTTTATTTAGTTGATCCTCTACTGTAAGTTCTTCGAAAGATAATATTCAATTGTATATTGTTTCAGTTCTCATAGCATTGTTCTTTTCATATATTTTTGCCGTTCCCCAATTTCAAGGCTCGTCTTCCCATTAAGTGGATGCCTCCAGAATCTCTATTCTATGGAACATCAACTACTATGAGCGATGTGTAAGTTTTTGCTACCTTCTTTTTCTCTAACCCGTTAAGCCTGAAGTTTTTAGCAGTTTTGTTAAACTCCATGGTGATTTGACAAAGTTTTACGAGAATCGGTTGAAGAGCAGAAGTGTCATATGTTCTTTCATCTTCACCCAACATTTCAGTTTTCCTTAATTTTCTGACGACACAACCGCATTGTATGAGACTGATACGTGTTGTTAACACTTTTCGGAAATAGTTTCACAGAGTTTGACGCGGTAGTATAGCCACTGCATGTCCAGGGAACTCGATGTATGAAAAACCTATAATTATCAGAACAAGCTCTTTTCTTTGGCCAATCAGCACTCATTAATTTCAAATTTTATTGTGCGTGATGAAGGGTATTATATGGAGATTGATCATAAAGTCCAAACAATAACTTACCGATTAAGATTATGTGAATATTTCTATATTCTGCAGATGGTCTTACGGCATTGTGATGTGGGAGGTGTTTACCATTGGTATGTAGAGTAATGTGGAGAACTTCACTCTGGCCACGAGACATAACGCCTTGACTATAACATGTCTTTCATATGGCAGTTAAGGATGAGCAAAACTATTGTAGATTCACTGACCTTAAAGATCCCGGGCAGGATTTTGAGGTTTGGTGATAATGGTCGGATGAAATTGTACAGATATTTACCTGCAAAATCAGAATGAAGCGGGAAACTTGCTAAATTTTCTGCTCCCTACCTCAACCCAACCTTCTCCCCCCTCCCCCTTCCCCCACCCCACCCTTTTCTCGTGGAGAGGCTATTCTAATTAATGGGTTTCCAACCGGGCGAGTCGGATTGCCCAAGTTTTATAGAGATGCCTTTACAATTTTTCTCAAAAGAATCTTCCCTTTGAGGGACAGGATGTTGCAGCACTGTCAACATTTTTGTTACACATATCGTTTCAGGTGAGTCACCTTATCCTGGAAAAACATCCCGAAAAATTGCTAATTTGTTGCAGACAGGGTACCGTATGCCAAGGCCAGCACATATCTCACAAGAACTGTAAGTATACCTGCGGACTGCACTATCTTACCGCGCGAATAGAAAGATGAGCAGGAAATTTACGTTAAAAATTAAACTTTTCTTGCCGCCTACCGCCAAAGGTAAAGCATTTACATCTGCCGAAAAGTGAGTACGAGTAGAATTTATTTTTTTAAGTACTGTTTTCCATAAATTTAAACTTAATATTTGTTATTTCTACGACTTCTCAGTTTTACTTAGCTCAAATTGAATACTGAAATACTTTTGACTAACCGATTTCATGGTCTGCACTGCATTTTACGGACCACATTAACTTTTCTCTCGGATTTAAGGCTCTCGTGCAGCCATAAATCCAAGCGGAAAAATCGAGGTCCATGACTTTCAACCAAGCATAGCCTACGTTCTAACTGGGAGATATAATAAGAATTCTGACTTAAAAAGTCATGTGAGATGCACTTCTTGCTACTCAGATAGTGATGTTAATTTTTTCGGATGAACGGAGTAAATTATGTGAGTAATGACGTTATTTAGTAAATGGCACAGGCATACTCGGAAAAGAGAACTCCACTAAGCTACTGACAGGAGTCTCGAGGTAGACTAGGCGGTTTACTGAACTAGGCCCATGGTGAAACATTTCTACATGATGCTAGCATTAGGAATCGACATGTGATTCTTTTGCGCGATGATGAATGAAGATGGTAAATTTTAAGCGAGGTAGTTTGGCGAAAGATGATGTTATTTAGGCATACTCGGAAACATGAACTCAGAGTGCTAATATTGGGTGTTGAAAGTAAATTATCCTCTTCATTTTTTACTCGTTCTCTTTAAACTAGTAAACATAATATAGTATCAATGTCAAGAAAATATGAGTCACTTCATAAAAATTAGTCATTCCTATTTCAGGTATTCGATTATGAAGGAGTGTTGGGAAGAGGAGCCCTCAAAGAGACCAACATTCCAGTGGCTTTGCTCCGCGATGAAACGACTGCTGGATGATCATAAGGTTTGTTTGCAATTATTTCCCCTGAGGTTATATTTTTGGTCTGTCATTTTACATCAAAACCCCTGGTTATAGCATTCCTTGACTTCCCCCTCCCCCTTCTTGACAGATTTTACCCCTCCCTCCTTTCGATACTGTGTTTTATTATGCTTGAATGGAGAGGGGAAGGGTACCATACATAAGTTTACGAAAGATTCCTAGCTCAGAAGGATTCATTCACTAAACTTCCCCTCAATATAATTAAACAAGATATTCCTTGACAGGTGTTGTCTTTATCTTATCTCTTCTCCAGACTTATGTGAACTTGGAAATCTACGACGGCAAGAACTATGTTAACTTTGATATGATGATGGACAAGGAGTGATGAAAGTTGTTCAATTTTTTCATTTAATATTGGAGGGTAGAGGTTCAATCAACGACATATACCTCATTTATGACCTTACCTCTTAATTATGCAAGTAGAAGTGAAATTGGAGAAACTCCTTCATATTAACGATGCAAAAGGGTTCGCTTTGGAAATATTTGTTAATAGCGTTTGTATCAGGAAGTACATTGCGTGTTATTTTACGGAGAAAACCGTTTAGCAAAAAAATTGGACTTAAAGTTAAGTTTAATATTGGAATTAGTTAGAAATTCTTAATTTTCGACAAATATTCGAAGAAAGCTTTTACTCAAGGAATTGTTGAAAATATAAAAGTAGATTTTAGCTTGTAGCCTAATTAAGCACGTTTTAACTATGTTTATTCTCTGGCTTATATACTACAGCAGCATTAAAGTTGTAATACGGGCTTGAATCATACAGTCGGTCTCTGTATGAAAGTATTATTATTAAGGATGCCTTTAAGGACAGCGAAAGACATCTTGTATCAAATCTTCATTTTTTTGGACCGAGGTTTTGGCGAACGGTTATTTCGACAGCTAGCTTAAAAAACAAAATTTGAAATTTTTAACATTCAATAACACCTTTAAAGATCAATTGCATTCTAATTTTTAGGATATTAGTTGGAATTATAGCTTATAGTGAATAAATCAATAACGTCAAACTAGCTCATCGGCTGACACGAAAGATTTCGCGACAAACATTTGATGCTAACAAAGACACATTGCCAAACTCTCGCAAACATGTCTTAACTATTGATGAAACCTGTCTGTAGTTTTTCAACTTCAATGTCATTCTGGGCTGAAATAATGGTCATAGCTAACTCTCACCAATGAAATGCACAAGTTCATCGTGATACCACGATCATGATACCATGATCCCGAGCTAAACGAACTATTCTGCCCAAAAGCATCCGTAAATGAAACCATAAAAGTAAGAATAGTTAAAGGCCAGACATTACTTGAAAGTTACATTTAAAACGAGGAAACTCCTCGCTCCTGTCAGCCGAGAAAAAACACTCCAGATGCACCGGAGACACTTTTTCGAGGCACACTTTTCTGGGAATTTTTGTGCGACGCATTTATGAACAACCTCCAGTGACTCAGTGATTTTCCAGTAACATCGCATTAAGGGATCAACGAACAAGAATGGTGGTTAGTACTTAATTCGTGGGTACAATAAAACCGAGAGCGATAAGTTATTAGTTACACTGTGTGATGTCTTTGATAGTAAAGATTATAATACATTTTAAAAGGTGTCGAGTCTGCTAGGCATCCGAGTCCGTAGTTACAGTTAAGGGTTGATAATGATAGAATGAGCGAAACCGAGGGTATCTAAAATGCCATTCAACAATGCTCGAAATTCTCTCAGTTACTTATTGATTCTTCTCACCAGCTTGTAAGTTAAACCGTACTATGAGAAATTATGACGTATTTTGAAAAATGCTGCATTATATCTTTTTATTTCACTCTCAATGAAACGGATTCTAGCGAAAAAAAAGGTTTCAAATTGAAGCATTAATGGAAATTTCTCTTAATCACTTGGATCAAAGCATAGCCAACGGTTGCAAACTACGACAAGTCTACAACCGTACCAAATAATGGAGGTCACGCGGAATCAAACCCATGGAGTCGTTTGCCTTTGAGTTTGCTGTAAAGTGTCATAGCTAGCACGCCATTTGAAAGCATTGCTTAACCGTTCTTTGATTTATTGGCGATATTTCGAAATTCCCCGTCTCTTATTTTGCAAAGAGTTGGTACCAGAAAAAGGTTTGTTAGAGAGTCTGAGCCTTTCTGCAAGGAATTCAAGAATTTGTGGGTATTTCACCTGTACTTTAATATGCGTTTTGTAACTTGAAATACTCCATGACAGAGTGCTTTTGTAATTGACTATTTCAATTATTTTCCTTGTTTTGATATTTTTGTACTCCACTGAAAGTTTCATCATTTTGAATTATTCCCTTCTTATCTCCATAATGTACGATGGAATGATACAATCCTAGGGGACGATTTTTTTGAAATTTAGGAAAGAAGAATACAAATACAGCATAAAATTACGGTTTGAAATCTGTTAAACGAAATTCTAAGGCCGCGAAATCGTCTATAAAGTTATGAAAACGTATTTTGCAATCCATATAGGAAAATAAGCTACATAATTATAGAAAAAACTTTTTTTGTGGTTGATGCAAAGTTTGTTCAGTGAAATTACACTAATTTGACCATTTGAGATAACTATGGTCATAGACGTAACAAGGATAATTTATTACAATTGCAGCTACTGTGACCACTGCACGCAAGAAAAGCTTAACCTAGCATTGCGTCACCATTTCGTTCAGCAAGTCTGCTCAGTAAATTTATTAACATTCATCATTAGAAACCAATGAATTAGAATAAATATATTCCACATAATTCATTGGTTGTCGCTTTTCTAGTTCCTTTCTTGTTCTAATCCTCGGTGAAAAACGTGACTCCAACTCTCCCTATATTCATCAGCGAATGTAAATAGGTGCCAGGTACTGTCAATAACTGGCGTGACGAATTGGAGGGGTAACTTGATGTGGAAAAAAATCCCATCCAGGAGGAATGATGACACTCCTTGTCATTTCATGCTTAAGACGCCGGGATGAGCAATGCCAGCTTAGGTTAATGACTTGTTAAAAGTTAGCCTTTTTACCAACAAAGTTCCCTCAGGATCTTCTTCGGTTATTTTTATCGCTATTCAGTCTTTCATATTTCTCCATAAGTGTGCTCTGCATGTTTGAAAGTTTATCTCGTCGTTGTTTTTACAGAAGCAACGCTTCTTTCATGTTAAGCCTTAGTCGTCGTTGAGTAGAACATGACTCAATGTTACTTATCGTCAAATGGCTTCACTCCAGGCGCACATTAAGGATGATTGATATCAAAATTTTCACAAAGCTCTTAAATCAAGTTGGGTAAAAAAATATCTAGATCCGGAAAATCAAGGAAAATGGAAACTTTCGTTTGACTATGAATTACAAAATCTAGGTGGTGTCGACTTTTTTCGTACCAACCTTAATAAACAAGATCTGTTAAAAACTATAAAAACTGCAGAGGCCTTTACTTCAGAAATACTCCACATCTGGTCAGAAATCTCACTTGAAACTAATGTCTCCTCCATTGATCAGCTAAAGGCGCAAAGTCTATGGCATCACTCTCTTATACGTGTCGGTAACAAACCTGTATACTATCGTTCATGGTCTGTAAAGGGAGTTAAAACAATGGGCCATTTGATGAATGATGCGAATAGTTTCCTATCTTTCTCTGATTTTAAAGAGCTTTACGACATTAAAACAAACTTCCTTACTTTTCAAGGCATCTTATCAGCTGTTAAGGCCTTACAAAAAAGCAATGAAGCTAACTTCAACAGCTGTAATACTGCATACGAAACTACATTCGACAACTTCCTAAAGACGACAAAACCAAAAAGACTAATATATAAAATTCTGACGAATTACATGAAATGCATTCTCGAAACACCAGATAATGTCGACTGGAAGGCAGTTTACAGAACTCCTTTTCTATGCAAAAAAATCACAAAATTGATTGTTTTTCAATTTAAGCTACTGCACAGAAGACTAGCCACCAACACTGTTCTTACCAAGGTAAACCTCAGGGACAATTAGCAGTGCACTTTTTGTAAAAGTGATAAAGAGACTCTCATCCACCTATTTTGGACTTGTGATATATCCAACCGTTTCTGGCAAGGTCTTAAACAATGGATAGTTAACCTTGGAGAACCTTTCGCGGAAATTTTCAATCTATCGCCATTTATAGTACTAGGGCTTAAGCCACACAAAAACAAGAAACTAAACTTCCTTTTTTTGGTCGCTAGATATTTTGTATGGATATGCAGAATGCGCAACATCTCTCCGGAAATAAAAACTTCCCCCTCTTCTTCTCACATTATAATGCATAAATCATTATTATAAAGAAAAACCATGCTTAAAACAAGCACAACACGCATTTACTTAGTGTTTTCTTTAATTCTGTTTACATATAATTTGATGTTTGTATCCTTTTTTTCCTGCACTTTTTTGCTTTCTTTTAAACTACCTTCTTTTCTATAAATTGTGAGTAGTGCACTCTGGCTGTAAACGTTTTTTTGTTTTTTTCTTTTCTTTCAATATATAGTTATTTGTTTAGTCGCTCTTCAACCAGTATTGTTTTAAATATTGTATTGCACTGTAACGTACGTATTTGTAAAAAACAAAAAACGTAAGTAATGTAGCTATAGATGTAACTGTACTGTAAGTTATTTTCTGTAGCCGTGATACAAGTAATATAACTGTAATTAAAGTAATATAGTTGTTTTTGTATTAAAAAATAAATAAAAAATAAATAAAAAATAAATAAAAAATAAATGAAAAATAAATAAAAAATAAATAATAAATAAATAATAAATAAATAAAAAATAAATAATAAATAAATAATAAATAAATAATAAATAAATAAAAAATAAATAATAAATAAATAATAAATAAATAAAAAATAAAAAATAAATAAAAATATTGTGACAGTCAGATTTAAAAAGAAAAATCTTTACCCCGATTTTCCATTTTTTTCAAAAAATTCTAGAAAAACAGGGTAAAATCTAAGAATTCATCCTCCAAATTGAATAGATCCCAAGTTGCCATATCCAATCTTCAACCCGATTCCCCATTTTTTTTCAATGAATTCTAGAGAAACGGGATTAATTCTGCGAATTCATCGGCAAGTGGCTAACACGTTAAGTTCCCATATGTCATCTTTACCCCGATTTACCATTTGATCAGTGAATTCGAGAAAAACGGGGTAAATTCTGAGCATTCATGTTACAAGTGAATAATACCCGAAGTTCCCATATGCTATCTTTACTCCGAATTTCCATTTTTTTTCCGGTGAATTTGGCAAAAAACGGGGTAAAATCTGAGAATTCATCCTCCAAATAAAAAGGATCCCAAGTTACCATATCCAGTCTTTAACCCGATTTTCCATTTTTTTCAACGAATTCTAGAAAAACGGGATAAATTCTACGAATTCATCCGCAAGTGGCCAACACGCTAAGTTCCCATATGCCATCTTTACTCAGATTTTCCATTTGATCAGCGAATTCTAGAAAAACGGGGTAAATTCTGTGAAATTCATTCTTTAGGTGGAATATATCCTACTGACTTGCCATAGCCAACTTTACCCCGACTTTCGATTGGATCATTGTGTGAATTTGTCATAAACGGGGTAAATTATGACAAATCCACCCAAACGTGCAATAAATCCAACAATGATCTAGAAACAGTACTAAAAAAAGAACAGCTAAAATCAGCGGGACCGCAATGAAATCACATCACAATCTACTACTTCGAATTTTTACGGAGGGCTTAGTGCGATACAGCAAAAAAACCTACAATATTTCAAATAAACAACCAAAGACCAAACTTCTGTGATTCAAGGAAGACTTCGTGACCCGACGCAGACAAATTATCACAACTTTGACCTCTCAGTCGATCTCACCTTCAGCAGATCAGCGAAGCGTCAAAAATATATAATTTCATGCCGACGAACCATAATCTATGATCTTCAACTATTAAACAAAATAAAACAATTGTGATATGACGCCACATTGTGCTTTTGTCTTAGCTTGTGTGTAAAATGTTGTCAATGGAGTCGCAAGTCGAACAATGAGGACAGTAAATAAAGCAAGACTGCAAATAAAGCGTGAACAATAACGCATCTTTTGGTCCAAAGTCGCTTTGTTATTTACGTAACAAGTTATTCTTCCACGTTTAGGCTATAACAACGATGCGATCACACGGCGCTAAGGAAGGAACGATAGAACTTCAAAGAAAATAATGTGAAAGGCCAATGATCCGGTTCGCAGTGATCATGCGAACAGCATGTTTTCCTTAGATCGGTTACCGGAAAATACTGGTCAAATTTTCCACTTATCCCGACCCCCTCGAATATATACTTTTGCTTGAAGACATAACTACAACGGCGTCTCTTAACCAGTCCCAAGCCGCGTGTCGCTCGATAGATCACAGGATATGATTGGCCACTCTATCACATTACGTCAGAGGACATATCTGCAATGAGAGGACATAAGTGCAACGGTACATTTGTTTTGGTTTTGATCTCACCCAATCACAAAGTTCGAAACCGATATCCAGATATGGTTATGGCCCGAACTGTTCCTGTTGTAAATAATTTTTTCCACTAGTAAGGAAGTAATCAACTTGTAAATCGTAAGTTTGTACTCTACTTGAACTACCGTTAAGTACAATTCGTAACAGAGAGGTAATCACGTCATGACGAACCAGAGCTGCCCAGGTTCTTTGATCTTTTAGCCTTCTTTTCATTTCATTAGGTTTAAGGTAAAAGGCGGTCTCTATGATACACGACCGTACCTGCGTGCATGCAGTGTCACTATTCGAAACTTCGATCACCTCTCAAGTCGAACCAACTTCCTCTCTACACTGAAGAAGCGCTAGCACCAGTTCCGGTCTTCTTTCCAGCTTAATGAATTCAAATATTTATGATTGTATCACAGCGTAATACGAGAGAAGGTGTTTAAAGCAGAAAGAAGAACAAGCAGAGGCAGAAGCAGCAGGTAATTAATATAACGACCCTAAAACTGTCGCCGTCGCTGTTTAAAAACTTATTAGACTTTAAAATCACTAAATGCTAATAAGCGTTATATGGCGTGTCTGGCGTTCCATTTGTCCTCGAGTTGTGTAACTTTCACTTTGTCTTTAATTGTCATTTCCGCTGAAAAAATTCGACCACTTTGCGACTGAAATCATCATAAACATTGGCTCCTTCGATATCTCCCCCAGCTAATTCTCTGGAAACCTCGATAAATCCCAATTAAGCAATAGAGAATATGTAATATACATTTATATCGAGGATGTACAATCTTTCGTTTCAGTTTCCGAGTAATTTGGACATTCTCCAGTTACTAGCTGTTAGCTTAATCTTAATGTTGGAAGAGTGTTCTGTAAACGTTTTAACCATTTAAGGGTTTAGCCTCGATTGAGAAATCCAGATATGGTTACGGATGTAACTGAATTAAATATTCAATATTCGAGAGTCCAATTCAATGAGGCAAAATATGAATTTTCATTTTTCAGGCATGAAAATTCGACCGACCACAGAGAACAATTGATCTGCGCCTATTGAAATGAAATAATTAGCCTTGCTCGTCTTCTAGGTGGCTCAATGTGTAGGATAGGGCCAATGGATCATCACTTAATTACAATCGCTAATCTCCTGCAAATTCTGGCCTTTTCAGTGGCGGATAAAGGTATAAAATCTAATCTCGAAGCACTCTCTAATAATGATTTTTATACAATAACATTTTACATCGGTTTTCAAGTCAACGACGACGTACTTGAACTCAGTGAAAGCAACGAAATACGGAAAATTAATCATGGGAACTATTTTTGTGTCCAGTTTACGAAATACTCGACAATTTACTATTGCATAAACGCCGTGTGAAATAAGTCAAAAAGCAAAGATGTAAAATAATAGTTAAATATTCTGGATAAAACTTATCAAATATGTTTGTTAAATCTAAAAGATATTTGGTGAAGGATTTCCGTTTTGCTCAAACATGTGTGACGCAAAAAAGTCATGTTCCATTGCTAAAGCTGAAGAGGCGAAATTTATGTGGCAAAACAGGTGACGTCATTCCGAAACAGTGTTCTTCGTAAACGGAAGGAACAAAGTGGCGTCCAGTGAAGCAACAATTTGGCTTCCGGATACAGAAAAGTTTTCCCTGGAATCAAGTTCGATAACTACAAGACTACAATCTTAGTTTTGATTGATTGGTAACAGGAATGTCGGTAGTCTTACTCGTAATTAACAAATCGAACTCACGCTTCACGGTCGTCCTATTTTGTAAATTACCCGTACTATTACAGACCGAATTTGACTCTACTTAGTCCTATTTCCATAATTTTCGTTAGCATGCTCTTAGCAGATAAACGTGTTTATCTTATAGTGATTTTACAAAGGTGGCCGACAACATTGAAAAGGTGGGACTACTGGACAACTTCAAGGCCAATAGGTGGACCTGTTGGGGTATGCTCTTTTTGAAAAGTATAATAAAGTAAAAAAAAATTTAAAAAATACCACGCTTAAGACCATTTCCGAAGACTGGAATCTATCCCAGTCCTACCAATCAATAAAATTAAATTCAATATCATTTATATATTTTATTGACTAGACATTATGATTCCTAGACTACGAATATTCCAGAATTGAAACTCATAAATAGAAGATAATGACAATCTTTCTCCAATTCTGCAAACAGATGACCTTAAGAATAAAAAATTGATACGGTAGTCTGCAGATTTAGTTTTCATTATTGATAGCAGTATACAATGTCAAGAATACCTGTATGAACCAGTTAACGAAATTTTGAAATATAACTGAAATTAAGCGCTAAAACTGTGGCCATCCAAAACAGATTCCGAGACCACCTCCGCGATGTACAAAGAAATGACAAGGACGCATCCAAACCAGTCACTAGACACATTAATTCCACTCTCCCACCATAGTTATCGATATCGAATATTTGAGTGATTTGACGGTCAAACTTGTATAGCTTTGACAACAGACAGTTTAAGACTTGTACTTTTAATAGTTGATGTTAAAAGTTTTTGCTGATGACGGTAGTTCATGTAGACGACAAACCGGTGTTGCAAAAAAGGATCAAATTGAAATGACCTCGTTTCTAGGCAACATAGATCACCAAATGTTTTTATTTCTGAACAGTGGCAAAAAACACCAAACGTAAATGGAATCCCAATGTACACGAGCTGCGTTGTCAGCGGTCAACAACCAAACGTCTGGCTTAGAAGTAATCCTGTCACAATCCCAAGTGCAGTGATACAGGTTTACATTGCTATTCAATACCGCTCGAAGAACTGTACAATGTTGGATGGAGATGATTTCTGTAGAGAATATTTTGACCTTTACGTGCATCAGTCCTGGAATAAAGAGGTACCCGAACCTCCAGGAAACAATTCCACCTATTCAAAGATTGCTAAGATAACTGCACCGATCCCAGGTGTCTACGCAAGAGTAACAAAAATATCTAGTGTTTCAGTGAAAGGAAGGTACATCACGCTGGCTTTTCATAATCAGGGCTCTTGCAGCGTCATTTATTCTGTTGTTGTCAGTTATTTCTTTTGTCCAGAATTTACATCTGGTACTGGCTTGGTGTCCTTACCACGTTCCATGGCTCCAGCAAACAATTCAGAACCAGTAGAAGGTCGATGTGTCGTAAATGCTGTCCATTATCAAGGTGCTGTAATGTTAGACTGCCAAAGCGATGGCTTTTGGAACATCAGCTCACTTCAGGGAGGTTGTGTATGCAAGGAGAAGATGGAAAATGCAGGAGGAGAATGTAGAGGTATATTATGACCAAATTAAAATTCATTAGCAAAAGAAAAACAACGACAAGGCTTAAGTCACACATTCATAAATTAAGGCAAGCCTTAAGGCGAAACCCCGACCATTTCTTTTTCCACAAGTGCGATCATAGACATAAAGCACAATTGGATAAGGCCCGTACTTGGCATCCGAGTCTCTTGGGAAGATATCCACCGCGGAAAATGTTATTTTAGTGGTTTGATAAAAATCGTTTTGCAAGCAATTCTGATTTTGTCGAATAACCTCCACGTTCGTAATTTCCTTTTGTTCTAGATTGCCCAGAGAGAAAATACAACGATCAGAATGGTTTGAATTGCACAGGTGAGGAATTGGTCATGTCCATGCTCAGGCCAAGTATCAAATCTGCTTTTCAGTTTCCTTTTACTTGCAACACAAACGACGGAAGGACTCTCGCTTTTCCGTGAGCATTCATATATCACTGCAAAATGCAAATCATTTTTATCAGAACCGTATGCATTACGTTCTAAGGGATATCAGTTGATGGGTGAATGCATGGGTGAACGGTAGTTCGGTTCTGTAAAATACGCTTTAATTTTCAATACCTATAGTGATACCATCAACTCCGAGGGATGTCAAGGTTGCATTCGTAAACCAAAGTGGAGTTGAGATAACATGGCAGTCTCCATTAGAAACTGGTGATCAGACACACGTGATTTATGACGTCAACTGCCTCATACGAAAGATATGTAGTATTGATGACGTCGATCGCGACAACTGTCTTTACGAGAATTGTTCACGTGACGTAAGATACATTCCTAATAATAAAGGTTTGAAAATGAACCACGTGATAGTGATGGGGCTATCTTCATTTGTGAATTACACTTTTAAAATCCTCGCCAAGAATAGAGTAAGTGAAGTAGCCAAAAGAATTTATGGAGATGAAGGAAATTTTGCAACACTGAACATAATGATTGAAGGATTAGGTAAGTTGTAAAACTTTCACTTTGGACATGGTAATGAATTTAGCTTACACATTCCCTATACTCGTTTTTTTTTGCGACCCGAGGGGAAATGAACTCGAAGTATTCATGAATTCCCGAAGCTAGACGGGAATTACGATGGGCGACTCTTTCACAATGTATTGCTCACAAGGCATGCCCCTCTTAATACTCTATTCTTCAGATCATTCAAATATCTCTGTTCCATTCAGCGAACAAAAGATAAACAGGATAAATTAGTTTTCTGAGAAGAAAAAGTGTAAAGGACACCGGTAGAAATAAAATTGTGACGGTAGTGATATAAAAGTTGAAATAATAACAAGGGAATTGAAAAGTTAAGTCCCACCAAAGCAACCACTCATAGGTAATGCTCATCAAAGAACTTTTTTTCGTGTCTTACGCAGAGGTATCTTCAAGCACTGCAGCCCCACGAACTAAAGGTAAGTGAAGTAATTCCAGTCTAATCTGAAATTTTTTTATCTTATTAACCAGTTTCTTTGAATTCAACAGACACCTGTTTGTTAGCATTCCCTGTAATCCTTGTAGTGCGAGTTGTGCATATGATTGGTGCATTCTCAGTTGACAAAGGACTATCTGAATTGTGTGTCCACGATTTCTTCCGATTGTTGTAAACGTTAGAGCTTAGAGCTCAGCTCTAACGCCCATCATTCCTCTTAGTGAAAATATATCTCCAAAAACCAAATAACTGGCAACGTCACTTACTTTTCCTCTCCCGAGCCGTACCTCCTGTCCATTTGAAAGTAGCTAACAATGAAACTATCGGAAGGAACGATTATATAATTGACATTCATGGATAAAAACTTGGATTATATTCTTAAACGCGGTCTAAACCTTGCTTGAATGATCGGCCTCTAATTCAATCTACTTGCGACATGGAAACAGACGACTGAATCATAATCACTAAATTATTATTTTGAAAGACATTTTGGTAACTATGCTCTCACAGCAACTAACAACCTTCTTCCATCTTTTTGTAGTCTCATTTAAGACAGTTTCCGCAAAACTGGAAAAAGGTAGATTATTTACTTGAGCAAGAATAACTTTAAAACAACCAAATTTTTTTCAATTAGCGCTCTCAGAACCTTGAAACTTCCCCTGCGGTATCATCTATTTTCTGTCATATAGAGACCGGTCGCTGATCCCTAAAGTTTATCCGATAAGTAGTTTACAACTAGTTGTATTTGACTTTTAAGACACATTTCTCCTCTTTTGCACACAATCCAAAAAGAGAAATCCCTCACCTGAAGTAAAATAGTTCCTTTAAATGCTAAACTATAAATTAACTGTAACTGTAACTAATCAAACTGTGCATCTTATTTCAATTAGTAGACACCATGAATGTAATTTATCTGAACGTCATCTATGGATTTGTGGGGCTGATAGTTCTGATCATTTTATTTTTCTGCTACACCACTTTTGGAAGGTAAGGGTAGAAGTGATACAAACGCTGACAAGCTTTGAAAAGTTAGAAACGTGGGTGAAAAGGCTTTTCAACCCTGCGGCGAGAAATAAGGCAGATCATGTGAGAACTCCGACAAACGCGGAAGAGCAATGAACATTGCCTTTAGTAAAGTGGCGTGTTCATGCTGAAAAATACAAATTTCCAAGGAGTTTTAGTGAGAAAGAGGAAAAAAATACGTTTTTGTATTTTGTTAATCCTTATCTCTTCCCAGGTGGCGCCTCCGAAGACAAGAAAATGATGTGCAAATGACAGCCCATTCAGAGGGCAGAGAGTACGACGGTAAATGTTACACGTATCAAGTGACACGCATCTTATCTTGCCTAGAAATATTTTCATAACGATAATCATCAGGATGAAAAACACCAGTGATGATGAAAATGATAACCATCATAATAATAGTTATGATAACAATGATGGCACTGATGATGAAGCTAATTATAATGATGATGTTGATGATAACTTAAAAGCCGATCGCAGTTACAGTTACATCCGTAAAAATACATTTTTCTTAAAAATGGATTTACTTAGCAGGAACGATTTCATGGAAAAGGTGAGTGTTTCAGAGCTTCGGCTTATAGCTCCACCTTCTATGGGGTGCCCTATTATTGGTTCGGGGTGAAGGAGGCATTTGGGTCGATTAAATGGGCGATCCAAACTTCATAAATATTGAATGGTTTCACTCTGAAGAAAGTGAATTTATGTATTTTGGTCCTTAACTTTTTCCAAGCGGTACCAATGCTTCCTCTGGTTGTGGCTAAAGATCAAACCACAAATGAAATTTTGGATGGTTTTGAGCTCGACCGCGCACAACTAAAGCTCGTAAAATTGCTTGGAACCGGAAACTTTGGCCGAGTATCCAAGGCTATTTACGGGCCTTCCCAGATACAAGTGGCCGTAAAATCTCTGAAAGGTAGCGTTTCATAATCCTTTCCATATTTTTGTCATTGTAATCGAGTATAGGTGAAAGTAATACAGGGTAAAAGACATATAGAGATCACAGTTGTAAGATGATAATAGGCCTCTCTAATAGTGTCAAAAGTGGAATAACACCCATTTCCGGCTGAAAAACTTGACAGCGAGAAGACTGAATCGGAAATCTGCGGATTGGTTACTCTCGGTTGTCTCCTACGAGTGGCCTTCCCTGATATCAGTCATTCAAGGAACACTTACAATTCTTGATACATTTTACGCAACACATTGAACTCGTTACTTATTCTTAAAAAAAGATTCTTACCTTGCTTCCCGTTCAGAGCGTTTACAAAAAAACTTCAATCTGGTATATTGGTATTGTGGTGGATTAGCAAAACGGCTGTCTAGTTGATTGTACAGCAATCAATAAGATTTAATTGATTTACGTTATTAATATGTTAATCCAGCAATTGTCATTTTGTATCCATCAAATTCTTTAAGCATTATCTGCCTTGAGAGTCAGCAATTTAAAATGAAACGAACACGACTTGTTTGTAGGTTGCTTCACGCGCGCAAACACACCCGATATATAAGCAGTTGTTTAGCATGTTTTCGTTTTTAATGTGTCATAGACAATGCCGAAAAAGAGGACCTAGAAAGCATCATTATGGAGTTGGAAGTTATGAAATCTCTGAGGAATCATCCTCACGTCGTTGGTCTCATTGGTCATTGTATAGAGAAAGGTGCTTTGTTCATGTTTTCTTATCATATTTCGTTTTGTTGTTCGTTTCTTTTTTTGGTGTGTTGATCTTTCTCAAAGTTATTTTAGTCGTAGAATTTCTTTCTGTCCCCCTTTCTTCTCCCTTTCCATCTTCGTTCTTCTCCGTCTTTTAACTTTGACTTCTCTTTCTTGTACTTGTTTTTGTCGACTCTATACTTTGCATTCCGATGCAATTTTTTTAGTCGATAATCTTTCAAAGGTCGATGCCTCGTAATCTCCTTCTTTCGCCATCATGATTGATTGATCATCGTGCAATTTGAAAGAAGATTAGGACTACCAAACTTTGGAAGAATTTCAATGTAGTCAGCATTTCATCTTCAGTATTGTTACAAGTTTGTCGTCCTTAAACCAGTTTGCCCTCATAGCTTGGGAATCCTCTAATAACTACCAAACTACCACCACCACCGGCATCACCGTGGCTGCCGCCGCCACTACCACTTCCATTTTTCTCATCCCTCTCAACTTAAAGCGATCAGTTTACTTTCATAAATACAGATCCCGTGTTTATCGTTTTGGAGCATTTACCATACGGGGATTTGTTGGGATACCTGCGTAAGAGCAGAGGAATTGAAGACAATTATAACACAGGAGAAAAGGAACCAAGTTCAGCTCTTTCAGAAAAGGACCTCCTGTCTTTCGCGTGGATGATTGCTGATGGTATGGATTATTTAGCATCAATGAAGGTGAGAAATCTAGTGTCAAAGTCAATAACGTACTTATTTAGCCGTTGTAGACCACAAAACAGTCTCATGTTTCATTAGTGTGAGCTTAAATGTTTGGTTGCATATTCTCCATACTGTTCTCTTTACATTTCCTATTACATTAGAAAGAGGAATATGTTTCGTGATCAAGAAATTATTCATAAACTGGCAATAGTTTCCTTTCTTCTCATGACCTTAAAGTTTGATTCAGTGATGACAGTTACTAGTAGTGGATAAAGGGGTTACATCCTCAGAAAATGACATTATTTACTAGTTTTTCAAACTTAATATGGATGGAAACAGGGAATGGAAATCTAGTTACACCTTTTTTTATTCCAAATGTAGTTTTCAATCAATTACCCCCATTTCCTCTATTTATAAACATTCACATACCATTTTTCTCAAACTAAACGAGGTTATACCTGCCAGATATATCATACATTATACTGGGATTCTTTTTTTTTTCTTTGGAAATTTTTATTGCATACTTCGAAGTAGAGATCTAGGGAATGGAACGCTACATGGAATGGCTCAGACAATGGCTCATTCTTAAAACGAAATGCGAATCTTTCTACAGCTAGGCTCATTCAATATCATGACTTTTTCATTCGTCATGTACGATATATCTTCCCCTTTCTCTTTTATGTCGGCAGTACAAACTGTATAGCTCAACTAATAGAAAACAGCTGCAATTTCTATAGCCACTAAAAACCTTTTCTTTTTGTTGGAGGTTAAAAAACAAAAGGCAACTTTTTTTTGCTTTTTGAAGGTCGTCCATCGGGATTTAGCAGCTCGAAATGTGTTAGTTGGAGAAAACAGAGTGTGCAAAATTTCAGACTTCGGACTGGCACGTAGTTTGCAGGAAGATATCTACACGAGAAGGACTCAGGTTACTAAAATTACAAGTACTAAGATGCATGATGAAGGATACTGTGATTCTGCATGAAATGTTACCTTTGAAATTGACGTCCGTAAATATAAAAAGTACTGACGAACGAAAGTACCAACGTCTACATGAATGGCTCTAACAATTTGCTGATGAGTTGATTTCAATTTTCAGGCCCGACTTCCAATCAAATGGATGGCCCCGGAATCCATTTTCAATGCTGAGTCGACAACAAAGAGTGATGTGTTGGTTGATGCATTTATATGATGTATAAGTATAGTGTCAAGTTCAAAACGAAGTGTATAGAACACACATTCTTGATTCATGATTTTACTTCTTTAGCGGGCATCTTGTTGTTTGAGCTTTCTTTGAGGACTGTTTAAGCTTTAAGTCTGATTATAATTTCTTTATCTAGAATCAGCAATGATTGATGTCTTCTCCCTTAAACTGTCATTTAATTAAAAATTGTGTTTTGATTTCCTTTATACAGATGGTCATACGGCATTGTAATGTGGGAACTGTTTACCCTCGGTATGTTAATTTAATCAGAAAGAGATCGTTCTTTCACAGAAGAAAACGTCGCACATTGTAGAAAAAAGATAAAAAGCGTTGAAAAATAAAGAAACATACAAAAAAATAAAATATAACAAATCAATAATGTCTAGAAGGCAAAAAAAATATATTTTTGAACGAATTGAAGCGAGTGCAAAAACGGGAAATAAGGCTGGAGCAAGAGGCTATGGAATCAATGTTGCACCCGTTTGGCCTCCTGTGCCTTGCGAACACTGATATAGACTGCTTTGTAGCACTCTGTCTTCCTTTATGTTTAATACTGACGGTAATATTAAATAGATACTGCAAACAGATGGTGATAACCGATGTTCTATCCAACAGGGGGATCGCCATATCCTGGTGTTAGTGTCCGAAAACTCATTTCATTGTTGGAGGGTGCATACCGCATGCCAAAACCGAACCACGTCTCAGAGAAACTGTGAGTGAGATGTTTCGTTATAGTCGGAGCTATTCCGCAGTTCAATATTTTAAGTCTTAAATGTTAAAATCCCACTCCACCACGAGTGTTTAATCTCGAGAAAGATCTGGGGATGAATACAAAGCGAATTTCCTTTCAGCCCAGAGACGCTAAGCCTCAAGCAACAGATTTTAACGTGAACATACCACTTTGATTCACTTTTTGAATCATGATGCCCGCTGTCCACAATAGTGGTGGTAGTTCTAAGCTAGGGTGGCAAGTTTCCTCGGCCACTGAGCTGAATACTGTCGTGTAAGGCTCACTTCGCATTCATCATACTCTTATACATTTAGGTATGCCATAATGATGGAGTGTTGGAACGAACAGCCCCAAAATAGACCAACATTCAAGTGGATTCGTTATGCAGTCAAAAGACTTCAGGATGACCAGCAGGTTAGTTTGTTGCGGATTTTCGATTTTTTTAAAAATAGAGGAGAGCCTCGTTACACCGTGAACATCTATGGTCCAAAAACGATTTGTCCTTCTATTTTATAGCCTTAAGAGAAGATTCAGATAAATTTTCCTGAAAGAGGAAAATATGATTCTTGGAAACGAGATAGAAAGGAGACACTTCTCCATTGTTCCTTCGTACATGTATTATGACTGTCTGTCTTCTGATTGTCTATTGGGAGGAATAGATCAATTCAACCTTGTTTTTATACACAACTTATTTGGTCTCACGCGGATAACCATCGGCGACGAAACTATTAACACTACCGTTAATAGGTGTTATGTTTTTTATCCCTTATATCCTTACATTCACCTCCATCTCCCACTCCAGTTAAACTTCATTTCTAAATACTTCCTTAAGACTGGCTTCTTGGAGGTCAACTAATATGAGGCCTGTAATACCTGTACTTTATCGCTCAAAGTGATCCTAACACTTCATGAGAATGTTCTTCCCGAACACTGATCTTATCGACATCAATATCATTAATTTCTTTATTGAAGTATTTGGCGTAGTAAGTATTGGTTTCATTTTATTTGCAGGTCTACGTGAACTTAGAAGGCTATGACGACCAGGAATACTTAATTATAATGTAACAGAGAAAAAGGAAGTGCTTAAAATTTCAATGTGTAAGGCTTATGTTCAAACCACTTACTGCAAAAAATGTAAGGGGAACAATGACAAGGGTTTTAATATAGAATTTAAGAAAGTTAAAAATTATACCCAGGAAGAAAGATGAGAACAAAAAGAGCAAAGGAGAGATAATTTAATCTCAATAACAGAAATTTTCATCCAAAAACGTTTTGAAAGCTAATCTTTTGGGAAATTGTTGTTTAATTGGGTCGGGTTATAAAAAACTATACTTTTTTAATACAGTTGATACATAGCTCGTTCGTTTGAATTCCACCTTAGACCGTACCTCAGTAAACAATTTTAAACCTTTGTTCATCGCTGTAAAAAAGGTTGTGCTGGTATAATTTTGATAAATCTTGACTGTAACTAACGAGAACAGTTCAACCTGGCATTGCATCGATCGTTCAGTTGATCAGTTTTTTTTAAAACACAATTCCCAATAGCTAATAAATTGGAATAAAGCACACAGTCTCCTGATTATTGCGTTTTCAGATCCTACTCCGCTACAAATGTGTTATTCTGACTACACTCACACGGGGCATTACGTGTGAAAAGGTTAATTAGGATGAGTCAGTCAGTCTTCTAGCATACGCATCCTTATACAATCTTAACATGTGCACTCTGAAACTAGGGGTTTCACAAAAACGACTTGTAACCTCATCTAAAGCAGCAGCAAAATACCCTGAGGAAAGGGTAAACAAACCTGGTTGCTCTGCTAATCACAAAGATATTTTAAAGGGAGCTGGAATACCAAAATTACAGCAAATACAAAAAAGGATGATCTCTCAGATGCTTCTTTCGTTTTTTGGCATTACTGCTCAGTACTTAACTTTTCCTAGTAATCGTGAACGGAATACGTTTGTTGTTGTATTTACGGAAGCCACATTTCTTTAATGGTAATCTACTGGCTTTCGAAGTTGGAATGAAGATGACTCATCGTTACTCTGTGCCGGATCATAGATTTCAATTTGCACGTAACGGATGAGTATAAGCAACATTTATCGTTGAAAAGGGTTCAAACTTTCCATGTACAATCAGCATCTTGGGTGACTTCTGACTTCATTAGTCTTGACTTGATGTCTCCCGTCTACTTTACTTATCTGCTAGCAAACCTACTCTGCTTACATACACGGTGCTGATTTTGCTCATGCATCTAAAATGTTTGTATAAGATATTACTTATACTTCTAAAAATACTTATGCATAAAGTAATTTGTACAAAGAGGGAATTGTGAATAAAGTCTTTCACTAAAATTTTTTTCTTTCTATCAAGTTATTTTCGAATGTTCAACTGCGCCCCGAATTAGCTTTACGTATGAGTTGATGTACCAAAAGGGACATAAAGTTATCATTATCATCATTACTTACACGACCTGAGTATGAGCTCAACATTTCTATTCGAAATAGTGGATGAAGTCGAAGCTCGAATAAATAATCACCCATGCGCAGTAGTCTAGTCGACTATACCTATCAACTTTGTCTACTTTTGCGCTCAAACCTTTAAAAACTACTGTAGTTATTGTATTGTTAAGAATGACTTGTATCACTAATGGTATACTTTGACTGCCGTAATAATGGCCATCTCTACTGTATAAGATACTTTATTGAGAAAAAGTTTAGCTGACGAGTTCACATCACCTCATCCGTGTTTATTTAGGGTGTGGGGAAATTTCAAGATCTAATTATCTAATTTACCTTTTCAGATTGTGCAAAAGATAAATACAACGACCAGAATGGCCTTAAATACATAGGTGCAGAGAAAGACATGTTGAGATCCTAAATTTCGTAAATTTTTCCGTTGCAGAGTGTAATGCATGGAACAGATTTCGCGCTTGAGAGGCATCTGTCGAGTTGAATTTCATCGGTTAATTCTAAGTATGTAGCTCTCTTCAACTTTAGGCTGTAAGTGCAACATTAAAGTTATGAATATTTCGAAATTCCTTTTTACCTGAGATAGAGTTTTTTACATCTCCGAGATATTTGCCTCTAACATACTCATTTTGTAATACTATCACTTCTGTTGTATCATCAACTTTTAAACAACGCAACTCCGTATCGTAACCTTAATTACATATTACATATACCCTTTAAAATTGCTCACACAGACTAAAATGACAAACTCTTAATATAAATGTTAGGGAATAATACGTTATGGCCCATTTTATTGCGAGTTCCCTCAGGAAACTGAGGCACAAAATTAACAGCTTTTTCCTGAAAAAAAGATTTTAAAACATCTAATAAGAATGTGTGTGTTCAGTCATACCATCAGCCTCAGGTATTCTCCAAGTTATCTTCGTTAACCAAAGCGCATTGGAGTTAAAATGGCAGCTTCCTGCAATAACTGGCGATCACACCCACGTGTTTTATGACGTCGACTGCCGTAAGCCGTGTGAAGGTGAATACGACGACAAATGCGTGGATAAATCATGCGGGAGTGACGTCATTTTCATGCTAAGAAAGGACTGCTTGAGTTTCACTAACGTTACTGTTGAAAATCTATCTTCTTTGATAAGCTACACCGTGAAAATCTACGCCAGGAATCGAGTAAGAGATTTGGCGGAAAGGAAACATGGAATTGAGGGAAACCACGCGGAGATAACTGTAAGGACTAGCAAACCTTGGGCCTGTTTCTCGAAAGTCCCGGTAACTTAAAAGACCTGAAAAAGTGATTTTTGTTTGACGTGTTTAACGATAAAAATATAAGTAAAAGGAAAGGAAGGAACTTGTTTTGGCGCTAAAACATGGGCAAATCTTTTCCCTTGAATTCGATTTTCAAATATCATTTCAGGTAATTACTTTTTGTATTTTAATATTTTAATACTACTTTTTTGATTTTAAAATATTACTTCAAAACTCTTCGTGTTTTGATTAACGCGATAACCAAAAGGAGACAACGTATCACTTTCATTGTTGCGGCACAATTACTTTTGAGATGCATAAGATATCGCCCTCCCTTCAAGGCTCACTGAGCACAAAAATAAACTCGAAAAGTGACAAAATAAATCCCATTTTTCAGTGATTTCCACTCACATACTAAAGATTGCATTGGAGTTAGCCTACCAGTAGCCCATCATCAGAAACGCTCAATTCAGTTTTCTCTTCAGGTATTTGGTAGGGGTTCGGCTGGTGTGGAGACGTTTAAACAGCGAGGTTTATTTATACGTCGTTGATACGTACGCGTCTACCCTTAAGACTGACATAATGGAACTCTCATTTGAAGTGTTCCAGTTTAACAAGTTAGGTCCCATGACTGTTGTTACTTCAGCATAGAAACGAAATCAGCTAGGACATTATCAGATTAAGTATCCTTTACAAGACTACAGTGATACCAACGAAACCTGTTCTAAGGAAACACTACTATATGTAGGTTTTGTCGCAAGCCTTTCCTTAAAATGAGGGTGTCTGCATAGTCAAAAGTTAATGTAGACCTTGGAATAAACTAATAGGAACATTGATGGGTTAGGATGCTGAGGATTAACAAGTATTTCAAAAGGCAAAATTTTTCGTAGATCCTAGTCCAGGTTAATCAGCTTCATTGTGTTAAATGTAACACTCCTTCCTCAGAGTTTTATTCCACAGATTCCAAGGCGACAATGTATCTCAAAATTATCTATGGACTGGTTGGTTTGTTCGCACTTTGGATAGTGTCTTTCGCTAGTTACATCACATACAAAAGGTCAGTGTGGGAACTTTAATGAAACTCAAAACTAGGTGGAGCTACAAATATTAATGATTACCATCAGCTCAAGTGTCAAAAGCTCAGCAAGCATAGGGCACTGAGTTAGCATTGACTGAGATAATATTAACGAGTCTATTTTGTGACTTAAAATGTTCTTAATGCGTCGTTTCTCTCAGCTGTACCCAAATCATAACTTCTATGGTGGCATTAACGACATTTAAGATTTTGGCTATTTTTGTCAGATGGAACCACCGAGGAAATGTTCACCGTGAATTCACCAACGTTGTGGTGAATACGGGTAAGTTGCAATATCATGTCATTCATTTCTTTTACAGCAGTATTACCTCGTACGATTTGCTGACGTTGCGCTTCATGTGGAATTACCAACGTTTAACGTTAATTATCATAACTAACAATTCTAACAATCTTTACACAGACGTCGAAATGAGTTCTGTAGCTGAGCGGCAAAAAGTGGATCACTTAAGACTTGATCGAGATCAAATAACAACAGTAAAGGAGCTTGGGAATGGCAACTTTGGTCAAGTGTCCAAAGCAGTTTACAAACCTTTGATTTCCGAAGTGGCTGTCAAGTCTTTGAAAGGTGCCTATTTTACTTTCTTTACCACGTCTAACTTTTCAGTAACTGGCACTGAAATTTCTTCTCTTACCAAAGGGTAAAGGATATAAAGAGGTTTCCTTTCTAAAGCTCCTGTCGTTTGAATCTTCATTTATGTTTTAGGCAACGCTTCAAAGAAGGACTTGCAAGACTTGCTGACTGAATTGGATCTCATGAAAACCTTGATGCCTCATCCTCATGTTGTTAAATTCATTGGCTATTGTATTGAGAAAGGTACTGGAAATTATGATTGCTTTTTATTTTCTGCTTTTTTTGCTGAATGACTAATTCTCTATAAATGGAACGTCTAGCACATTGAATTGACTGATTCAGCACCGTTACACAATTCTAGACCCACATCTCCTAGTGTTGGAGTATTTACCATATGGTGATTTGTTGGGATATCTGCGCAAAAGCAGAGGAATTGAGGATCCTTATAACACAGGAGAAAAGAGACCAAGCTCAACGCTCACAGAAAAGGACCTCTTGTCCTTTGCGTGGATGATCGCTGATGGTATGAGCTATTTGTCATCAATGAAGATAAACTCTACCATACCACACCCACCAAATTTCATTACGCTTTAAGGTCATGTGTGACGTAAAAAGTAATATCTTATACAACAAACCTTTAGAATACAACTGTATTCTACAATTCTATGAGGAATGGTTATCAATGGATCATCTCTTGGTCTGCCATGTTTATTCTCGAGCTGAAACCAGCCAACCTCCTCACTTTTCATGATCACTGTTATGTCTACCCAAAACAAGTGATATTAAGTAAGATGAAAAAAGAATAGCAAGTAGAGCTTATATTAAAACGTCGGCGAATAACATGCTCATGCTTGTTTCAGATCGTTCATCGTGATTTAGCAGCTCGCAACGTGTTAGTTGGGGACGATAAAGTATGCAAGATTTTAGACTTTGGTTTAGCTCGTGGTTTGAAGGAAGATGTATACACGAGAAAAACACAGGTGACTACAACCCGAGGCTATCTCAATATAACTACAAAGCTTTGCGCCAATATTTAGAAATTTTTCCCTAGCCAATTTACTAAAAGTCATTTTTAACTCTCACTTTTCTTTTGCTCGAAATTTTAATCGAGTTTATGTGACGCGAACCCGAAGCTATCTTACAATACACAATAACTTCAAAGCGTTGCACCAAAACTAGTTTATCTTCCTATTTGACAATCAGCTACCTAATGCAATGTATATTTATTTTTAGTTTCCTTTCGTTTATATTTTATTCTAACTTTTCCTAATGATTAATTTTTTCAAGACTCGTCTGCCAGTTAAATGGATGCTCCCGGAATCTCTCTTCTATGGTTTATCTTCCACAGTGAGTGACATGTAAGTTGTTTACCTCTGTTACCTCTTAAATAACGTTAGCTCGGAACAGTCGGTACGCTAAGGAGATATAACTTTCGGAAAGGCTCAGGTTATTAGGTAGTCAGCGGTTCGTTTTCCTTTGTAAATGATTTTTGGAACAGAACTTGAAAGTTTCTCAGTTAAAAGCACCTTTTCTTTCGAGTCGTTTCGAGCGGGAAACCGAATGGTGCGCGTTCAGCTAATGGTATCAAAGAATCAAGTAATAATGTCTTTGATTGCCAAAGCTACCCTTGTAATAACGAAAAAAGGTTTCCATTGTATATATAATATTATTTTTACAGACTCATGCTAATAACAAAAAAGCATATAACGTAATTTTTTTCCTTCCGTCTGCTGTCTACAGATGGTCTTACGGCAGTGTGATTTGGGAGGTGTTTACTATTGGTATGTAGATTATTGTGAAGAACTCTAAAGCAGTTAATAATTAGAATCTTTATGCTTTCTTGCCTTCCAAATTTTCTTTCCAAGAGAATAGAATGGGTCTATGCCTTGGTAGCTAAATCTTAGATTCTTACATTATTACAGGTTTCACATTGTATAACCAGCAACAACATAGTTAACAATTTCAAAGGTTGACCAGAGTTTCTATCCTAAAACCTTTAACACGATTGAGATGCTATCTCCTCAGTCGCTATAATTTTGCGACTCCATAATGGTTACTATTCGAACAAGCAGGTAGAAACCAGGAGAGCTTTTGATTGGTCTGGTAAAAACCGGTCAGAATTTTCTTTAAAAAAAAAATATTAAGGTTGTTTTTCTTCATGTACAAAATCTAACTTTTCATGTACAAAATCTAACGAAAATAGAACAGAATTAGTGTCTATACTGCTTGTGCAGACTCGACTTTTGTTTCTCTGCGCGAGCTAAAGTTCCACTATTTGCAACGGTAACCAAATGTTTCATTCAAAATTTAGTACTTTGTTATGGTAGTTGAGGGTTGCAACAATAGTAAAGTGGCTTTCTTGTGTGTGTTGTTTGATAATTCCAGTAAAAAGGGTAATGAGAATCAATTTGTATGTGTAACTTCTCAAGAAGAAACCCATAAAAAGACATATCATAAGGGGATGAGTTTTCCGAATCGAAAAAGAGGGCCCAGGCCTTATATCAGAGCCAGTCGTAGTATGCGCTTAAAATAATAGCACTTCCATGGTTACTCTTTGTTAGCAAACTTATTATTCTTGTTGGACAACATTTTTCCTTACTAACTTTTGATCCCAAAATATTTGACTTTGGACTTGTAATTTAAAACTATAGAAGTGTTTGGGTATCCTGCACCAAAAAAAAGTGGGAGGGGAGGGTGGAAATGGCACGATTATTACATTTTGGGAAAGGAAACGAGAACAGTTGAAATAACTTTATATTTTGCACTCACATTATTCTGTTTTTCTCGATAATCTCATCTCAATGGATGAATCTTTTTTTCACCAAAAGTTCCGGATTGCAAAACTCTTTGAGCAGGAACTTAGTTGATGGACTGAGGATGAAACTTTAACACTAGGATGGATTTCATAGATTTGCCCGACAAAGAATTCTCCAACTTTTTATTCGAAACACGTCTCATCTATTTGATCTGTTCTATAGCCATACGTGAACTTGGAAGTCTACGACAGGGAAAGCTACATCAAATTCGATTGTTGACGGACTACGAGTGGTAAAAAATGTCGTATTTCCCCAAACAAGACTGGAGCGTGGAAGTCCAGCGAATTTTACGTTATTAAGAACTATTTTAATCCTTCATCTCCTTTGCTCCAAATGAGATAAGATATTGTTAAAGATCCTGTATTATGATCTTAGCACAGTGTTTCTGGAGATTTCGTAAGAAAATGAGGACCTTTTCTAGATATGAGTTTCCTTCTGAAAATCTGCTTGGTTAGATGCTTAATATAATAGCAAGCTATATTCATATCTCATTTTGAAAAACAAGAACAAGAACATACCGGATTCTATTTAATTTTAGTCCACTTTAAGTCTAAAATCCCTCAAGATTAAGTTTTCGGGAAAACTCTGTAAATAAATCCGTGTAATTTCGTATCTTGCGATATTTTATAGTTTTGAAAGCGGAAATTAGCGAGCTACTATGAAGCAGTCAAGTGGCACGCAATTATTGAACAAAGGAAATTTCGCTTCGAGAAATATCCTTCAGCAACCCTTTTAATTCCTATCTCCGCACTTAAGAGTAACAAGCTGGAAATAAGTAATTCCAGTGTTTGGAGATTCTAAAGAGTAAAGAAACCACGCGTATATAGTCGAATTTTGGGTTTTGTTCAGTGAAAGATCTCTATGAATTTTTGTTTGTTTTGTAACAATGATTTTGGAACGCTATATTTGATTCTTTATTGTCTTTATTCTACGTCACGCTTAAGCTTGGCAGGTTCCAACAAGGAGAATAAATACTGATCTTAGGCACAGTTAAAGACAACACTTAGTAGCTAAGTTTATTGTGAGATCAGTCATAATTTCTTATATGCTTTTCTGTGGCGGGGATAAAAATTACATGGTAGTTAAAAAGCTTGCCTTCATTTTCTTCGTCATGTCCTGCATTCCTGTAAATAGCTTTAGTAGAAATTAACGTCAATGATATCTGTTGTAAAATTCACGATCTGTTACAAGAGTGGAGGAAATATCACAGGGCTCTAGATGCCTTCCAAAGCCCTAAGGCTTCACAACGCCATAAGTATGTCACTTTGAGAATTCTTGGTGGTCATATGTGAAGCTTTTTTGCATATTAACCTTGGCAAACTTTTTCTTTCAATCGGTTCCTTTTTTTTCTAAGGAATTTTTTGGAAGAGATTTTAGTTCAGGTACGACACGAAATAAATTGAATTTGATGTTAATCAATGATACATCTGCAGTTTCCTTAGTATTTTACTTCATAAGTATACAAAGCACTACTATACGATTGTTACACTACGTACCCACAGCGTCTATATATTGGCGCAGACCGACGTTACCAATGGCGCAAGTCTTTCCAAACAAAGGCTAGCGTACGGAAGTCTAGTATCATTTGTTGGTTTTATCCAGCTCAGTTAGCTAGGGTTTGCGGGCTCTCAGTTCTGTTCCAGTCGGAGTAAGAGAGTCTTCAATTTGTAAATTGTAACCATTGTGCGGGTAGATACCTGTAAACACATTTAGCAGACATGCCACGTGTAACCGAGAGATAATGCTTTATGATAAAGTAAAGCTAGGCGGATTCTCAGAGTTTGCTTCCTCAATTTCATTCCATTTCGTCGGGGTACAAATGCCTCTGCATGTATGATAATTAGCTGATAATTGGGTGACTTTACCTCCTTAGTATTCATGTAGAAGTGAAATTAAAAAACTGCTTGCTGCCCAAGATGCGTAAGGGTTCGTTCTTTACTGGTGTGTTTTACCAGAAAGTACATTTCGTGTCATTCTTACGGAGGAAATCGTTTGATTAGCGAAAAAATGGACCCTCAAGTTTAGTTTGATATTGAGATTGTTTAAAAATTCCTAACATTGGTAATAAAAGCTTAAGCAAAAGCTTGTACTCCACATGGTGTAAAAAAAAGGTAAGTAAACTGATTGTTGCTTGCCAGTAGTTTAATTAATACATGTAAAAGCATGTTTAAACTATTTTTACCCCCTGGTTATTTTAAAAGGCTGCATTAAAGTTGCAACGAAGGTTTTGTATCATTCATTCGGTCTCTTCTTCAAAGAAATAGTATTGGATTGTCTTTGAAAGAGAGCGAAAAACGTCCAATATAAATTTTGCTAAATTTAGTACAATGGCCCAAGTTTCGGTAGACCGTTATTGTCGGCTGCAAGCTAAAACGTCAAACCTTGATTTCTCGCGCTCTCTAATACATTTGTACCTTTCACTAGACTCCTGGTCTTGCTTTAATAAGGAAGTTTTTTGTATCATAATTTGAAGAAAACAATTACTTTAATATCAGTTTATCTGTTTTCATCTTTCAATTATCCTTGTAATCGTAGGAATTTTATCAGTTTTAGTCATGGGGCCTCCTTTAAACTCAATCTCATTCCTGTTTTTGGGATATTAATTCGAATAACAGCTTGTGATGAACAAACAAATAAAATCTATCGGCTGACACGAGATATTTAACATCAAAATTTTGCTGCTAACGAAGAAACATAGCCAAACTGACGAAAACATGTCTTTGATATTTGGGAAAGCTGACCTAACCTATTCTACGTGAAATATAAAATGAAATATGCAATGTTATCGCAACGCCATGTAACCATTCAACATAGGACAAAAAGGGATGTAAATCTGTGCCACATTAGTATGTCTTGAATGATTATGGAGTTTTCGCTGGTGTAAAAAATCTAAAATAAAATGCGTCAATATAGACCTCTTTTCATGGGAAACCACCAAAGTTTTACTAATAAGCAAAGAATACTTTAGCACATTTTTTTGCCATATATATATCATAACTACCTGGAATGCAAATGTATATGACAGCATTTATAATTGATCGAGCATGATACTTTTCCCATTCAAAAGGCTCTTCAGTAGGTTTATTAAAGCGGAAGTATTAGTGATAGCAGTCTATTTCGTCAAAGTTCAAAACACGGAGCTGAGTTAAAGCTGTCACGCCATCGGCAAAAAAGCATCTCGAAATCCAACTTCCACGCCGACCGAAACGAACGCCTCAAACAACAATATGGTGTTGATGATTTAGTTCTATTCATTAGCTAAGTGTTAAGTATCGATGCATTACTCAATATTCGGTTGTGGCTCAAAGAGAAAAACAGTTTAGGTCGATAAAGAAAACAAGTTTTCACTGGTCAGGGAGCATCCGAGTGAGAGAAAGTTAAACTGGGGGGCCTTCGCATTTCTCTTTTTCTGCTTCAACCCTTGAGTAAATTGTTAAAACTTTTTTTTCAACAGTTCATGGCGTGACACATGCAAAATGGATCACCGGTTGACTGCAATGCTCACTCTCCCCATGATTGTAACCTTTTCATCAGCGGATCAAGGTACGGTATAATTGCTTGTGACATTAAGTAATGAGGTAAATCAATTTGCGTAGATTTTTTTACGGAAGCATGTTTAAGAGCCGATAGGTTAAAGCATACTACGAAATTTACCAATATTTACATATACAAGAAACAAAAAATAAAATAATAATGATAATAAGATTTAAAGTCACTTAAAGACTTATGTGCAATTCATTTATTTCTTTAAAAGATATTATTTATCTAAAGTACTACTTGTTATTTCACATCATCGATTCTTCATCACAATAATTTGGGATATGAGCTAATTATGGTTGGCATGCAGTTTTTCAGTTTTTTTCACTGAGAAGTACTTTTTATGAGTGCATTATTGACCTGATTTTGACGTTTGTTCTCCAAAGTCATTTTAGAAAAACAGCCAACACCATCTGAGAACTGGATCTGGGAAACATCGACGGCGCGAATAGGTGGACTTATTGGGGTAAGCACTTATATTTCAACTAATTTTTGTGAAAAGCTCCTTAAAGGTCACTAAGTTTTGAGAGCAAGAGATGATCAGACAGTATTTAATTGGCTGGCTAAGTTCAAATTTCCAGGGCACCTCCTTCAAGCATTTCTAAATTACGCCCCTTTTTCCGCTAACTGCTTATAATGCTAAAGCTAATCTATCCTTCAAGATTGAATTAATTCTTTGAAAATAGACAAGAATTTTTTCATGAAGGTTTTCTCCTTTGAAATGGTTCGTTTAGCTATAGGTTTACTTCATGAAGCTGGAAGTTAAAACATGGAATGTTCACAATTAAAACCCCCAAACACTGTGCTATAATAAATGAAATCTAGTGTACTTCGGTTACAATCGAAAACAGCTCTTTCCTTACTGGATAGAACCTAATAACCTCCTGATATATTATTTTAACTGATTAATAGTGGGTAAAGCAGACATATTATTCAACCTGTGATATTTCTCTGGTTGGACACTCACAACCAAACAACTGGCTTCGAAGTGATCCTATTAAGGTCCACAGTGGAGTGAAAGCAGTCCACATTACCATTGAGTACCGAACGTTAAAGTGTTCATCCTATCCTGACAATGGAGGGAAGTATTGCAAAGAGTACCTCGACTTATACGTACATCAATCCGGGCAATCAACGGAACCCCACCCTCTAACAAACAATGCTTCCTATGACAAGATTGCTAAAACAGCTCCGTCAGCTCTTGGTATCAGAGTGTCTCAAACGTTTAGTATAAATGTTAGAGGAAAGTACATCGTATTGGCTTTTCATGACCAGGGTTCATGTACTGTCGTTTTCTCTGTCGCTGTTAAATATTACTTCTGCCCAGAGACAGTTCATGATGGTGGTTTGGTGTACTTACCACGTACAATTGCTCCAGCAAATAACTCAGAGCCGGTTGTAAGTAATTGTACTAACAATGCCGTCCACGAGCAAGGTATTTTAAAGGTGAACTGCCAAAGCGATGGGGTCTGGAACTTGAGTTCACTGAACGGAAGATGTATATGCATGGAGGATATGGAGAATACGAGGGGGGAATGCAAAGGTATATATAACTACAGTAACATAGAAGTGCAGTGGTAAACCATTCTTTAGAACTAAAACCCTTTCAGGGTGGCAACATGATTAGAAAAATAGATGATTCATTTTAGCTCGGTAATAAAATAGAGTATCAAGAGTAAAAATCAGCGAAAGTCCATTGAAATTACGTTTCAGTGATTCATTATCATTTTCAGATTATAAAAGTCAGATTCCGATGAGTTCTTTAGATACTAAAAAAGCGCGTAAAAGTCTCGTTGCATGTGATCAAAAACTCTACAATGTGGAAAATAGAGAGTATTAATAAAGTACCGAATATTTTTGCATTAATTGAGTCAGATTGAGTGTTCATTTTAGGGTTTTTTTTTATGAAGAGCATTTCGTAAATAGGCATTCAAATTTCCCACGACATGTCTTACGGATTGTAAAATGTTCGTGTAGATCTTTGTTCCTCTGACTGTGGGCGTCACACAGGTGTTTTCCAGCAGCCAAGAGCTTCTGTCTTATATATATATATATATATATATATATATATATATATATATATATATATATATATATATATATATATATATGAAGGAAACATGTGAGATGGCTTATTTAATCGGGTGGTCGCTTAATTTACATGGTCTTTTTTCCTTCAAAATAATAAAGAAAATAGACAGTTAAAAATAATTCATACAATATGATTCCTGAATAAATATAGTTTGTATTCCTCTTATTACATATCCTAATTCAGTTATACCGTCAGCCCCCAAAAATGTCCGAGTTATCTTCGTTAACCAAAGCGCGTTGAAGTTACAATGGCAGCCTCCTGTAGAGACCGGAAATCAGACCCACGTGTTTTATGACATTGACTGCCGAATGCCGTGTGAAGACAAAGACGAGGACAAGTGCGCGAGTAAAGTTTGCGGAAGTGACGTCATTTTTACGCCAAAAAAAGAAAGGCTTGAACGTTTCCCACGTTATTGTTGGAAATCTATCTTCATTTGAACTCTACACTATGAAAATATTCGCTAAGAACAGAGTAAGCGAATTAGCGAGAAGAAAATATGGAATTGAAGGAAACCTTACGGAAATAACTGTAAGGACTAACAGATCAGGTGAGTTTGAGGATGTGAATAGAATATCGCAAAAATTCCTATCGATGTGCTTATCTCTCTCACACTGAGCATGGGCCAAGTCACATAAAATTTACGCCATAGCACTTCTTTTCCAAAAATTTTGATTTAAAACTTGATCCCCGGAAATAAGCTCGTTCCATTTTTATGACAATAAGTTTCCGCAAAAATAAGTAACAATAAAGTAGATGACCCATGTTCGTGACTGTGTATTCATCTCTGTTGAAAAACTAGTTCCAGGGAAACCAGAAGTGTTTGTTGAACAACCGGAAACGGCTGTTGTTGTATCTTGGAGAATTAACGACATGAACGGTGTCCTTAAAGAGTACCACGTGAAAAACTTCTAAAAGAAACTTCAGGGAATAAAGGCATGAAGAGAAAAGTTATATCATGAAATTGAGTAATGGAAAGTATTTGTTTAAAATTCTGTTAATTTTACTTCGCAAAACAAGAGAATTAAGTTTGGATGCAGATGGTTATCGTCGAATTAGTCAGTACTATTAAAGGTTTTAAAAATGAAATAAAAGAAGATTGTCTGAAGAAACTGAAAATCAACGTTGTTCATCATCTAAGCCTGAAAGCTCTAATTTAAAACTCCAAATAAATTTATGTTGCCTGAAGGCTAAACACTATATTTGGATATCTCCATCGAAAGAACTTTATCTAACTCGAAACAACTTCTTGATTCATCTAAATTATACATTACTAAGAAAACAGGACACCGAGGAATACAAAAAAATGGAAGCCTTTTGTATCCTTGCTGGATCAGGTCTCCTAAGCCCTTTACTCCAAAAGCAGTCGTTTTCTTATATGTAAAACATACATTAAAATAGTATACTTTGTGTAGAATTCCTTTTCATCCTAAATAAAGAACGAAAGAACAAAAGAAAAGAATTAATTTTAAAAATAACGAATTTGAAGAAATACCAAATGTAACTTGTAGCCAATTTTTAGAAATAATTTAGTGCAATTAGCCCCTGTGTTAGTATTATGATGTAAATAGTGTTAGTGCTTTTTATGTGACAGAAATGTAAGTAAAGTATCGTTGTAATTAGTGCAACTATTGTAACGTAAGTATTGCCTCTTTTGTAACTCCTTGAGTAGGTTTTTGTTTGTGATGTTTTTCCTGGTTTTTTTTTGTTTTTTGTTTTGTTTTTGTTGCGATTTTTCTTTTGTAATAAAATAAAATTTAAATTAAAAAAAAAGTTAAAAAAAAACTGTTGTTCTTCTTTTAGACCTAATAGTGTTTTGATGCAGTTACGATACTCCTCTGTTGTTTTGTGGTTTTAATTGGACGAGATTTTGCACTCCACAGTTTGATAACACTCGAAGTAGCCGTTTTTTTTTTTTTTTCTCTTGAGGAAGAAATCTCTCAGCCTTTTGATTCTTCCCCTCAGGTATTTGCTATAAATGACCTTGGTAGGGGTCCTGCTGGTGTGAAGACATTCACACTTAGAGAAGGTTAGTTTGTATATCGCTGATTTGCCAATCTACCTCTAAGACTGATATAATTGCTGGGCAACAGTGACACCGACCAAACCTAAGCGAAGACCACTATGAGAAGGCTTTGCCGCGAGGCTATTTTTTCTGAGTGCCTGCGTAAACAAACGTTAATATAGACTTTAGAATAATAAACTAACTGGACCACTGATGAGTCAGGATGACGAGGATAACCAAGTATATTTAAAGAAAAAATTTTCATATAAGGCATAACCAAAAAGTAGTTTCTAGTCTGATTTACTCAGCTTTACTGTAATAAACGAAGCATTTCTCCCCTTCACCCGACAGAACCCAATGTTGCCATGTATCTCAAAATCATCTATGGCTTGGTTGGTTCATTGGTATTTTGCATTGTGCCTTTCGCTGGTTACATAATGTACAACAGGTAAGTGTGGGAACACTTTTGAAACTAAACACGAGGTTACTATTCCTGTATAGTACCACTCTTGGCAGGATTTCAAGGACCACCATAGGCTAAAGGGATGTTAAAAAAGTTCAACAAGCATCAGTAGACTGAGTATTGAAAGTGGTAGTACTGACGCGTCTATATTGTGGCTTAAAAGGTTTTTGATGCTTTGTTTCTTATATATGCTCACAAAGAATTTAATTTGATGCTATTTTTTGTCAGATGGAACCGTCGAAGAAATGCAAACTCTGAGGAGATTCCTAAAACAACAGAACCCAGCGTTATGGTTTTTAAGGGTAACTTGCAATGTCATTTTACGAGAAAGTATCGGGACTTGGTCATTTAGAGTTTTTAAAGGTCGTGAAACTTTTCAGTTTTGAACTGTGCGTCATTTGCTGACGTGTCAATTTATATGAAATTGTCGGCGTGTTTAATGCAAATGTCGTTTGTTCCATTCAATCTGCTTCGATAGCAGCCGATAGTAGCAGATAGTAAAGATAAAGTTACACTCAGAGAAAAAAAAACAAATAAAACTATGGAAAAATTGTAAACAGTATGGAAGTCTCTACATTGCTATTACTCTATTTTTTGCGTATGTAACTCGAGCACATTAGCGACTAAGCAGCTTCTGTGGGGACTACAGATTTAATTACCGTCCTAATTATTTTTTTTGATGTTACTATCGTTAATTGTTCTCACCAACAACTTTACATAGACGTCGCAATGAGTTCTGTTGCTGAGCGGCAAAAAGTGGATGACTTTAGACTTGATCGTGATCAAATAATAACAGTAAAGGTACTCGGGAGTGGCAACTTTGGTCAAGTGTCCAAGGCAGTTTACAAACCTTTAAACTTTGAAGTGGCTGTTAAGTCTTTGAAAGGTACCCTTAATTTTTCTAACACATTGTTATATTGCCACATGAAAGGCGACAAAATCTCTTGAATTCAAGTCTGACTCTCTTCTATCATATCTTTCAATTCTCTCTTAGAACCGAGGAAAAAGGCTATTATAATATTAGGTTAAGAGTAGAACGCCGTTTCCTTACAAACTCACAGTAATTGTTGGCATTTTAATCTTGACCAATTTTCAAGGCAATGCGAAAAAGAAGGACTTACAAGACATGCTGACTGAATTAGATCTCATGAAAACCTTGAGGCCTCATCCCCATCTTGTTGACCTCATTGGCTGTTGTATTGAAAAAGGTACTGGAAATTTTGATTGTAACCTGATTGATTGTAATTTCTGATTTCTTGCTGACAGACTAATTTAATGATTCTTTGAAAGACCATCTCATTAAAACGACTGATTCAGCACCGTTACATATTTCTAGATCCACTTCTCATAGTGTTGGAGTATTTACCAAACGGGGATTTGTTGGGATATCTGCGTAAGAGCAGAGGGATCGAAGATGCTTATGACACAGGAGAAAATAGGCCAAGCTCAACCCTTACAGAAAATGACCTCTTGTCCTTTGCGTGGATGATCGCTGATGGTATGAGCTATTTGTCAACAATGAAGGTAAACCAGACCACAGTTATTCTGTTTAAGCATCTAAAATCTTTAAGGTCATATGTGACATGGGAGTAGTGTGCTATGCAACAAACATTTACAATGCAACTTTTTGATATTGTTCTATGACGAATGGTTTTGAGTCGCCTCTTGGTCTAACTTGCTTTCTGAGCAAGGTGAAGAAGTGCTCTCTGAAAATATCTCAAGGTATCAAGCTTGTTTTACTGTGCTGTTTCAGATTGTTCATCGTGATTTAGCAGCTCGTAATGTGTTAGTTGGGGACAACAAAGTATGTAAGATTTCAGACTTTGGTTTAGCGCGTGGTTTGGAGGGAGATATATACACGAGAAAAACTCAGGTGATTAACGTAAATATCTTTAGATAACTACAAAGTTTTAAGTCAACGATCGTTATTTTTACACTTAGTAACTAACGAAAACGTTGCTTGTAATTTTCAGTTGTCTTTTGCTTGAAATCATATTCAAGCTTTATGTGATTATTCTTCTCAAGGCTCGTCTTCCAGTCAGGTGGATGCCTCCAGAATCCATTTTTTATGGCACATCTACCACTATCACAGGACGAAATTGCAAGAATCCGTAAACGGAAACGTGGCAGAAACATGTTAAACCGTTCCGGAAACACGACGGATAACCTGTGTTTCCGTTACCGGTTTCGTGACGTTTTCTCGCGTTTCCGTTGCTGCGTATACAACGGCTGTGTATGAGCGACATGTAGGTTTTTAAATTTAACATTTCAAGTTATTACCATTGGAAACTTAGGAACTATGCGTTCAGCCAGTAGAAATATGGTCCAAATACTAATACTTCAAAACTGCCTAATTAATTATGAAAAAATGCTCTCTAACCAGTTTTCAATTGTTTGTCGAGAGTTACCAGGTATAACTTTGGTTTTATTTCCTTTGAGCTTGATCACAGAAGAGACACGCCACTTTATAAACAGAAGGATTTAAAATCAAAACAAATCGCGACTTGTTATCTCGCGTTTTTCTACGCTTCACGTAGTTTTAAATTCTCATGGCTTTAAGTTCTCCTGCCTCCATGATATTTTCTTTTGCACTGATTGGCTGCTCTGATTAGTTTGTTTTTTTATTTTACGACCGTCAATGAAAACTACTCTTAGACAAAAGTAAAAAAGGCCATTGATAAAAATTGCTACTGCATTTCTGTCTTAAACAGATGGTCATACGGCATGGTGATGTGGGAGGTCTTTACCATTGGTATGTGGATATTTGTGAAGAAGAACTCTAAGGCTACCTAAAAACAAGAAACGCACCACCTTGTCTCACACCTATCAAAACATATAATCACTACTGACATAACGACGGATTTTTTTTATCAGGGTTTTCATGTAATTGGTCGAGACGTGTAGAACTCTCTGAGACTTTTTAAGATGATTGGGGCATTATCGCCCCAGTGGGCTCCATATATAATTGTCGGGATTGCCCTAGAAAGTAAATAGGTGCAATGTCATAAAACATAAATGTCTTTACTATAGAACTAATTATGAGGGAAAGTGAGAATCATCAAGATCAGTTGATTCCATTGGCTTGATCGCCTGAGGAAGGTTCGATAAGTGTGTTAAAACTCATAAGTAGTGAAGTTTTGTGGTTTTGCGAAAATGACCATGTGGAAACCAGGGAGCCTCGCAGACAATATTATATGAAAAAGAACTATTTAGGGCATTTGCTTCCCTGTTGCATTAACTAGAACGTAAATTTTTCAGCCAGAGAAGGACTCTACTGGCTTTGCTGATCGGGGCCACTGATGGTACAGTGTATTTGTACTTCAGCAGTTAGTCTCTTATATTTTCAGGTGGCTCACCATATCCCGGAGTAAAATCTAGAGAGATAGCTGGCTTACTGGAGACAGGATACCGCATGCTTAGGCCACCTTATATCTCACAAGAACTGTGAGTGGTTTAAGAGCTCTTTCATTACATCATTTAAAATTAGTATTTTGACAAATGTCACTCATAATAACTACATTTTTCACTGTTCACCTTTAAACCACAATGAAAAAGACAAACCGTGAATTGGAAGAAAAAAATGAAGTAAGAAAATTATGAATGTGATGCTTCTTTCAGGTATTCCATTATGGCCAAATGTTGGGAAGAGCAACCTGAAAGAAGACCAACATTTCTGTGGCTCTGCTCGGCGGTCAAACGATTATTGGATGATTATCAGGTTTGTCTGTTGGTCGTCCTTTAACTTATCCTATTTTGCTTTTTTTCTTTGTTTGTGGTATGAACTCCTCAAATTAGAAGAGTTTGAAAAATGAGAAATTTTCTATTTGAGAATTGTTTAGGCCTGCTATAGATATCTTACAATCCTTATACAAGTCTTGCGAGCCTTGGTTTTTTATGTTTAACAAGACCACACATATATTTTTACCTTTTGAGTGATGTGTCCTTAACCGTTGTAAAAGGGCGCAATTCTTGTACGATAATCGTCGTTGCTAGTTGTGCTTGGATCTGTCAGTGACCTTGCTTACAACAATCAACGGAAAGTTTTGGTTAGGTTTTAGTTCTCGAAGATTGAATGTTTTCAAGTACTTTGTTGTTAATGTCGAACGTCTTGTGAAATGTTTTTGATTGGCGTTCTGAAAATATGTTTACTCTGCCAAGATCAGTTGTCCCGTAAGACCAAACATGCCCACCAATAGCATATTTAAGAGCATGTACTAAGGGCTGAATAAGGGAGAGACACAGGGAGAAACAGAGGCTCGGAGAGTGGACAAAGGTTCCTAATCAGACTCTTGGTGCCCACGTTTGCACGAGGTGCTCAAGCCAGCCGACCCAACAGTCCAAAATGTATATTCTGCTTAGAATTGTTTCTGGTTTCATCTTTGTTTGAGGACATCCTTCTTTACAAACTTTCGTTCCAGCAACATCTACTTTGGACTAACAGTTTGCAACCATAGAAGTTTAAGGGTATTTTGGGATATAAAAAAAAGTGGAAGGGGAGGGCGAAAATAGAATAAATTTTTGCATCATTGGGAAATGATACAAGCTCAATCTGATAGTTCTGTTTTTTTTTTTTCGCTTTTTTGTTTTTTGTTTTTTTTGGCTTTCTTTTTATAATCTCATCTCAGCGAGCTCGCCTTTTTCAAATGATGGCTGAAACATGCTGTTACTACAACAGCCTTCGACAGACGCAGAATTGACGAAAAAATTACTCAACAAGCAAGATATATACAAAGCGGGAAATACAACCTAACATACGAAAAAAAGAAGCGGACAATACGATACCAATTTTACAAAAAAAGCCACAAAAAAGGGAGAACAAAACTAAGCCAAACACGAAAAGCACGAAAAAAGATTATCCTGGCGCCTACACGTCTCATCTATCTTACTTTTTTGCTAGAAAAATGTGAACTTGGAAGTCTACGAAGGCGATAACTATATACACCTTGATGTGACGAAGAACAAAGAGTGATGAAAGATGTCCAATTTTTTCCATAAAGACGGGAACGTGGACGTCCACGTTTGAATTAGTTTCATCCTTCCTCTTCAATGTGGCAAATCAGATAAAATAAAATACTGTTAAAAATACGATATCATAAACTTAACACAGTTTTCCTCGAGATTTCTCATATACCGCAAACCTTATTTAAGGTTCTAAATCAGTATAATAGGTAACCAGACGCATATTTGCGTTCACTCGGGCTTTCCGTCAGAAAAAACCTTTCTTTTCGTGCCTGCATTTGCCCAAGTTTTTTATGCAATTAATGGTTTATACTGTAACTATTTTCTGTCTTGGTATGCCAGAGATGCAGGTTTCTGACATTTGTATACAGGGAGCTGAAATCAGCATTTGTTATGTAGTGTGAAGATCCTAATCTTGGGTGGAGAGAGGTAGCGCGATATATTATTGTGAATTATTTCAATCGTTACTTATTACTTATTATAAGACACTATTTCCAGTTTTTATTTTAAGTTTTGACTTGATTAAAATTTGTTTTGTGGATTAAAGAGTTGCAGGTTATGTTTTCTTCATCTTAGTTAACAAAAGATTCCAGGCTGAGATAGCTTTTCATTATAAACAGCCCCAAGCGCTAAGGTTAAGACGCTTAACTCATGTAAGAAAACCAATTGCTTAGTTTTCTTATCACCAAAAGAAAACAAAAAGTCACTTCCAAAGCTTATTGGCAGGTGAACTATTAATTTTATGGGGTTGTTAGAGTGGTTTTCATGAACCTGTGAAATATACTTTGACATATTTTGTACTATTACCCTTCTATTTGTTTGCTTCCACTTGGAGTTACAAGGCTGAAATACTTTAGTCAATTCATTTTGGTAGCTTCGTTAGAGTGATTTCATTAACCCTGCATGGTGAGTACTAATTATCTGTTAGTGTTTAGAATGATTTTCATTCTCCTGAAAGAATAGGGTAACTAATAGTTAGCGGTGTACTGTGAATCTTTTGTTTTCTTTCGTTCTTTATCAACTACTACAAACTAAATAGTCATTTTTTAATTTCATGGGCAAATAAAAAAATACTCTAAAACATGCCAAGAAACAAAAGTTGACAAAGCATTTGGCATCCAATAGCTTTTATGTGACTCACAAGCAGTACCCAGGCCTATTGAAATCACTTTAATCAAACAACCATTTTCATTTGCCCTTGAATAACCAGTTAGTTTGAAGCAGTTGAGACTGAACAAAAAATTCAGGGTCTAATAATTACAATAATTGCAAATTTTCACTTAGAGGACCAGGATTTTTTTCTACTTTTTTTAATCAATGTCTGATCTAGAGTGCGCCATTGCGGGATTGCCGCGGTTTGAGAAAATATGTCCCCTTCAAAATATGTCTCATCTAAATACCTGTTCTGGGTCATTTAGGCGCACTTTAAATTGTGTTTCAAAACGAAAAAAACAAGGAAATGTCATTTATCTTGGTACAAAATTTTCTTAAAACAATATTTTGGTTTAAATTTCAGAATATTAATTAAAAGTAAAGCAAGGACCAAAATCCAGGGAATATGATTGTATTGTATCGAACTTTGTCCCTAATCTGGATTGGTCTCATAAGGATCCACAAAAGAACAAGCAGCTCACATTATATTCCATTTTCAAGATGAAAGTTGAAAAACTGAATTGAAGCAAGTAATATTCGGTTCAGATTTGATACTCTCCTGTTAATTAACTTATTTTACTTTTCCTCTAGACGACGACTGTATGTTCAATTCACTCTAAAACGTTGCATTTGTTGATAACATAACACCCAGTACATTAGATTAAAAAAATATATAGTGACCCCCAAAAAAACCAAATGTCCCTCTGAAAATTGTTAACCGCCTGGGACAAACTCCTCCCCTTGCTGGAAATCCTAAATCAGACACTGCTTAATTTATAGTTGCAATAATATGCTACATGAGCCTCACTCTTGCAAGAGCACATCAGTTTGTTAAAAGAAAACAATGTTAAATATTGACCGGCAAGATATTTTATCTTTCTTATACTTTGACGAATTATTTCTCGACAGTTAAACTTACCTTCGTTTTATTTAATAATTTTTAAACATATACATAACAGCACAATGTGGATGACATGGGTATACATGAAAAACTACATGCATAGACAAATTCTCTAACCTTTCTGCTATTGCTCCTTAAACTCTTTTCAAACTTCGCATCGATATTCTGCTTGCCAAGCAGAATATTAGAAAATCAGTGAACCGGGTTCACGATCACGTCTACATACGCCATGATTTGCGTTTATAGCATGTTTCTCGATGAAAGGTTCATTCATAAATGTTCCCTCGTAAGGAGATCTCTCATAAGGTTCGCGGACCTACCAGTTCCAAAAACGCGTGACATCTTTTAGTGTGGGTCTACCTCTAACGCTGTGTGCATATTTTGTATGCCTTTTGAGCGTATTGTACACAGTATCTGTTTGATTTTGCAACGCAAAAACTTCTCTTCTTCCGCCATTATACCATGCCATGTACTCATCAGTCAAAACGTCGTAAGGGTCAAATGGTTCCACTTCCACTTCGAGGCTAATGCATGTAAAATTGCTTGGAACGAACTTACTAAAAAGTTCGTAATTTTTGGACAGGGTCGGAGATGAAGTCGCTAAAACCCGCAGAATACAGTCATGACTAAGAAAACATAAACGAATCTCGGGGGTTTATAGTGCTACAAAAATGGTTGGCTTTCTTTCTCGTCTCTCGAAATAAACAGGTAATTCTTGATTCTAAATAAAGCGAAATATTTTGGCAATATATGAAATCCTTTATTGACCAAGCGTTCGGTCAAGATGGCAGTATATTCGTCTCGTTCTATTTTTGCCCAATATCCTGACCTCACACTCAGTCAATAACTCATATGTACCACTCACAAACCGACGGGTTTCCTTTATAGCGTATCTAAATAAGTGGCCGATAGAATGAAAAAATGGAGTGACTGGACAATAGCAAGGCCGGCACCTAGTGGACCCGTTGGTGTACCCTCCTTCCGTACAATAATCCTCTAGTTAAGATTGCAAACCATATGTTATTGTTCTAGTTGCCTTCTCAACAATCCATGTTGGAACGGGAGTTTGCCACCCAGAAAAATGTTTCTATTTTAAGACTTACTGTATCAGACCCAAGATTCTGAAACTGGAAAACTACTTGAAAAATACATATTAGATTTATACGCACATATCATTTGCCGGCTGGAAGGTGTATAATGTGAAAAATTTTGATATTGTAAATTTTTTTCCTAAATCAATTTTGTACATGGACGCAAATGTTTCAATGAATCGGTTATACTTGACTTCCCATCAAAAAGCCCTTCATTATATGTATTCGGAAACCGGTCGGTTTTTGAGCAGTACATATGAGTTATTTTTTCATAATTTTATTAAATGGAGCACTTTAAAATGATTTTTAGTTTTCTTTATTTTACTTTAAAGATCAGCCATCAAGTATGCAAATGCCGCGATAGGAAAATGACGACTATCTCGGAAATACATTTGGATTTGGATCTACACACTGATTTGTGATTAAAAACATCAATACATCAATTGTTGTCATGATTTAAGAAGTCGTTGGAGTTAAAGGAGTGCATATCGTTCTGGCTTTCCATAACCAGGGTTCATGTAACTTCATTTAATCTGTCACTGTCAGTTATCCTGTATGCCCAGAATTTACTGTTGTTAGTGGCTTGGTGTCCTTACCACGCTCCATAGCTCCCCCTAACAACTCGGTGCTAGTTCAAGGAAGTCGTGCTACAAATACCGTCTACAATCAAGGTATTCTCAGTGTGTACTGCCAAAGCGATGGCGTTTGAAACTTCAGTTCACTTAAGGGAAGATGTATTTGCAAGTAGGGCATGAAGAATAGCCCTTTCCCAGGATATTTGAATCGGAAAGGAAAGTGGTAACACGTAGCTCGAAAGCGAGTCTAGGGTAAGTACAATTTCCAATATGGCGGCAAAGGAAACAGTTCCTCGTGCAGTAAGTTATATATTACTGTGTGCCAGTTTCCCATAGCTATAGTGACAAAGTTGTTAATGGAAAGACGGTGAGACTTCACAAACCCCCAGAGAATAGTAAAGCAAGAAAGACTTGGATTGCTTGGCTCAGAAGTGTGCGTCAAAATTTTCTGCAAAGCCTGGAACAAGGGCGTGCAGCTTACGTTGTAAAGACGAAGAAGGCCCGAAGCCATGGTGTCAGTTTCTAAGGTTTTTCCCCTCAAAGCCAGCCCCGAGATGTCCTCGTCGACGGAATAATCCTTTGTCCCGTAGATCCGCGGAATCGTTAAAATGTTCGAAACTACGAACTCGTCGAGAGCGAAAATACGGAGATTCGTCGAAAACTACACAAGCTGCCGCTGCGTGCATTGAAAATAAATTTGATCATTGTTCTCGTTACTATATTCCTGCCAAGGTATGTACGTTGGACACCGGTAAACAGCTAAGTTTACTCTTTGGAATCTCACTACGCGGTCAGTCATAATTTCAAATCAATTTCAATAAATGCTTTTTCAATGGCGGGGATAAAAAATTAAATGGTAGTTGAAATAAAAATGTATCCTTCATTTTCTTCGTCATGTCTTGCATTCCAGTTAAAGCTTTCGTGGAAGTTAACGTCGATAATTTCTATTGTAAAATTCTCGATCTGCTACGAGAGTGGAAGAAATATCACAGGGTTCTGGATGCCTTCCAAAGCCCCAAGGCTACAGAACGCCATAGGCATATCACTTTCAGAATTCTTGCTGGTCTTATGTGAAGTTTTTTTCGCATACTGATCGTGGCAAACTTTTTTTTTTCAATTGGTTCCTTTTTTTGTTAGAAATCTTCCGGAAGAGATTTTAGTTAAGTTACGACACGAAATAGATTGAAATAAATTTAATTTCATTACACCAGTAATCAACTGCAGTATCTTTAGTATTTTGCTACATAAGTATATGCAGTACCTCCATATGATTGTTACACTACGTACCCTTAGAGCCCATATATTAGCGCAGACCGACGTTACGATTGGCGCAGGTTTTTATTAAAAAAGGCTAACACATGGGAGTCTAATATTGTTAGCTAATTTTATCCAGCTCAGTTAGCTGGGGTTTGCTGGCTGTCAGCTCTGTTCCATTCGGTAGTGAGAGATTCATCTATTTTGAAATTCTTACTACAGTGCAGGTAAGTAACTGTAAACACAATTAGTAGATATGCCATGTGCAACCGAAAGATACTCGCTTTATGATAAAGTAAAGCTACGCGGATTCGCTAAATTTGCTTCCTTCATTTCATTCCATGTTGTCTGGGGTACAAATGCCTCTGAATGTGTGATGATTAGTTCTACTTGGGTGACTTTACCTCCTTAGTATGCATGTAGAAGTGGAATGCAAAAATTGCTTGCTGCCCACGATGCATAAGGCTTCGTTTTGGAAATATTTGTTAGTGGTGTTTTTTACCAAAGTTACATTTCGTGAGGAAACGGTTTGATTTGCCAAAAAATTGGACCCTCAAGTTCATTTTGATATTGAAATTGTTTTAAGTCAATTTTAATAAAAATTGAGCAAAAGCTTGTACTCCACATGGTGTTAAAAATTAAGGTACACTGATTGTTGCTTGTCGGTAGTTTAATTACGTGTAAAGGCTGCACTAGAGTTGCAACAAAGGTTCGTAGCAACCAGTCGGTTTCTATTTCAAAGAACTAGTATTGAATTGTCTTTTAAGGAGAGCCAAAAACGTCTAATATCAAAAATTTTCTAAATTTGTATTGATGGCCTGAAGTTTGGGAAGACCGTTCTTGTCGACTGCGAGCTCAAACGTTAAACAATGATAATTTCTCACACTCACGAAAATCTTTGTACCCTTTACGCATGTCGTTCGCTAGACACCTGGTCTTGCTTGAAAGAAGAAGTTTTTTTGTATCATAATTTGGAACAACAATTTCGATAATATCAGTTTATCTCTTTCCATATTGCAATAACCCTTGTAATTTTTTAGCAATTTTATCAGCTTTAGTCATGGGTTCACGTTAAAACTCAATCACATTCCTGTATTTAGGATATTACTTGGGATAACAGCTTGTGACGAACAAATGAAAAAAAATCTATCGGCTGACACTAAATATTTTACATCAAAATTTTGCTGCTGACAAAGACACAGCCACACTGAAGAAAATATGTTTTTGATATTTGGGAAAGCTGTTTGAAATTCTTTAGGTTCAATACTATACTATTCTACGTGGAAATAAAAAAATAAAATACGCAATGTCATGGTGACGCCATGCTCGAATTAAACCAAATGTTTGCCCAAATGTATCCCTAAATGAACCCATAAATAAATGAATAGGTATTAAGGCCAAAAAACAATTTAAAGGTACAGCTGAGAGGAGGGAACTCCTTCCTCCTGGTTAGAAAACCCTTTCGTACAAGAAAAAAACAAAAACAAACAAACTAGAGAAAGAACAATATTCATCATGGTGGAAAGATAATTCATTTTTTTAAATTTTGTTGTTCACCCTACCTTTTAGAGGCAATCATTCAACATGAGACAAAAAAAGGAATGTAGACTTGTGCCCCATTAGTATGTTTTGTATCGTTATGGAGTTTTTGCTTATGTAGAAATCTAAAATAAAACTCGTTAATATAAAGTGCTTTTCATGGGAAACTATCAAAGTTTTATTAATAAGCAAAGAACACTGAACATCCTATTTTTGCCTTATAAATCATGACTACCTGGACTGAAAATGTATATGACAGCCTCTAAAAAGATAATGGATTACAAAACACGGTCACCACATCACAAGCAACACTAAATTGCTTACCTCTCAAAGTATTGTCTTTATCGTTATTTTCATGTAACAAAAAAACAGCAAAATGAAATGGGCGGTTCTATAAAAATTGGGAGAGGCTCTAACATTATTAAAGAAGGGTGAGCGTATGCATAAGATAAGCATGCTGATAATCTGATCGATACGTGATGCAATAGAAGCCTAATTTAGAATCAATGGGTTCAAAATAGATTTTCTTGAGGAAATCCTTTGTGCATGGCTTCAGAAAAAACGGGAATTCCTTGCATGTACGTCGCACTTCGGTCCAAAACTGTTCTTAAAATGTTTTTCGTAAACTTTTTTTATTTCTTTTCCGCGGAAAGTTTCCCTTCTATGCAGTTGAGTCCATTACCATTAGAGCCTTCTTTCCCGTCTTTCCCAGCCCAGGCCCTGAAAAGTAACGCGAAAACTTAATGCTATCTGTAAAAGGCACTGAGAATGAACATTTGGGGTTCCTCAAGAATTTACATTCTACGGTGGCTGGGTCCTCCTCCGATTGTGAGCAGTTGTCTTAACCTTGTTAAAGGAACTAGTCAAAGGTCTGACCTAAGAGATCTAACAAGAGTAGCTTTAGTAATCAAAATATGGTGATAATTCTGTTTCAGTTGAAAAAATAGTATTATTCACTTCTTAGATAAAGCATATAAAATTAACCGACCAAAGAGTATTGCAGAGCTTTTCCTGTATTACTATAAGCCTCATGTTTTCCTATGTAGCTCAAGGTGCAGTAACAACGACATGGAGTACTGCTCAATTACAATCGTTACCCTCTTACACATTTTCACCTTCTCATCGGCGGATAAAGGTATGAATGAAATGATATAATACTTTCTGAGAAAGATATTCTTGCAGTAGTAATTTTACGTCGATTTTCTAGTTAAAGAAAACCTGTGTTTTATGAAATTTGTCAACAAAAAAATATTTTGAAAGGAATATATCTAAGCTTCGCCTATGAGCAATTATGGAACTTAGTCATAGGCAGAATCACGAGCCTCGAAGGTCAAATAGGTCCACTTCCACCCCAAGGCTGTTGCATGCGCACATGATGTAGAATCATTTTTCACATAGATTTGTTACTCATATAAGACGACCTGTTTCCTTTACAGCGTATCTATATAAGAGGCCGACAGAAGAGAAAAGGTGGAGCGACTGGATAACCTCAAGTCCGGCAAAAGGAACTCGTGGGGTATGCTTCTTCCGTTAAACAATGATTCTCTATACACCGCGAAGGTTGCAAAACATATGTTAATATTGCAGTTGCTTTCTACACAAACGATTTGCCTTCACAGGGATTAAGAGTTAATCAGTTGGCCGCAAAAAAATTTTTAGTTTCAAGACTTTTGTTATATCAAATTTGTGATTCTGAAGATTGGGGAGTGCTAATTGAAAAATATACAGACATGTACTATAGATATATTTGTAAAAAGAAATATTTTTTGTCAGCTGGAGGGTCGTTATAGTGAAAAAATGTGAATATGTAAATTAATAACTAATCAGTTGAGGTTTGTGAATGCAAATGTGTCACCGAATGGGTTACACTTGATTTGCCGTCTAAGAACATTTCACGATGAATTTCCCAGTCATTCGCATTGCAGTAGCTCTGATAGTGTAGCTAAAATGCGAAATTTATGTACATTTTATTGATCAATTTGACTATTATTCACTTCATTTCCAAATTCACACGCACAAAATAAAAAATCTAGTAAAAATCTTGGCGAAGTTTTGTGCTACAAATACACCTAGAAATTTATCATTAACACGCTTTCGAGACTTCGAATGATTTTCTTTGTCATCCAAAGTGAACAGAAATCTTCTCAGATTTATTGACTGACTTTCCACTGATCAATAACATGATTCGGCGATTCTCTACCGTTGACTATGGGCAAAGGTAGAAAAACTGAATGTTACCTGCCCTAATAACCCACCAGCTCGCATAATTCGTTAGCTTATCCTATTGAACCGAAAAGGGACTAGATTACATAGACAAGAAGAGCGCACCATGGAAAACTGCGAAAAGAATCTGCAATAGAATACTTTCCCTTGGTTACTTCGAGTCAAAACATGAAATTCACAATTCAATGAAAAACGTGACTTATTTTGCATTGTGATACTGTTACAGTCAAGGGCGCAATCCAACAGAAACACCACTAAGAAAGCTGACTTGCGTAGAGCCGGATGGAGTTAAGCGTGGAGAAGCAAATTCGATCCTTTTAATTACCCACGATAAATGAACTGTGCTGTATGTAGACAGAAACTTATCAACTAACTTAGATGTAATCAGGAGATTTTCTCTCCGTCCAAAGCACATTCTTTAAAGATTGTTATTGCTACTAAATACACTTCAAGGAACTGTTCGAAGCCCGGTAGAGCTATTTTCTGAAGAGGATAAATCGACTCGTATTTACATAAGAACGCCAAAAAAGTTTACCTGAACACCTTTTAAACCGTCACTGCCTGCAACATGTAATTTTAAATGCAGCACTCATTTTAGCTGTCATTATAAAGATCAGCTCATCAAGTGTGCAATGACAGTATAAGACAGTCATAACTGTTGTAGAAGCCTAGTTGAACACCGATTTGCGATAAAAAACATCTATCTCAAACGTTCTATATAAAACATACACGAGAAGTCTTCGGTTTTGTAACGAAGCCGAGCAAGTGAATTTCAGTGTTTTGGCGTTTTCATTTTGACTTATTCATGACTGGAGGTCAGGATGACTTTATAATTTGTTAATAAAGTGTCTCCAAAACTGACCAAAAGAACTTTCTTGAGTCCCCTGTCTGTTGTACAAGAAAGATAGTTCAGTGACTTCAATATCAAGTCTCTTTATGGTATGTTTTAAATATGGGTTCAAATTCTAATCTTTTCCTGGAAATCCCCATATATCAGTCTACACACTACTAAGCATAGACTAGCCGAAAAATCTATTGGATTGAAATATTGTTATTTTATCATTGTTTCTGAACAGTGGTACCCGTTAGATGATTCTTATGGGAACCCAGAGTACCGCACCTGTGATGTCGGCCACCAACAACCAAATACCTGGCTTAGAAGTAATCTTATCTCAGTCCCAAACAAAGTAAAAAAAGTTAATATTACCATTGAATACAGAACAGTGAACTGTACAACATTTCGTACAACTAATCTCTGTAGGGAATATTTCGACTTTTACGTGCATCAGTCTACTACTTTATCGGCACCTGACCCTTTACAAAGCAAAGCCACTTACGAGAAGATTGCTGAAATAACCTTGCCGACCCGTGGTATTAATGCAAGGAGACATTTTGGTTTTCAAGTGAAAGGAACGTTCATCGTTCTAGCGTTTCATAACCGAGGCTCATGTAGCAACATTCACTCTGTCACTGTCAGTTATCTTGTTTGCCCAGAGATTACTGTTGTTAGTGGCTTGGTGTCCTTACCACGCTCTGTGGCTCCCGTTACTAACTCAGTGCCAGTTCAAGGAAGTTGTGTTACAAATGCCATCTACAATAAAGGTATTCTTAGCTTGGAATGTAAAAGCGATGGCGTTTGGAACATCAGTTCACTGAAGGGAAGATGTACTTGCAGGGAGGACACGGAGAATAGTGGAGGAGAATGCAAAGGTAATATGATGACTAAAAACCTCGCGATAACAAGTGCAACTATAAAGGTTTTTGCACATTAATTCTCAACACGATTAATTATGCAGCATATTCAAGATACATAGAGTTAAACCTAAACCTAAAAGTTGAGCCCTAAAAATGTCTTTCTTCGAAAGTCAAATCATTTCCCAATAGACAATTTTTTTCAGATTGGTTGATTTTTATCAGACACAGATCATGCGTCTTTGATTAACATATTTCCTTATTATTAAGTTCTTTTAGAGTTGATAAGTGCCCCCAATTAGCTGTATGGGTTGCTATATTAAAAGGGAGATAAAGTTGAACTTGGTTATCCACTATGCCAATGTCTATGCCTTAAAAAGTTAAGTATTGTTCTGAATTACTTATTCCTCTGATGAAGCGCTTTGACTTCTGCGATGATTATTGGCTTTGTCAGCTTCTCTTAAGAGTATTTAGATTCCCTATAGAGAAAAAGTGAAACGGTGGAAATCATCTCAACTCATCCGAGAGATTGATAAAAAATTTTAATTCTTTTTATGTGTTTTCTCCTTTTAGATTGTCCAAGCGATAAATTCAACGACCAAACTGGTTTTAATTGTACAGGTACACAAGCAGAGATAAAGTAATTGTCAATTTCGTCTATTTTTTTGTGTTTTGAATGGTACCTGTCCAGTTAACTTTATCGGTACTATTTAGAGGTAATATTTACACGTCATGTTTTTCCTTTCAGTACTATAACTTAATTCTATGAGCATCTCTTTTAAATAAAAATGACACAATTCCTTATTGCCACCATAGCACGCAGATAAAACCCGGCAAATACCTCAGAATATTTTCCTTAAAACTTGCTCGGACAGATAAATATTCTGAATATAAGTTGAGGAAACGTGTCAGTACATGCTGAAGAAAAGTGCGTTTTGCCGTATTTAATTGCATGTTAGCTTAGTCTCCGAGGGTTTTACTTAAAATCAATAAGAAAATAGACTACAAGGAACAGTTTGACTCTGAACAAACATTGTCTGCAATCCTCTAATATCATCTCTTAATATATGTGTGTTCAGTTATTCCATCCGCCCCGAAAATTGTCCAAGTCATCTTCATTAACCATAGCGCGTTGGAGTTAAAATGGCAGCCTCCTGCAACTACTGGTGATCAGACCCAAGTGTTTTACGACGTTGAATGCCGTAAGCGATGTGAAGGTGAAAACGACAACAAATGCGAGGATATATCTTGCGGGAGTGACGTCATTTTCATACCAAAAAGGAATGGCTTGAACATGACTTGCGTTACTGCTGGAAATCTTTCTCCATTTGTAAAATACACCGTGAAAATCCACGCCAGAAACCGAGTAAGCGATTTGGCAAAGAGAAAATATGGAATTGAGGCAAACTTCGGGGAAATAACTGTAGGGACTAACGGACCAGGTGAGTAAGTTCGTGGACTAAAAAGGATATCACGCCAATTACAATCAAACGGTTTATCTCTTGTGCATTGTGCTCAAGTGAAATCATATTTAATTATATCCCTTTAGTAATAAAAGATGTAAATTGTACATTAATGTTCTGAAGTTTAGATTTACTCACATAACACTTAAATTATTTAGAAGTAACCTCAAATATAATAACAAAATAATTAAACTTGTGCTTTCGACTGCTTATTCCTAAACGTTGAAATATAGCAACATCAACGAATCCCGTTGAAGATCACTTGGAGCCTGAATTCAAACAGGAACTAAATTTTTTTTTCAGTTAGTGATACAAAATTTTAAAAATATTATTAAAAAGTGCTTCCGTAGATATAGCCTATATCTCCGCCAATTCATTTCGCGGCATTCTGCGCGATGGACGTTCAATAACTAAAAATGATCGAGGACGGGTAAGAATGTTGCCGGAGGATTTAAAACTATTTTAGAAGAAAATATTTTCGTCACGCACAACCATGATTAAGATCCAATTCTGATTGAATCAGCTTCATTATAATAAATAAAGCAATCCTGTCTTTTACCCGACAGAATCCAAGGTAACATTGCATCTCAGAATTATCTATGGACTGGCTGGTCTATTTGTAGTTTGCACTGTGTTTTTTGCCTGGTACATCATATACAACAGGTCAGTTTGGGATCATTAATGAAAATCAAAATGAAGTTGCTATTCTTGTATGAGTTGCAAATGTCTTGACGAGATATAAAGAAATACCTTTAGCTCAAGGAATTTCAAAAGTTCAACAACTGACGCAACAGGATTAACAGAGATTATATTGATGCTATTTTATGGCCCAAAATGTCGCTAATTTGTCGTTTCCCTTCGGCTTTACCGAAATAATAATTCTGTAAAGCCATGACTAAAATCAGTTTTGTGCCATTCTTTGTTAGATGGAACCGCCAAAGAAACGAACACCGTGCATTCACCAGCGTAATGGAGAATGAGGGTAAGTTGCAAAATCATGTAATTTACGTGTTTTAAAGCAGTGTCACTAAATACAATTTGCTGACAATGAGCTTGATATGAAATTACCGATGTGTTAAAATGCAAAGGCCATTTGCTCAATCTATTTCGATACCAAAGACAAAGCCAAATTAAGAAAAACGGAAAAATACATTAAATTGGTAACAAAAAAAATTAACAAAGCAAAGACTGTCGGTGCGTAGTGTGAAACTACTAGTAAACGGCACAGGAGTCTCCAAAAAGGTCACCATCCATTTTTTTTCTCTGACTTAAGCACATTGGCGAGATCAACACAAACTGCCTTTGCATGGACCATCGAACCGCCGACGGAACGCACACCACAAGAAAATGACAAAACTAAGAGATTCCCGCGTTGTGGCGAACGAGGGTAAGTTACAATATCACTTCATTTACATATTTTAGAGCAGTGTTACTATGTTCGATTTACTGACGTTGCGCTTGATATCAATTTACCGACTTCTTAAAATACAAAGATGGTTTGTTAAATCGTTTTCGATATCAAAGACAAAGTCAATTTCAGAAAAAAACAACAAAAAGAACATTGACCTGTAGGTGGTGTGAAACCACTGGCAAACAGCGCCAGAGACTCCACATGGTAGTAACTTTTTTTCTGTATTTGACTCAAGCACATTGGCGGAATAAACACCATGTGTCTTAACATGGACCACATATTTCATCACTAATCATAATTGTGTTGTTCCTCTTATCACCATCGATTTTCATAATTAACAATCTTTACGTAGACGTCGCAATGAGTTCTGTTGCTGAGCGGCAAAAAGTGGATGACTTTAGACTTGATCGTGATCAAATAACAACAGTAAAGGTGCTTGGGAGTGGCAACTTCAGTCAAGTGTCCAAAGCAGTTTACAAACCTTTAAATTCTGAAGTGGCTGTTAAGTCATTGAAAGGTACCCTTCATTTTTCTTATCACTTCTATATATATCCTTATGAAGAACAAAAATCAAGTGGAAAAGTGGAAAAGCACTTTCTTATTTTACCAACCTCTTTATTTCCTTTTAGGTAAAGGATGTAAAAGGGCTTTCTTTCAAATTCATTGTAATTGATGTCGTTTGAATCTTCACTTATGTTCTAGGCAACGCTTCAAAGAGGGACTTGGAAGACATGCTAACGGAATTAGATCTCATGAAAATTTTGAAGCCTCATCCCCATGTTGTTGAGCTCATTGGCTGTTGTATCGAAAAAGGTACTGGACATTTTAAATTGATTTCGGTTGGTTAATTTCTTGATGACTGACTAATTCCACATTCATCGAATTTCTTATTTATTGAATTGACTGATTCAGCACCGTTACATACTTCTAGATCCACTTCTCATAGTGTTGGAGTATTTACCATACGGGGATTTATTGGGATATCTGCGCAAGAGCAGAGGGATCGAGGATGCTTATAACACAGGAGAAAAGAGACCGAGCTCAGCACTTACAGAAAAGGACCTCTTATCCTTTGCGTGGATGATCGCTGATGGTATGAACTATTTGTCAGCAATGGAGGTAAACCCTACAATTCATATTCTGTTAAAGCTAAGTACCTAAAATCTCACTACGCGTTAAGGTCATGTGTGACGAAACAAGTTATTTCCTATACGACAGACATTTACAATAGAGCTCTGTTATACCATTCTACAAGGAAAGGTTTCGAATCATCTGTGGGTCTGTTATACCTGCAATCCTTGTGAAGTTAGCCGCTCTCCTAACATTTCAAGGTCAGTTCTGTACCTACCCAAATCAAGCGATATTAAGTGAGATGAAAAGGAATAGCCTGTAGAGCTTATGTTAAAACATCTCGGGGTATCAAGCTTGTGTTATTGTGCTGTATTGCAGATTGTTCATCGTGATTTAGCAGCTCGCAATGTGTTGGTTGGGGACAGCAAAGTGTGTAAGATTACAGACTTTGGTTTAGCCCGTGGTTTAAAGGGAGATATCCACATTAGAAAAAAACAGGTGACTACAACATGAACATGAAGCTTTGCGCCAACACTCTTTATATGGTGTGTTTATATACATAATTTGATAATAATGAAAAACCGGTAAATCGCGTTAAGACTCAATGACGTCTTGTACAAGCAAAACCCCTCAACTCGTGAATAAATCATTCGCAACGTGACTGTTCGTGGCACTATTCTTACAATAATACTCAGTTTTCCTTAGTTTGAAATTTTATTCGATAGTTATTTGATTTTTTCTTTTGAAGGCTCGTCTTCCAGCTAAGTGGATGCCCCCGGAATCTCTCTTCCATAGCAAATCTTCCACCAAGAGTGACATGTAGGTTGTTTACATTTATCCCAAATTTCCCCAAGATTTCGACTAATTTGCCAAACCGATTGGTCGATTGCCTCGTTAATTAGCTGCTCTGTTATCCTTCAAATAACGTATAGCGAAAATTAGTTGGCATGTTACAGAGATATGACGTCCTAAAAAGCTGAGGTCGTTAGGTAATGAATTGTTCACTTTTTTCCTTTTTCAAATAATTTTGGAAAAAAATTCACCGGAAACAGCACCGACATGAAAAAAGCTGCAAATTGTCACAACGATTTTTCAAGAGAACAAATTTTTTTTTAGGATGATAGGCAAATTGGCCTGCCTATTTACTTACGTTGTCATGACTCTTTCAGATCAAGCGAAGTACCACACTTTGCGCCACACTTATTCATTCTTAAAAGACTTTTTGAAGTGATCACATTCTGATCAAAAATAGATGTATTCTGTTTCTTTGACTTGAAACCCGTTTCAAGCGGGAAATCTAGGCAATGCACAGCTAATAGTTTAAAGTTATGATACTTTCGATTATCATAACTACCTTTTTTATTTCGAAAAATTATGTCATTTTCTGCCATGCGACACTCGGTTATTGTAAGTGTACATATATAATCAGAGTCATGGTGATATCAAATAAGCTCAAATTGTTCCTTTTCGTCTGTCATCTACAGATGGTCTTACGGTATTGTGATGTGGGAGGTGTTTACCATTGGTATGTATTTATTGCGAAGAACTCTTTAAACTATTTAAAAACTAGAAACTTTCTCCTTTCTTGCCTTTGCTAAATCGTAAATAGTTACTTGTTCTTTTAATCACACAAATGAAACCCCTTATTATCTAACATATATATCGATACTATGTATTACCGCTGCTAACGCAGAAAGCAACAGTATTGGTTGACCGGGGTTTCTATATAATCGGCCTTTTTTAAGACTTTTTAACACGATCGAGATACTATCTCCTAAGTGGCTTCATTTATAATTGTCTGGCTCGCCCGAAACAGTGTAGAGATGCGCAGTCATCGAAAAAACGAGGAAGGGAACTTAGTATAAGGGGAAACGAGAATCGCCGGAATTAGTTGATGTTATGGGGTTTGATCGCCCGCGGGAGGTCTCGATATAACCTGTGCTAGAGAAGGTTTTTTTTTTTTTTTTTTTTTTTTTTTTCATTCAATACGATAATGCAGAAACCTGGGGAGCCTTTCATTTGAATGACAAATACTCACCTCGACAAAAGGTACAAATATCATCTGGAACCCTATTTTGATTGGACGAGAATTGGTGAAAACTGTTTTTCTTAGGATTTTAAATTGGAAATTTCTGATAAACATTTCGGAAGAGACAGCCTTCACTTTTCCAATCGCTTTAGCAATAATAAAGTCGAGTAGGTCGAAATCATCTTTTCGCCCCTTGAGACTTTTGCCTTTTTCCGAAACAAGCAACTAATAAAAGTGTTTACTTTTACATTAACACTCGGGATCGAAATTGAATGAAATAAGTGATTATTAAATTACACGTTGATTATTGCAAATGGCACATCTGGACCAGCCGTAATTGAAGTGTAAACCCAAATATTAATTCATTCAGGGGATTGGCTAATCTGAAATATAAGACTGAACGATTTATTGCAATTAGATAAAATGCAGAAGAGAATATTCAGGCTAGATAGAAATTTCTCATTAATAATGGACTTCCATCTACCAGAATTATACGACTTACGTATATATTAGGTACGACATAGCTTAAATACATATTTTTACTTACTTAAAGACGTAAAAATGTGGAAAAGTCAAAACATAAAAAAAAAGTGGGCTCTGGTTCTACAATTTACGATAACAACAACGTGATTCGCGCAAAATTTCATACCATTTTCACGCCATGGCACTTGAGGGTTGAAACATTGATATGGTAACGTTTTGTAAGATAACTGCGGCAAAAAAAAGGAAAAGACCTTCGAATATAATAATATCCAAGAAACACCCATGGAAAAAGCGATTCATTTCGTTCCCTTTCGGCGCAACGATTGCGTAAGTTTTCCGAGTCAAAGATGGACGCCCTTGGTTTTATATCGAGACCAATTATGGCATGTTTTTAAAATAGCTTGTCTGTTTTAGCAAACAATGTCATTCATTATTTTCAGGTGAATCCCCATATCCCGGGGTAAAACCTAAAGAGATAGCTGGCTTACTGCGGACAGGATATCGCATGCCTAAGCCATCTTACATCTCACAAGAATTGTAAGTAGTTTAAGAACTCTTTTATTTCACCCACTATAAACATCAGTGATTCGATAAATAACACAGATCACAAAATTAATTTTCTATTACCTTTTAGTTCACTTTTAAAATATACAGTAAAATTGACGTGAAATGAAAAATTTGTAAGAAAAGCGTAAGTGTCATTCTCATTGAAGGTATTCCATAATGTCTAACTGTTGGGAAGAGCAACCAGAAAAGAGACCTTCATTTCAGTGGCTCTGCTCTGCAGTTAAGCGACTTCTGGATGATCACAAGGTTTGTCAGTCGGTCTTCCCCAAACATTTTTTCATTTCGTGATATGTTTTTGTTTACTATCATGATTAGTAATGCTTTGTTTTTCTTTCCTTTTTCTTTAAACAAAAGCAAAAACAAAAAACATTTATCTAAGCTAATCTTTTGCTCAGTAATTTTTTACTTTAAAATCGAAGTTTACATAACCATATAGAAGTGCAGTATTCCTGACACATAAAAAAGTGGGAGTGTGAGGAGAAACTGGCGTGATTGTAAGATTTTGGAAAGGAAACGAAACAGAAGAATTAAAACTTTATATTTTTCAATCACAAAGTTGTGTATTTTTGGATACCTGCATCTCAAAGAGTGGAAAAATATTTCGATGGTCTATTTGATGTCGTCTCTTTTAGTGATCATTTTTCGAGTCCAGGTATCGCTCTCCAAAACTTCAACACTTTGAATCCTCGCACTGTTATGTTCATCGCAAGCTAAATTGGACGTCTATATTTATCCTAAGCTAACTTGAATGCGTTTTGGGGAAAGAGACACGTCGGATAACAGCCGTAGAAACATGTAAAAAATAGGACTTTCAAATCAGGAACTAAACCTAGTTGATGGACTGAGGAATAAATATAAAGCAAGGAATGGGTGTGTAGATTTTCTTGACAAAGAGTTTTAACTTTTTATTCGAAACATGTCTCATCTATCTAATCTGCTCACTAGACATATGTCAACCTGGAAGTCTACGATGGCAAGGACTACATCAACTTTGATATGATGATGGACGAAGAGTGATAAAGGATGTCCAATGTTACCACCAAGACTAAAGGTCAAGTGTAATTGACATAGATTAAAGCGATATTTAAGTTTCATCTTCTCTGTTCCAAATAAGATAAGTTAAAATAGTGTTTAAGATGTTTTATGTTCTAAACTTAACAGAGTAATTATTCAGATTTTGCACTACCACAAACCTCATGTAAGATTATAGATCAGTGCGGCATATAGAAATGAAAAATGGAAAACCTTTCCAAGTCTATCTGCTTGATTATATATGCTTATTGAAAAAGAAAGTTATATTCAGTCTTAGTTTTAACTGAGAGATTTAAATTAACAAGAACATGAAGCATTCCTTTTTTCAGTTTAGTGAGGGTTTCACACTCTTTAATTTTAAAATTAACGGTCATTTAATAGCTTTCAAAGCGGAAATTATCCAGATACTGGGCAACAGTGCACCTAATCACACAAAAAAAGGAAATTTCTGATCAAGTAATACGCTTCATCGATCTCTTCAATTTCTATCTCTGCCATTGTAAAGTGTAAGCTTCAATTTACTTCTAGCCGCACTTTAAAATTCCAAAGAGTAACGAAAATTTGCGAAAACCATCTTTATACGAGCCAAAAATTCGATTCACGATGAAAGTCGCCATTTTGAAAACAACCTGTCGCACATGAATATCTTCGCAAACTACTCTCGCAGTGGTCATCATAAAAAAACTATTACATTTAATCTAAAATGCCCTGTCAAAGTTCCTCCTCATTGTTCAAATAGATGGAAGAAAAAGGTCTCGTCACCGTTAAGCAGCAGTGCTATTAGGTTAGATTAAAAACGGCAGCGTATATAATCGAATTTTCCAAAACTTTATTGGTTTGGCTTTTTTGTTTTCTTTATTCTAAATCACGCGAAAGCGTAGCAGTTCTTACGAAGGGAATAATAAGAATTTTAAGTTCATCTTAAGACAATACTTCGAGGCTTAGGTTACCCTTTGGAAACTAATCAGGAAGTCAGAGTCATAAGTTGTGATATGCCTTTCTTTGGTGAGAATAACAATTAAACAGTAATTTAAAACACTGGGTTTCATTTCCTTTGTGTCTGCATTCCAGTAACAAAACTTTAGTAGAAGGAGTAAAGTGAATGACGTCTGCTGAAAATGTACGTGAAATTTGCAGCACAAATATTTTTGAGTACGCGATATCAAGGTTTGTGTTATCAATAGTACATTTTTATTCCAATATTATAGTTTTGAAAGATTGCACTATATCACAAATTAGAACATCAACGTAGTTGTAACTTACTTAAGCCATGTTTATTCCTGGCATTTTAAATAAAATTACATTTTAGAGTTTGAGGTATTTTGTCTCTCTCCGCTTTAAAGTGAGATTAGTATTCGTTTCAGCAGGTCGTGTGCAACGTCCAAATATACGATTTCTTTATTTTTCTAAATGTAGTTTGATCACTTGACTCTATAAAGTTCACTTGCTCCACTGAACCCAGAATACATTTTGGATTTTTTGCCCTTAGAAATCCAAGTTCGGCTGACATGTTTGCAAATAAAATTTCAAATAATTTGGTTCGTGTAAATGGTAAAGGTGCCCTTATCAAAAAAGTATCGCTTGAGGATCACGTATATCTTTGTTGTTGACGGTTTAAGAATCCACAATTTGTGCCGTTATTGCCTCAACATCTACCACCGACTGTCGGTGTCTTTCAGGGGTGTGACCTGTTGAAATATACATGTATGATTGATCTGAGCTTATTATTCATATTTTACCCCGAGATAAAATATCCATTAGGCTGTCTGCGATCAGTCTATTATACTTAAAGCATCTCTCAACCACCGAGAGGGACGTGTAAACCGACTTTACCGAGAAATAATATATACTGCGGCTACGAAATTGTTTCAGCAGGTACGTAGGAACTATAACATATGGCAATTCTATGTTATGATTATTGACAAACAAACTGCCTTGTGCGCAATACAAACAGATAATAATTTTCACCCCAATACCGTTGCAAGCAGGCCAAGTCGCTAAAAATGTTAAAACGAAACTCTCAACTTCGTCGTGGACTTAACGAGGTTTTAATTGTTTGCATCTCGCCTAAATTAAAATATAACTGGCTGCTAACTTAAAAAGCATGTGCAGTACTTACGGTAAATGTTATCATGAACCCACGAATAAATAAAGCAAATAACAGAAAAAAAAAAGAATTATATTATGGTCCATTAGCGGGACTCTTGATTTGGGTCAAATCTAAATTACTACACGAATGCAGACTAACTTTCATAACCTAATTGCATGGTCATTACTTGGTTGACACTCGCATTGCTATATCCGTTAGAGGATCAAGGAGAGCACATGATAGATAAACATTTACTTTTATCACATTTCCATAGAACACAACTCCAAATATGGGCGAAAGAAATTTGCTGATAGAACTTAATTGTATAAAATGCTTCAATGGCCTTAGTGACACGTCACAGTAAACATTCTCGAAACTAGACGCATTCCCCGCAAAGCAATATCAACGGAAGTTGTCCTCTATGAACGGAAAAGGTGAAATCAACTTGGTGTTTTTTTCTGCTAAAGCTGGGTTTTTCTTGTGGCAATACTACAAGGTGACGTTGTTAGGTTTCAGGGGGCGACAATATCACCCTAACGTAATATTTAACGCAAAAACCCGTTGAAAATACGCCCAGTTTTTGCGGTATCGCTTGATGTTTGTGCTGTGTCTCGTTTCGTGAATAAGCCAGAAGAATCCTGTTGAAATTTCCATGACTGCTTTAGACTTGCAGGCGAAGGTCACTGCCTTAAGTAGGAAGTCTTACTTTCTTTTCCAATTCTTTATCTTTAATGCCATAATTAGCATCTTCGAATATTCACGCTCTGAAATTGACTACACCAAAGAGCTAAAGAAGATTTTCAAAGTACGATCAATTTTGACCTGTCGCTGTATCGGTTCTTTTCTAAGCCGCTCTCAGCGATGCACCGATACTTAACGGTTATTCAATTATTTTCAGTTAGAGCTGGGCCCATGGATCATTTGTGGAGCAATTTCCTTCCCATCCTTATTCTTGTTGCCGGCTTAGCCTCGTCGGACCAAGAAGTTCTGATAGAAAAGCCTGAGTGTGATTCATGTTCATGGAATTGGACGATATTACAGACTGCTGAACCTGGATACACAGGGGTTAGTGTTCATGTGCGAGGAATACCTCAATTCTCCATAGAATTCATCTAATGAATGGTTTTTGAGAATGGTGTGTCTATTATTTCTAATTTCATAGGTAAAAAATGCAATCCCTTATTAACAGCCAGTAGGTCTCTGTTTAAGTATATGGCATCAGCCAATAGTTTCAACATAATTTTAACGACATCGGCCCGCGTAAAATTTCATTTTTCGCGTGAATTTAACGAAAAATTGCGAGGATGCTCCTCTTCAAAGTAATGCCGATCAACCAACTTGAGTTAATTGCTGCACAAAATAGAAAGCGAAAGTTCGTTTTTTGCCGCTCGTCGTTTTCCATAAACATCTGCTTAACCTCACTTTTAATGTATTGGCCCCTTGACAAACCTGACAGTATCACAGCACTGAGAAATTCTTTATTTTCTTTCTTCATTCATTTATTCATTCATCTTGTAATCCACTTGCTTGTTATTTTTTCCTTATTTTTGTCCTTTACCTATTAAATTTATTTGACGTTTATGATATGATGTTTTTATTTTTTGTACACTGGTTAATTTGTCTTTGTTTAACTATGCTTCGACGTTTTTTTAAATCGCAGTGGTACGAAAAAGGCTCCTCTCCTGAATATTTAGCGTGTATCAATAACTTCAACGCATCTACATCGAGACCAAACAGTTGGCTGAGAAGTGACAAGATCACGGTTAATGAAGCTAAGAGACTTGATGTAACTGTTCGGTATTTCATCGCAGATTGCTCTTCCATGGGGAAAAAAGAAGAAAATAAATGCGTGAGTGCTATCGACTTGTATGTCAAACAGTCAAACCAGGATATTATAGACAAGTCAAACTATCCAAATCCTCTATCACACACAACTTCATATGAAAAAATAGCAGAACTGGGACACCCAACCAATGTGAAAACATCCAAAACAGTATCAGTAGTCATAAAAGGAAAATTTCTCTTCTTAGCATTCCATAATAATGGAGCGTGTAGTATCTTGTACTCTGTCAAAGTTAGTTACAACTTTTGCCCTGAGAAGACACTCGGCAACAACTTGTTAGTGTTACCCAGAACAGCAGCACCAGCGAAAGTATTGGAAATCTCACGTGTTGAGGGCAGATGTAAAGAAAATGCGGTTCAATTGTTTAGCAGTCTGCACGCCTATTGCGATAGTAGAGGAAGTTGGAACAAAACTTCGTTTGAAGGGAGATGTATTTGTAAAGAAGACATGGAAAATACCGACGGAAGATGTCAAGGTAAGGTTGTTAGAGTAGTTTTCAAGTGAGTGTCGACTAATAAAAACAAATAATAATCATTATTATTAGCTAATAAGAAGTCAAAGTTCAAACAAGAAAACTGTCGCGGTTGTTTTTAGTTTTGTATCTGATCGGTTGAGAGGATTGCGGGAGTTTTCTTGAACAATCTTGAAGTAAACTTACTTCCTAAATGACCGAATCATAAATTACTTTCGATACTTGATATTTCCAACCTGAATCCATGTTATCCCTCCATATCTATTTTCTGGCCTTTCTGAACACGTTGCATATTCAATTTTCTTTAATTTCCTGCTGAGTGTTGTGTAATATTGATTTCCTGTTTAGGTAGGGCGGTTTCCTAAAATACTTCTCACAGCTGTACCATGACTGTATTTACCAATGACTATATCTCATTTTAATTTTAATAACGTTGCTGTTCTTGTTGTTGTTCTCGCTGACCACGTTATTACTGTTGATAGACACATGGTATATTATTTTGTGTTTTCCTCTCATTTGACTATAGATTCCTGGATAAATAATCATTTTCAAATATCGTTTCATTGTCCTTCTAATTTAAAAAACTCTCTCAAACTAGTTTCTTCCTGAGGAAAACGTTCTTCTCGTTTCAGCCTGTCCAAATGGAAAGTATAACGACGAAAAAGGTTTCAACTGCACAAGTAAGAAATAATTCAAACTATTTAACTGGGTTGTATTGGCTACATGGCAATTTCTTCTTAAATTGACGACTTTTCCACCGAAATAGTTCTATTTCCTCCCTAATAATCTTCTGATTATAGGTTTACCATCAGCTCCAAGGAATACCACTGTTGCCTTTGTTAACCAAAATGTAGTCGAAATAACCTGGTTGCCGCCTGCCAAAACCGGCGATCATACAGTTGTGTCTTATGACGTCGAATGTTTGATAAGTAAAGTATGTATCAACTCTGCCTGTTTATATGAGCCTTGCGGGGATGACGTCGCTTACAGACCAAAAAAACAAGGCCTGGAAATGACCCATGTGACCCTGGAGGGTCTTTCGTCGAAAGTGAATTATACTCTTAGAATCTACGCCAGGAATAGGGTGAGTGAAGTGGCGAAAAGAAGATACGGAGTCGAAGGAAAGTTCGAGGCAATCAGTGTACGGATGAAAGAATCTGGTGAGTAACAGAGTCTGCGCAGTTTACACAAAATTAATTAGAATTGACCGCCTCACTATCTCGAGAAGCTGGGAAAGAGTGTTTAACAATTTCAAAGACTGATTTCTAAAGTTACAATGAAATTTCAAATGCAGACAGTTGCGATCGTTATTACGATATATTTTTTATAAAGTTGACAGTGGTTGTTTTTATGGGCTAACATGTGATTAAGCACATCCATGAGTATACTATCCAACCTCTTGAACTGGGGAATTTGGGAGGAAGCTTCATAAAGTGATTTAGTAAGAGCAAAGCAATGAGATGTGTACCGTAACTTGCAACTCAGAATAGAGTTGTATATCGAAGAAAATCCTGTCAATTTTTCATTGGTAGCATAAGACAAGAATTTCTTACAAGCTAACCTTTTTTGCCGATTTTTATCCCTTTTAGTGGCTCCATCTATGAAAGCCCTGAAAACAGAAGGTAAGTAACTGCAAAAATATAAACTTGCACGCGAATACGAGACCAATAAAGGCTCTCCTCCACAGTACACGATCTTAAAAGCATTTGGCTTTATTGATTGTTGTCTTAAAATCGCCAGATCATCACATTCTGGAGTGCTTTGCTGCTTTCATAACCAGCCACGCTAGCACTGTCTGCTTAAGGAGATTTTGTTCCCCCTTTCAGAATGGTTGAACACATGGGCTCGATGAGCTGTCGTTTCTCACGGGACAATTTTCAACAGAGCAAAATTGGGCCAGGCCTTTTTGCAACACACAAATAACAGTTTAAGTCTATCTGTGTGACCCCAAAAAGCTCAGTTCTTTAATAGGGGAACGTGCAATAATCTTAATGTAAATTTATTACAAGAACCAAAATATTCGGCGAAGACTGGGTAAAAGAGTGCAGCCATTCAATGGTGAAGCCAATGACATGGTAACAATAGGCAGCCATTCAATGGTGAAGCCGGTGTCATAGTAACAATAGGCAATGGTGAAGCCAGTGTCATGGTAACAATAAGCAGCCATTCAATGGTGAAGCCAATGACATAGTAACAATTGGTAAATATGTAAAAATAAATAATTTCTGGTAACTTTTCTTACTAATACTTGTTATTATAAATTCTTCTGCAATAGATGCTTAACCCTTTGACCCCAAAGAGTGACTAGCATCTAATTTCTCATTACTCACCCTTTCATACGCGATAAGGTCACGAGAACAACGAAAATGATCACCAAGTAAAGCGGTGCTTGATTGTTAAGGACACATTCTCCTTGTCGGCACCTTTGTAAATGTATGGGGAACAGAATGGAAAATATGCATACTAATGTTAGCTAAGGGTGTAAAGGTTTAATTCCTTAACGAAATCATTGAGCTATGTTCCCAATATTGTGTGCTTTTTACTCCACAGACTCAAAGGCTGTCATATATCTGAACATTATCTATGGATTTGTTGTCTTATTTGCACTTTTCATAGTTGGCTCTGTATGTTTTATCATTTACAGAAGGTCAGCAAACTCTAACTGCAAATAAAAGCCACAATTAATTCTAATAAATTTCAGCTGCGGGAAACTGTTCAAATAAATAACTGCCAGACAAAAATGACTTCAAATTGTGCCTAAACTTGAACAAAATTCATTCCTGCCGAAATGAGGCCTGGATGTCCAATGCTAGAGAAGGTTCACCTCACATTGTTAATGATACGACCTTGTATCGACCTCATCGCTTACATATGTACCCTGTCTTAACAACTTTTGGCATATTCGGTGCTGGTTGCTGGTTGCAAGTAAGAGTTAATAAAAAGCACATCTTCTTACAAGAAAATGTGAACTAGCCCTTGTAATGATGTGCATTAATGATGCATATTATGAGAGTAACTGTAATGAGCTTCAACGTCTAATTACTTGTTCTTGTAAAGTAGATGTCGACACCAAAGAAATAGGGACCGTTTTGAGGAACCTGAAACAGCAGAGCCTACAGGCACCATGAGTTTAGAGCCCGGAAAAGCAGAATCTACAGGCGCTATGAGGGTAGAGCCAGAAAAAGCAGAATCTCTCATGAGTGCGTACGATAGTAAGTTTCAATCATTTTACCGTTTTCCACGTTTTTGCTTTATTTAATTGGTTTTTCTCCAATGAAATATCAGAAAATCGTTATAATTTCATGGCAAAAATCAAAGACTTCTTGACGATAGCTTTTTAAATATATGGGTAGAATGAACTTTAATATAGCTCCGTTCAACTGTTAGCGCAATTCATAATTCAAAATATAAATTAAAATTAAAAAAAAAGATTATCCGAAGGACAATTCCTCTCGTAAAATAAAGTTGTCCTTCGATTTCTTAATATATATCACGAATCATATCATTTCTAGATGTGGCACTGTGGACTGTAGCCGAGGGTCAAAATGAGGATGGCATTCGACTTATCCGTGATCAGATCAAAACAATTAGATTTCTAGGGAATGGAAACTTTGGTCAAGTTTACCATGCAGTTTACGGACCTTTACGAACTGAGGTGGCGGTGAAATCACTGAGAGGTACTTTCCATTTTGCTCACAAGTTTTAGCCTCTGAAATACTTGTCTCTGACTGGATTCATTACAAAGTTTTTTGAAACCACAAGTTCTGTTGTTGCGTTAAAAACCTCATGGAACGTGTTTGTTTGTCACCTTTTGAAGACGATGCCACAAAGAAGGACCTACAAGACATACTGACAGAACTAGATCTTATGAAATCTTTGAAACCTCATCCTCATGTTGTAAGACTCATCGGATGTTGTACAGAAAAAGGTACTAAGTTTGATTTATCGATGAAATCATCAGCTGATTGATTATTTACTTTGATGTATGGAACGAATGAATGACTTATTTATTGATTAGTTTGTGTATTATTTAATTTTTTTCAATTCTAGACCCAATCATGATAGTTTTAGAGTATTTACCATACGGTGATCTGTTGGGATATCTGCGCAAGAGCAGAGGGATCGAGGATACTTATAACTCAGGAGAAAAGAGACCAAGCTCAACACTCACAGAAAAGGACCTCTTGTCCTTTGCGTGGATGATCGCTGATGGTATGAGCTATTTGTCAACAATGAAGGTAACCTCAGTAGTAACTTGAAAGGTCAATACAGTCTTACATAGTCTTAATACATAAGTAGAAGCTGAAACTTGTTGGTTTAGTATTATACAAAAAGCGCCGACAAGTTATACTTTAGTGACAAGGTGACCGATGTCGAGAAGACCTTCGAAACGTAGAAAGGAATGACAAGGACGCATCCAAACCAGTCGCTAGACACTTTAATTTCCTTAGTCATTCTAAGCAGCATTTGGCACTCTACGGCATTTCCTTTCATATGGGTAGTTTAGAAAGCCGCAAAACTCTAGAGCAAAAATTTATCTTTCTAAGCGGCACTCTTAATCCCCAAGGATGCCTTTTTAGAAGACTAATTTCTTCCTGTTTTTCTCGTTATCAATAGCGTAGCTTCATTTTCTTTATATAAAACCACACATCCCACAATTCCTCCATTCGCTCCGGGGAAGGGCTAACACTCGAAACGTCAGCTTTGAATCTCTTTACGGTGGCTAATTTACATCATCAACTTAGTTGATAAAACCAATTTATCTTCATGTAAGGTCAGTGATGTCTTGTATACATAAGTATCCATGCCAAAGTGATGCTACAATCAAATTACCTCCTGAACTATAATGTTAAATCCAGCTTTATTTTAGACACTCCTCGTTTAGTGAAACATTGCACTTACATGTTTATTATCCGGCTTAATGCAATTGGCTGGAGTCTAAAATTATCCGTATTTAAACCCTTATTGACTGTTTATCGATCGAAAATATCAAATATGGCGGTATGACAAACACTATGCCATTACACTCTTTTTCTTTCTCAGGTTGTTCATCGTGATTTAGCAGCCAGAAATGTGTTAGTAGGTGACAATAAAGTGTGCAAGATATCAGACTTTGGTTTGGCACGTGGTTTGGAGGGCGATGTATACATGAGAAAGGCTAAGGTGATTCTAACGTCACTGAATTAACTTGAAAACATTTTTGTAAAAGTTAGACTTATACAAAAATGTTAGATTGATTTTTGCTTTTTCCTTTCTTCCTTTCACACTCTACAACAAATCAAGTTTTTCTTTCATTCAGGCAAGGGTCCTATACAGTTAGCTACCAATTTATGCACAAGTCTCAATTAGCACGTTACGAAAATCTAAGATCAACGCAAATCTTGCAATCAGGAAATTGACATTCCTAGAACATTCAAATTAACAATTCTAACAGTGACTAAGGATACGATAGAAACCCCAAACATAAAAAAAAGAAAAAGAAAGATAAGAAAAACAACTTTAAAAAAGGTTAGTGATTAAAACACGCTGGATTTCCAAAGAACAGATGACTACCGAGGTGTCGTTAAGGAACACTGTGCTTTACATTTAGTTGCTTTAATGTTTATCATTTCATGACGATATATACTTGTCTTACAACTTGAAGGCTCGCCTCCCAATCAAGTGGATGCCCCCAGAATCTCTTTTGTATGGAACCTCTACCACTATGAGTGATGTGTAAGTTGTTTCAAATTAAGCACAAGACTTTTTCTCACACTGAATCATGAGTTCATCAATCCTCTAAATAATACAGTCCAAAAAATGTCTAATTTTCCCCATTTAAACGCTTTCTGATTAAAAAAGAAAAAAAGAAGGTCCCAAAGAGTAGTCAGAAACGTTAAAAAACGTAGCAGGTCATGATTATAGTTTACAGTAAAGTTTTAGTTCTTCATAAGAAAAAAATTAACATCTGAGAGATTGGAAAACTGAGTCATGCAGTTAAACATCTTTGTAAGAGACCATGACACATGCAATTTGAAAGAGATGGTTTAAGAAAGGTAATGGAGGTCTGCTTTACGCAAAATCCAAACCGAGGCAACAACACTAAAAAGTCTATGATAGACCTCTGGAAAAACTGTTCAAACAAAGATATCATTTCAAGTTTTGTATGAGCTTGATATTCCTTGAAAGTACTTCGTCAAATCAATGGTGTAATAAAGACCCTCTGAGAGGTTGTTAATGACGCAAATAAACCTCATAACGTAAAATTTTCCACTTTGTCTTTCTTTTACAGATGGTCTTACGGCATTGTGATGTGGGAAGTGTTCACCATAGGTATGTGGAATACTTTATAGAGAGGGAGTGGTTCTACAGGTCAGCAAAAAGCTTATTATTCACAATTTTCGGTCAGCTCATACATGCTGTTCTCATGAATGAAAGAAGGTCAAATTCTGTTTTATCCAACTAACACTGTAGCTTACGGGTTCTGAGTATTCATTAGGCCACTTTCTGAAATTCCTGTCCATATTAATTTTTCTTGGATACATGTGCTATCATCATCAATATTATTTGCATTATCATCAACGTTATCACTGTTATTTTCACCAGTATTATCATTATAACCATAAATTTTGAGTCAAAATAAAAGCTCTTTGTTCCTTGGTACACAAGCAAAATAAAGTGGAGGGATAATTCCCCCGTAGGAAAAAGTGATTTTAAAATCAGAGACGTTTTCTAGAAGAACATTTTCTCATCAATTGCTTAGAAGGAGCATGCTGTCTGGCTAAAAGTAAGATTAAATAGCAATACATAAATAAGCAAATGTCGTTTATGCCTAATGTTCACATAGTGCTAAGCTTTAGAGCGGTGTTCTTCACAATAGTCTCATTACAAATGACCTCAGTCATCACTTTCAAATTCACTGGAACGTACTAGCAGTGTTCCGAAGGAACTATTCGACAAAAAAGCGTCTTACCTCTTGAAAAATAATCATGCCATTCCTTTTCTCCACAAAAATCTTGTCCGCGATTCATGTACACACCTTTGCGACGGTTGAATTGCTAAAACTGGCTCCAACATTCCAAAAAGTGATTAATTTTAAACTTTGAATCGGGCGCTATTCGCACTATTGTGTTTTCTCGCTAATTGAATAACGCGGGCGCACTGGTCAGCTGTTCAAATAAACGTGGTGTAAAACAGTCATGTAGTTCCGCACAAACGGAAGTAATAACTTCACCTTTCTCATTTTTTCTGTCTTTTCCCTTTTTTTTTTTCTTTCTATCTTTCTTTACATTTTTCTTCCGAGGTTCACACTTCGGTTTAACGTTTGTTATGTTTTTCAGGTGAATCACCTTATCCTGGGAAAACGAAATCAGAAATAGCAGGTTTACTAGTAAAAGGATACCGCATGCCTAAGCCAGCCCACATCTCTAAAGAACTGTGAGTAGTTCAACTCAACCCTTTAAAAGTTTTGCAACGCGATCACAGTTTCTCACATGCACTTAGATATTTCTTCTCATTTATAAAGACCTATTGTAAGGTTTCGAGTGCTGTTCTATAAAACAAAACAAAAACAAAACTAAGAAATAAAAAAAAGAAGCTACGCGGTCTTTTTTGCCTTAAGATCTTCACTTCCAAGTGTATTATCCGGAGCTTATTCTTATCGATTTCTATAGAATCCTTAACAACTGAAATCACTTTTGGGACCTATAACCAATTAAATCCAATTGACGTTTGGCATCGAGGCATGTGTCATTTGTCACTTAGTGTTCCCGGCCTTCCAAAAGATTTTTATCCATGAAGTGTAACATTGCCTGCTTTCTTTTCAAACATTGTAGTGCTGATCATGTGATACGTGTCATAATTTTGTTTTCAGGTATTCGATTATGACTAAGTGTTGGGAAGAGAAACCTCAGGAAAGGCCAACGTTCCAGTGGCTTTGTTCTGCGGTTAAAAAACTCCTTCATGACCGAAAGGTTTGTTCGTAATATTTCATTATGCCTCGTTTTATTTTTTATTTCCAAATTGCTTTCATTAATTCTCGTTTAAATCTCTGTTATTATTCTGTTAAAAAAGAAAGGAACTTTAAGAGTATGTTCTATTGAATTCAAAACTCTGTGGGTTCGAAAATTAGAGAAATTACGTGATTTTTGCGTACTAGCGGAGTCTTCTGTTCTGATTTCGGATCTGGCTCTCTGAAGATTCAGATTGTGAGTCATCTGCACTCGGGCGGTCTTGGTCGGTATTTTGATGTTTTTTCCACGTAGGATTTCTTGTTTAAAACCAAATTTGGAAACTTTGTTTGACCTATAGACCTGGCGGTTTCCCAGTACACTTTGTTATCGGCTATAACACTACTGCTGAGACAGAAAACTTCACATTAAATCTAGTTACGATAAAAGTGGAGCAAAGGAAACACATATACATTCACATGCAGCAAATTTATGCAAAAAAAGGTTTATATGCAACGATGATCCTTATTTGTACAAGAATTACATCGCATCGCGATCGGCAGATAGCACCCAAAATTGGCGCAGATAGGCGAAATTTTTTACCTCTTTGCACTCCCCTACTCGGAAGAAAGCAAAACAATTTAAAGAAAAGGATATTTTATATAATTGTTAGCAAAGATGATTGAGTGTTTTAACAATCTCATATCTGTATCTTCTTTGGCCAGAACCACGTCAATTTAGAAGTCTACGATACCAAGGATTATGTTAATTTCGATATGATGGCGGGAAAGGACCATGAAGAAAAAACTGCAACGGATCATAATGACTAAAACATTGCACATTCTAAAACAAAAGTGGCCCCAAGCCATTTAACGAATTTTTAGGGATACAGGAAATTCAGAAATTTCTCATTACCAGTACGTGTAGACAATGCACCTTTTTATAAAACTTTGTTCAATGTTTTTCAAACGTTAACGTTTCAGAGTAATTCAATTTGATATCTGTTCACACACCTGTACGTGTAGGTCTTTACAAGTAGAGTATGCCTTATAAATGCATCAACATTTCATAATTGTAGGTTTTGAACTGTAATAAAATAATAATTGCACAGCCGCTGAACGTTTGTTTTCCATTTCAAAAGCACATAACAGCCCTTACACTAGCGAACGCACACACGAACAACAGTCAGTACTCTGTCGGCGTTTGACATCTGCAAAAAGCTTAAGTCATCAAAGCAGCAACTATGTACAACATCACATTAAGAGTTGAATTTCTCTTTGAACTGCTATTCAAAAGACTGACTAACAAATGGAAAATAATACTTATATCATAGCTAAAACAGAGGTATGTAGATAGAACGTTAACTTAGGTTATGAGGGTGACCCCTTGTAAGTGACGATTTTCTTCTAATGAGAACAGTAAAACGTATAACCTTCCCTTCCAAATCAATGGGAATTCTTGAGTACCGAAGAAATTGTAGCGATGAACCCTGTTACGACAAACATCGTGACATCCAGGGGTTTTATTTAAGGCTGGTTACTAGCGGTCTAAAGCCACCCATAAGACCTTTTACCGCCGTCTGTTGAGCTTGCGAGCGGGCTGTAGTGTTTGCGTTTCGCCTTACGGTCCCTTTCCGGGCACAGCTGTCCATAACCCTATCGGCAGCCGCCAATGGAAAAGTTACTGAAACCCCTGGACAACCCTTTTAATTTCATTATGTTTGAGATTTTATTAAAACAATCCTTATCGTGGACCAATTATACGGCCAATTTCGCTTGGGCTGCTTTCCTAATGGGGAGACAAGGTGTCACTGATAACGCATCAAATTTCGAGAGAAACAAACTGGTCTGAAGAAGCATACGGGCGTCATGGACATCACCAGTGTATTTCTTCTTCAACTTCCGTTAAAGTTCCCAAGTACTTCATTGCACAGTTGCTGCTTTCTTGGGTGTGATCTTTCGTGCGAAGTTAGAGACGGCTTCCTTGCGAAACATTTCTCACACTAACTGCACTTAGGCTTCTTCCATGGATGTGTGATAAGATGGCTCTTTAGGTATCCTGACCGACAAAAACTACACACTGCCTGCAAACAAATGGCATCTCTCCTGTATGAGTTCTTGAATGCAATTGAAGTACATCAGCGCGACTGAAGGGCTTCTCTCTATACTGGCACTGGAAAGGCTTCACCCTTGTATGCCTTCTCTTGTGTCTCTGGAGAACCTCAGAGCGACTGAAGGACTTGTCACACAAGTCGCACGGAAAAAGGCTTTTCACAGGTGTGTATTCTTGTATGCTTTTGGAGATCTCCGGATTGACTAAACATCTACCACATTGATGACGTCCATACGGTTTCTGTCCCGTATGTGCTCTGTAAGGTGGCCCAAGAGGGCCTTTTGTGACATGCCTCTTCAGATCCTTGGACTGCCTAAATCGTTTTCCTCAGTGGTCACATTTCAAGGGCCTCCCTCCTGTTCGTGATTCTTCAGGTACTCTAGGCGATTGAAGCAATTGTCACGACCTCTCCTCAATCCAATCCCATAGCTAATTAAAAACTTTCAAACTGTAAGCTGTATGTCAAGCACTTATCACAGTGGTTGCTTTTAAAAGGTTTCTTTGCTTCTTACATTCTTGCATGCCCATGAAGCACTGTGAAGCAAGAATTTCAAGGGAGGGGGAGGGAAGCTATTTGGGAAGAGCAATATATAAATAAGAATAAGGAAGAGTCCCGATGAAAAAAGGAAAAAGAACTGGCATTGCACAAAATATATGTATGCAATTTGGCAACAATCAATTTGACTGCAACCAAAATGAATTTCAAGGCCAAATGACATTGAACCCAACACAATGTATACAACACCTTCCCATAACAAATGAAAACTGTAGCAAAGGGATCAACATAAAACAAAATTGTAAGCTTTATTTAAACATTCAAGGCGAAAATTTATTTTTCCTATCACTGTGAACACTCAATGAGACATTGTTCCTCACTCTGAAAATCGTTCAAATATTGCCTTTGTGACACAAATTTCAAAACTACACTTGACAGAATAAAAACAGCAATAGCAAATTAACATAAAAAGTAAACAGAGCTAAACATCACATTACATGAGAAGTGTTATGAACACTTTTATAGACATCTTGAGTGAATTTTTCTGAAACTATAGATTGGTTTGCTTTGCAATCATTCCCCAACAAAATTTATTCATAAATGTAGGTATGCTACATGTATCTTACATCAACAGTATGAATAAATCATCATTACATGTAGATTAAATAAAATTCATCCATTGTATTATTATTTTTTTTGCAAATCAGAATCAAACATGTTTGAATTGAGAAGCACATATTCATGTATTTAACAGGAGATGAGAATAGACAGAGATACAGGGAGTACAGTATAAGCTAAAAGGTGCTTGCCTGGTTTCAAATGTCTATCATTAAATCTCTTTGCTATTTTACAAGGAAATGTGAAACATCTAGAAAGGAGAATTGCTTTTCACATACAAGCAGTGCAAGGGTTAAGAGAGTAGAAAAATGCTATACATGTACCATCTTCATGTAACAGATAGAATCATCTCCAGGAAACTATACTTGGCTAAATAAAAGCAGCTTGTCAGAGAAAAGGGTATGGTGTGGTATGAGGAGGTTGAGGTGTTCCTCTTCTTTCTCTGTCTAACACCTGAAGACCATATCTGAGCGTGTGACTTCTGTTTAATAACTCCTCTGTTGTCTCAGCAGTAGAGCTTGGGAAGTTGCCAGCTCGAGATGCATCCTATAGAGACATTTTAGAAATGTTCAAAAATAGTTTTTTTAGGGATACAGTTTTAATTTTTAGGCACTGTCAATTACTAAGAACAAGATCAAGTCTGCATTAAGTTGTTGAGTAAAAATTTAAGAGCCTGATTTCACAAAGACAGCACTGATACTTTCTCTAGGTGCCACGCACATGTACCTCACCCTCTGCCTTTACTATCACCCTTGATCCTGCATTAAGAAGTTTGCAACACAGTCTCATTATACTTTTTTATACCCCAGAGGAGACTAACAAGAGAAAAATTAAAGTGCCTTGCCCTTGATCACAACACAGTGACCAAACTTGATACTCAAATAAAGCTGGACACCAAATGTAAAAGATAGATTACCCACAAACAACAAGAATATTTTCAATATCAACCTCATTACATGTACAGTATACACTGCGCATGTAGCTCCTAGATAAGGACATACCAGTGTGGTGCGAGACTTGTGAAGTGATGTTCTCAGATCTAATGATGAAGGCATTGGAATGACTGTGGGTTTAGAACTCTCCCATCCAGCCAGACAATGTGATGACAAGCCCACTGAATCAGTTGGATCAAAGCTTGCTCGTCTATGAGGTTTAAACTTGTGGGGTGAGACAAGTGATGACCTTGGTACACTCACTCTGAAGAAGAAAAAAATGAAATGTATCAATCCAAAAAAGAATATGAAAGGTTAGAAAACTATAAAAATAAAAGAAAAAAAGTGTATGATTTCATTCACAAAACCAACATGATCTAAAAGGGAAAATGACATGCTTGTTATCTATCAATTATATTAAACAATAAAGTTTTACATGAATAACATTCCATACAAAAAAAAATCAGGCTTTGAATTTTAACTTAAAATTGTAAGCATCCTTAATTTTAAAGAGGCCAAACCAAGTTAAAGGAGTTCATATTTACACAAGATTTAACTTTTCTCTGACTTATTCCAGACACATAAATTTTCCTTAACTCAAAGTGAAATTCCCTTGACCTCAAAACAATATTTTTTCCTTTAGCCATTTCCTGACCTGTGGTAACCATGTTAAAAAGTGTATTCTTGACTTCACTATATAAGTATAACAGCTGTACTATTTTATGGCTAAGATTGCAAAAGCCCTCACCGAACATAACTTCCCTCTGTTTCATACTCTGACTCTCGTTTTGTATGACAAACTGAGCATGATGCCTCTGGGCCATGGATTGGTACAGGAAAGAGCCTCTCATTTAAAGTGTATGCATTTTCACCTGTAGGAAAACATCATTTACACTGATGGATCTGACTGCAATAAATTCTAGCAATGGTTATTATTAAAATTCAAGGATAATTGAAGATACACCATGTAGCAGTAAACAGCAGTTGACACCAATAGTTAATTATACATCATCAAATTTTGGGCTTAGTTCAAATTACAAAATACATTTTCTTTCACTTAGGGGTGAGGTAACTAATTCATAGGAATTAATGAGTTCAAAACCAAGGAAAACAAATTTTTCACTGGCTGTAAATGTGGGATACTAAATAAATAAATAAATAAATAAATAAATACTTACATGTGACTGCATCCTCTTCCTTGCCTGCAAAGTTCTTGGCTGGAGTAAACTTAAGTGGAGAATATGGCCTCCTGAGGTATCAAAATTAATAGTGAGCAGCATTTCAAATCAATTATTATTGTGGCTAAATAGACTAAGTGACTCCAATTCTTTAGGCCACTTATTTGCACAAGATCTAACCCAAACCACAGGCCTTACATATTCTTTTTATGGGGGTTGTTTTCATTTAATAAATGTCCTTCCACTACAAGCTTTCACTTCTTTTGACATTGTTCACAAAATTTAATGTTCAGATGAAAGATTCAGCTAAATTTAAGATCATTCAGAACATAGTTTTGTTAAAGAAAGGCTAAAATTTGTTTAAATACATGTAACTGGCCCTTTAAGTTTGATAAAATACACAGTGGACCTTTAAAACAGAAAATGCTACAAAGTTCCCAGAAAAGAAGGTTAAATCAGAATACATTAACATGTTCACAGTGCACATCTATCCAACTGAATGTACAAATTGAGTTATCAAGCAAATTGACTGTACAGCTGTAAGTTGTTTCCTCTATTGTTATACAAATCCAAATGTACATGTACATGCAATGCAATGCACTGGAACATGACAAATTAAAGCTTTTAACAGTGATTATCTCCAATCTTGAACTTAACATGGTGTCTTGAATCTTGTACAACTGTTGTTAAAAATACAACAAGATAATTTGCTTTTATCAACTGAGTATATAATGTAAATTGGTCACACATCAAGACTTTCAAAGCTCACCTTTCAAGCGTTACTTTCTTTTCAGCTCTGACTAAGGGCTTACACTCCAAGCATCAGCTTTAAAACTCTTTAGGGTGGCTTATTTACATTATCAACTCAGTTAATAAAACCAAATCATATTGTTATACTCTCCCACCAACAAAGCACCACAGTTTCTTTCGAAACTTACCCCTTTATTGTTCAGGGGAGATTGGCTGGACTCACTCTCCTTTCCATGTATGATCTGAGCTACAGTAACAAGCTACATATACAGAAGTTATTGGCTTCTTACCATTTCCAAAACTGGAGTACATTGTGTCCCCACCAAAACTATCATTCTTAAATACCCATATATATATGTCCTTGTTAAAAGTGTACACTTACTCCAAGGGAGTAGTTCCAAAGCAATCCTCCTTGTTAACTCTTCTAAACTCTTTCAACTCATCAAAAAAGTCATCTGGTCTTTCTGACAGGTACGAAGTGTTGTCTAACAGACCTGCAATCCAGTCATACCCAAGGAGAGACCTTCTTGCATTGTCATCACCAATCACACTACGCTCTTGATGAGGAGAAAGTTCAAAGCTAACATGCAAAGATTTTTTGGGTGTCTGAAAAGGAAGAAACACATGAACTCAAAAAAGGGTATCCTGGAGGAAGCATCATCAAGAAATAGACTTTACATGTATGCATCACCAAGTCAGAGGCAAAGAATGTGTCCTACATGGCATCAGCAAGTTTTCCAGAAAGGTTTAGATGAACAATCATGTCCATGTATATGTTACATTTTATTTTGATTACATTGTAAACCAGGATAAATAAACCAAAACAATCTCACCTGAAAATCCCTTGGTTTTAGAAGATCTACAATTTGAAACATCTCTTAAACTCGATTTAACACTACTTTTTTTCTTTTATTGTGAGTTACAATTAACGAGATTGACTGATCAAAAATTGACCCAATTTCTTTTTACAATTCTAGCTTAAACAATTTCACTGAAGTAAGCAAATAAAGTTTAATTTAAATTTGATTCCAACTGACATCGATATTTAATTGACATGATCAGGCAATAACAAAGTTCATCGACTGATGACTGATTAATGGTACCCTGCATAGTAATGTCTTATTTCACACTAACCGTTTCCATGTTCAGATAGATAAGACGTGTAGTATACGAACAGTGCTTTCAGTGAACAAGAGGCATTCTAACTTTTTACGTTTACTTACTGTAGTTATATTAACTCTCACCAGTAGTATACAATGCTAAGGACTTGCATCTGCTTTTGCTCTCACATTTAAATACATTTTATCTCACCTTTTTGCGGTTACCAGGAGTAGTTAGAATAGAAGCCGGCATAACTGGGGTCCTGCTTCTTCTATCATTACCACCAGCGACCAAAGCTTGCCCATAGCTTTTCGGTGTGCTTGTTTGATCCGTATTTCTGATGTTCTCGTGCACTTTTCGAGATACCTTCGATGGCGTTCTATCTCTTCCTCGATAGGTAAAACTCGTTTCTCCGTATGTTCTGGTCGGATATGAAACCCTTGTGGATTGCATGTTCTTCAAAACGTTCCAAATGTCATCCTGTCCGTGTCTTAATTGTTCAAGCAACAACTGATTATCGTTTCTAAGTCTTGAAAGCGGTGAGTAAATGTTTACACTGGTGACCGCCATTTTTCAAAACGGTCAACTGATCACGTGACTTCTTGTGCAGATTCTGTCCCAGACTCTGCGCAGAGTGACACTCAGAAGCTTAAAATTAATACTACAAAGCAAAACGTACAAGCGTTTCGCTACGGAAATTATTTATTTAATTTTTACAATTACACACATATATACATATTTATCAATTGATTCCAATTAACTCTTCTTCGCAAAAAAACAAGCTTGAACGTGAAAGGCAAGCAAAAGAGTCAGTGTACTCGTGTAAATTAGACAGTATGAGTACAAACATCATCTTGGTGCAGTGGAATGATCAAGACATTTATTATTTCACAGTTCAGGCGATTTTTATCGACTAATGCTGCTTGGATGTTGGCATTTGTTGTTTTTTCCGGGTCAAACGCAATAAAAAGGGTTGTCGTCATATATCGTTTTTCAACGGGAAGTAAAGTTTTAAGGTAATGTCACCGCTGGCAAATGGTTAGTCGCACACAAAACGCTTGATAAAATTGGCAAATTTTTTCAAGTTCCGTCGTGATAAATGACCGTGTATTTATATCTGAGTCGATTTTAGTCATCCTTCGTTCTATTCGCTTGAAAGTAGTTGTACGTTCAAAAATAGAATTCTTTATAGAGTTGTGTATTTCAATGTCTGTAGAAATTTTGAACAATTTTGTTGTCCATCCGCTGCCGGCTTTGTCGGGCCATAGCGGCCAAAGATCTGGAAGCGGTCGCAAACGGATATTCGCATTACAGAAGCATTGCAGCTAAGTCTGGCGGAGAGGACACCGAAGAATTTTGCTGGACAACATCAAATACTCTTCGTGGGTCTCCATACTCATCATTTTAGATCTTTTAGTATCCAAGTCTGATTAAATATCCGTGGAATTTTGTTAGTGCTGTTAAAAAGGTACTCTCTATTCTGATCTGAGTCCTGGATGTTTCGAAAAATTAAATTATAAAACATAATACCAAACCAGGGAATCTTGACGGGTGGCCTTGACAATTCTTACATGCTAGGTGAAATCTTGAAACATAATAATGTTTTAGCTGAGAGCTTTAACTTCTAATGCTTCGTATTTTTGGAATTTTCAAATGTCAAAAATGTTATATGCGTGCAAAACAATCTTTAGACCACTGTTGCCTGTTTTTATATTTCTATATCTCAAAGTCGACAACAATTCATCCAACTAAGCTGGCCTTATTTGGCATGAGGTTAAACATCATTGTTCAAAATAAATTTAAGTTTCAAAAACAGGCACGTATGCCTCAGTTACCTCATGTCCTAGTTTTATCGACGTCACTACTTGTGGCGAAGTATAAGGCTCTAGTCATTAGGAAGCCGGGCACTAATGTAGGTCTGCCAGCACTCCTCACAACAATGGTACCCCTCAAGCATGCTTGAAATGCTTTCATTCTCGTGTTTAAATAAAAAGATCTTCCTTTCCTGCACAAATTAGGTGAGCCAAAAAAATTTGGTAAGACATGGTAAGAATAAATATTTCGTACTTTGTCATTCATCGCATTCTACATTCAATTAAAACAAAATTTTCCTGCAACGCATCACAGGCATCTAGTTAAAAGATTGCACTTTAGCTGATGCGACTTGATGAAGAGAGAAGTTAAAGAAAGCTAAAGGACAGAATATGCGAGTGCACTGGTCTCGTTTGCACATTGCCCACGAGTTCCATGGGCAGGAGGGGAAATCAAACACTTAACTATGAAGGGATGTAAGAAGTCTAAGCTTTATGACTCGTTTCACGTACGTTTTAAGTTTGCTCGGATTCGCGTGACAAGTCGTAAGAAGCAAACTAAGCCTCGGCTGCTAAAGCTCTTTTCCTATAAACGAAATGGTTGGAGGTCTAGTCGAACGCGGGGTTCCAATGTCTCTGTGATGATCTCAGGAAATCTAGTTCTTACTGCTTTCCGATAAACAAGAAAATCGATTGATTCATGAGAACACCATCGTAAAAGATCAGCCCCAGAAGTTGCTTAAAAGCTCTTGCTCAGTTAAGACGTTGTCTTTGCGTAAAGTATCATGCACTCAACTTTTTTCTCGAAAACTTGCCAGAAAGGTGGCTTTATTTCTTTTTTTAAGGCCCTTTTAGGAGCAAATACACCAGACAAAAGAGAAAATAAATTTCGTCTAAACGATCGAGAGAGTACATTTTTACTTACTAATCTCTTCAATATAATTTGAAAGGTCAGTTAAATTTTCTTTTTCTGAATTGATGTAGATTTTTTTTCTTTAGACGCAAATACACTAAATGAAAGATAAAATACATGACGTCTAGACGAGAGAGTACATGTATGCGAACAAATTTCTTCCATATTTTTCTTTTTTTTATCATTGATGTAGATGCTATATGATGGTTATAAAATGGTACTTTGGGAGAGGCGTCAAAAGAAAGGAAGCAAGCACCTGAGAGCTTCGAAAATGATACCCACAATAATAATCAGTAAAAACACACTTGAAACAATCTTAATTAGCTACAGACTTCCGATTGATTTGTTTTACTGGGAGAGAAAAAGTATTTATTTCAGTGTGCTGCTCTTGAGTTAATGGATAGGAAGTGGCTCTTTTTATTTCCATCTAGCAACGTTTTCTTAAGTTACTGAGGCTAAAAAAAAACCGGTGTGAATTACTTAAAAAAAAGGAAGTTATGATATTTCTCGAAGTTAATCACGAGTTTCCCATCTCGAAGTATTTCGACAAAATGATTTATTTTTCGGTCTTCTATTTTGAATTCCGCCTTTCGAACTGAATCACTGAAGTAACCCGAGCGCTATGAGTTTCGATGAAAAATAAACAGGAATTGTTCTGGAAGGTGATGCTTGATTTAGTGCAAAGGGAATGGTTATTTTTATTTCCTTTTAGCCATAATCGTATTGAAAGATACTTTAAAATAACAAATTAGTAAAGGTGACTGAGATAACTAAAATATATTTTGTAATAGAAGTTCGCTTTTTATTTCCCATCTCCGTGTAGTTCGATCATCTTTATTTCAGACATGTTGAATTGTCACTCATACTATTGCCAACTAACAATATCATTTCGGCCGGTGTCCGAAGGAAGACATTGATATAAGTTATAATCTTACCTTTCACGTTCAGCTAATTACTGTTTCAGAAATATTTTACCCGTCTTTGTCTTGAATCTCTAGATATTTTAAGATTGGAATTACGAAAATTGTTCTTTGTCAATGCATTTGCCTTCTAATATCTATATTCCTCGTTGTATGATAGGAAACAATGAAAACAATCAATGCTATTTGGCGGAAAAGATAATTGTAATTACAACTCATTCTCAAGAAGTTTGAAGGTACCGCCGGTTTCGCGTTTATCGGCCCCCACTGACTGTTTTGGCGTCTTCAGGAACACAGTAAAAAGAAGAAACATTCAATTCTCGTATGTAAATAAATCACAATGTCTATTGTTCACAATCAAAGTAGTTTTAAGAATATTCTGGAAAATGTCAACACCTTCCATCAACTCCCGGTGGCTAAGGTTTCACCCCTAATTCCCAAGATCGCATTGTTCATTCCCCCCTCGAGCTGCTACACATTTCCTTCTAAATTAGTAACAAGAATTTGGTTTTACATCAAGAAAATAATCCGACCTGATAAGTTTGAATGATCTCATTAGCTGTTTACTGGATAGTGTAGGAATATTCAATGAAGAAGTTGCATTTCAATCACGCCAGTCTAGAATTTAAAGGGTTAAAGCCATGGGCGAGTTCTTTTGCATCAGAGTATAGGAAAATAAAAAATAAAGATTTAAAATTAAACCTACTATTACTGACATGAACTTTAAATGCAACAAGGAAATGTGTTTCTGTTCCAGACTGTTCGGAAACGTCGTATTAAGCTTTCAATAACTATTTCATAGTTTGCAGCTAACTCAGACCAACTTTTAAGCTTTGTCAAATCGAGTATTTCGAGTGATATAAAAATAACTCAATGCACTTCCCGAAAATGATCTTAGTAATCCGGGAGCGAATTGAAGGGGGCAACTTCAACGATCTTAAAGTCGTTGAAGTGCTCCTTTACTCAAAGGATGCCCTTATTTTCAAGAACCAGCTTCTTTAAAATAATAAAAAGTTCTATTTCAGTCTGAAGATGTATATAAGAACCATTTTCTCAGATAGAGGTAACATTTATCGTTTCGCCAGTGCCTGCTGGAGGCTAAGAATCTCAGCGCCACTATCAACGATGCGAAAAGCATCCCAATTGTTGCGATTGTTTCTCCTTTTCCTGTCTCTGCGTTGTTCAAATGGTGCTCCAGTAGATGAAAAGGAGAAACAATTTGCCCTGGTACGTACAGCTGATTTGAAATTACTTTATAGCAAACATCTGTTTTAGAGAAATTCATCCCTTTCTGACCAGAGCTAGTGCAACTGACGGGTAACCGTGTCACCAGATAGAAACTGGGCTAATTCAGGTTTTGCGGCTAATCTCTTTGCATTGAATTATCACTTATTTTCAATGGGCAAGAAAGAACATTTAGCTCACCGTCTAGTATAAATTTCATAGGGTTTATCAGATCTCTATTTCTACTTTCATTATACAAATAAACCGATTTTCATAAGATTTCAGGTGTCTTATAATTTGTTTCGCCAGTTTTGATATGATATTTGCAATCCTGTAGCTCACGCTGCATCAAGTGTGTTTTGTTTTGTTTTGTTGTTGTTGTTGTTGTTGTTTTTCAATTCGTGTCCACTACTTCGCCTTTGATTACTGCTATCTGCCAACGAAAAAACGAATTTGCACACCAAGAACTTTAAAATTTGGACATGGAAAATTATCTGACTTTCAAAATTAAAAGGGCTAGGTTTATACCCTTAGGAGGATTAAGTTGGTGAACATTAACCTGCTTAGGGGTCGAACTTGTCTTGGAAACAAAATCTCTCTATCTACTTTACAGCTAAGGTTAGAAATCTGCTTTATCTCATAGGATTTTCTGAAGAAGTATCATTACCTGTCCCCCTTAAAAAATGGAAACCATAACTTCAAGGACGCCGTGAGAATATTCCAGGAATTTGTGAATATTCCAAACACAGGTCAGCTGGATAGAAAAACAATAGCAGAGATGCACAAGCCAAGATGCGGTGTCCCGGATTTTGACGACGATGACAAACCCAGTCCGGGTAAAACATACTGCAATTTAAGGGACTAGTCATTTTTTATCCCCTGTGGAGGGAAGGTGGGGGGGGAGGCGCGAAGGATATTACGGGGATCACATGCTGTCAGTTTCAGTGGGAGAGCAGGGGTATCATTCGTGATAAGAATATTACAGACCTTTCGGGGGAATCAGGTAAATTTTATCGCTTCACAGAGGTGACCACTGAATAGAGGCTAACATTACTGTGATTAGGGGAAGACAAACTTGGGACTTTGACAACCAGCTGCTTAATACCGTGGTGACCGCTTTTAAAATATGGGGTAACCGGTGACAGGTTCGACTGTAAAATCAATTTCTCACAGGCGTGGGATAAAGAAAAAAAGTGGTCTTTTACGAGGATTCGAACCCTGAACCTATGCTCTACTGAATGAGCTATAAAGAACTGGTTATTGAGTCAGATAATATAGTAGTTCTTTGGCGTGTATTGTTCATCTTTGATCTGATAGTTGCTATCTTTTAGGGCGGGTTAAAAGGTTTTCTGTCTCCGGATATCGTTGGGAAACTATGCATCTCACTTACAGAATCCATAACTTCGCATCAAATGGTGGGTTGACTGTAAGTCAACAGCGAGGTATCATACGGAGAGCTTTTAAGGCATGGGAAAAAATTGGTCCAGTTTCATTCAGTGAGGTCAATAATTCCAGCTCAAACGTTAACATCAGCATATCGTAAGTAAACTGCTATTTATACATGGTTTATATAGGTGGCGGCTTTTAAATCGAGTCGAAATATTACAACTCTTTTCGATAACATATCTTTTCTGCGCGCAGATAACGCACCTTGTTTTCACAGGTGACTGATATTAATATCGTCTTGGTGACCGGATTTATAAACTTTTCACGAAGTGATTTATTACATAACTGGACGTAACTAGGGTTGAATTATACTTTGTGTGAGAGGAAACATATCTAACAATGAGAAAATCGACGAAGGATGACGCAGCTTATATGCGAGCTGAGTTTACGTGCTGATGATCGCTACATTTGGTCTGCTTAAAAGGTGTATCAAACTTGCTCCTTGATTTAAACATGCATTCAATATCTATGTAGTACACAGAACATTACATACCACCTGCGAAAACCAATCTTTCTTCTCGTGATGACAGCATCTTTCATTCGTTTGTTTTTCTATCTCACGAGAGATATATAGCTCACACCCGAAGATAAAATTCTTATCAACGCGCGCTTATGTAAGATCCCCTGTATCAGTAACCATACAACGACCAGAGAAAGTGCATGGAATTACATCGTAAATAGTGTAATCAAAAGCATTGCGAGAGAAACAGTTTTTATCTACGACAACTAATTGAAATTTATGTAAAAAAAGAAAGGAAAGGAAAAAGAAACAACGATTTACACAAGGATATTATTTGGCCCTTGATGTGGGTCGAATACTTTTTCATGTATGTAAAATACATTAGTACTGAGAATCATGTAAGTAATGCCAATCAAAATGCAGTTAACATGGATTGCCTTGCTTAAATATGTTGGCTCCTTTCTACTGCAGATTTGTTGCAAGGGTTCACGCCAGCTGTTGCTGCAAATTTGATGGTACGGGTGGAAGCATTGCTCATGCATTCTATCCGAAATCCGGCGCTCTTCACTTTGACGACGATGAACAATACACCAACAGTAACACATCTGGATACAATCTGTTCTCAATTGCTCTTCACGAGATTGGACACCTCTTGGGGTTGAAGCACTCTAACGATCCTAAAGCTGTTATGTATATGGAGTATAAAAACAACCAAAATCTCACGGACGAGGAAAGACATGGAATTGAGTATATCTACAGTGAGTGGGATAGTTTTAGGTCTGACAGGGGAGAGCAGGGAGTGACAAAAGCCTTATCCGGTATACACCTAAGATTAGCGCTTCAGTGTTTCTTTGCCAGTGAGAAAGTATGAGACCTCGGGCGAACCAGGCGAGTCGGCGAGAGGTACGCTAACTAGTAGTGCCAGACTTCCGGTGAATCTCTCTGCTTCTCGCGGGCGCGAGGAAACGCGTGTCTCGCAGCGCTAATAATGAGGGCCTAGTCGCAAGCTAACCTTAAATTAATATGCTGCAGTTACTGCTGTTAGAAACCTAGCAATCACAGTGGAACATCATGGGTAACCAGGATTAGTTATTGCCTGCTATGAAAACACAAGATGAAAAAAAAAGACTTGTGCTAATGACGACTTGAATATGTCGTCACATGCAAGGACCAATCATATATGCTAAAACTTTATCATGATGAGCGAATGAAACGAACACTTTAAGGGAAGCATCAATTTCAATATTGTTCTTCATTGGACACTTCCTAGAGTGTTACGCAGTCTGGTGAACCATCTTTTCACAAATTAGGTTTTTTTGGGGGTTGATGTACTCTTAATAAGTCTCTTTCGTTAAAAGTTGCAAAGCTAACGTTTCTAATCAACTTTTGTCGCTTCAGTGCAGGGAACTGCTCAACCAGACTCCACTGAGCGTGAGTATGTCAATGTTATTTGCAGTTACAAGATTATCTAAGCAGTCATTACGGCAAAAAGAAAGATTTGAAAACCACCAAACCGTCTTCTCGTACAAAGTAGTTGTTACTGTTTCACAACCGCTCACATTGCACGGATCCAAATTACATTACAATAGCACTAATGCAGGAGGATTGAGCGACCTTATCATGGATAATTAACATACTGGATGAGTGTAACTAATTCATGGATTTTCGTCCTGTTTGAGTTAGCTCCAGGGAACTGCGCTGATGACGTGCCTTCATGCCAGGATTATGTGGACGAATGCACGGGTAACCATTTTGTGAGGAAAAGTTGCCGTAAATCATGTGGAATTTGCGGTAAGCTTTATTGCGCCTATAACTTTGGGTGTGTACTTTGGTTATGGGAGATAATCAAGTGTTTGACTTTTTAAAACCAATCTTTTACTTAATTCATTATTTTCCCTTTTCTTCATTTCCAGGTGGTCACAGCGTCGGTGAGTAACGTGTACTATTTAACTAGTCAATATATGTTGATCCAATCTTATGGAAAAATCGTGGTAGAAATGCAGAAACTAGCAGAGCTATTTGCACATGTTAAAAAAGGTTGCATTTAATCGCTCTTTAAGGGCTAATTCAAAACTAAGCAGTCGAATGGATTGATAAGTAGCCAAAAATTCAAAATATAAAAATAATAAACAAATGGTTTCAAATGATCTCAACTGGCTGAGGTATCAAAGAATCCATTTAAACATACTTGACACAGCGAAATAACAACTATACAATAACAAGACCTTTAACGATTTTCGTTAAGATAATTTTTGAAATAGGGGTCGAAAATAATCCAAGAGTATATTGCTTTTCCTTTTTTTTTTCCTCAGTCATTTAGACACAAAACTAAAACTAATCTTTCCTTATTAAGTCGCAGTCAGTAAGTTTGCTCGTTTTTACTTCGAACTCACGTGGATTTCTCGTAATATCTACTACTATTCTTATTAGCTTTGTGACTACTAAAATCAAAACAACTTTGCGTCGATCAATTCAAAGCTTCAACATCCCCTCCCTGGCAACGTATTGGGCATTTGAACTTTTGAAGACTGGTTTGTTCAAATTCAAGAGGCCAAAATTATGTTCAAATGCCCAACTCAAATGCCGGATTTCATGGCCAATTTTTTTTGTAAAGGCAAGATTAGCGACCTAAAAGTAAAACACGTTTATTCCGCCGGAAGGACTTGACAGTTCCGGTTCAAATTCCCACCCTACCCAGGCATGGTTCAAATTCCCCATCACCCGGGCACGGAAGACAGTCAAATGTCCGTGGGTTTCACGTAGGAGGTTTTCTTTTTTTAAGCTTCGAATTGACCGGCGCATTACTCGTTTGATTCTCATTCTTTAGTTAAATTACCCTGCGTTGATAAGTATACGTCGACTTCGTGCAAAATGCTCAAAGGCTATAACTACTGCAGCAATTATAAGGCCTTCATGACCGATAAATGCAAAAAGACGTGTGGACTTTGTGCTGGTAAGTGTTTTACTAATACCTGTTCACACCTTTTCTTAATTAATGAGACCTCGCTGTCACTTACGACTGTTCACACTACATTGGTGAGAAAATATTCATCCACTGTCCAGTGTAGACGGAAAAAAGTTTTAGCGTTTTCACAGAGAATATAACCGGTTTCAAATCGATCGCTATTCCTTCTTCAGTGTGAATTGATCTGTTTAATAGTGGGAATGGGAAACTTAAGTTTCGTTTTCCCAATGGCAACAAAGGAAATAAATTAACCGTTAGCCGTAAAATGGCCAAAAATTTTTACCCGCGTTAGCCGTAAAAGCCATCACCCCATTGAGACCCTCTAAAAGTACTTCTTTGGACCGTTAGCCTATGAATCCATCCAAAACAGTCATTCATCTCAATAGAGTCATTAAAATATTGGAAAATATTTACCTTCAATTCAAGGAAAATTTTATTTTTCTTATTTGGTTGGTTTTTTTTCTGTTCTTATTTTTCTCTATTTGTTCTTAGCTGGATAACTTATCATTGGCCCTGGACCGGACATCGTTTTGACGAGAGGAGTAAAAACTGCTTTGTAGAAAATCACAAACTTAGAGAGATTACTCAGTTACTTAAACTGTCTGAAATATATGAGAAAAAACATACACAATAATAAAAGTAACTCGGTAATTTATATAGAAAATTAATTGACATGGCATAGTATGTATAAAACTAATGCCGTTTGATTGTAACTGAGTTGTAGAAATTTGGTAGAAAAATAAAGTTAATCAGAGAAAATTTAGTCTCATATTAATCATCAAGCAGAAAGATTTAATAAACGCTTAATCGTTTTTTTTTTACGAAGTAGGAAGGGTCAGGCTATTAATTTTAACACATCAAAAGTACAACTAAAAGCACGACTCTTCACCGTGAGACAAAAGATTAAAAGATTCATTTACTGATTTCTCTACATACAAAACTGCGATACACAACAACATTTTATAAAAAATAGTAAAATTTGAAGAAACATTATTTTTTTTTGTCTTATCTTTGAGAAATTGAATGTCAAACATACGTACTTCGAGCTCCAACGCTCCACAGTTGAGCCACAGAGATTCTAAGACCAAAAGACTGCAAGGATCAGCAATGTCAAAAGAGCCTCTTTTGATTTAATAGAGTAGGAAAGATGGTGAAATGAAGGCGTGAAAAATAAATTTTATTCATATAGTAACTGGAATCGCATAGTACAAAATCTCATTTGCATGTCGAATGATTTTTCAGAATTGCTCTATTCCTTAGATATTTAAATTGTTGTCTTTAAAATGTAATTCTCTCGTTGGAAAAACAAATGGGAATTAAGAGTTTTGGTAAGTTTCGCCACTGCGAAGTTACTCAAGGAGAGGACTTAAATATGGAAGCGATGACAGAATAGGAGCAAAAAAGCAAAAGGAACGACAGTAATAAAACGGGTAGAAAGCCTTGCCCAAAGATACTCAGGTTTGCCATAACTAAGTAAACTGAGGTGACCTAAATTTTAGTTTTCAAATATCATCCTTATTTGATATTTCACGGCGGTTATTTATATAGGTCAACAAATGATTCATCATGCATGCAGTTTGGTATGAAATGACACGATCAAAGTTTTAGAAGACTGAGATCTCAGATTCCAAACTGATAAAGGCTTAACATGTTTCCTCGGGCCATTCATATCTCTCGCGCGAAGGGAAAGTACAAAGTTTTTGAAAGCCACTCTACATCGTATCGGGATGACATGGAGGTCAAAGCTCATCATAGCAAAATTTTTAAATGACGACCACTGCGGTATGTTTACCGAAGCTAGAAATAATTCTGTCTATCAAGGTCACGGTTTTTACAAACAACAATTTTTAAGAGCAGTCGAAAACTTTTACGCCTATCAAACATCATCGCCGCTAGTCAAAAAGTACGGACGCTTAACATTTTTGCCATAAATAAATTAGGTTCTGTGAAACAAACAGCAGGTCAAACATCATTTATATGTGGTGATGTAAGGATTTTCACAGTTTACGAGCTTTCCAACGTACCACTCGTAAAAGAGTGCAGAAGCTTAGAAATAAAGTTCTTCTCGTTAGCTTATTGAAAGAGAAAAATATCAAAAGATATCTTTCATCTGACGAGTTATTTTCTTCTTTGAAATTTTGGCACAATCCCGTCCACTGGAACTCCGTAAACACTTTTAAAATCATGGTCAAACATCACCTCTTCGCCTCCATCAGCTTCGTTTTGACCGCCATTTGCAAATCCGACAGAATCACCATAGTAACAGTAGTTACCAGTTTTTTCTTTAAATAAGTCATGCAAGAGGAGTGGTTACCTGGATTTTTAAAATGGCGGCAAAATTGAACTTGATCGCCGTTCAATTGCAGTAGAAATGTTGCACGTGTGCAGGCTTAATTTGGATTCGGTATTGACATTCCAGACAACGAATAACGAGGAAATTTCGAAGACATAAAGATAGATATTGGATGAAAGGCACCTTTTATTCCCTCCATCTTTTCATCGTTGAAAATTATTCGCCTTGCTACTCGATTGCTACTGTTGCAGGCGCATTATTCTCACCTTGGTGTCTTACTGGGAGGTTTTACATTTTTTAAAAAATCGCCTCAGTTAATTGTACTCCTTTTTGCCATTGGAATATCAGTAAAGACGATGGCACGAGTTTAAGTATTGAGCATTTAAGCTAGTTTATTGGACTTTTCTACGTGACGAAATCAACAATGTTTCTTCATTCTGGTGAAATAAGTCCATTCCGTGTTGTGGCGGATCCTCACTCTCCATCTAGCCTGCAAAGAAAATAAAAAAAAGCTTCCTAAATTTTGAAAAAATAGCTTCATGTCTGTGACGAGACGACATACCATCATATTGGTATCAGAATAGATCAGGTTTGAACTGAAAATTCGTTGGCAAGAACAGTATGTTGATGTTAATGAAGCAAAACTAGAAATGGAATTTATAACGGTAAAAGTAATCAAGATAGTGATAATGGCAACTACAGTAACATTTATAGTTGTGATGATAATTAAAGTAGATGGGTAATGATTAATTTTAAGAAATAGATTCCATGTTGCCGTGCGTCTGTTCCGTACTACATCATAGATGACGTCAAAATGAAGTACCTATTTTTCTATATGATAAAAAAGCAAAATATTGTTAATGGTGACGTCATCTAGGTGTCTTTCCTCGAATAGATCATAACTAAGAATTGATCAAAATGCGTGTATTATTCAGCTTATCATATAAGCACTGTTTGATCCACTTACAAAGGCGACACGACTTAGGGCACAATCGTCGAATGTTTTGGTCCCATCTGCAGTACTGCAGATAATGTCGGCAGTTTGGATTCCTGTCACTGCAGCCTTTCAGATCAAAATAACACATTTGCGTAAGAAGTAATTCCCTTCTTTAGTGTTGGAAGGTCATTTTGAGTCACTTGTCTCTGCTAACAGGCGACGAACATCAAGGTAACCTTCTTGATGTTAAATCATGAATCTTGCTTTGAACTTTTAGAGGGTAAAAACCAAACCACAAAGTTGCAAAATCGAAATAGAGTATGGGTAAGCCGTACCATTTTAATTGTTGTGATTAAGTGATATTTACATCGGCGATGAAAAAGAAATTGATACTCGTGAACGTATAGTTGAAATCCTTCTGGAATAGGGGGCCAGTTTGACTAACAGCTTAGATGTGAACGTGTTGGCCGAGGCAAAACGCCGTGTCATGCCAGCCCCGAAATATTTTTTTCACAAGTATTTGACAATTTTTTTATCGCATGAAATAAAGGTTGCAGTTTTTTCCCTACTATGCTCCGTGATTGGTCCAGAAACTCGCCCAACCTCCCACCAATTAGATGCAAACTTTAATCGAAATTCGACGACTCACTATTTCCGCCTTTAAGCAGTTGAGGTGCATTCACTTTACAACACGTAATCTCTTTGAAATATTTCCCTTTATTCCCATCGGCTACTGAGATTTCTTAATTTTTGTTTTAGGTTAGCCAATCAGGCCGTGCCCCACTGTAAGGAGTTTGACTCACCTCCTCCTCCACCTCCGCCGTTTCCACCGCCTCCGCCTAACGAAGAAATAGGAGAGTGATAATGAAGGCATACGGTCTTTCCTCTGCTAACGGAAACCTTTCTTCTTCCAGTGTTTGTTACAGTCAAAGCCACACCTTAATCCTTTTTCGCTTAGCGTAGGTTTAAGAGTTGGTCTGCGGCCCACCCCTTTGTCTGTCGCTTACGAATCCACAATAACTTAATTAGGTGGTATCAACATCACATTAGTAACACAAGTGAAGCCTTCACCTGAAAACTTGTACAGATGAATAGATGAACGCAGACTAGAAATTGCCTTCCCGTTGCAGCATAACTTTTCAGAAATTCCTTTTTCGTAAGAGAATTAAGAACTTACTTGATTGCTTTTGTTTGATCCAATCCACGAAATTGCTCACACGAGCAAACACTGTGTAATGATCTGTCCTGCACTTTCCATGACCCCAGCTCACAGCACCTCTCAAAACCCATCGCCCTCCTTCGTTGCAAACAAATGGGCCGCCACTGTCTCCCTTGTAAGAATGGGGAAAAAAAAGAAATTACTTCTCGTTCAGAGGAATCTAGGCAGAATGAAACCTTTTTCTTCTGAGTCATAAATTTCCACTAAAATTTGGTCGCGTGAACGAAGTGGGCGTACTTGTCGACGTGGGTTTGTGTAATTCCTTTGCGAGTAAAAAGCTCCGTCGGAAGTCGAATAAGTAAATCAAAAGACCTTTTTCCGCTGTTCATGTGAAAGGGGTCAAGATCAATCTTTAAGACCTAAAAGATAACCGCGATTCAAAATCATGACCATATAAATTTTGATTTGATACATTTACCTGGCATCCACCTTTGCCTTCACCTCCAGCGCACACCATGGAGTCTTCATCAACACTAACCATATAACCGTTAACACTTTGGCAGCTTTTGTGATCGGCGACTGGCAACACAGCCTGTTGGAGAGTTGAAGCGGCTTGTCCACCTCCAACCATTCTTCCCCAACCTTCAAACGTTATTAATTAGATTTAGTGACCATATATTTTCAAGTACACTTGAAGGAGAATTGTGCGTCACAGTGCTGCGACAGATACAATTTGAAAAAAGATACCAAATATCACTTATAAAACAGGCAGCTTGTCAGCTTTATCTGAGCAATAGACCGCACTCTCTATCAGTTTACCGGGGTAATAACCTACGCAGGATGTTGGAAGAACACAAGAAAAAGTTCCTATTTTCTTTGTGTTGGCGGTGCAATAAGCGCTAGCCTTGTGACCAATGAGGGCGCTCGTAATATCTCAATTATTCTATAATAATTTACACATTTCGCATTTTGCCATAGAAAAAAAAAGCGATTTCGTTACCTGTAATATAACATCGTGATCCAGGTGACACCTTGTCTCCTGGCTGTGGCATGCAAACGGTATTTACTTTATCGCTCAGCTTCACTCGCCCATTCAGCTGTAGAAGAGCTATATCGTTACGGAGCTCTCTCATGTTGAAACTTTCATGTTTGAATAGTTGCCGTAAATTGAAGGTCTGCTGCACGGAGGTTGTTCCAGTTCTTATGTGGGCTCCTGTCAGAAAAGTCATTTCTTAGGCTAAGTTCAATTTTCTCTATGACATGGGTATAAAGAAACTAAGATCCACTCCATCTATTGATTTGTCTTTCAGAGCAAATAGATCTATGAACTGCTTGTTTGAGCTTCTTTAAATTGTTTTCAACTAGGTAATATTTAAAGATAAACCGAACGTCAAAATCAAAACAAACAAATAAAGAAACAAACAGACAGAAACAACAATAACAATTACAACAACAACAACAACAAACAAAAAAAAACAAAACTTGAAATTGTTTGCTAATAATTTGGATTGTTACTTAACATCCATTACACTATTTTCAGCGGAGAATCGGCCTGACAATGAATAAGAAGAGGGGTAATTATGTTGAGAGATAAACTTGCTTGTTTGTTGGCTAATTTATCAGCCTTCTTGCATCAGGCAAAAAACAAACAAGCAAACAATAACAATAGCAAACGTTAAAGAACAATGATTGATGTCTATGTGTAAATTATACAACAAAGAGGAAAACTTTATGCTGGCAAAGGTATTGTTAAAATAGCTGATGTAGCAAAATTTTTCAATCATAATGTTGAAAGCTTGCGTGAAACAAGCAGAAGAGCAAGTCTCCAAAGCGTACCTACGACTACAGTGTAGCCACTCGGCGATGGGTTCCTTTCCACACAATGAGCAGCAGTTACAACCCAGTCATCTTCAATAAGTGATCCTCCACAGATATGTCGACCATTCACTCTGAGTGAAATCTGCCAAGGCCAAGCGTGAGGCGCAGCATTTTCACCATTCACAACTCTTGCCGAAAATGGTTTTTGCCCGCATCCTGAAAATCATTTATGTTTGGTTTATTCATGCAGAAGCAAGAATAAGAAATGAAATCTAGGCAGATGGTAATTCAAAGATTCATAAATTGTTACAGCGAATCAAAACGAAAAGAGGCTGGTCATAAACAAAAGAAAGTTTCAAGTAACTCAGTGAGGAGTAACACCTTTAAGCGATTCTCAGTTTGTTTTCATTTTTGGATCTAATTGGTTGAGACTTTAGCACTTTTTTTTCTTTTTTTTTATCATAGGGCAAATGTAATCATGAATTACTTTCGACATTCAATTTATAGTTACTCCTATTATGGTGAATCAGTTAATGCAGTTTTAAGTCTGAGACGTACACTAAGCTAAGAGAATTTTTATCGTTACATCGAACATTATGAAGAAGTTTTCTTGAAAGACATCTAGCTCAAGTAATACAATTTTACCTATTGTTCTTAAATTTGTGATGTCTTTCCTCTTGTCAATACAACAAAGGAAGCCTAAAAAAGTAAACCTGAAAGACCTACTAAGAAAAACTACCTTGAGAATATGGTACGCCAAGCAGCAACAGCACAACTCCGATCCAGAGATTCATCATGAGGGAATGGATCTCTAAATGTGGTAACAAGATGAGGCTGACACTTTTTTTTATAGACAATATGTAATATCAGTTGCTTCTCACCTGGATAACCTATTCACACAATACACACTATTTTTTTTTAAACAACTTTCGCGTACAGTCTGGCAACTGATTGTTCAGACGTCTGAAAGTATTTTTCAGCTGGGGAAAAAAAAACAGGAACAAAAATTCCCATTTTTTGGTACAAAAGGTGACGTAAAGGTATAACTAAAAAGTCAACATTGCCTACCAAACACAGCAGTATAACCACAAAGACACAATTCGTTCCACTGACTTGCACGTCATAGTCGCCAACCAAAGAATTCTTTATTTATACAACCTACATACCCAATTTGCCCAAATTTTACAGCCATAGAATGATATATTTGCAGCTGTACAGGTTTCATAAACATATCTGAAGTATTTTTTTGATTTAAATAATCTTTCCAGTTCAAGAGCTGATATTTTCAAGGCAGCCTTTATTGTCACTTCCGCTGGGAACGCTATATTGAGCCTGGTCATTTTTATTTTTGGCAATACTTGAAGATGTACGGTAACTGAACTTTAGCATTTTATCGACGGTTTTCGAAAATCTTTCTCACTGGCAAAAATCAATTATTACAATATTCCTATATAACTAAAGATATATCTTCAGTACATTTTATCTTTAGAAATATAGGGTCTTAAGGATACGACTGTTTTTTTTAAAACGGAAACCATCTACAAATAACTAACGAATTAGCAAGTATCTAAATTTTGACAGAGCTTCAACGCAATCATTTTAACAGCTGTTCTGGCGTGTCAAATATTTGGTTGAACAAAATAACCCCAGTATCCCCGCATGATCTAAAGGTAAAGAACACCTGGGACAGATTTTCTTTTATTCTTCGACGACAAATTTCTGGAAAGAGGGAAAGAATGTATCCTAAAAGAAACGTTTACGCCCAATGGAGGCGCATTTCGTGCTTCATTGTTTTGATGGGAGGTTTGAATCAACCCCTGAGGCAAACTAACCGAGCAATAAACAGATTACGGCGTGTGAAAATATACTTCCTCTAAGGAGAGAAGGCGTTGTCAGCGGAAATAGAAGTTTTTTTTACCGAGCGGACGATTTTCGTAAGTAAGTCATTTCAAATTTCATGAAGAAATCCTTACGTCAAGAGATATTTTGTTTGAGAAAAATCGAAAGGTTTTTGAGAGACCACTCTCCTCCTCAAACTCCTTGGAGGATCTCATCAGGAACAGGAAGATCACGGGAAGTTCTGCAGACAGAAACTGTGGACATATTTTCAGTTGTGCATCGCTCCTTAAGCGACCCATTTGTACCTACTAATCGTGAAATGGTCCAGATTTGAGCTGCTTATCAACGCTGATTCATTGTCATCGATCACAAATAATAAGCAATGTAGGTGTTTAATCACTTTAATGTACCACGATTGATACTATCATGCTCAAGGAAACAATTTCAATCAACTGCTGCATTGATCGAGGTAGCTTTTGTAGCGCTCTTTTGCAAAACCAAGTCAAGAAAAGACGGTAGAAGTAGATTTAACACACGTAAATAAAACCCAAAAGGCTTCATTGAGTTATTACTTAGCAATTTACCCGTTAAATTTTTAAATTTCGAGCCCATTACGCGATGTCAATTCCACGCAATAAACCTTACACATACGTGCGTAGAGAAAAGTTTATCCTTCGTTAGGTTTTGTCACATATTTCATTGCTATTCAAACAAAAACTTACGCTCATAAATCCTTCCCTAAATCCACTTCTCATAAAAATCGCTTATTCGAACATCAAAACATTTTTTTGCCATATATATATTTCCTTTTAGCAACTTGCAACATTTGCTTCGTGCCGATCCCGGGAATCTTTGCGTGAACACAGGGATCCGATTACTGAGACCTAATTCATTTCGACGAAACCCTGGTCTTTCGAATTTTGATCACGTGCCTCATCAATGAGCGATTCTACCTTTCTTCCTCTTGTTCTTTAAAAGTATAATCTTATCTTTTCAAAGGTCGAGCTTTTCGTTTGAAATCTCGATGTCAATTGAGCTATTTATACTGAATTCCTTTGAATGAACATCAAATTTAAATCAAAGCTTAACTTTGGGAGAGTCCTAAGTACATTGCTTGCAAAATGGATCTGGCTAATGCTTTATTGAGGAAACATTTTATAAAATGTGATTTGATGATTATCGAATTGTTTCAATGCATATACAACCGGGGTAATTCAGTTTTACGTTAATCCCCTTCCGAATGTTTCGCCAGCGTTTGTATGAATCAGAATGTTCGCAGAGCGAGAAAACTGCAGATAAAGCCTCAATTAAAGGAATCTAAATCCTTTTTTCAAAACCAGTCCCGCAAAATTTTGAGAAAAGAAATAAATTCTTCGCCAAAAGAGAAAAGCTAAAGATAGAGAGGTCTATTGCCCACCGAACCAAGGTAATTGAAAATGGCGACATCGCTGCTCACTGCATTCCTATTTGAGGGTGACAGAGGTTTTACGACGTGATGCGTGACTTAGTAAGGCCAACATTAATTATGATGCGTGGATTTTACAGAAAGGGGAACGTCACGTGGTTCGTGAATTCTTATGTACCAGTGTGAGGCGTGATTTGCCACCTGAAATTGACATTATCCGTGAGCTTCTTTCATTTTGTGAAAACTTCAAAATTTCCCTGAGACCTTGTACACAAGAAGAAAGAGATAAGGTTTTCTCCTTTATCTTCAAGACGCATGAATGTTAGGTGCATGCTAAAGAATTTAGGGAAGTGTTTATGCCGCTGGCGGTGACCATGTCCCCATTCATTTTCTAAATGACCCGATTTCCGGTACATGCATTAGAAAGGTTCTGAAGCACAGGATACGTTGCTCATTTCTCGTACTTTACAAGCAGATTCATTGCAATAAATTGGACGCTATGTAGTTTGCTGTTTAAAATGCTTTAATTTGCTCTTTACCAAATACTTAAGTGGGAGCTTTGCCTTTAAGAGTTCACTTCAAATCTTGCTGCTCTTTTTCGCTGTAAAATGTAGAAAAAAATACAAAGATATTACGAATCAAGAGTGTCCTTTGATTAAATTAAACGATAATATTTAATAATTGTTCACTTGCGGATAAAAGACTTTGATGTTTATCAATGCCAATGTACGTGTAGTCTTGTATTTACTTCTATCAAGAGAATATAACAATAATTTATTTTCTCTTCCTTCTATACTCCTTCCCTCGATAATATATTTTGCAGATTTATTTTTAAATGGAACAAGTCTACTTTCGAATAAAATAAACACAGATCACGCTAAACGTATGGTTATCAGGGATTCCTTGTGACGGAAGCTCCTCGTTTCATAAACAAGAACTAAAGTTTTTCTTTCGATGTTTTTACTATTTTTTCGTGTTACGAACAAACCATCTTTTCGACAAAAACACAGTTGGTTTCGTTGATATGCAGATACCTGAATTTAGCAACGTTTACATGTCTTCTTGCAATTTGCCTGCACCCACGAATGCCATGAGCAGTACCGAGTCCAATGCGGGCAGTAACTGTGCCCATCGACACAACCTAGTCACAAAAATTACATTTATTAGTATATGCCACGCAGGTAAAAAGGGCTTAATTTTTCGCGTACCTTGATTCGTTAGTTTGACAGTGATTAACAAGTATTATTCACCTCCGAGCTACCGAAGAGACAAAATCGGTCTTTGAGTAGAACCCCTGACCATTTTTCGGTATATTGACAGATACAATCTAATACATTGCTTTGTGTTTGGTGTATTCTAAAACAATTAGTAACCTCAATGTTAATGAGAGTGATGGACATTTAACTCCCTGTTTTGCGGTTCGGTAAATATCCACCACTATTCACCTTTACTGAGGTGAATGATTGTTAATTAATTTTAATTCAGTAAATGTTATAAAGATAATAAAAGCAGTGATGATAATTATAGGAATAATGATAATAATAATAATAATGACAAGAATAATAAAAACGAACATCATCATGCCCCTCACCGAATCAGGTTCTACGAGAGTTTTTCTTCCATCTTAGCATTTAAATTGGCTTTACCAATAAAACATATGATTTGTGTGTGCCACGTTAATTTTAAAAGCTCCATTTTCACAAGCACCACAAGACTATGTTTTGCATCAACGTGTCACAGCGTATATTAAATCGTATCCAATAAAGTAATTCTGCTGGCCTGAATTTCTAAGAATTTATAAAACACTCTAATAATTAATCACATGAGTTTGTCGCACAATTTCTATTCCATGTATCATACCGACCGATGTACACAGTATAATTTGAAGTTTACTTACTAACACTGCCCCCTCCACTGGTACCTTAAAGAAGTTAACAAATCATAACAATGTTAGCGCCATCAATCAACCGAATAGGTGATAGTTAATAAAGTCTGTGTTAGGTTACTTGGAGAATACAGAAAGGGAAAGTGATCCAATTTGGGGAAGCTTTGTGGGTTCCTCTTAGAGATAACCTTAGTTCAACGTCTTATTCTCTGAACATATTTCAGTACGAGGTTCATATCCCGTATGATATTACTTCTATGAAATGGAATTATAAGACCCCCAGCATATACAGGTAAGGTAATATATTGCTTTTTCGGGTAGAATATATAGATTTTACCATAGCAAGTAACTTAACTCTCACTTAAAATCCTTATAGACTATAGCATTTTCAAAGAGTTAAACAGTTTGATAGTTAGAAATGTGAGGACATTGCTTTTTCACACGACCTTGGTCAATTTATTTTCCTCTCTCTCTTTCATACCAAGACTGCAAACTATATGATTTTTTTCAGACGCAAAATATCATGTTCGCTTGTTAGACGCTTTAAGATTATGTGTGGCTGTCTCCCCACTAAAGCCATGAAATTACCTGACTTCTTCCTGTTGATCCATTCAATGAAGCTACTCAGACGAGCGAACACAGTGTAGTGATCTGTTCTGCACATCCTGTGACCCCAGCTTACAGCGCCACGCAACACCCATCTCCCTTTCTCTGCGCAAACAAAAGGTCCACCACTGTCGCCCTATAGTAAATCATATGTTAAAACGAAAATCTATATATGTTGTGTTTTTTCGGTGCAATGGAATCCACTGTTTATTTAATATGTGTTTATTCACTTAGTTGCGAACTTTTGACGGGCGGGCCCACTTCAGCTTTGAGGCTAGTTTAAATTGGGGCCTGTATAAACAATAACAAGGCCAAACACAACACGGGAGCTAAATTCCCTACTCTTTGCAAGAAGTGCATAGGTCCCACTCTAACGTTTCCTGTTAACTAGTGCAGAGAAGATGCAGGAGACAGAGCCAAATGTTAAATTTATCGTCCTTATCCGTGAAGACTACAATGTCTATCCAGTTACGGATGTTGTAACAAATACAACAAATTCTCCTCGGTTATTCTAAGACCCTGACGATTGAACCGGTCTGGGGTTTGACCACTCAACCTCCCGCAGGCAGCTTGGCGCTTTACGGTATGATTCGACCCAGTAGGAGCAATAAGAAAAGCTTAAAGATGTTTTACTGGTGGAAGTGTTTCGGAGCAGTCAAGTGCATTAAAATGAAGAACCCACCGTGCTTTTATAGATAGTGCACGGATAAGCTCGTAAGGCCAGCAGGGGTAAATTGCGCCAATTTACGTGCAAAGGATACCTTTATTATACCTGTTACTGCGCATTTCACCAACACCACCAAAGTTGCAAATTGATCAACGAAGATTGATTTTGCGATGGTATCAATCATGTTGTAAACCTCTTGTGAAGTAGGTGTGATGTTCCAGAGAGAGAAGATCAAAAGATCATGTGTGAAGTTGTAATTATAGCAAATCGATCCATGTTGTTTATCTCAGGTTTTAAATGTAGACTGCAAGTTCGGCACTGGGCTTCAGAGTTGACATGTAACGAAGAGGCTCGGTTGTTTTTTGTTCAATCAAAGGGATTATTTAATTACCTGACATCCTCCTTTTCCTTGACCTCCGGCACATATCATTGAGGTATCATCAACAGGAAGCAAACGTCCGTTGATTCTGCTGCAATCACTGTGCGAAGCAACAGGCAGTCGAGCCTGCTGGAGAATGTTCGCTGCACTTCCACCTCCAACAGTTCTTCCCCAGCCTACAAACGTAAACGATCATATTGCTGTAAATATTCTGATTGTAGTGTTTCATTTAGTGATTATATTGTGTGACAATTTTAATCAATACCCTCTAACATGTTACTTCTAGATAACTTCGAGCTGACAAGGAAAATTTCTACAGTTTCTTTGGTATGATACGATTGAATTTAAACACACCAGGTTTGGTAGTATAGCTGAAAATGAGTGCTACATGCAGATCTCAATTACCAGTAATATAGCATTGTGTTCCTGCTGGAATGCGGCTCCTAGACTCTGGTAGACACACCGTATTAACTTTAGAGCTGGCTGATATGGGCCTTTCAAGCTGAAGAAGTGCAATATCATTTCGCAGATGTCTCCCACTGTATCCTTCATGTTTGAATAATTTCTTCAAGCGATGGGTCCGCTGTACTGATGTGGATCCAAGCCGACTATGAGCACCTGACAGAGCAATTTTAAATTGAAAAAGTTTAGCAAAAAATGTATCCAAAAGCAACTGATTATTTCAAGTAAAACTGAGATATTGAGATCTATATTGCCAAAAAGCTGGGATGGTAACAACAGAAACATGTAAATCAGATATAAATTCTCCAGTTTTCGTTTCTTTTAATTTCATTCCTTAAGTAGGCAAAATATCGCGAAAACTCTTTTTCTTCTTCTGTTCAATTTGCGGCTTGCTTAGTTCCCCTTTTCTCTTCAACTGTAGTACGTATTCTCTTTAATTTCTGATTTACACATTGTAATCCAGCAATTGGGAAACTAGTTTACGCAGACTTACCCACGACTACAGTGTATCCACTTGGATTCGGGTTCCTATCGACACAATGGGCGGCAGTGACGACCCAGTCCTTGTCTATGAGAGATCCTCCACATATGTGACGTCCATTTACTCTGAGTGAAATCTGCCAGGGCCAAGAGTGTGGAGAGGCATTTTCCCCATTAACGACTCTAGCCGTATATGGTTTGACTCCACAACCTACACAATGAAGAAGGCTTTTAATTTTATGGTGATATTACTAGATGAGAGGTAGAGATTCAGCTATGTTGGTTAATGCAATCTGACTAATCATTCAAGAAGGCAAGTACTAATGCGTAGTGATTATCATGATGTGTAACCCTAGATATTTGCCTCAAAACACAGCAGCCAATTTGTGGTATATATCAACGCTTATATATGAGCTTTCGATGGGAAACTTGTTTGAGATAAGTACGGTTTGGGTCGCATAATCGAAAAGACTTCCAAAGACTTAGTATTTAGTGATCATATGCGGGTTTGATTAATACCTTTAGAATGCGAAACTCCAAGCAACAAAAGTGCAGCTCCGATCCAGAGATTCATGCTGGCTGAATGATATCTGTTTGAGATTGGTCCTTGTTTTATAGACTATATTATCTTTGATGGTGTTTCTAGCTTGGAAATCCTGTGCAAACATTACTTCTTTTAACTTTCGTAACGGTCTTTAAGATCTTGCCCTATCGATGATTCAGGTGGAAAAGATGTTTAACTAATGACATCCAAACCTTTTCACTTTTAATTTGCGCTATCGTCAGGTTCTCTTTAAATGCAAATTGTTTTCAGCTATTTTTCATTAAAATATGTGAGTTAAAGTACCCATTATTTGTCTTAACCTACATGGATTACACAGGTGGCTAAGCTGCTTTTTTCAATAATACCTATTTCTTTCTTGTTTCAATTAGCAGTGTTAGCAAAAATTATTCACAGGCAGTTGTTTTGAATAATTATATATGTACATGCCATAAGTTATAACTTCGAATACAAAGAGCATTTGATTCTAAAGGATTAATCAGGTGGCTAGAGTTAAAAACACTTTGTTTTGCGCTATTATGAAATAATGGTCGATTTCAGATGGAAAGGTTTGTTCAAACGTTTCTACCTGAAATCATCTTGTTTGGGAATGGTGAAAAAAAAGTCGCAAACGGAAGATGGGCTTAGAAATGGTTTAGTAAATATCATACAATTTCATCTGGGCTTATCATTCTAATTTCCTCACAATTAATTTTATGATGGCAAATTCTGACACCCCACTTACACTTTTGCTATTCAACAAGGTTGAGTTCTACCGTCCAGTTCATTTAAAAAGCGAATCTTGTTTATCTTGCTCTGTATTTTCTTTTATATTCTTTTTCATTTCTTTAACATAGGTCTGCCTTTTCGCCTGAAATTTTGATTTCATTTGAGGTATTCATACTGAACTGCATTAAATAAACTTCGAACTTAAATCAAAGGTTAACTATGAGAGAGAGTAGTCTGTTTATTTGCTCATAAAATCACGAAAATGTTGTACGGTAGAGACATTTTTAAAAGTGGTTTCAGAGCTATCGAAGTAGTTTAATTAAATGTATACCAAGAGTAATTTAATTCTATTTTAATCCCGCTCAGGATGTTTCGCTTGCCTTGGAATAAATTAGAATGTTCGCAAAGTGAACAAAACAGATCATCATTAGTTAAAGGAGTCTGAGTGTTGTTTTAAAACCAGACCCAATAAAACAACAGAGGAGAAAAAAAATTTTATCAAAGGAAAATTGTCTTTTGGTTATCGAAATTAACCTGGTTTCTGCCTGGCTTCTACGTGGTTTTACCTGGTTTTCGCTGAACGTTTTGCTTGAGAAACTTGAAAATTAAGGCTGTTTCTTGAAGCCTGAAAAGTTGTTGTTTTAACCGTTTAAGAACAAAAACAAAAAGAAGATAGAAGCATTTTAAGGAATGATTGGGCATTGCTTTGATACCATATCAACCAAATTTTAGGAGGAAATGTGATAGTATCGAGCAATATCGAAAGCTTTTTGAACAGCTTCGAAATTCACCGTAGTCACCCAAGGAAACAAAATTTGAGGCACCATTTTTTCAATACGTCGCAATTTAAGTAAGTAGCCATTTAAGTTGCCAGTAAATATTTTGCCCATCATATGTACAAATCAATTCCGATAGAAGAAAAAAGTCGGTTTTTTCGGGCCTAAAAGTGCTCTTATTTTGTCTTTAAAGTGTCCCGTGAACTGGTAACGAATTAACGGGTGATGACGCAGAAAACTCTGAAAACTCTCAGTTGACACCTACAAATCTCTCCATCTCTTGTATTTTGTACCTACCTTCAGCAAGCTCTACCGAGGGTTGTAATATATCGTACTCAAGTGGTAGAGAAGAAATGGAAGTTACGAGTACGGTTCAGCCCTAAGAAGCAGAACTGCGTGCATCAAACGAAGATTTCGACGAAGTCTGACAAAGACGGTTTTTCGCCTGCAGTTTTTGGGTCAAGATAAGGACAAAAAATTCCCTTTACTGAATGTTTAGTTTGCTGCAGTTGTGGTTTTTTTTTTTTTTCTATGGCGAATTAAGAATATTCGCTTCTGTTGCCATAACATTTTATTCCTTAGCAATATGTGTGGCCAAAGTTCCCCTCGGTCAGTGCTCTGAAGTTTTGTCGCTGTAGAGAAATTTCCCTAGTAAACCGAATCGGCTAACTTTTGACAAAAAAATCGGCTGTATCACGGGGCACGATGATTTTTCACTGAGGAGTCATCAGGCAGCTTCACTGCAAGTTGTTCCTTTCCTCACAGATTGCAAGGGCAGGTCGTCGCGATCGTCGAGCCGGTCAAACCGAACGGAAAACGAGTGAGTGCTTAGTCATCTGATTCGAGTTAATTTCATATGGGGATTTTAATAGAGAGACACTTCTTTAGTTTAAGCGCAGCGTTGCCGTATATGACCCATTCCGCTCAAAGGAAATAACTGACATCAGTATTATAACTGAATATTTCGTACGCATCGACTTTCACACAACACTTGGATTCGCAATCATCTAATCCAATAAAATTTGTGCTTCTTTATTTATCTCGTTGAAGCGTTGTTATCACAATGACATTGCTGCTGTTGATACTTTTAGTTTCTTTAGGGCAGGGGAAATTGATGGCTCGTGGGATGGATTTTCGGAAACCTAGGTTAAGAGAATACATGGCCTCTTCGAGCTTGTGTACATGCCAGTATCCGCCAAAGGTTTTGCACTGTTCACGCAGCAGGTTATCGGTAAGCTTGAACTTCATTAAAAATGATGTTTTTCTTTTGTTAAAATACGATGGAAATTACAATTGGTAGGATTTTCATACGATAAGAAAAGTGCAAATGTAGTCATTTGGAAAGATAGTACATCTCAAGTGCATGAAATAAACAATAATAAGGAACTCACTATTCTTCGCTTGCAAAATGTCAGCCGAAAAGAATCTTGAACAATCGTGTTCGGTGTGGGAACAGACCCCCTAATCAGCATTCTTTTCAGCTGAATTCATTGGTAATTTTCCCCTGATTTGACTAACAATATGTGTTCGTAGCAGGTGCCTTCGAAGCCAGTGTGGAGCCGACGACATTGAAGAGCAAAAGCTCGACGATCGCAACGCGTCCATTTTGGCCATACAGCTACATTCTTTGAAAAGTAATGTATAGAACTACCCGGTATATGTGTATTATTCTTGTAACTAACATCATTTGGCTCTCCGGCTACGCAATACGTTCGTCCTTTCTTCTTGATTTCTCCTTTCTCCACCATTGTTGCCGACATGTCTTCATAGTTTTCTACGTCACAGCTATGTAACATGATCGTTTTGGCCACGCGTTAAATAATGACACTTTTTGGTCGCCAAATCGTACTTTCAATACACGAAAAAAGTCAAGGAGAACTCGTTAGCTCCTAAGGTTGATTATTCCTAATTTTAAAAAACAGCTATCAAACAGAAAATGTAAAAAAAAATTGCGTGTCATGGTGACAGTTTCTCTTCAAGAAGCTTTGGCTATTTTTTTTTTTATCTCACCAGCCTAGGTCCCAATAGTAACTGAATGCATAAACGGAAATTACGAAAAGACCAATAGTTTAAACTTTTCACCCGGCTTAACATGAATGTGTAAGTTCTCCATACTGTTCTCTATACATTTCTAAATGTACTGAGGAGAATCTGGCTAACAATCAAGAGCTTAATTCTTGAGTTCACGACTATTTCCTATATTCTCCTGACCTAAACATTTGATTTAGTGGTGATATTGTTGGGAGCAATTATAGATCCCTATCACTCGAAGGGGGGTTAAGGAGTTAAAATTTAGATTTCGCACGCGGCATTTGATTGACTGTATGTGAACACGATGTTAGTGATATTCTGATTTCTTCCCTCCGATTGGTTCTGGTTACTCAATGACCCCACTTTCATTACATGCATTCAAAATTTTCTGTGGTAAATGCTACGTTGCTCATCACTATAAATTGGATACTACGAAGTATGTTGTTTAAAACACTTTAATTTGCTCTGTTCAAGTACACAAGTGAGAACTTTGTCTTAAATTCAGGTCACTTCGAGCCTTGTGGGTTTTGATGGCTGTGAAATAAAGAGAAAAATGCAAAGATATGAATCATGTGAGTGTTTTCTTTAATTCAGTCAAATTGTAATTTTATATGATTGTTTAACCGCAGATAAAAGTATTCGACCTAGCAAATCTACTTCTGAAGAAAATAAACACTAAGATCACGTTTAGCTGGCCGAGAACTCGTGTGATGGAAGCTTCTCGATTCATAAACAAGAAATGAAATGTTCTTTAATGCTTTCTAATATTTTTCTTTGCTTGATTTTAAGGTCGACAAGAGGTTTACGATTTGCTAACTAGACTAACAAGATGATATGCTCAATAGAAAAACTTAATTAGATACCTGAATTTAGCAGAGTTTGCATGTCTTCATGCAATTTGTCCGCACATACGAATGCCATGAGCAGTACGAAGTCCAATACCGACACCTTGGGTTCTTATCTCTGCAATCTAGTCACAATAATTACATTAATTAGTACACACACAGGTGAATAGTACTTTTCACGCTCGCTGATTGGCTGGTTCGGAACGTGATAAGCATGCAAATACCATTCACCTCCAAGCAGCCGAAGAGACAACATGGTACATCGAGATTAATTTAAGACCATTTTTTGGTATATTGATAGAGATAAACTGATTTCTTTGCCTTTTTTCTGATCCATTCTGAAACAATTATTCACCTCAGTGTTTGTGAAAGTGTGAGATTATTACGAAATTCAAAACATTTTTCTCGTAACATCCCGGAACGTGACAAAAAGTGAAATATTTTCTATTGTCCAACTTCAAAAAAGACTTTCAGGAGCCAATGGGTATATATAAAAAGCCTTTCACAATTGAATAACCTATCATCTACTGACTGCTACAGTCCAGTTTGTTTGAAGGTCTGCGGTAACGCTTTGGCTGGTAATTCAGTAAAGCGAGCCCTGCCAGTATTGTATTTAATGGCTCGCGCGTGCCTATCGAAACAAAATCGGTAAAACGTTATTTTGTTTTCAAGCTTTTTAGTGATATACAGTTTTTTAATGTTTTCTTTGAAAGGGCGTGCGTTGGACGCTTTTTCCAAGAGGCACCCTATTTTGTTGTTGGTAAACATACGAAAAGTTAATCAGGGCGTCACCTATGGCCATTCCAATCGAAGTTATAAGATGGTAACGAATGCCTACTTCATTTTGAGAGTAACTTTAAACTATGACTTCCCTTCTCTTTCGAAACCGTTTTCGTCACCACTCAAATTTCCAATGCAGTAATTTAACTCGGAAGAACTGGTCGGTGTTAGCATTCTTGCGGAAGTCCGGAAAACATACCTCCGTTCAAAGAGCTATCTGTAAATACTTTCTGAAAATTGACATATCTGGAGGCCATTATCTGAAAAATTTACCCCTTTTACTAATTTTCTCCTGATGTGTTATATATCATATATTATATATTATATTGAGGTTTGCTTACTTCCTCCGCCTCCGCCGCCTCCGCCTCCACCTCCACCTCCACCTTGAAGAAAATAAAAGAAGGGATGATACTGTTAGTGTCACCTATAATTTCCGTAAGACCTCAGGAAATGCTGCAATAATAATGTCAAAGCATCAATAATAGTTGAGTACAGGTGAAGATTAAGAGAATGAAAACCGGGTAGCCTTCACTTAGTCCAAACAAGGTTTCTAACAATAACAAAAGGTCTTTCAAATACAAATTTTGCCGGGATACTTTGACATTCTCATTAGGTATGTCGTAATATTTGTATAGAAAATTATCTGTGCAAATGCAAAATTGCTCAGAATCAAGTGACTTTGAATGCTTTAAAACTCGCTATGAACTGGTTTTTTTTTATGACGTTTTGTATGATATCCTCAGAGAAGATTGATAATTTACTCGTTCGTGATAATTTTTCTGAAACCAGCTTCGTATCAATTTCTTGACATTTCGTACTAAACATAAAGCATTCTTCTGGACTGGACTCTAAGTAGGCTTACGAAGTTTACCTGACTTCTTGTTGTTGATCCAGCTAATGAAGCTGCTTACACGAGCGAAAACCGTGTAGTGATCTGTCCTACACTGTGAATGACCCCAGCTCACAGCACCTCTCAACACCCATCGTCCACGCTCATTGCAAACAAAAGGTCCGCCACTATCACCCTATGCAATTTTGTAGCAATAGATATAATGATAAAACATAATTGTCCGTCAATCCAATGACTTCAAAAAGAAAGTCAATGAAAAGTGAGTTTACTTTTACTTCCAGTCACGGTTGATTGTGTAAGCCAAACTGGCCATTCATTTTGGGTTACAACTGTGTTCGGCCACACTTCAATGCAGGGGTGACCGCCGTTTCTAATTTTAAAGATTAATGTGTTATTCAATTACCTGGCATCCTCCTTTTCCTTGGCGTCCAGCACATATCATTGATCTCTCATCGACAGGAAGCAGTCGTCCATTGACTCTGCTGCAGTCTCTGTGTGAGGCAACTGGCAGCATAGCCTGTTGGAGAACGTCCGCTGCATTTCCGCCTCCAACAGTTCTTCCCCAGCCTACAAACGCAAATATGACACGTTTATTCAATTTTACCATGTATTTGATATAATGGTCCTCGAAGCTTATATGTCTCAAAACAGATCGATGCCTCTGCAAAGCAGCATTGAATCAATTAAATAGCGAAAAATGAAGCATCGATAAAACTGTCTATCAAGTTTCACTAACCATTGAAAAGGGTAGTGACGGTGCTGGTGTCAATACACAGAGCCTTTTCCATAATGTGGTTTTTCCCGCATTTTAAACATCATGAATTTACGGTAAAGACTGCCTATCGTCAAATTTCAATTTTTATACCATGTAACCTACTTGACAAATGAATGCTTTAGAGAAAACTTAACGAGATTTTTTTTATCAATATAGCATACTTCTGATAGTTTTAATTGAAAGGACAGATATGCTGCTACACCGAACAAAATAACAATCTTCGTCTCCGCAATTTCAAAGTGTATATGAAATTATATCGCTGGATCACATTTTGAGGTTCAAAAACAAATTATTTCCAAATTTACTCAAAATTTATGTGCAAACGAAATTACGGTTTGAGAGTTAAACTGCAGAAACTTGAAAATACCAATTTCATCAAGATATCTAGAATTGAAGTGCGAAATCTATAAAGGAGAAGACTAAGAAGCAAATGCAGTCAACTCTGCACGAGGAGTCCTAACCATTGGAAAAGCCCATCACAAAGGAAAAAGTCTGCTTAATACGGCTGGCAAAACAAATTTACTAGATCTGGTATAGGAATAATTATGTTAAAATCATTCAAACAAATTCTAGTTACCTGTAATATAGCATCGCGATCCTGCTGGAATCCGACTCCCAGAAGCTGGTAAACACACCGTGTTGACTTTAGGACTGGGTGATATAGACCCAGCAAGCTGCAGAAGTGCTACGTCATTTCGCAGATTTCTCATACTGAATCCTTCATGTTTAAACAGTTGTCTCAAACGAAAAGTCCTCTGCACTTGTGTTGATCCTGTTCGACGGTGGGCTCCTATAGACGCCATTATTGCAAAAACATTTATTTTAACAGATGGTAAGTCAGCTCAAGTAAAACTGGGAGGTTGAAAAGACAAGGAAACGGGGATGTTAGCATCAAGAACATTTAATTTAATTGATCAATAAAGTGATTGTGATTTTCTTCTTCTGTCTAATTCTCAACTTTTCCCACATCTTAAACGATGTTTCCCCTTCTATTACTGAGTTGCAGAATTACCCAAGTTTGTAACTTTTGAAAATGTGAAAACCAGAGGATAAGTAACGAGTTTAGTTTCTCCTTTTTTACTGTTCTTTGGTTTTTTCTTGTTTCTTTGTTTGTTTGTTTTCTTCTTGGTATATCATCGACTTACCCACGACTACAGTGTATCCACTCGGTCTCGGGTTTCTATCCACACAATGGGCGGCAGTCACGACCCATTCCCTATCGATGAGAGATCCTCCACATATGTGACGTCCATTTACTCTGAGAGAAATCTGCCAGGGCCAGGAGTGTGGAGTGGCATTTTCCCCATTCACGACTCTAGCTGAAAATGGTTTGTTTCCACAACCTGCAAAATACAGCAACATCTAGACGAGTTTTAGTTATTCAAGTTCGTCAAGTGGCCTAGGGCTAAACAGTTTTAGATAACTAATCCTTCAGATATCAATAAGCATTCAAAAACACAGGCCTAAGAGAGCGCTAATTGGAGTTAAAAATGATTTTTCACTCATGAAAATAAGTGAGATACGTTATTATTCTGCTCGGCATTCTCAGATAGATGCAAAGAAAAAAGATCTGTAATACGCACCTTGAGAATATGAGACTGAAAGACACAAAAGTGTCACTCCGATCCAGAGATTCATCTTGACTGAAATGATCTCCAGTTTGGTACCAACCTTGGGTTGATGCCTTTTTTATGTACTTTAGTGTGATCTCAGCTACCCCTCACCCGGAAATCTTTCTCAAACAACAAGTCGTTCGAATTTCCAAAGAATCATTCCATTTGGCTACATCTGATGACTCAGTTGGCGGCTACGTTTTTGAAAAGATCATCCTTTTCTTTTATGTCTGATATTGTGTTGTGTCAAATTCAATTCGAATGCAAATGGCATTGTTATGTTTATAAATGCTGTATCATATACTTGACAACAAACGCATTTCTATTTAACCTCATCGATGGTTCAGGTGGAGAACAAGCTTTTTAAAGAATATCCATAATTTTTTCTTTATTTTGCGTAGTAGTTAAATTTTATTTGAATGCAAATGCTAATTGTTCAACTGCGAAAAAATTCAATATGGCCGGACATTCTGTCCTCGTTATTATCAAAAACGTGAAAGAGTTACATACTGGTCTTTAAACAATCGTTTCTTCGTGGTCGCGAACAAAAGATCGGTTATGAAAGCAGCTCACTACAAGTACAAAACCGTAAAATCCACATTTGACGATCCTCAATAGCTTTATTGGTCTACTTTAATTCTGCTTGTCGAAACTTTATCCGAAAGACAGCTGCACTTGCTCCTTTTCTCAATAGTTTACTTTCTTAACGCGGTTTTATGAAAACAAACCCATCGTTACCCAAAATTTACGCCCAAAGGAGCAATTCCTCTTCATTAGCCCTTTTGCAAAAGTTTGTAGTCTTCTTTTTTTTCTAGATGTTGTTATATTGATGTGGAAAGGCCTTTAATAAAAACAAAAAGGGCTACTCAGTATAGACCACACAAACAGAAATAAATAGGAAAAAGGAATGGGGCTACACTTGGGAAGATGTTTGCCTGATCTCCTCATATAGATATGCAATTCATCTCCCACCGAAACCATGATATTCATCTTATACATCCTGAAAATGTTCCCTCAAAAAATTGAAATGTCCTTTTTTTATTTTCATTAATTAAGAGCAGAGTGATTAAAAAGGGATATTTTATTTAGATGCCGTTAAAAAGAGTGTGTTGTGTTGAGTGGAGTGCAGTTTTTCAATTTACTTTCATTCCTGTAATATTCCGAAAAAGGGATGTTTTAAAATATTAAGATTTAAGTTTAACAAAACGGCAAGCGACAAAATTAAACTTCTTGCTTTTTTCTTTCATCCGTTTTAACGCGTTAGGTGCCTTTTACCGTTTAATTGCCTTTTACCATTAATTTATGCTTCTTGCAAAGGAAATAGTTGAACCTCTGTGCCGGCCTGAAAGCGTGCACTCTTTGTAGTAGTAAGACATATAAATGCGAGGTGACGTGAAAACCCGAGAAGGGCATCAATCTTTTTTGTAAATCAACTACATGCATAAAGATCAGCAATATTTAGGCTAGTTCCATTTATTTCCCTTCAACTTGTGGTCACTACATTAACATCGATCAACTGCATAATGTTGACACCTCATTGGGTCTGATGCGTTCTCTAAAATACTGTGATTTGATGATAGGTTCATTGCTCTGAATAAAAGGGAAAAAAGAGATAAAAAACAATGAGCAACAAGTGTTCAATGCTACAAGAGGTTTCCCTCAGATGTAGATGTTTTTTTTCCAAGGGGCATTTTCAGTAGCTAAATGTTAGGCTTAATTGTAGATTTTCAGAATTTTTCCCATAAGTTGTTTCGAGGATAACATTCTTTTCAAGTTTTTTATCCCATACATTTGAAATTAAAAAAACGATACCTTCATGTACGTAATAACGTGAAAATATGACAAGTAAAGAGACTAGCTATTTCACAAATTTGGATGATTTCAATCTTTAAATTTTTTATCATCGCTTTTTTGCGAGCAGTCTTATTTCATACTTTCCGATCTTTTCTTAGGCTACAATTAGCTCTTTTAAAACCCTATTGAAATCACCGTCATGGAATCAATTTTACGTTGAGTAGATTATTTAATTAGGACGAACAGATCAACTGGCGTCTCCCCGCAACATTTTGTTGTGCCTCAATTTTTTGAAAATAGTTTATCATCAGTGTACGGCTTGGTTTATAATAGACTTACTGATTAATTAAGGTATTATTTTCTATAAATCCCATATAAACTGTCTGACTCTAATGGCGGTTTTTCAAAAATCATTTTTCTTTTCATTGTTCCCTTGATCCCATTTTGAAATCACTTGTGATCCTTGCAATTTGATTGGCTCTCTTGAGAAATATTCGCGCCGAGATCATTGGTGCGATTTTTTTACAAATCGCATCTAAATCAAATCTTTTTCCCAGCCAGTAAGACAGCTTTACTAAAACACAACAATCAATCAGATTTCAAGGGTTTTTTTTTTGAAGAAAGCAATGAAATTGCGGTAAAATTATATAATTAAAGACAAATTATGCAACTTTTTACAAATCAGCTCAATACTAGATCAGCAAAATATTGCGCAGACTACAAAAACCTGTATTTGAACGACTGAATTTTTTTTTATTTCAAAATAGATGTATTAAAGTGGTAATTGAACTTCGTGTAGTGCAATTTTGGTCTTAAATCATACTTGTGATTTCAAATCAAACCTGCGCCGCACACTCCTTCTATTTTGAAATCACGTGTATAACTTCAGACCAAATCGCACTCCACCCGGTTAAATTACCATTATGAACCTCTGTGTTTAAAGCTTTGAATGAAAAACAAGATTAAATATTAATATAACAGATTTGCCGAATAAGATGTGGGCCATTTGATAAATTTCAATATTTTATGGTATTTTGTAGCCAACACGAACCTTAGACCATACATCACTTCTTCAGAACCTTGGGATCAATTCCTTGTTGACTAGAACCTAAAGACTGAGTCTATCAAAGTTCTCCCCCGTATCTGTTGTTTGCCTATAACATTACCCCCTAACTCCCACAAGTGACCAACAGAATTTCTCCTAACAATATCAAGACAATATCAAGCAGAAACGTGAAGAAAAATATCAATTAGGGGATTATCAATTGCTTCAATACCAAATTCTTTGAACTAATATTAAAAGAATTGACAATAGACAATAAGGAGAATACTACTGATGTCTTAAGAGTGTAACGGTTATTTACCTTTGATCAACAATTGCCACAAAACTTTTTGCACCCCTCTAACACGTGACCATGGTGACACATCCCTTCCCATCGTTCACAGTAGGAACCCCACTGATCAAAGCAGCCTTCAAGGAAGTGAGAACAAAAAACGATGACATGGAAAATCAGCGAACAACGACGATGAGGCAATTGTCATGACACAATTAACCCTTTACATGTACTGAACTCCCATAAGCGACTGAGACAGAATCTCCTCTTACAATATCAATAAAATATCAAGCAGGCAAGTGATGAGAATAAAGAATTAGTTCATAATGGTCCTAAAAAGCCGCATTTGGAGATTATAATCAATTAAGTATGCAGGACTCATACATAGATATATACATACATGCATAAAATCTTGACTGCAAAATTTCGTTAGAATTCCCTACTCTACTTAGAGAACATCATTAGATGACAAGAATTTCTAAGATGTTTCACTCACTATTTCGATTGAAATATGAAAAAGTAACGTTCGTTTGCTAATTTATTATCATGAACTATTTAACATGGTTTGACCTGCACTGCGTTCACTCCTGCGTGAGCCATTTTCAGTTTCTGGAGATAAAAGCAAAAACATCGGTAATGACACTGACACTGTTCGTATCCTCTCTCGTATTGTTTTTATTTTATCGTTACTGTAGTGTGGATAAAATGTAACTTTTAAAATAGAACGAGCTCTTGTGAAGCCGTGATACTGACTAATAATGATGATGTTGATAATGATAACAAAAATTACGATGCTGATAATAATGATAATAGTAGTGAGAGTGAAAAACGTTTATAATGATAATGATACTAATAATTACAATTATAACGATGATGAAGACGACGATAGTGAAATTATGATACAAAAATTCTCTCTTCTTTTCATCACCGTATCCGTACGCGAAATTTAATTGCAAGGATTATATACTGTTAACAGAAAAAGCTGCGTATATTGTTTGATATTTGAAGATTTTGTGTACGGCTCACTTGTTATTCGAATGTGGCGAACCCAGAAGAAGAAAAAAAAAAGCAATAATAACAGTAAAGTTATTATCCTTGCATTTTCTGCTCCAAAGAATTACGTACCTCAAATTAAAGTTGTTCTTTGACAATTCTGCTTCTTTAAAAACTAGCAAGTTCAATTTTTTTTAAAGATGAATTTGTCGTATTTTTGCTTCTGCATTACCAGAAATAGATAATAAAGATTTAGATAAAAGGAAGTCAAGATATAAAAAACTTGGTTGTGCAAAAGTAGCTCTGAGAAAGCGCTTCTTGGGGTTTCTATAATGTCCATTAAGGCGTACGACCGATTAGATGCGACATAAGTAAATTCGTGGGTGCTAAATTACTGTTCCCAATCGAAAGGATTTTCACTTCTGAAAAATCGTTCGTCACCGTAAACACAGCTGATCTGAGTTTTACCTCTATACATTTTGCATTCCTCCTACACAATAAAGTCTCCTACACAAAGAGAGTTCAGTTGAGACATGAAAAATTTTTTTTAGCCTTCCAAGATTTCACAAAGCCAATGATAACAGTGAGATCTGCTGTGTTTTAAAGTTATTATGTTCCTCAGAGCCGAGAAAAATTTGCGCTTGATTAGTGCACACAATTAATCAGGAAATAATCGTAGGTAACAAACACCAATACATTTTCCTTTCAAAAAACCTATCATTCACGCGAAAGCGCTCGAAAACTCTGATGAAATGGAGACTTTCCAAAACGGTTTCAAGGGTGGAGCATTGTGGAAAAGCATTATTTTTAAAATGGTCCTTTTTAAGAGTGGATGGGTTGAAACGGGAAGCATTTTAAAGTTGTGTAGAATTATGTTGCTAATTTCAGCGTTTTCGGGCGTTTTTGATCGTCAAAGACGCATCAAAAATGTATGCGTTCGTGAAACGCATATAGATTAGTGTGGACACCTGAGGGAAAACGTCGATGTGGGTGAAATATTTTGCTTCATTTTTCTATAATTAAGAAAACGGTCACCTTTGAAACCATCAGGGCCCCAGAAGAAGGCTAAAAGTAGTAGTTAAATTATATGCGCGGACACGCCATAATTTCCATTTTCTCGCCTTCTGGTGCCACAAAAAAGAATAGAACACGTAACTCGCTCTTAGATTAATATGCCGCTCAATCTAGTTCACATCAGCTTTGTAGCTTTTCCATTGTTATCTCATTGACCAAGAACATGTAGGGGTGCGCTGTATGTAAACAGTCCCTACATGGAAAAGGCTTATCATTGAATACCGGTTGTATCGCGCCTTCCCCTACATTTTGGTATGAATGTGGCACAAGACTAATACATGTGAGCCTTTTTGTCCCTTGTTTCATATTTCTGAAACAATCACTGGATTATGGACACGTCATAACGCTTGTATCAAGATTGATTTTACTTCGCATGTTTGCATAGGAGCCGATTCTAGAGAATTCAACTGAAACGTAAAACGGGGCGCAGTGAAGGTGTCTGGTGGCTTACCTTCTGTTGCAAAACTCACGTTCAGGAATAGAAAGAGCAAGAAAAAGGAGCTGATCTTCATGACGATACACTTAATTTTCTATGGCACCTTGTGTTAAGGGTGATATAGGCCTTATTTTCCGGCAGGCAGGTTTTTAATATTCTTTTAAATAAACACAGCTTGAGCGGAACACATAATTGTGTCAAGCACTGACATAATTTTGAGTTTCTCTTTGGCAAACTGAATGACTTATTGCTGCGTGATATGCCACTTTGTGAACATTGTATAAAATTAAAATGAAACTAAAATGAACGATACATCAATAATGAATATTATACCTTGCAAAAAACTCATTTTCCTCGTTCCATGTGAACTTTTAAGTATTAAAAGTATTAAAAAAAAAAAAAAAGATGAATATTTTTTCACTTTGTGAACATTGCATAAAACTGAAATTAAACTAAAATAAACGATACATCAATATTGAAAGTAACTCCAAGCTAAATATTCATTTTCCTCGTATCATGTGGACTCAAGTATTGAAAGAAACATCGGTGAATATTTTGCCTAATTTGTAGAGATGTTAATTGGAAGAAGCTGATCGCAAGGCGTTCAAAATATATGTCTGACTCTTCTACAAATTCTCTAATAGTTGCCATCGTTAGGTGTTGCCGATTTAAGGTTCCCTGCTTACAGCAAGTTAAGCTGGTGTAACTGTAACCCTCTAAAGACCTACTGTACTGTTATGTATTTCTCAGTGACGCCCGCATACACCAGAGGTTTTAGGGTAACACTTTCAGTTGTCGAAGTATAAGGGAGTCAAGCCATATATGAACGCTTATTTCCTTGAGTTACTTCTTGGGGTTGGCTGTTTCTCGACTTCTTATAATGATCCAGTTTATACTCTTTACCTTGTAGACCTTCAGTAAGAAATGTTTCGGAAGCGTTGGACCGTGATATTACGCTTTTACTAATACAAATATCAGTGACATCGAGAACATACTGAAATTAAATTTATACTTTGATTTTAAAAGTGCTAATTTTTGGCATTTGCGCTTTGTTTTCGGAGTGCGGGTGAAAGTTCCAGTTTTGACCCATAACATCGCTACGATTGATCTTAAATAGTCAGAATAAGGTGAAAAATGGAAAGCAACTATTTCGGTCATCGAAGTTTATCAATTTTCATGACAAGCGGAAATATTATTCCATAAGAAGATCAGGATTTTTTTGAGTGTGCTTCGGAAAATCTTAGCTTGATGATTTCGGGAAATTTCCAGTTGTTAGTCATTTTTTTGACTGAAGCTCGACCAGAAGACGTCTTAAACTACAGCTAAACCCGAAGATTATATCCCGCAGTCAGAGACCGAACAGAAGATATTTCTCTCGAACCAGAGTCTTCGTCCCTAAGTTTTTTGGTTCTGATTCAGACTTTGACAATGAAATATCAGGGTTACATTTCAAACCAAATTATCATCATTTACAATTGATCCATTTGCCTGAAATAAGTTTTTTTCGCTCAGGCTCTTTTCACGCGTAAGGAGGAGATCGGGCTTAAAAGAAAACATTACATCCCAAGATCATGCGCATTGAGGTTATGAGAATTAAAGAAATGATCGCGAACTCGAGAATCTCTAGATTGTTCGACAATTTCTCCTTGTATGAAAAGTATAGAACAGTATTGAGAACTTGCATCCTGAAGTAAAGGGTTAAAGCTTTATTCTTCCTTCCTACTACAAATATCAACTACTAGTTCTGGTTCGTTGGCCTCTTCAGTCCACCGCTAGAGGAGAAAAAATAAATATGAAATTAGGGTCACCTGTCACGGAAATTCAAATGTATGTGACTCTGAAAGAAAGAGTGTGGCTTGAAGATTATTATGTTTCAACTGATGGAAACTTATTGGTCGAAAGGCATGTGCGCAAAGTTCTGGGGGTTCCCCAGAGAGCATCACAGTTTTTTCAAAATTGCATTTTTTCAGACCCGGAGGATATTTCATTTGTTTCTCTTACCATCATAAACCAGTCCTGTGCCTTATCCAGTTGGTAAAGGTACTGACTCGGGCGAACACTGTAAAGTAGTCGGTCCTACAGTACTCGTGACCCCAACTTACAGCTCCGCGGAGAACCCATCGCCCGCCTTCATTGCATACAAAAGGTCCACCGCTGTCTCCCTACAGATATTGAGAGAAAATTTATCCAAAAATAAATAGTCATAAAAACCAAATGGAAGCAAATGAATAAGGAAATGAAAAACTAACAACACAACTATGGTCTCACAGAACGAGAAATAAAAACAAACGAACACACAAAAAACCGGTGGTAGGAATCGCATACACTTGTGATAGCTCGTCGTCAACAAATAAGTTAGCACTTGGTGCCTACGTTAGAAATTCCAGCCGAATATTTTCCGAGCTGGCCCCTCTCATAAAAAGTGAGTACTCATTAAAATAATTCGATTTATCGATTGATTAAAACAGTGTCTGTACGGTTACCTGACATCCTCCGCGTCCCTGTCCTCCAGCACAGATCATGGTGTCACTGTATACGCGACCGAGTCTTCCGTTAACATAAGAACATCTTCTGTCATCAGCAACTGGCAGCATTGCTTGTTGAAGAATGTTAGCTCCGTATCCTCCTCCAACTGTACGCCCCCATCCTTATTTTGTAAACAAAAGATAAAAGAAAGCTCATTTATTCAGTTGATCTATCAAGCCAGCGTAGCGCCGATGGAAGCGATACAATTTACACAACGTGCGTCCTAATCTCAAAGGAGCGAAATTTCTCAGACCAAATTTGAACTCTGTCATTCAAGTTTATGAACGTTAAATGGTACAAAAAAAATTACGATTTATGTGTTCCGATTATAACCTAATTCTACCTGTGATGTAACATTGTGAACCAGGCCGAGCTCTACTTCCTTGTTGTGGCAGACAAACAGGTTTTGCCTTGTAACTCATCCGGATTGGCCTGTTTAGCTGCAGAAGAGCTACATCGAAATTCAATTGTCCATATCGCTCATGCATAATCACTCTACGTAATCCAAATATTTGGTCTTGACCCGGCCGCTCTCTTTGGGCATGTAGTCCTATGAACAAAATGAAGTTTAAGCCTGTTTAAAACCTTGGAAAGAAGGTTAACTTCTAAGAGATTAAAAGGGTTGTCAAAGCAGAAACCTTGTTAGCCAATTTCAGCACAGGCTACAAATGTGGGTGTAAACCTTTATTCCCAGTTGGCGAGCAGTTCACTCTAAAAAGGTTTTCAGAAAACCAAATAATTATTTCCACGGTGTTTTTTAAATTTTAAACTCCAGATGACCAGTCTTAATTCAATTGTTCATCAATTCCTGTAAATTAAAGAGGCATTTTGTGTTCGGCCCAAATGATGTTAAAGCTAGCAATAAGGGAGCATTAATAACTCCCTTAAAGATTAATTTTAGCTACCTCTTGATACTGAGTAGTAAAAGAGATTTAAACAATTATCTATAGAGGGGAAATAAAAAGAAATATCTATGTACTACCTACTGAAAACCGGTTGCAAGTCAAGTGCGATGTATTTTGTGTAATATTAGTGACAAATTCAAAAGTAATTTTCGTATAACTAACTCGTGGCTAATTACCCACAACAACAGAATATCCCCTGGGGCTCCGATCCTTTTCGACACAATGAGAAGCAGTCAAAATCCACCAGTTACTTATGATTGATCCCCCACAAATGTGCCCACCCCTGTACCGTAGTGAGATCTGCCAAGGCCAGGCGTGGCGCTGAGCATTCTGTCCATTTACCACTCTAGATGCCATGCGCATTCCGCAACCTATAAGAAGGGAATGTTATGAGAAACATAACAGAGAAAATAACCCCTTCCACTGAAACTTTCGACAAAATTCCACTAAACTAACAAAACCTTAGAGCAGCCATCGCGTTCGAAGAAAAACAGTGATCTAAGAAATAAATTAAAGATTCATCTATCTGCATGAAGCGTTGGTCTAAACTCCGGCTGGATGGGACACTTGGCTTGAAAACATACTACATTCTTTTTCATGCAGCAACAAACACAAGAAACAGCATTTAAAAAATTTTTTCCCATAAATACACACACTCTCTTATTAAAGAGTTAGAAACTACTGGCAACTTTGGTGTTCAAACAAGTTATTTTTCCCAGAGATTCATTTCGATGAAAATTTTGGCAACGACACCATAAGCACCTACAGAGTGTCCTAGGAAGACTACATAAATAAGCCCCTTACTTTGGCCGAGAGAAGGTTTGAGAAAAACAGCAGTTACAGCCAATAGCACGTATATCTTAAGGGATATCATGTTGACTGTCTAAGCGTAGACGATCTACTGCTTTGATGCAGAGAGTCTTTTGGTTTTACCCAAGATCGCTCTGCAACATCTGTGTATGTGCATAAACATTGCAACTATCTCATGAGAACTGTGTATATTTCCACAAATAATATACTCCACTAACAGGGCTGTTTAAACCAGAGGCATGGCTTTAAATTGAATTTGCTAGTTTTTGATGGACGCTTCGCAGCCTATTACAGAATTATACACAACATACAATAACAAATGACATCTATCTTGCTCCGTCCTCGTCTAAACAAACAAAGCTGCAGACGCGATATTAAATACCAAAGACTCTTCAATTTGTATCGTAATATCACTGTTTGAAAATTTCATTGAAAAATATATCAAATGCTCTTTTTTCTTTCAATCTTTTCTTTCCACCCGAAATCACTGTTTGCTCGAAGAGGTTATTTGCACTGCGAAACAAAATCAATCAATAGTTTATTTACCCACGTAGCGTCTAGTGAGCTTGAAAGCTCGTTCAAAATACCTACGTGCTAACATAAAATAGCCTTAAAACATACAGAAATAAAAATATAGTATAACAACCGGCTGGTTTATCACAAAAAAGCTAAAATGTACAACTACGAATGTCGCTGTATTAGGATTAAGATGACTAATAATTGCTGTAACTAAGAATGGATTATATAGAAGCTGATTCTAGTATACAAGATAAAAGAAAAAATGGAATTAAAATGATTTATTCTTAACCGACGTCGCAAACTTGAATAGGTTTCATTTCCTTACTTCGGGTTCAAGTAAGTTCCAGATTTTAGCGGCTTGGTAAGTCAAAGAGTTCTTCATCCAGTTAAGATTCAGCCTTGGCATGCTAAGATTAACACCACTATCACTTGAGTTATAAGCTAAAAAAGTCACGAATGTACCTAAGGTTCGTTGCAGGGTAAAGATTTATAAGGTAACAAAAGCGAACTGCAAATCCTCTTATGTTTTAGAGTTTTCATGATCACAATCCCAAGTAATTCTTGATATGAGATAGTTTTACCGTAACCCAACACAGATCTTAAAATGTGAAAGTTAGCGTCCTCAAGACGACTTGCTTGCACTTTGCCCACACCCAATAAAAGGGGACAGCGGTATTCTGAGTGCGGCAAAACAAAGGAATTGTAGAGAACTATCATTATCAAACTAATATGTAACCAGATAATTTGTCCTATACAACTGATCACTGTATCAGCTTGGCACTTCACGGTTCTTTCATGTAGATTAGACTTAGAGAGAATTTGCAGGTCTTTAAAAGAAGTTGCCCCGAAGAGATACTTGTATCATTCAACCTTACAGTGAGGCTTCTGAGGGGGGTAATGGCTCTTTCGGCTGACTGTAAAAGTCTTGGCCATTGTACGGCTAACGATTAATTTATTTCCATTAAGGTTTACAAAAAAAAAATGCGGTTAACATATTTGTAACTAACAGTTAAACTTGTTCTTTAACCTTCTATAAATTATTTTGTGATTTTACGGCCAACGGTCAACCCAACCGAGACACTCTACTGTGCGCACTTACTACAAGCTAATTTGTATCATTTAAGCCTTTGGAACTGGCCGGCAAATGCATGGTCTCCCTCGCAATTATATTGTTCGAGCTGGTTTGGTAACGCTCCGGTAATCCAATGGAGCAATTTGCATGACAAACCTAGAAGGAGTCTGCGAAGGAGCAGACTGAGAGACCTTTACTTTTAGGAAAGACCGAAAAGTAGAGAACTGGTGATAGAAAAGATAAATAGAAACTAAAGAATTTAATTTTGATTTGAACTCTCAAAGATGAAGTAAAAAGAAATTTATTGCAGGGGGAGAGGAGAATTATATAAAAACTTGAGGGCGAAAGGGCAAGCGGGTAAAACATCACGATCCACTTACATCTCAAGAGTTTCCAAAAAGGTTATTTAACTTGATTACTGTCGCTAAAAAGAACAACTAATGACTATACTTGAACAACACAACTCGTTCCTGACAGCTGGTCAGGTGTTGAAGCAAAGTAACACTAAACATAATGGATAGACATTGGTGCTGATGCATCTCCGATTACCTCTATACAATAAAATCCTTTCGTGCTACTAAAAGACGCTTCAAATAATTTTTACACGAAAAAACCTAGTAGATTCTAGTAGGATGGGGAATAAAGTTTTTCCACACATACAGATTGAGATTTCCTTCATATAAGATTTCTGTATTTAGATATCAACTTTGTACTTGAGAGTTCATTCGGTGCAAAGTTTCACAGTTTGCTTTGGAGCTTTTTAAAAGTAAATAAAACTAATGCATTTAAAATTTAGTCGAGATACAATTCATCATGTACCTGTAAACACCAACAGCAATGGAAGATGGAAACGTGCTAATTACAAGATGCTGGCGTTGTTGAAAAGACGTCTGTTTTCAGGCTACGTGTAAAAGGAGCGAATGCTCCACATCTCTCAGATAAAAACAAAATTTCCTTCCAAAATTTAACATATCTTCTCCTGATAAAATCGATACATATTTTCGTAGAGAAACACCATGGTTGAAGAGGCAAGCAGGCGAAAAAACGCAACCATGTACGTCTCAAGAGTGTCCATTGGGACAAAAAGGTTATTTAACTTAATTACTGTTGTTAACACGACCGCATGCGAAACAATCTTAACACACAGCAGCTCAGGTTGATAAAGTAAACTAACATCAAATATAATGGAGAGAAATGTGACATAGGAAACAACGCTTGTTTAAGAGACAGAGATCAATGCAAGATGATAATTTCTTCAGACATCTGAACCTGTTCATCCAAGAAATGATGCAATAAATGTTACGTAAAACATTTTCAATTTTGCATTTGGCAGCTCACATGTTGCAAAACTTCAAGGCTTTTTTCTTGCTTTTCACTAAAAGTAAATAGAAATTTATGTGTTTTAAATGGGGCTTTTAAATCTTTGTCAAAATGCAATTTGCCATGTACCTGTGAAAACCAGTAACAATGGAAGATGGAAACTTCCTATTCACATGGCGCTGGCATAGTTGAAAAGAAATCTAGACAAGTTACATGGTGCGAATGCAGCGAATGCCCGCATCTGTCAGCTGAACAAAAAAATTCTCTACAAAATACAACGGTATCCCTGACAAAGCCATTTGTGGATCAACTCACTTTGCAATGATGTTGGCACTATTGGCTTTCGCCACAGTTCTTTGCTCTGTTTCCTTCGTTGAAGGTACGGTTTTCTTAATGCCTCACTTCCAAACTATCCCGCCTAATTTTATTAAAGTTTCTCATTTGTTCTCTTTGTAGCCGTGATTACTTCTGTCTCTTTCTTCATTTGTACTTTTAAATTATTATTATTAACTCACAATGATTAATTTGTTGATAATGTATATCAAAGAATTACGCGCGTCTGATTGGCTGAAAACGAGTGCATTTTTCATGTAACATAAGTCCCAAATACAAAAAGCGTGTGTGCGCTTCGACTGCAATTTATTGTGAAGAGGCACAATTGCATTTTGTTACACATACCAATCTTTTTTTTTCCCACATCTTAAGGTTGCGGAACCCGAATCTCAGGAGCACGTGTGGTGGGTGGGGATGATGCAGCCCCTCATTCTTGGCCATGGCAGATATCCCTCAGGGTCCGTGGAACTAATCACATATGCGGGGGCTCCCTTATTAAACCCAATTGGGTGATAACTGCAGCGCACTGTGTTGGCGGAAATCTCAGGCCAAGTTCATACACGGTTGTCGTCGGTGAGTAAAAGTACATTATATTGTTTCCTTTATATATTATTGACAGTTTGTCGATCAATAGAATCTAAAAAGTAACTATCCCATTCAATTCCTAAATATTAAAAATGAAATAATTTCATAAAAGCGAGATTCTCTGAAGGCAGGCCTTAGTAATCAAGTCAGAACAAATCTCAGAATATAGCATTAGGTTAGAATGAATTATAAATTGAATGTTCACATTTTAAATAAACAGAGGTAATTGTGAATTGGGAAGGAAGCGAAGTCTCACAACCTAATTGCGTTTCAGGGGCACATAAAAGGCTAGGTGTGACCGCTGTCCAAAAATCACATAAAGTAAAGAAGGTCATCCGACATAGAGGATTCAGTATGCGTCACTTGAAAAATGACATAGCCCTTTTGGAGTTGGAACAACCCGTTATGTTAAGCAACAAGGTGAACTTGGTATGTCTTCCATCGAGGGGAAGCAGCGCAGTTGTGGGATCAAAGTGTTACATTACTGGTAAATATTACCTTTTATAACGAGTGAGATATTGCTCTTATTATTGAATATTTTATTGAGTTTTCTTTGATCAAAATTACAACAGTAGATCAAACGCAGCAAATCTTCACACGGAACCGATTCGTGTTGCCTGACCAGCGCGAAAAAAAACTCGAATAACTAAGTCGGAATTGATCCTGATTTTGCAGTTGATTTCAGTTGGTTCAAAGGGTGACAAGGTTTTTCCTATGGTGATCAATCACTGGGCGAAATAAAACAATTAGCTTTCACCAGAAAGAGATACAAAACTATGACCAAAAATATGACAGCAAGGATGCTGACCTCAATTTCAATCAGTATCTTACGCTTGAGCTACCTCCTAAATAAAATGGTATTTTCCCCTTTCTTTCAACGTATTCACAAGCACAGTCCCTTTTATATAAAAAGTAATGCACTGAAGTAAAAATTTGAAAGGTGGGAAGGCCAGTATCATGTTTGATTCCAACTTGAATCACTCAGATTTTAATTCTTCGGGCACGGCCATGCCCTTGACCGAAAGGTTTACGATCTTACAAAAAATAACTTTTCAACAGGCTGGGGAAGAACTGTGGGAGGAGGACCTGCTGCTAACATTCTCCAACAAGGTATGCTACCTGTTGTATCAGACGCCCGATGCAAGAAAAGGAACGGCAACCTTCTCCCTGTTGACAAGACAAGTATGCTTTGTGCCGGAAGCGGAAAGAAAAATCAACCCGGTGGTTGCCAAGGAGACAGCGGTGGCCCCTTTGTCTGTAAAGAAAATGGCAAATGGGTGCTTCGAGGTGCAGTGAGTTGGGGACATAGAATGTGCAAAACCACTAAATACACTGTGTTTGCTCGCATCAGTAACTTCATTGACTGGATAAATCAGAACATATCTGGCGGCAACAGTGGTGGAAACACTAGCGGTAGGACTTTTTAATGTAGTAAAGGTTTGCAAACAAATACAAAAGAAACTAAAATTGAAGCTAAAAAGGCTCTTATTTAGGTTTTACTTCTCCTGACGCATCTCAGTGGGCCGGAGTCTTAATTGTTAGAATCTGATTAGCAAATCGCGCACTTGTGAACGGCCTGCGTCATACAGACCTCCCGCCCGTTGACACACAACTTCTGAAAAAAGAGTTTCAATTATAAATTTACCTTACCTTAGCGAATGTTGCATTTTAATTAGGAAGTTAAAAATCATTGGCTGAAACTTTAGTCGCCAAACAATCAGTTACTGTCCAACTGACTTGGCCGACTAAAAGACTCTTCACTTTCAAGTTCTCATGTCGCTTAAAAACAATTAATCAAAATTAAGGGTTGTTTATAACTAATATTATTCGAGGATTGGCTCAATAAAGAAAAAAAATTCGTTCGTGTTGAAGCTCACGACAAGTTTTTATCTTTGTTGCAGGTAAAGCGTAAAAGATGAAGTCAAAGCGCCAAAGGTATACATTACTTTTTATCCTAAAACTCCCGCATAAGATCAACAAAATTTGGCGGCTAATATTAACACTGCAAACTGTTAGATAATGAAGTTTGAGCCGTGATGTGAAAACAAACGCCGCTTTCCTCATCGAGGAAATGATTACCAAACAACAAGAAGATAACGATCTGATACAGTGGAAATAATTTAATAATGATAACGAATATTCTCTATAGAGGAAGTTCCCGTCACATAAAGTGGTTTTCAGGGAGGTCCTGACTAATTACAATCAGTCTCAGAAAGATCTAACTAATGAAACTTAGTAAACTAAAGGTATTAAAATGCTGATAATATAATAAGAGGAAATATCCAAAATACCACAAAGTATCCTCTGAGTAGGTTACGGCTACATTTACAACCAAGTTGCAAGACATGGCAAATGTAAAAGTGAGTGCAACTTTTCAAAGGCTGTCAGAGGTGCTATTGATTTTACTTGTTTTTCGCCCCAGAGGCCTTTTTTTTCAGAGGTCTGAGACTTCTTTGAAATCCTAACTGGCTCAATGTTCTACTTGCAGCTTTAAAATGTTGCTCGTAGTCGAAGAATTTTCATAAAGGGTTAGTTATGTTGAAAGCCCACTGTAACTCAAAGGGATTGTGTTACAAAACAGACGTGGACATAAATTTGCACATCCCGCCGGATAGGGGGATAGGGGTTGGGGGGGGGGGGGGAGTGGGAGTGAGGAAAGTTACTGCCACCTTTCTGGGTTATAAGATTTGGCGAAAGTTTAGATATTGTTGAAGCTCACGGCGAGTGTTTTCTTGGTTTCAGGTAGAGAGGTCAACGTTCCACATATTTAATCGTTATGAAGTCCCGTTTGCTAGAAAAGTAAATGGCAAAATAATAAATAAACGGTAGCAGATTATTTCAGTTTGCGTGTTAATTTATTGTTAACTCATAATAGTTTGAATCTGTAGGTTTTTTGCTTGTTTGTCTCAAGAAATTGTGCAAAACTAATAATATTCATATCCGCTCTCAAGAATGAATCTCTTAATTCCAAAGGTAGAGAGTCAAACATAAGTCGCATCACACCAGCTGACTGATTTTCGTTTGTAGTGCATATTTGGGGCTTTTAATTTTCGAAAATTTTCGAAAAGAATCAGTTAAACAAGAAGCCTTTTTCCTTCCCCTCGGAAGTCAACTGGTAAGCCTCGACTTCATGTACTCTAGGACCCAGTTTTCCCAGCTCAAGGTCAAAGTAGTAACTCGTTCAAAGAGTGAAACGTGATTGCCTAGTAATACAGTATTTCAACTGAGCTCAGAAAGCTGATCTTCACTACCAGCAAAATACCATTCTTTCTTAAATGTTTGTATGTTTTCGCGCGGAAAATAAAATACCACGCCTCTTATCACAAAATGCGTAGGTTGCTTTATTATAAAATGCTGCAACCGTTTTTTCAAAATGCGCAAGTTATTACAAAACGCGTCGTAAGTACACATTGCCACAAAACAACAAATTGAAAAAAAGGTCAACCTCGTTCCCTCAAGACAAACTTTATTTCAACAATTGATACACCAAAATTGATAATGAATGGACCATTAAATCACTATGTGTTATTTTCAACCCCACAATAGCAATTGATTTATCAAGTCCTAAAACCTGTAAAGTAAGAAAATGAAAACGAATATCAGTTGTAAATAAATCCTACTTTATCGTATTAGGATATAAGGCGGTGGTCTGTTCGGAGTCAGACATTTTAACTTTTTGCTCATCTAGACAGAACCTAACTATGTCGAAACAGCTCTCCACTTTTGGATATCTATTAAATTGCGAGATAACGTATAGAGGTAATAGGATAAATTAAACAACAGTTTACAACGGTTATTTGATGGAAAATGGGGTTTGCAACGGTTGAAAGTGAATTTAATGGGCGAATTAATGATCACCTAGAGAAAATTCACCATCTCAGATAAAATCACGTGTCTTTCAACATCGTAAAAAATATGGATAACCCATTAATTTTTTAATTTTTTTTTAATTTGAAACTTCTATCTTGGATAAAGTCACGTGTCCCATACAAGCGTATAAAACAAGGATAACCCATAATTGTTCTCTCCTCCTGACTTGCTACCCTTTGGAGGAAAAGTAGTTTGATAACTTTGAAACACAGCAAAATAAACAAAGGGTTCATCCATTTTATTTTAATTCAAATAAAATTTTGGTTGTTTATCGTCTTGTTCTTGCGAGGGCCAAGTAAACAACTCTTTGTAGTGGTAACTAACCTGAGGCCCGATTTTATATGTTCAGCACAATCGACATGTCTTCTTGCATTTAATTCTTACGTAAGCGTTAGTCGAGCATTGTGAAGCGAACATTGGACAGTACTTGCTGCTATCCTTACACGCAGGCCCGATACCACCACCTCCACCTGCGGAATAGAAACAGAATCAAATTTTACCGGAGCCAGATGAGCTGCCAGTCACGTGGGTAAACGTCTTATACAATTATGATCTCTCCATCAGTTATGTGGAGATCAATTATCTGTACCATTATCTACCATCAAATATATCCCCATTTCTACTATCATAAAAATGTGACAGTCATGGCGGCCACTTTGGTTAGATTTCAACTTCTTCTTATGGAACTCATCGAAGGCCATTCATGTTAAGCGCTGGTTGCCTAAAAGTTTGTAAAGGGATACCGTACTCCCACATTTTCTTTTTAAACACGATTGTTCTCAAGAAGCATATTTAGTCACTCAGTTATTAACTATAATAATACATATTGTAATAGAGAAAAACATGGAAAGAGCGTAGAGGGAAGGGGGCGATTCTATTTGTTTTATTTTGTTGTTTTTGCTATGTGATACGAGGACAAGAGAATATAAACTCTTTATGATCTCTTGAAGAGGATTATTAAGATGATTTAATCCAGAATAGTGGTTTGAAAGCTTCATTACTAATGACAGTATTGCATTTACACCCATAAATGTAATGCACATATATTAAATAACTTACATAGTCCGCATGACTTTTTGCATATTTGCTTGACGTACGGATGGGTGTTACAGTACTGTTTTAGGTACGGGCAGTTTCTGTGGCCATCTGTACATGCTGAAAATATAGGATTAGAATTCTGTTTATTTTTTCTTTGAATGGGCATGAAGTAAACTATTAGGTTGATGGACTTCGTATCCATTTTGAATCAGATATAGAAGATAAAAGAATCATGCAGCACCTTCCCTTCAGAAGTAAACGTACCAAAACCAACAGCAAAACAACAGTAAAACAACGAATCATTAAAAAAAAGAAACCAAAACAAAACAGACAAACAAAAAAAGAAAAAGCCAAATTAGACGAGAAAAAATTGGTATGTTCTAGCTTTTACGCGTTTGGGAACAACATTACCCGAACAGTCAGCGGTAACTGCTTTAACTTTTGATTAGGCCTCATCAGTATTGCAATATTTCCGGTTTTTAAAAGTCACTTAGACTGCTGTGCACATGTCTAAGCTGGAGGATAGTTTTTGTTAGTAACTGGCCCACAGGGGAAGAAAAACAGGAAGTCCGGAGCAACCATCACAATTGATTTCCGTATCATAAATATAAGAAGGAGACATGCTTACCACCTCCGCTGCCACCACTGCCACCACTGCCACCACTGCCCCCACTACCAGACATTTTCTGATTTAGCCAGTCAATGAAACTGCTGACACGGGCAAACACAGTGTAGAATTCAGTCCTGCACATTCCATTTCCCCAGCTGACTGCGCCTCGTAAAACCCATCCATCATTTTCTTTACAAACAAAAGGACCTCCACTATCTCCTTGGCAACCACCTGCCTGGTTTGCTTGTCCACTTCCTGCACAGAGCATACTCGATTCCTCGACCGGAGCGAGTTGACCGTTCGTTCTGCTGCACGTGTTGTGATCTACAACTGGAAGTTTTGCTTGCTGTAGGGCGTTTGCGGCTGGGCCACCTCCGATGATCCTTCCCCATCCTGGTAGTAAAGATAATAAGATCTTGAAGCAGCTAGCTCTCTATTGCGGACTGAATTTTCGGGAAACTTAAAAACATACTAAAACTGTCCCGTGTCTACTAAGTTCTATTTGATGTTAGCGTGGAAAATCAACTTTCAAATCATCCCAATTCTTTGATCCTTCTTAGCTTCACCGGCCATCGATGTTTTGAAACACTTGGAGATTTTAGGATTCCCTCCGCCTTCTCCTCCAAAAATGTTCTTACATCTGGAATTTTCAGAAATCCAAGGTGCAACGGTATTGTCATGAAAACGGAATAGATGCAAAACGTTTTGACTCGATCAAAAAGATCAGAGTCTGCCTCTCCTCATAGAAGAAAACGAGAAATATTTTATCATTAGTGTAAATACTAAATTCTAGATACTAAATTCACAAAAATAAAGTTGACAAATGCAATTACCACAAAATATGATTTTTTCGAGCCTGTAAGCAAACTTACCAGTGATGAAACACTCAGTTCCTGGTGGAATTCTACTTCCTTTAGGTGGCAAACAAACCGTGTTGACTTTATCACTGAGTTGAACTTCGCCATCCAGTTGCAGCAGGGCAATGTCTTTCCTTAGATGGCTCATTGAGAATCCTTCGTGTTTGAAAAGCTTTTTCAAATTGAATGTTTGTTGTACAGCTGTAGTCCCAGTTCTGATGTGGGCCCCTACATAGTGAGAAAACTTAGTGACCGTTCGTCATCGTTGGAGGGGAAGGGGAGGATTTTGGGAGATCACATAGTTTTCAGGGGAAAAGGAGGGATGATTAGTCTTCGCAGGCAGAGAATAACAGGCAATAAAGGCAGGACTTCGGATAATTAAATGGCAATGAGGGGGGGGAGGGGGATGATAAGAATATTGGGGGATCAGGTTAACGTTGCCGTTTCATAACCAGAATCCTCCAGCCTCCCCACCCCACATCCCCAGACGATGTACAATGAACGGTCTCTCAGAAGCGTAAGTGATAAAATTATACTCCATGAGTGAAAGATTCAAGAAATCGTGTTGCAAAATGTGTTTCAGCAATTGAGAATGAGGTAACATTTTCGCATTTCGAGAGACCTGGCAATGCTACCTCCGATTATTCAACATGTGCACTTACCAACGACCACTGTGTACCCGCTAGGATCTGGGTTCCTTTCTACGCAGTGAGCAGCAGTTACAACCCAACCAGGCTTGATCAGAGATCCTCCGCAAATGTGTCGTCCATTCACCCTGAGAGAGATCTGCCAAGGCCACGAATGCGGCGCAGCATCATCCCCGTTAACCACACGGGCACCAGGCGGACGAGAACCGCACCCTGAAATTCATCAATACATGCGAGATTATGGAGCTAACAGACAAATGAAAACACAAAACCCCAGATTACCGTACATGGTTTTCACGTTCTTATGGATCCAAATCAAAGTTATCCCAAAGATAAAGAAGGCACCAGTCACTGATCATGAAGAGATATGCGGATTTGGATCTTTCACGAGGATCGAGAGAAAAATGAATTGCATTGTTCTGTTTTTTGTTTTTTTTTTTCTTTTATGCAGAAAAGTGGGGAGCTTCCTGTGATCTTGAAACAGAGATATTGATATGGTTACATATTAGTACATGTACTTGTTCTCAAGAATGGGCAAAAAAGACACTCTTAGTTCTACCATGCTATTCGTAAATTAATGTTGCGTTATACTTTGCTTTAGTATGTATGACCTTTCTAAAATGAAAAGGATGGGGAATTGAAAAATGAAAAATTTATGAAGTGTTTCGTACCTTCAGAAAGGGCAGGAATACAAAGAGCTACAACAGCGATAAAAACAGACAACATGATAGTGGTATCCTATCCAAGGTAGGAAGTGAGGGAAGACAAGACGCCGTTACATTTATAAAAAGGCAATTTTTTCAGCTGACAGATGTATAGCATCGGCTCCTCTTTATTGTGCATTGTCATTTTAAAAAAAGTTGTCTTTTTTATTCACCGCTTTTTTCTCTGGAATTGCCCTTTTAAGAAACAATCGCCCTGCAATTACCCTTTTAAACTGCAGCTTTATTGATTGTTAATAAAAACGATATGAAATGGTTATTTTTTAATAAATCCCACGACTGATGACACACTAGTGTTAATCATATGCGTTGAAACAAAGCTGCATCCATCCGCAGTGTTAATTTGGTTTTTGAAAATGCGACACACAGATCTCAGATCAACCTGGAACACATCTCAGAGTACAATACTGTCAATAACTTCAGTTAAGCATTAGTTAAGCATCAGTTATGACAGAAAGCGACTAGTCACATTATATTTCCCTAGTAAGTCCGCTCCAACAAGTTCCTTAATTTTTGTCTTCGTATTACGTTCAAAGGCAAGATCCTAGGGAAAAAAACTTATCTATCGATAAAGCAACCATATTGATTACATTCAAGAATTTTTTTTACAGATGCCATAGTTTTGTAAGAATGCTCATGTACGCATTGACGACTATTTCCTCGTACAATGAAAATGGGAATGACTTATAGCAATTTAACAATTATATGATACAGGGAACTTGCCAAAAACTGCTAGACTCACTCTCGATGTCCTAAAAATATCTAATATAGCCAAATGTAAATATCTTTTTGAAAGTTTGTCAACTGTTTGCTTGGTTCTGTAAACAGTAATTATCTTCATGTAGCAACAATAAAGACATCCTTTGTGATCATGTCCTTAAATGCTGTTCACGCAAGCTAGGAAAACGTAATCGCTTCATTTTCTGATGAAGCAATTTGTATAGTTGTCAGTAAGTCTTAGGTTTAAAACTTTGACAAGCTACCGATTTTTTTTGGACGATCTATACAGAGATAAAATCTAATAGAGGATAAAATAACTGGTTTTACATTATAAAACAAACTTGTTATCCATGTGAGCCACTATCGACGTCCTTTACATTAACGATGTTGAAACAATAAGATAAGGGAAGATGTTTTTGACCACGATACTTTCTACCCCTTACGGCGCTATCAACTTTAAGAAGGACCACTCATAGTCTTCTCAGTGTACACTTGAGCCCCTACGATTGACAACAATTTAGTTTCACCCCTTAATCAAAGACTAAAGACAAGAGAATAAAGAATATAATCACAAACTCAAAAAGCTCTTGATTGTTCGTTACTTTCTCCTTATAAGATCCACGGGAAATGTATAGAGAACAGTTTCAGTGAAGAACTTGCATAATTATAGTGGAAAGGGTGACAGTTTAAAGGTGGAGGTGGGGAACAGGCTTTGATCCACAAAAGAAATCAGTCGGACGTCAGCTGTGCAATTAAACAACAACTTTATGTTTTGCAAGCTTTAAAATCATTTCGAGTGTCTCTGTGAAACACTAGACCCTTCAAAATTTAATGTGCTACAAAATTTCTTGTTTACTTCGCTAAATGCTCTGGCGGAATTGATACGCAATGTTCCAGGTGAAATTATTCAGATGGAAACTCGCATTGAAGACTACCCCAGCTAACAGCACCGCGTAAAACCCATCTGCCATTTTCTTCGCATACGTATGGTCCACTGCTATCACCTTGACAACCACCTGCCTTGTTTGGTTTACCACTTCCTGCACAGATCATGGATGTTTTGTCAATTGGTGCCCCTACTTTGCCCCACTTTTTGGAACATCGCCTGTGACTCTGTGCGGGAAGCATCGCTTGTTGCAAGATGTCTGCGACGTCGCCTCCACCTTCAGTCCGACCCCATCCTGAGTTAAAGAATTTAGGTAGAAAATTTTAAATAAAGGGGTAAGTTTCTAAAGAAACTGTGGTGCTGCGTCGGTGGGAGAGTATAGCAGGTAATTTAGTGTTAACAACTGGGTTGAAAACGTAAATTAGCCACCGTAAAGGGTAAAAAAGCTGACCTTTCGAGCGTTAGCCCTTCGTCAGAGCGATTAGAGGGAGAGAGAGAGATAGAGAGAGAGATAGAGATTAGAAAATTTTACAAGCTACTTAATGTTATCCCCTTCCTCCCCTCACCCCTTTGCTTTTCTTAATATTAATTATTAATATTAATCAATATTAATGCTACCTGTCATGTAGCATCGGTGGCGGGCTGAAATTCGAGATCCTTTGGCAGGAAGGTAAACGGAGCTGACTTTGTCGCTCAATTTGGCCGGTTTGCTAAGGTGTAGAAGGGCGACGTCATTTTCTAAGGTGTTGCAAACTGAAGTCCTCGTGGGCAAAGAGTGCTCTCAGTTTAATTGTCTGCTGTACATCCGTTGTGCCAAGACGCTCGTGTGCACCTGGAAAGGTTTCAGCATTACACCAATTTAAGTGCAGAGAAGGCAAGAGAGACAAATATTACATTGTATACTCTTTTACTCTTGAACTCGTTCAGTCTTCAAAAGGTTTTTGGCAAGTTTTCGCTCTTAAGCCATGCGTGATTAATACAAGCGTCCTGAAATTTAAAAAAATATTGGTACCAACTCACTCGATGATGAATATGTACTTATTCTTACCGACAATAACGGTATAAAAAGAAGGATCCCGTGGAATATCATCCTGGTCCACCACACACTGCGCTACCGTCACAACCCGTTCGTCTGTGATCAAGGAACCGCCACAGGTGTGCACCAGGTCTCCAAATTGATTGAGAACTCGCAGCGACACCTGCCAGGGCCACGACTGCTTCGGTGCATCCTCGCCACCAACAACTCGAGAGAGAAAGCGTCGTTTGCCGCAGTCTGGAGAGATGTAAATTGACTATATAAAGAGCACACGGAAATGCGTAAACTGTTACAAAGTCTACTATATATGGAACCTAACTAGAAAATGTGAACCGTGCGAAGAGGTTTAGATTGAACTTAACCCTTTTTACTTAAATATTGTACCTTGGGAAAGTACCAGTTTTAGGAAATAGCCACCACAACCACTTGTAAATAAAGCTTCATCTTTTTGGAAAGTTTCTTCTGGCTGTGAGAAAAGTCCCTTGCATGGAGGGTTTATATATATATATATATATATATGTTCAGTCGTGTTGTAATCGCAAGGTGTCCAAACATCATAACAAATTATAAAAGCACTTTCAGTAATGGACTGTCCTCTTTTAAGTTGTCTAGGTCAAATCAGCCGTACGTGCTTGTTGTCTGTATACTTGAGTCAAGGTTAACGCATTAAGTGTTGGTTACTTTGTGATGTTTACTAGTCTTGAAAATTTCTTTCAGTGCAATTAAGGTTTACCACTTTATCGTTTAACACTACCGCAGCGAATCTGAAGAATTTTTCTTCACCAACATTCCATATTCTTGTTTTATTGAAATCACTTTCAGATATGTCATGACATTATATTTCATAAATACTTCACTTTACCTTTGTTCCTATTTCCTTGAAATGTTTGCATCATGATTAGCAAAAGACAACGATGGTTTAAAATGGCCTCTAGTCAGAAGTTTACAATGATGTTTACATGCATAAAAGGGCACAAAGCCAAGAATTGACAATTCTCATGATTTGTATTGAAGTTTTTTTTTTAAGACAGTATTATTTCACGTGAAATGGCCAGGAAGTCGCGCCAGGCCTAAAAAACTTACAAGTGGTCGGATGCAACGGAAGACACTTTATGTGGAACCTAATTCAAGGACAATTGTGGCACTTTCGCTTTATTGAGCAACACAAAACCAACACACAGTACTAGCAATGTTGTATGCACACGCGGTCACGCAAGCACTCTGAATGATGGTTTGTGCTCCTTAAGACTGTCATATTTGAGGCGGCTGGTATTTTATGTATTCCTAACCGAAGGTCAATGCATCACGTCTAGTTCAAACAGTGTTTTTTTTTTCTGGTTAAATTTTACTAATATTTATGTTCACTCAAATATTCTCTCATCGTCGACCGTTACCACTGCGAATCTGAAGAAAATTCTTGAAATAGCAGTTTTCAATGTTCTTATTGTCAAAACATGGGGAAGATTATCGAGGCCAAATATTTAAAATGTCATGAAATATTGACTTTTCGTTATTCTTTAACCGGCACTGTTTTTTAGCTCTCAAAAAAACTTGCATTAACCGATTAGTCTGAGCCGTTGATGGTTTCAAGTAGCCTCTAAACAAGCGTTTGTTTATATGCACAAAAAAGAATGGTGGTCATTTATTGTTTATTCTCGTTGTTGCTGTAGGTGGATTTTAAGCATGTTTAACTTCACATTAAATGGCAGGAAAGCCAGGACTGAAATCTTTAGAACGGATGGTTGTTTCAGAAGATTTTCCGAGTAAAACCGTATATAGGCACTTTAGGCTAATTAAGCTAGGCTAGGAAATTTTGATTATTTTACGAAGGCAGAAGACACGCTGGGTTTAACCTAGTTTTGGGACTATAATGAATGCACGTTTCATTTTGTTACAAGGAACAATGCAAGGTGTCACAAAATATCACTATGGAAACCTTCGGGTAAGAATCTGTGCTCCCTTAACTTGTTTGGTTCGATAGAGGTGGCAGGGCGTTTATGCTGACTGTATATCCGATTCGAGGATCAACCCATTCTCAAAAATGAGCAAAGAGAAATTTCGAATTAAAATATCCGTGCATTTTTGGGCAAACAGGTGATGAGGAGAAAGGAAGTTATCAATCGGGGAATATTGTTTTGATTTAATACACCAAATTGTCGGAGCCGGGAAATTGTAAGAAACTTATGGCAAGCAATTTTCGGCTGCAGGCTTCGAGTTTCTTGCTACGTATGGCTCAAGGACTCTGAAAAACTTTACCAACGTACAGGAAAAATCAAATTGAGGAAACCACGTATTTTTAACAAATAACGAATCGAACTGCACTTTCAATACCCTTCTCAAATTTATTTTCCCTTTAACCACATCAACTAAAATCACTGGTCTTTGCCTTTCTGTTAGGTTTGTTGAGATACACGACGGACACCTTTATTCACTCCATACCTGGAAAACAGCAAAAAGGAAGCCCAGTCAAGAACTTTGTTATATTTTTTAACAAATTGAATCAGTAAGTCTGAACAAATTGACTCACCGGACCCTATTCCATCACCTAGATTGATCGACGAAAAAAGGAAAAGGAAATTAAGAGATAAAGATGATTAACTTTGTTATATATGGAATGGATATCTGGAGAAGTAGCAAGTTTTGTTGCTCAAAAATCCAACCTATGTGACACAGCCAATCAGAGGGGTGTAATTAACAGAGACGACCTGGCATTTGGATAAACTCGAAAACCTTAATTGGTTTTCATATCCTGTGAATATTTCACCTAAACATTATGCTACCATCTGTCTCGCAAAATCTCTTTTTATACAAGAAGAAATAAAACAGTCCATAAACAAAGATATCATTTAAGCTAAAGAAGAGTGGATTATTTAGTACACATCTCAAATACACTGCGAAAATGATGAATTTCGTCGCAGAAAATCATATGTCGATCGGAAAGCTATTTTAAACATCGTTAAATTAGTATTTGATCAAAGCCTGATAAACAGTTAAATAAAACAAATTTCTCAATGGAAATGGGGCTAAAATCAGCTTGAATTTATACTGTTTAAAAGCCCATGATCACAGCTTTAACTGTTAAAACAGCATATGGGAAATAAAGAATGTAAAATGCTCATTGTTTAGTTTGACGGAAAAATAAATAAAATCAATTGGTTTGTTTGTAAAATTTCCGAAGTACCTGTGTTAGATTTCTATAAGGAGCCTTTGTAGAAACTTTCATAATCTACAGCGTGTTAAGGAAATCATTATTTTATCTGAGTTAATATATCATACATAATGAGTTTTTTTATCGGTAAGGACATTCCCTTACCCTCAATCTTCGCGTCAATCCAATCCCTGAAAGAGCTTATTCTTGCAAAGACAGTAAAGTATTCTGTCTTGCACAAGCCATGACCCCAGCTCACTGCACCGCGCAAAACCCATTTGCCATATTCCGCGCATACGTATGGTCCACCGCTATCACCTTGGCAACCACCTGTCTGATTTGCTTTACCACTTCCTCCACAGATCATGGATGTTTCGTCTATTGGTCCCAAATCGTCGTTTACTTTGGAACAATTTTCGTGGCTCTGTACGGGAAGTACCCTTTGTTGCAAGATGTCTGCGACGTTGCCTCCACCTTCGGTCCGACCCCAACCTAAATAAAAAGAATTAGAATATCAGAAAAAAGAATTGTAACAGATCAACGTCACACCTTGCATTGTTAACTGGTCATACCTGTTATGTAACAAGGATGGCCGGCAGAAATTCGAGATCCTTGGTCAGGAAGGCAAACGAGGTTGACTTTATCGCTCAGCTGGGCCTTTGTGCTTAGGTGTAAAAGGGCGATGTCATTCTTTAAGTGTTGCATACTGAAGCCCTCGTGAGGATAGAGTGCCTTTACTTGAATTGACTGCTGTACATCCGTTGTGCCGAGACGTTCGTGTGCACCTGAAAAATTTTTAAATTTCACAATGATTCTGTTGAAGTTGTTAAGGCTTATCAAGAACTCTGAATGTGTCCTTGGTCCAACGATCGTGGAAAGTGGATTTTTCGTCCTGCAATCGTACTTCCAAACCAAGCTCTTATACGTTTTTTCGCTCTTATACCCTCTGCTATGCTTTAATCCTTTTTCTCTTAAACATTTCCACGAAAACACCCAAGCATTATGTTGAAAGACTAGTTGTGGCGCCTTAGAAAGACGAACACAATTAGTTGTGAACGAGTTATCACGAAGTCGTCTTTTTTTGTGGCTTTAGTTTTCTTAGCTTAGTTTTCGCGTCTTCGTAGCTTTTGTTACCTTGGTCAATTAGTCATATATTGTGAGCAAGACTTTTTCCTAATCCGATGAAGTGTTTGGTGGCAGAATGTTAGAGTGCTTTCCGAAGGATCTCGATATTAGTTTATTTTTATTGTTTCATGCGACCACATATTTCTTAATGTTAAGATTCCAGAATTGATGCTTCGCCAGCTCGGGGGACTCAATCATTTAGCTTGACTTTCTGAGGGACTGAAAATATTTTGTACCGATCGATTCACCGCAGCTTCCTGAAAAGGGTTGCTTTACAAGCTTGTTTTCTTACCGAGAACAACGGTGAACAGAGAAGGATTCCCAGGTCTGTCACATCGGTCCACCACACAATGTGCCGCCGTCACCACCCATTCGTCCCCGATCAAGGAGCCGCCACATATGTGCACCGGATTTCCTTCGCGGCCTGGGAGTCGAAGTGACACTTGCCAAGGCCATGAATGCTTTGGTGCATCCTCCCCACCCACAACTCGAGAGAGAAAGTGTCGTTTGCCGCACTCTGGAGAGAGAAAAAAATTAGTACGATGTGGAATAGAAAGAAGGAAATAATCAAGTCCTCTTAAATGATACCTCAATTGTGATTAATGTGGAAAGAGATTAAAATTGGACTTAATTACACATCCTTGCTTGGGAATTGTACCTTGGGAGAGCGCGACGTGTACGAAAAAGGCCACCACAACTACTTGTAACTTGAGCTCCATCTTCTCGGAAACTTGCTTCTAGTTATTGAACAAGTCCCTTTCTTATAGGGTTTTTTATGCATGTTCATAAGTTTGGAAATTGCAAGGTTTTCAAATATCACTATGAAGCACTTTGAGGACACTTTAATGGTCTATTGAGCTGTTCGGCCTGGGCGGCAGGGGCATTTATGATGTCCGTATACCTGAGTCAAGGTTAACACATCAAATCTAACCCATGTAGTTTCTTCACTCTTGGCTATTTCAGGATGTTTACATAGTCATTAAAATTTCCTTTCAACATAACTTAAGGCTGACCACAAAAGCGTCACCCGTTACAACCGTGAATCTGAAAAAGTCCTTCAATAACAAATCCCATTGCTTTTAAATTTAAATCACCTATATGTGTCTGGCAGCCAAATACTTCTAAAATGTATCAGCCCTTTATTTTAACCAAGCACTGGATTTATCTATTCCCATTGTTTGAATTGAATTTAGTGAAACGTTGATGGTTTGAAGAGGTTTGAAGTCGGATGTTGAAAATGGTGTTTATATACATAAAAAAGATCGCGGTAACGATATTGCTAATCCTCGCAATTTTTTTTTTTTTTTTTCAATTTTTTTAGGCTTACTTTGGTAGATAATATTATATCACATGAAATGTTGAGGAAACCCGGCTAAGGAATTTTACAGTGCGGGTTAGTTTAATTCGAAAGACAATCTGGGTATACCCTAGTTTTAGGATTATAATGGGGCACGTTAGTCCCATTAAGCAAAAAGGAACACGTAAAGTTATTACAAAGGTGTCCAAACATCATTATGGAAGCGCTTTAAGTAATAATCTATTCTCTTTTTAGCTGTCTCACTTATGGCGGCCAAGCGTTTTTGTTGTCTGCATAACTGAGTGGAGGTCAAACCCTTCAATAAACTATCAAGCTTTTTTCCAGTTTTTTTTTTCGGTCGCTGTTTATAAACCATTAAACCGTTTTCTCACAGCTAAATTAGGGTTTGTCGCTTTTATCGTTTACCACAGCTGTTGTAAATCGGAAAAGTTCCTTCGCCAGCAATTTCCACATCTTTTGTATTAAAATCGTTAAGGAGTATGTCTCATTGTAGCCAAAAGTGTCATACATCATTTGTTATTATTTCTTATTCTTTCCAAGTGCTGAAAGAGGACTCCAGAGACAACCCATTATTAGGACTATTTATAGACGCTTTCGTTTAATTGACCGATAAAGAACAATTCAAGGTATTAACACAGTATCCAAACATCTGTACGGAAGCAATTTAGGTGAGGGTCTTTGCCCTCTTAAGCTGTCTGGCTGAAAGCGGCAGAGCTTTTACACAATCTGACAAAGTTTCCTTCAATGGCAATATTTGTTGTCTTGAAATGCAAATAAAATGGATTTTGAGGGCAGCCCGACGTCAAACAGCTAAAACCTTACTGCGTATTAGAAGATTGTTGACAATCATCTCTGCGAAAAAAAAAATGGAAATATATGATGCCAATTTATGTTTCTACTCCCTTCTTACCAAACTAACATACACCTTGTTCGATAACATATGTGACTCTCCACGGGATTTCAGGGAATAAGGTGAACGCACGCACACGGCACGCTCCCACGCTAAAACAAAAGAACTAGCTTTTAACACGTTAACTGCGTGTTAGTTACTTGCTTCATTAACTTCGTAGCCATTGTCTTACTTCGCTCGGTAGAAGCAGAGGAACGTGTTAAGATCTTGCTTGCATCTTTGTACGATATAACACGGTGACCGAGCCAATTTTATAACACGCCTCTTAAAGTTAGAGTTCCTTTCGATTTGTGCAAGAAGTACGTCCTAAGCCGTAAGAATTTTTTAGCACACCGATACGCCCGGCCGATACGATACTCAATATTTAGTGCAACTTCAATCGCTAAATCGCCAGACATAGGGAATATCGCGACTTGTTGTCCATCATTTAAAATTGTATTTTAGTTTTTTTTCCTTCGTTTTCGACTTCCTCATTTTCTTAAAACAGCTTGCAAGACACGGGCCGAACGAGCAAAGTCCTCTGCTCCTAAAATCGTGCATGAACTTTTGAAGGTAGAAGCAAACTTTTTAAAATGATAAGAGCGAACCTGTATGACGCAGAGCAAATGGCTACTTCGTTGAGGGTAAACTTTGTTCTCACCGTGTTTGTCTATTCTGCTAGTCTCCGAGGCATTATTTATTTATATTGTTAAATTTGTAAACCGACAAGTACGACAGTCCGTGTGGTGCAGCGGTAGCGTTTGCGCTCTCTAGATCGGCGGTGTGGGGTCCGTTAAATGCCAAGATCGGTGCACAATTAATAATGTGCAGCTTCGCACGGAAAGCTTCGTTTTGTGCCGGCTAACTAGGGGTTATTTAATTTAAAAAAAACGATTTGCTTAGAGTGACGAACAGCAACCGCGTCGATCAGGAAACATGAAGCCGGAAATTTGTTGCTAAAGGATTCACAAAGATTCGGTACTGGGCTTATTAACTATGCGAAGCGATAAGGATTTATATTTCACAAGGTGAGAATTAAGTTTCAAAAGAGTAACTCAAGTGTTCAAACTGAGCTCCTCTGAACCTTGTGAAACACGTCGTGCTCACTGAATTCCTTGTGAAAATCCGCAGGGAAAGAGCCGTGATTTGCAATGAATGTTCCTTTTTCATTCCAACTTTCGAAAAGGACAGAAGATTTCCTTCATTTTGGCCTATATTCTGTAAGTTTCTCCTTTAGAAACACCATTCTCCCAATTAAGAAGCTAAAAAACACAAGTAACAAACTTTTTTTAATTAAAGAAAAAGTATGACAGGGAAAAATAGATCATCTGCAGTTCAAATGTATGACTTTCGTATATTCACAGTCGTTTATTCATCACTTCATGGGTTTATTTGGAACCAACATAATAACTAGCGCCCAGTTGGCTTGATAGCTCAGTTAGTAGAGCGCTGCACCAGTATCGCAAAGGTCATGGGTTCAAATCCCGTACAGGCCTGAATTTTTTCAGGCCTTATTTTCTCTATGCTCAAGTAGTGTTCATTACTGCGAAGATCGCTTTCATACTCACGTCTTTATCCGCAGTTCAATTATATGACTTTCATATATTCACAGTCGTTTACAAGTAACAAAGTAAGCTGGGTTGTACCAAATAAGCTAGCATGTTAAGGAAACAAAGGAACGTAGTGCGTTAACAGAAAATCTAGCGTGTTATAGAAAAAAGCTTCACCGTGTTAGCCAGATATGAACAATGGCTTCGGTAACGGTAAACGTGTCATAACGTCTATACGTACTGTGTGCGAGCGTTCACCTTAGTCTCTGAGACCCCGTAGAGGGTCACATATCCTACGCGCAGATATTCTGTGAGCTTTTTCACAGAGCTGAAATACCCCCCTCTGCAACTCGTGTACATCAGCAAAGCATTCTTGTACTATTTTGTACACAGGAGCAAAATCATGTAGCATTTTATATTGCCTATAGAAGATCAAATGACAATAAAAAAAAATCCCATAAAGATTTATTTTGTTCGCCTTAAACAAACTTCTCGACGACGCTAAAATTGTAATTTACTAAAAATGCGAATTTGCCATCAGGTTGTTACATATGTGGTTCGCATGGATCGTCGGCTGGTGCTGATGAAAACTCAAATCCTGTCATTCTTCCGAAACAGAACTGTTCTGACATAACCGTTATTATAAATTTGTTTGTTAAAATTGAGGCTAGCACTTACAATCTAGGAAGGTAAGAAGTACAATTATTGCACACTGTTTCTTTGTAAACGACTACTTGCATATTCATAAAAGAGGCCGGCTTTAATTGGTGTGTTGTAGTAAATTACAATATGAAGCTTTCCTGACTTTATTTCCTTGGGAATTATACTTAAAGAGCATCATGTTTATTGATTTTAAGTCATACTTGCGAAGAATATGACAGTTTTCATGTAATAAAACAAATTCAACACAAACACAATTCAGTGAAGTAGAAGCAAATATTGGATCAGTGAGACAATAAAAGTAACTCATTTCATTGGGACTGAAACTGGCTCAAAGCAGGATTTCTATGTAAATTCTTATAATGAACGCTTGATTAACTTATTTCCTCCTTTCTCCCTGTTAAAAAAGGAAGTTAAAATTTCTTTTTAATAAAAAGATAAAGAACTCAAAATACTTTGCTTTTTCGGGAAATGATAGGAGGACCTTCTCGTATTTTCTAATTACTTTTTATGTCAATCTCATCAAGGCAAAACTCAAACATGATTGGTGCTTGTATCCAAACATCGTTTTTATGAAAACGCCGCTGTTTGAGGTAGCGTCACAAGAAGGAAAGGGTGCCTTTGACGAGTAAAGAGAGCCTGGAAGCTGTGAAATATGGTTTCTTCGACATTCCTGAAACTTTTTTGTGTTGCTTTATTTTCATTGAACTGTTTGGGAGGTAAGATTGCCTATACGCGTTTTAAAGTAGCAAAGAAATAATCTCAGGAGCTTCTGCGTTTAAAATAATTTGCTTGCCGATTATTTGATTAACACTAAGTTTAAAAAACAGCGGAAAGCAGGGTTCATTTTAAAATATGAAACGCAGTGAAATCAACGCTACACTGATAGTTAAAAATTTGACATATTCTTCGGTTAGGTAACGAGACTATAGGATGTAGCACTACTATCGGTAAAATACTGAACCTAAGAGGAACAAACATTCAAATGATGTTGCTTTCAAACTACTGAGGGTTTGCTATATCCTTCTTTTCTGATCTCAAGTACATTTATCTCAGTGCGAGCGATTTAAGTGTCTTTCTCTAAGTGAATTAAGACATTAGACAATTGGAGCAAGAATCGTGGGATCAAAATAACTTTTTGGTGTTTACAGTTTTAATTACAGTTGAGCTTTATTAGTTTTAATGTGGAAAGAGATTAGAGTTTTGTGAAACGTGGGAAAAACTGCCACACTTTTCATAAAAAGAATAAAACATGCACAAGTGATGAAAGTTAAAACAAAAAGTTTATTAGTTTCAATAACGGGTATAAAATCTTAGGTAACATTCTCTATATTTTTCGAATACGCCCCAAGCTAATCGTAATTTGCAATATCCCGCGATCACAAACTCGGCAACAAAAAGAATCTTTGCCAATATAACAGTAAACAAGAGGAAGCATTTTGACTTCATTTTAAAAGGAAATAAGATTTTCTCTTAAGAACTGTTATTCCTTTAGCTAAATGTAATATGTATATTTTCAAAATACTTTTTCGGGAGATGATCTACACTGATTCGGTTTAAAACTTAATTAACTGTTTTTATCCTCTTTAAAGGCATTTTTTCATTCAGCCGTCAAAAAAGGCTAATGGACAGTACTGGCTCGACACCTAAAATTTTCCCGGCTATTTGATAGTCATTTCGTTACGGAAAACATAAGGGAGGGATTTTTAAGTTTCCCCTATGAGCAAAACTTGTTGCAAAGATTCGTTCCCAATGGAAACTGTCGAATGTGGTTCAGTTGAAGGATAATGTGAAGCTTGATTTTACAACTCCATCTGATACAAAAAATTCACATGTATATGACTGAGTCGAAGGTTTCAGTAGATGTAGATTAAAATTTTCTTTCTTACTTGTTTACAAACGCTACATAGTTCCTTGCTTACCAGTTTCAACATCACTCCATTGAGTATGTAAGCAAAATTGTTTCATTTTTGATCCCGAAATCGTTTCAGTTTTAAGGGCCTATTTATACACTTGTTCATGTCTAGAAAAGTGCCACTCTTTCGGACCATCATCCCCAGGTTATGGCAACGAAAACAGATCCTTTCCTCTCAATGTGCCCGCCATCTTGATGAAAAAATCCCAGGCGTTCAGCTCTGAGCCTTAACACACTGAGAGGGACTAGGAACCAAACTGTGAGCTTTACGCGGGCCATTTCGCAAAAAAAAGGAAAGAGATTTTAATAGTCAAAATGTTGCTGTTTACTATATGTACTTCAAACATGTCCTCTATGTGCAACACGGAAAAAAAATTATATTTCTACCGTGGACTGTCCGAAAGCAAATCTTCCTTATGTATCATAGACACGTTAAAATAGCGGTGTCGTGGTATTTTGACTGAAGGTTAAACCTCTTTCCCTTGGAGGATGCACTGCCATTTTGAAGGTTAGAAAATAAATTATATTTGGTTGACTTCGTTTCTTTTATTGTAACCAAGAGAGTTTAGTGTTATGTCAAGAGTTCTCTATTTTATTGGTGGTATGTTTAATCTAAGCACCTACTGCTGACTGAAACGAGTGGACTTACGAGTTTATGACTTAAAGTTACGATAAAATATAAGGCTATAATCATTGTTATTCAATTTGCCTCCTTTAATGCAGATTCTCCGTTTGAAAACCTCCCTTGCGGCACCCGACAAATGTCAAGGATCGTGGCAGGTGAAAGTGCTATTCCACACTCATGGCCTTGGCAGGTAGAACTTCTTATCAAGGATGAAGCTAGCGGACAGTTCATCTTTAAATGTGGTGGAACACTAATTACGCCTTTCCACATTGTGACAGCTGCTCATTGTGTCTTTGGTGTTCCCTTTCCAGAGTCATATGAAGTTCGACTCGGTAAGAGAACTTTTGAAAACTGACTATAATTATTCAAAAGCCTTATCTTCATTCATTGAAATCTTTTCTCCTTATTATTATTATTATTATAATTAATTAAAATCACACTATGCAAATCTTTGTCAAATTTAAGAATAAAAGGTGCTCAAAAAAGACATCCCTGATAGTCTGTTTTTTTGGGTTTTTATTTTTTAGCCTTTCACAAACTTGCAAAAATCAAATTATCATTTTAGCCTTTTAATGATATCTTTCTAAAAAATCAGTTTTGGAGTGGGTATAAATAAGTTTAAGCAGTCTTCAACATAGTCTTTTGTCTAATTCAGGCAAAAGGAAGGGACTTTTCAAAACACGTACATGTACCTGCAATTTTAAAGATTTTCAATCAAACTTTAATTATAGAATCACTTTTAGTAAAGAATTACTTGAATTCCAGGACTGCAACCACATCATTAAGTACTATAGACCTGTTACAAAATATGCACAATTTAACCAAGATTTGGGTTGATCAGAGGAGAGGACTTGAAAGAATGAGAAAACCACTGCTCTCTTAACTTTTTGAGAAATCAGGATTGTAAGCTGGCAACTCATTAGCTAAAATTGTGTTATATTTAAATTATCTTTTACAGGTGTTCACGATCGTTCAGTGTCAGATCAAGTGCAAAGTATTAATGTCTCAGAGATTCACATTAACAAATTAGCCATGACAAAGGGGTTTGGCAATGACATTGCATTGATAAAGCTCTCTCGTCCAGCTGCCCTTAATGCAAGAGTTGGTTTGGCTTGTATGCCAAGTGGAAAAAAGACAGACCGAGTTAAGCCTGGCACAATGTGCTACATCACAGGTAAACAATGAGTGGATGAACATTGTTAGGTCTAGTGCATGTTAATGGTCTAGTAAGGTCAAAGGGAGGATTGCCCCCAAAAAAAACTTTTTTATAACTCCTACTATTTTTGCAACCATAATATCATTATTTTCACCTTAATCAACATCACTGTTATAGAAAATCAAACTAATTCCCTTAGCTTCAGGTGTCAAGGGTTCCTCTTAAGATCCTTGCCATACCCAGGGCTCGAAATTAGCACTCACAAACTCGCGAAATGCGAGTGGTTTTTCAAAGTTGCGAGTCTAAAAAATATCATCTAGCAAACTAGGTTCCTTCTTTTGCTAGTAAAAAAAATCTTTCTAGCAAAACTTTGCTAGTAGACAAAAAAGTTAAGTTCGAGCCCTGCATACCCTGTATGGGCAAGCTTTTTGTCATTGTTAATATCAATCCTTTTAACTCCTGAGAATGACTGGCATCTTATTTCTCCTTAGAGTATCACTGCTGAGTAAAACATTTAAGTTATTTGATATAGTAAAAGAAATATCATGACCAACCAAGGAAGGCCATTACATTTTCCTTGTCTTGTACATGTACCATAAGGAATGTATAGACTAACAAATATAGACAGAGAATATACATACCCTTGTTAGGATGTAAGGGGTTAATGTTACACAACATTATTACTATAATTATTTTATTTATTACTCATTATTTTCCCTTGTTACTTTAATCATGAAATTCCAATGAATAATTAAGCCACAACATCAATCTGATGGTCTTTCCCTGATCAATGCTTCTTACCACAACAATATTGCATTGATGATAGAGATATGTTTCAAATAAAGTATGCATTCTCAACATGCTCTTTTTAGTTCATCCTCAATGATTTTTATCAGGCATTTTATCCCAATTACACAGTAATAGGATTTAATATTATTGTCTTTAGGGGTGGTTCATTATTTGTCTTTTTTTTTTTTTTAAGCATTTCATATTATTCCCTTAACCCTTTACATCCTAACATCAGTAAGCATATTCTCAATACTATTCTCTAAACATTTCCTAAGGTGCTGAAAAGGTGAATTTGTTAAATGATCAAGAGTTTTTTCAGCTGGAGATTATTTCCTCTATTCTTGTGACCTTTATGTTTGATTCAAGGGTGATACACCAAAGAGAAATTAGATGGTTAAATTTTAACTGTTAAATGCAAGCACTCAGTGTAGGTTTAAAAAACAATTAGGATTTTATTTGTTCTCACACAAATTATTGTGAAATGTTTGCTTACAATTAAACTTAAACTTTATCCAGGCTGGGGTAGTTCTACTTTCCAAGGCAGCAAATCCCAAATCCTTATGCAAGCCAAGATGCCCATTGTTGAGTACAATACCTGCGCTAAAGCCAACCAACCCCTTGGTGAAGTTGTGGATTCACTGATGCTATGTGCAGGGTACGGTGGGAACAGCAGAGTAAGTGGATGCCACGGAGACAGTGGTGGACCTCTAGTTTGTCAGGATGAATCTGGTTTATGGACACTTCGTGGTACAGTTAGCTGGGGGGATCATTACTGTAAAGGAGGCCCAACCTACTCTGTGTTTGTAAGAATCAATAGTTATGTTGAGTGGATCAAATGCAAGATGACTTCACAACCTCTGCAACCACGTAAGTTTAAAATTGATGAACAAAGTTGAAGAATTATTTTCATTTCATAAAGATGTCTCTCTTGATCAACAATTAAACACATGACTGTTTAAGCAAAATGCATGGAATTGCACTTTGTCAATAACCATTGGTTCAATTTTATTGCCTCAAGCTTATTATAAATACCATAAGATATTGACTTCTTTTTAACCATGCACAAGGGCTGCATTAGGAAATATTAGCCAGTGGTCATTGAAGCACAAGCGCAGCAAGGTCCACAAAATTTTTAGAGAGTAATTTTTTAAATGGCATTTGGACTAACCTTGTTTATTTTATGTATAAAAAGCACTTCTGGTTACTTGAATTCAAAGGACTTCAGTGTCGTGACATGTTTTTGATGACACAAGCAATTCAGAGAGAACAAACTTCCCAAACTTTCAGCATCAAATCATAACTGATGGTTTTCATCTTTAGCTGGGAAACCAAAATGTATTGATAAAAACCTCTATACCATTATCTGAAGAGCAACTGCACCGAACTGGATTGGAGTTGGCAAATTCTCCTGCTTCAAAAAGAGGATCTTATTTGCTTATGATATGATGAAATTTAGTTCCATAGCATTTTTTGCCAGATGCAAGGCTTTTCCCTTGAAACAACCAACAGAAACTAAATCATTCCTTACTGACAAGTACCTGAATAATAATTCATCTATTCACTTAAAAAATTTGATAAGGCTTTGTGTATCATAAATTAATGGAAATCAAGTCCACCTATTTTAAGTCTGGTTTTCACTAGTGACGCAAGCACAAGGGCAAGCACAAGGGCATGTACATGTACATGTACATGTACATGTACATGTACATAACAGCTCTTATTTCACTGCAAAACTGGCCTTGATGCAAGCATGACCACAAGCACATGCAACAGCCAAGGATCAAAAATTTTCCTTTCTCACCTGCTTGTGCTTGTCAAGGTTTGTTTTCATTTGGCATGTTAACTTTATACTTTGGTTTTTGCTTACACTTGTGCTTCCATCACTAATGAAAAGAGGGCTTTGAATTAAGGTTAATCACCATTTTATAGCTCAGACTCTATGTCAGCTGCTTTTTGTGTTTGTTTTTTAAATGGGAACTGAAAGATGATCTACTCTGGCTATAGTTTACAATCCCAATGTTACAAAAATCAATGTTACTATACAGATTGTGTCTGTGTTATCTGCCTCACCCTTGAACTCAGTCCGGCGGATAACTCAGACCTCGGCATTGATAATTCATGATATCGTACTCAACCTCATCCAATAATTTCTTATAAACGTTAACTAAAACATATTTCTAGCACAAGGATGTGTAGACACTCATGACTACTGCAGCACTTGGGACAAATACAACTTCTGTGAAAACTCCTACTTCGGCAATATGCTGAAAACGTTTTATTGCAAGAAGACCTGCAACGCTTGCTGATAAGGTAAACATCAGTTTTTAAAATGATTCTGTTGGTAGTGTATTTTGAATTCAACATAGATATAAATGTCCGGAATCAACACGCCGAGTGGTGGTTTGAAACATAACATTTTGCCTTCTTTGTGTTATTAATTTCATTACATACCATTGCATTACATACCCTACTTCCAATCCGATTGATAAGCTCCAACATCAGTCTTTTTTTTCTGAAATATTAAGAGATTTTTGACATTAAAATCGTCTCGCTTTTGAGATTAAATTTTATTTAGTTGCGTGTGTTCGAGAAAATCCCATAGAATGCCCATCACTCGGTAGTCTGTGCAAAAAAACTAAATCTCTTCCCCCTCACATAGGCGCCATCTTGCAGAAAATATCCCAGGCGTTTTATTTTGTGACGTAGCAATTTGAGGAAGACTAGGAACTAAACTTCCGGGCTTTACACGGGTGGGTGACATACATGTACAAACCAGATTGAAAAATTATGTTGTTGAATGAATACAGTAATTCCTCTCTTTGCAACGCAAAAAATTATAATATTTATAAAACAGACTGCCTAGATATAAGGGTTAATTGCAACAACGTCGAAATAGCAAAGCGTGGATTAATGGCTTGAGATTAAAGGCTTTTCTCTACGAGTTCTCAATATCAGGTTGAAATTTTCAGTCATCCCTGAAGGAGTTAATAAATAATGGTAATTGAACTGAGTGGAGTGCAATTTGGGCTGAAATTATACGCGTGATTTAAAAATCGAACGAGCGCGCAGCACAAGTTCGATTTGAAATTATAAGTATGATTTCAGACCAAAATTGCACGACACGAGGTTCAATTACCACTTTATTACATCCATTTCGAAATTACCGAAATACAGGATTTGGTCAGTTCAAATATTTTATTGATGCAGTACTGAGCCGGTCTGAAATTAAACTCGTCCATTTTTGGGGGGGAAAAAGTAAGAGTTAAGAAACAAAAGTTGCAAAATTTGCCACATGATACTCTTTGTCTTTCATTTTCCTGCAATTTGATCGGTTACTTTAAACAAACCTTAAATCTGATTGGTTTTGTTTTTTGTGTAGCCTCCTCGTTGGCTGGGAAAAAGATGCGATTTAAAGCAAAAAATGGTGCGATTCGTGAATAAATCGCATAAATTAGAGCCAATCAGATTACAGGGACCACCAGTGATTTCAAAATGGGTGTAATAAATGGATAAATTTACTGGTATACTCTGATTATTAAAAACAATTTCAACTCATGATGATTTTTTTTTTTGTTTTATTTGGATTACAGTTACGTCCATGTTCACCATTTGACGATAGATGTTTCCCAAAGGATTTCAATTTATTTTGCTTTTGGTCCATGTTTGTTTGTATTCTGAGTTATACCATGACAATAAACAGAAAGGTTATCTAGGGAAAATCCAGACAGATACCTTAGTCTATTATGACTTGCATGTGGCCATAATGCACCTCATAACGATACGTATAAAATGATTCTGACATTTTTTTCTGCAATCTTACCATTTAAGATGTTCTCAGTTAGAAATTTCACGTACGTACATTCTCTTTTTAACTAATTTTGTTCTAAGTACGTATTAAAACAAGAGCCCATGGACTCCAGTTGAAAAAAATGTCTCATTACTCCAAAAGATTGCAAGTCTTTGAGAGGATGGTGACGAAATTGTGAGTCGTTGAAGGTTTCATAGATGCTAGAAGCCAATGTTTAATTTTTTCCCAAGACGTTACCTCTGACTTGTGCGCAGCCACACCTGCATGATCGAAACTCATCTTTCTGGATGTCACTTCGGTTATGCAATGCAACACAAGTATGATGACAATATAAAGGCAAAAAGATGAAGAATGGAATTATAAGCGAAGAACAAAGGAAAAAAAATCCTGAGCTTCGTGGACTGGAACCTTAAACTTTTGCGACTATCGACGAATTTCAAAGCTTCGCTAGATGACTTGAAAAACAAGGCAAACTTTTTGGGCGGGCTTGTCGATTTTGAAAGGATGATGGCATTCACGCCAATCATCTGTCACAAGCGTGGGAAGCCCACTAAAATTGTCAGTATAAACTATTGCACATTTTCTTGAGTTCAATTATGGTTAGTTATGTACATTCAAATGTTATGATTAAAAGCTTGAGGCTATGATTCCAAGCTGAGCACTATGCAGCCCGCCCCCGCCCCTCTCCCCTTTTCCTTATCAACCTACCTCGTTAAGCTTAACTGAAATTTTATTTTCGGCGATAGTTATTCATGCGTATCCCCCTACTGCGAATTAATTTCGAATGTATGGCCTCAAATGTGATGCGGGTATAATTTTAAGATCATCGTCAATCAATGCTGAGTAAATGTTTACCTTGATATCCTAAAGCATTAAGGGACATTTGATTAAAACTGAGGCCGTGTGCCACTCTAAATGACGTTTTAACCACCCGTAAAGCCATTTTCTAGTGTACTGTGCATTTGTATAATAGGAAGAACCAAGCTGTCCAAATATGCCGTGTGACAACTCACAGTTAAAACTTCTCAGTCTGCATTAGTCAAAAACTTGCATTTGTAGTTTGAGAAGTTTGATCGGCAACAAATAATTGCAATGATTTTAACACCTACATCGTAATTGATTTTTTTTACAAAAACAGTAGACGTCACGCAAGAACAATTCCATACGGCCTCTTTTGATCGTTCATATCCACATTATAGCTTTTATATCGGCCTTATTTGTTTGAACAACTCCCTAGGAACGACAAAGAAAAGTCGTCTCACAATGATCATTCACTATGAATGATGTTGATTTTGAGCCTAAAGCAATTTTCATTTGAAAGGATTCTTTACTTAAAATGAAACACGTAGTAACACTACTAGGAGCAGTATTTTCAACAAGCAAAATGGTAGTTGCGGTGGTGGTTTTTCTGGCAATTTGCTTATTGCAGCTCAATCAAGGTGAGACATTTCTGTAGCTTACTTTACGTGATTGAAGAATACATGTAGGGACAGGCATATTTTTTTGAAGTGCAAATTCGTCATATACCACGTCTAGTCGTCATATAAATGTAAACTGGTTATATCTCTTAACTTAAGTGTAAAGAAGTAGAGTAATTCCTTTCAAACTACGCAGTTCGCTCATTCCTTTACCCCTGACGCGTGATAGCGTTGAAAAAGCAAAAGAAATCAAAGGACATCGAAAAAGGCGTCATGAAACAAACTGTTTTCGAGAACTGTAAAATAGTCAGACACTCTATGGAACTTTGACCATCAAAATTTGACGGTAATGACTTATAAATCGATGTTGTTTCACCTTTTTTATTATCAAGGGTTCTCTTTAAACGGATGAAAATGCTCTTTTAAACCGACAATCTTAGTTACAAAACTATTCCAATGCCTCATTCATCACCCAAATACAAATATTGTCGCACCTATGTGATTTGTCATCGTACTCCTAACCTAAGCGTTTCATTGAAAAACGTTCAAGTTGTGCATTAAGAAAAAGTGGCTAGTGTAGAATCTAACGTTTGTAGCTAAAATGAGTGTCTAATTACCAAATTGGTATGTTTTTTTTCTTTTCTTTTATTACTTTATCTCGGTTTCTTTCCCACTTTATCTCCAACCTTCAACATTTCTTAACGTTATATTTGTATCATTCATTTGCACTTTCCTCTTTCTTATTATTTCTGTGTATTTATTTTTTTGCCTTATCAATGATGCTCTATTTACCTTTTATCAATTAATTTTTTTCGCTGAAAGCGTCCTCATTTAGCGGTTGTGGACAGCGAAATCCGTCGTCTCGCATTGTTGGAGGAAAGGAAGCCAAACAAGGTTCCTGGCCCTGGCAAATAGAGCTCCTAGTGTCACAACCATCAGCTGACAATGACTTGAAACCAGTCTTCTCTCATCGTTGCGGAGGAACCTTAATTGATCTTCAATGGGTGGTGACAGCTGCTCATTGCGTTTTCATGTACCCCACCCCAGACCATTATAAAGTTGTCGTAGGTAAGTAAACATAGTAGCTTATAGTCCTCCAGTTCCTTCTCTTCGTGGTCAGGCGTTCGATATAATTTATGTTTAGAAATGTCCCTACAACTTTATCAGTATTTTTCATCCCTTCCTCAGCTAATACGCAGTCTCTGTCTCCATATGCTTCTCCTGGTCCTTAATTATATGCCTCTTCTTCTTTTCTGTGAACTGATTTATGAGAGTATATTTGACTTCTTTAGTCAGGAGTGTTGAGTTGTTCAGAAAGAGAATCAATACCATTCGTGTACCATGGTTAATTAAGTACACTCCAAAGAGGGGTAAAGCCGCCTCAGCTGACGGCTTGTGTATGGGCAACTAATGACAGGATCGTATTTTAACAGGACAGACACATCGAACTGAAGTAAAGGAGCCTTACGAGAACAAAGACGTATACGATGTGGCAAGCGTAAGGATCCACGAAGAATATATGACTCATGGCTACGGCTTTGATGTTGCGCTGGTGAAACTAGCAAGACCTGTTATTTTAGAGCCTGGAAGAGTCTGGCCAGCCTGCCTTCCTGAACAAGGAAAGCGGGTGTCTGTTGGAAAATTATGTTTCATCACTGGTAAGTTTCAGAGTGTAAATATGTTAGCCAAAACTACCTAAAAAAGTGCATAATTTCACTCCGGGTCCTTGTTAGTGAAAATAACACTTTACTTACAGTATGGAACAATCTGCCCAAGAGTGTTAAATGTACTGACTCTTTTCCAAGTTTTAAACTAGTTTTAAAGAATATTTTTAAGGAGTACTGATATATGGTTTTTAAATATAATTATCATATGCATTGGGATATAACTACAATTTTTTAAATTCTTTTAATATCATTTTTTATATTGCAATTATATTCTGAAAAGCCTCAATCGGAGAATTCAATAAAGCATAGTTATGAAGGAGCTGTATTCATTTGGAAACAACACGATAAGGCTTTCAGTGGAGATATTTATTAATAGTACACGTGAATGAGTGAGGCATGTGAGATGAACTTTCTAATTGTCCTTGAATTCGTAAAACAGATTCAATGTGACAAATACCTGCAGGCCTTTCTCACCAGACTTACGTATCAGCAAAAAATACAAATACCAGACTTAACTCCCCTGTCAAGATTTGTACCTCGAAGCTTCCTCTTCGGATAAGCCTAGAATGGACAACTTCCTAATGTTACTACAGTAATAGATTGCTTTCGCAAGTTACTTCAGTGCTTAGGTTTGAACTTGAGAGTCCACCTTCCTACGCTATGGTCCGGCGGCACGCTCACCTTAATTACTTTTACGTTGGACCTCGGAACCCCGGCCTCCCTTTCTCTCCCCTTCATTTCCTCTCCCTCCCCCTCTCCATAATCCCCGTGTAGTAGTTAGTCTCTCCAACCAAACATCAAACTGGTCAGTGGTGTGTCCTTGAATAAGGTAATCTTAAGGATGAACTCCTTAGAAATCTGAAGAAGCTGTTTAGTATCCAGGTAGTGGAATCGTGCATACTGAATACTGTTCACGCTCTATCGTTCTAACTTCACTCTTTTCTTTTGCCCAAGGCTGGGGCAAAACATCGTCGAACTTGAACTCTGACTTCTCGAAAGTTCTTAAACAAGCTAAGATGCCAGTTGTAGACTACCAGACCTGTGCTGCTGGAAATGCCAACTTGTCTTACGCCAAAGTGAACGATGAAACTATGTTGTGTGCTGGTTACGGTGGAAGTAGCGTGATCAGTGGTTGCCATGGTGATAGCGGGGGACCTTTCGTCTGTCGGGAGCGCAGACTTTGGGTCTTAAGAGGAGCTGTAAGCTGGGGAGACCATCGGTGTAGAGCTGGTTCGACATTCTCTGTTTTTACTCGGATCAGCACATTTGTGGATTGGATCTCCGCCACTAAAATAAAACCAGAACATATGCCTGGTAAGATAAACAGGATCTTTATAATTCCTTCTTTGTCGATTAAAATAAATTTAATAGAGAATGTCAAAGTTTTGATCCAACAAAGTGTTACAGATACCAAGAACTGAACATTTCAAATTTACTCTTGCCAATTGCAAAAGGATCCGTTGAGAATAGTAAGTGATTTATCCATTACATTCTGCAATTTACACAAAACTGTAAATGGTTAACTTAAACCCACCAAAGTTGAGAACAGCTTTCTAATCAAACTTTCCCATGTATATTAACTCCGCCTGCCTTCCTCCCCATAGGCGAGTCTTGCGATGATGACTTGCTGCATTGTGGAAAGTGGTCCAAGGAAAAGTTTTGTGGAATACCATGGTATAGGAACTACATGAAGTTATTCTGTCGCAAGAGCTGCGGACACTGTTCCAATTAAGCCTTCAGCTCTTTCAAAGGTGTGAGCCACTTTGCGAAGGTCCTGTATATGACTTTCTTGATTTTCCCCGTGATGAATGGGGCTTGAGCTTAAGTGATAGACTTCATCTTTCAATCGCGTTTGTCTTTAATTTTTCAGGTTCCAAACATGGAAAGACAGATATTGTATAAGGAACCTACATTTAAAACAGTTCGTCTTGTTAGGGGCATGGAAAATACGTGAAGTTACAATAAGTTACAATAAAGTGACGCATGACAACTACAGTAAAATGTGATAGACGTTAGTAGAGAGTTGTAACGTGAACCGGAATAAAAAGCAACAAAACCTGAAGCAACACAAATAATTTTCAGAACAGCTTTTTTTCTGTATAACCAATTAAGCTAGATCTGTATTTACATACCTCTTTCTTGGCTCAAATTTGGTTTTACGGGCAAATTTTAAACTCAAATTCTCTGATACATGGCAATTGTAAAACAGTGGATCATTAAGTGCAAGCTATCCACATGTCATCATCTCGTTGCATGAATTGAGTAAGAGAACATAAAATAACTTAATATAAGTGATGTCACGTCAGATATACGCATTCAGATAAGTGAAAGTCGTCGTGACTGTAACTTCGTCAGGGGTCACTATTGTATCAGCCGGGAAGGAGTAGCCAGTCAAGATTCATTACGTGTGTATAGGCGATATCTTTGCCGCGCTTCTCTCCTCGCGCATGTCTCGCTACACGTGCTCGCCTCGCGTTTCCGTTGCATACTCAAGCCCGTCCAACGTCGATTTGGTGCGCCACGCAATCCAAGATGGCGCTTCGCAAAATTTTTTTTGGGATCACTTTCTAAAATAGCTTAGACACCAGGCTCAATTAGGTAACCAAGCCTTCTGATGACATATTGCCAATTCTTCACTCACCTCCCTTGACTGGTTGAAGTGCGATTGGAGGGGGACAGGGAAGGGAACATTCTTGTTACTTGCGCGGGAAAAAACAAATGGGAAGTTATCTATTAACCTTTGTTCTTGTAATTTTCGCGGGAAATAATATTACCTTATCTCGCTGCGCCCCGGTCATATAGGACTTCTCTGCCTTTGGCTAAAATACGCTTTCTTCGTTAATTCGAAACACTACTCTCGGTCAAATGGAACCAAAGGGAATTTCAAACCTAGGAAATACTTGTTTTCTGAATAGTGTCTTACAAGCTCTGCTCTCAGTGACATGTTTTTCCGAAGGACTCGCTGGATTGCAGCACAATCGCAAGAAGTGCACCTCATCGAGAACAGGTCTACCACTTCCAAAATGCATTATCAGTTTCCCCAGATGTCCATGTCCAGGCAGTCCAGGGGTGCATTATTTCATGACAACGTACTCTAACAAGTTGGGTATATATATATATATATATATATATATATAGTTAATATCACAGAAGCAAATAATTTCTGGTGTTATCGCTAATTGAGATATCAGATCAAGAAAGTATAAGCTTATATTTTAGGTAAAGGGCTTTTCGAGTTATATTTATTTGTACGTTGTAAAATTACAAAGCAAAACACTAAATTTAGGTAGTAAAACACTAAAATACTCACTTACCTTTCGGTCTCAAAACGTTTTTCACTTTACTGCTTTAAAAATTTGAGATTGTGTTCATTACACGCCGATATTTCTTGTAATTCTCCCGTGTGACGACATGAACTAATGGCAAAAAAAGGTCACGTGTATTGCTGCTTCTAGCGTTACGTTATATTTTCATTGTCACGCTATCGGAATGCGAACTGAGTGGCACTGTTGAGTGATCCAATTTCTCCAGTTTCTGTCTGTACTTATGGGATAGAGAACCGTGATCGTATTGTATTTACTGTGGCTAACTGCATCCATCTACATATGGAGAAAAAAAGTTACACCATACTTCAATTAGCAGTTATTTTCGTGTCGTGTCTTGGCTTAGAAGGTTTGTGACATGTTATTTCTACTGATTCAGTACAGCATTAATTACGCACCTCTTGTTTGATTTACTAGTCTTTCTGAAACTCGATTCTCTCCTCGAACACATTTTCTTAAATTCGTTGGCACTTCTTTGAAGTTCTGAGCTTTCTATTATCACTGAATTGAAAACAAAAGGGTTTGCTTCGATCTTGCTATCGTTGTAATGATTGTCGATCCAATTGTCGTTGAATCGATGAAGTAAGGATCACGAAATGCTTTCCTGTTGAAAAATTAAACCGGAATTGTGTGCTCATTTTAATTTTAGATTAAACTCGCATCATTCCTTGCTATCGATATCTCATGACAACGAAATCTTTGTCAGGCAATTTTACTAGTCTACTTCATCATCGGCCGACTTTGTTCCCACTCAATGTGTTTACTCATTAAACAGTCGTTGTGTTTTGCATGACACAAATCTGCCCGAAAATAAACGCAAAAGACTCTTGTCACCTCTCACTTGTTAGCTGCATCAATTAATGCAGATTTAACACAAATTTGCGCAAGAACTAAACGGCAAACATGCTCTGCCCAACGACCTGTATTATGATTCTCATGTGTCACTTGCGATTAGATAACGGCGTAATAAGTGACCAACAGTCTATAGACTGCACGATTTTACGCCACTATCTGTGTCGGTGTACATATTGTAAGATTTTAAGCCTACTAACGGTGTAAAATCTCTTTGTATGTATATATACCGACTGAAAGAAATTACGCCGTTCGTTATCGGTGTAAAATCTTACGGTATATATATATATATATATATATATATATTACCGTCAAATATTACGCCGTGAGTTACAGGCGTAAAATCTTTAAGTATATATAACACCGACTGAGCCAAATTACGCCGTTAGTTTCTGGTGTAAAATCTTTCAGGTTGAAAATATACCGACTGAATTAAATTTTATGTGAGTTGCTTTAATACGTCATAGGTCTTCAATGAGATGACATGAAAAATATACACATTTGTCGATGTCTTGCAAGCTGTATCAGTAGAAAGTTTGAGTCAGGTTAAATGTCGTCAAAAGTCTTTGTTGATCAGCCTCATTATTTTAGGTGTCGCAACGACAAATTAATCCATATAAGACCTTGTTTCTGTAATTGACAATCACAGCAGAGCTGCATAATACCTGTGAATAAATGTATGTATAACGTTTCAAACTTTCCGCAGAGGTTTAGAGAAGATTTCAACTTCTCGAAGAAATCTGAATAGTTTTATACTGTGATAACCAGCCGGACAGTAATGGACAATAATACTCTACCAGAGCTTAAAATGAACGCTCAAAATGCAAACGGTTCTACAGTCTCTGTGTAGTGATATTAATCATTCATTGAAGCCAGCTTTCATATTGCTCACGGCAATAGCTACTTCCGAAGAGGAGCGAAAATTAAATGCGATGGGTATTTAATTAGTTAAATTAATTAGTTTAAATAGCTCCTTAATTACATCTCTAAATAGCATGATCCTAGTAATTACTGGATTCCTAAATGCATGTGTGGCGTTATGTAATGTGTCACGTTAGGTCGAGTGTGTGACATCATGACGTCAACAAAATCACATGATATGCGAGAAAAACCTCGTGCGAGATAGTGTTTTTCTTTTGGTACTGAACTTTTACAGTGGACCGATACTGTATGATTGTAGATGTTTAGATTCGGTCGGATTATTAACTGGTTCCGGCACAATAAGGACAAATTGCTATTTAAAACGGACAACACATGTCAATACATATTCGAAACTTAAACAGTGATCATATTGGACAGTGGAATGAGACGGGTCTCCTTGGTGAGAAACAGGAAGCGATGATCAAAGTGTGATAACCAGGTTGTTGACAACTCAGTAAAAGCTAGCCTGAAATTATATAATTATCTATAGAAAATTACCTACCTTCAAAAAAAAAAAAAAAAGGGCAAAACAAAACAGAACAAAAGCAAAAAAAGAAACGCCTGGGATAGGTAAAAAATGATAATTCTTGCAAAATAATTGAAACCTGATCCTTGTTATCAACCTAAAGACTCGAGAAATACGATAAAGAGTCGGGATGCATAGGGCTGTAAAAGTAAAGGAGGCGGGATAAAGTGGTACTCGGCGTAATTTCATTCAGTCGGTGATAAATATACTGTTAGATTTACGCCAGTAACTAACGCCGTAATATCATTCAGTCGGTGTTACATATACTGTTAGCCGATTATACGTCAGTAACTAACGCCATAATTTCATTTAGTCGGTGTATACACATACTGTAAGCCGGATTTTACACTGGTAACTAACTACGTAATTTCTTCCACTCGGTATATTTACATACTGTAAGATTTTACGCCGTTAACTGACGGAGTAATTTTGCTTAGTCGTGATATACATACTGTAAAATTTTATTGCGGTAACTAACGGCGTAATTTGGCTCAGTCGATATATATATACATACAGTAAGATTTTACGCCGTTAACTAATGGCGTAATTTTTACAGTCGGTAATATATATACTGTAAGATTTTACGCCGTTTACTAATGGCGTAATTTTTTCTAGTCGATACTATACACTGTAAAATTTTACGACGTTAAGTAACGGCGTCACTTCTTCCAGTTGGTTGTATATGTAATATGAATTTTACGCCGTTAATATAATTTTATATATTAATTTTTTATAATTGATATACCGACGCAGATAGTGGCGTAAAACATGTAAAATCGAACAGTCTATAGACTGTGTTAGTCACATATTACGCCGTTGTCGATATTTCCTTGTTCGGTTTAGTTACGCAGCGCGTTGTCTTCCCCAACAGCTGCGAGTGTGTTTAACTTCCCAGATCCAAAAATGATTTCTCTTACCGCTGTACTTCCCTTTGGGAATGAAAGATCTGAAATAAAGCCGTCGAGTCAAAGGAAAGAGCACATGAATGTAGTAAGCAGGAAATACCCACAATCACTCTGTGTTACAAGGCGTGTGCAATATGAAAGTGCTTTACTTAAAGGAAAGTATATTTTAACCACAGACTGCGGTCGTAGACCTCCGCTACCACGAGTAATTGGTGGTGACGAAGCTATTCCACACTCTTGGCCTTGGCAAGCAAGGATCATTCTCCAGGACAAAGATGGAAAGTGGAACCATAAGTGTGGTGCGTCCCTGATTCATCCAGAATGGATCGTCACCGCAGCCCATTGTGTGGCGTTCCACCCGGATCCAAGGATATATGGGGTCATTCTAGGTTTGTCTTAAAATATGTGTCAGACAAATAATGCACCGCTGAAGCAATACGCACCCATAATGGTTAGGCATAGGATTTACGGCTAAAGCTGTCCCTGAAATTCTGTACTATGTTGTTCCCTTCTTCAGTGAGACAAGGCGAAAGGGTTTAATTTGCAAGGCTACAATGATTTAAAAGCAATTTATCTGTGAGCATAATTCTCCCTTTTTTTCATTGGTTACCGAGAAGAGGGCTCAAAGAGAAGCTCCTCATTGAAATCTGTCCAACACCTTTATTTCTTTAAGAAAGTATAGCTTCTTGCTCTGGGCCTCACCGAAACAATATTTATCTTTTTCGGTCCACTTGGTAGACGCATTCACGACTTGTTCAATACAGAAATGCACTTCGGCCGCCGAGGTTACAATGAGCAGTACATTCAAAAATTTGGTTTTCCTGGCGGCTCCCAAAATTTATCCAGCTCAGATGACCAACGAATTATAGAAGACGCGTTAGTCACAAAATGCTCAATAGAATACTTCACCACATACACCTTCCCCCCATTCCATCCGAAATTCATTTAGCGAAGGCATATTACAGTTGAAGCACGGTCTATAAATGTATGATAAATATGCAGTCAGATAAATATATGTCTGACGGTTTATTTATTGATTAATTGACAGGAGATCATGATTGGGCGAAAAAAAAAGAACCAACAGAACAGTATTTCGAGGTTTCACAGTTGTACGTAAACAGGCTATATCAAAAGTTCTCGGGATATGGTCACGACATTGCGCTTATTAAACTGTCAAGACCCGCGATTCTTAATAAAGATGTGAATCTTGTATGCCTTCCAAAGCAGAACAACAGAGTTGCTATTGGCAAGATGTGTTACTTGACAGGTATACACGTAAATTTACCTATTATAGCATATTTAAGATAAGCGAGTCTGAATGAAAGTATGTAAACACGGTTGTGACTTCGCCGCGCTTTCTGTGTTTACCAGAAATATTTTATAAGGGCATTAAGGGACTTTTTCATGTTTACATAACCTCGTGTGTTGGGAGAATTTCGAAAGTTATGCAAACCCGCAAACGTAGTTTTCCTCTCAACTGCTTTTTTCAAACGATACCAGTCATGTTTCTTCCATAATTTACGTTTTGTTGTCTTTCTTGGACAGGCTCTTATATTTTCTGTGTTTGACTTTGTTTTGTTTTGTTCGTCGTTCGTAGTTCGTCGTATTGTTTAGTTAATGTTTAATGTAAATAGAGTGTAAGAAAGGACGGAGATGAGTTAAAATCACACACGTTGGACATATAATTTCGATTTCCAATCTTTCCTAGGATGGGGAGTTTGGAAACCTGGAGCTCCCCCGTCCGAGAAAGCTCCAAAACTGCAGCAAGCTCGATTACCCACAGTCAATTTTTCAACATGTTGGATTGGAAATTCTTTTTTCCAGCCTATCGACGACGAAACGATGCTTTGCGCAGGTTTTGGTGAAGGAAAAACTATAAGTGGATGCAATGGTGATAGCGGTGGACCTTTTGTATGCGAGGAGGATGGAAAATATGTTTTGAGGGGTGCTGTGAGCTGGGGGATACCCGGATGTCCAGGCGGAAGACATTTTTCGGTTTTTGCCCGTGTGAGTTCTTTTGTGGAATGGATTGAAGATCATATAAAAAATAGCGACATCTATTAACTTATCGCTCACGTATCCCTATTATCTGAGTATCTCAAGTATCTTAATGTCTTTAGTTCCCGTAAGATTATTTTCCAAGTGTGCAAGCTGATTTCAATCACAAAGGAAGCAACGATTTTGAGTATCTCAGGGGTATGGTACAGCGACTACCTGCTCGGCTTTCCAGACAAATGTTTATATAGCGTCTCTTATTCTTGTTCGCTGTTTTAGAGGCATTAGTGGGAGTTTTCCGAAGAAGATTCCCTTCTAAACGTCTTCTAGGAATTTAGGAGCATACCGCACCAGATTGTATTATTTTTCAATTACTGTTACCTTAGCAAATCAGGGGCAGTAAGGAGTGAGGGGAGCCAACTTCACTTCCGTACCCTCCCCTCCCTACTCGGTCACTTTGTAATAGATGTATTGACGAAACTTGAAAACTAGCCGGCAATCAGAGCATCAGGTCTCTCGACACGATATACCTTGAAAACGACTCCTTCTTCATTGAAGCATGTCTTTTATTTAGTTTATCAATTACTTTTATCATTGATATAGAACAGTGGGATCACTCCTTCTCTTGGTGTCACATTGAAGAATACTCTTTAAAAAGCTGTCAAGTGAAAGAGAAAAAGAAGTGAATTAAAGAATTAGTTTGAATATTAATAGTAGTAATCCTTATCAATGATTTTCTTGAGGTAGCTTTTTCAAGAAAACCTGCACATTGAGGGAAATTTCGCAAAGGCAACGAGCAATCAATGACCGTTAACTTGTGATCACGAAGATTCTGTCGCCGGAGTGCTACCCAATTTTAGCTTTGTGTGCGGCACCAGAAAGTATGGCCCACAACTATAGATTATGTCCCGCTTTCTTTGTATGGACAGTGCCGTACTCCGAAGTAATTCTTCAATATCGATATATTTTGTTCTCGTTTATAATCAAATTGAATCTCTCTTTTTGTTCAACACAGTAGAGTTAGAGGGCAGCATACCCCTATCAATGTTTCTAAGCATTATCCTGAACTAACCTTCAACACCGACCACAAGTTTTGAGGCAGTTTTTGATAACGTAATCATGCTCGCGGCAAAGATACTTCCAAAGGTAACATTCTCGGTTGCCATCTCTACAAGCTAACGAAAAAGAACTTACACATTTCAACTTCTTCAATGATTAATACTCCAGGTGATATTGTAATCACTTGTTTACGGCCTGGGCCTCATTGTTTTAGAATAGGCGAAATTATTTGTCACGTACAAGGATGACACATTCGTAATAGCCTTAAGCTTCTTCTCTTTTTTTCCTTTACTTGTTATATTATTTGTTGTCTGTCTGTTTGTTTGTATTTGCGATCTATTTGCTTTGATATTACAAAACGTCGGTGATGAATGGTCTAATGGAAAATGATCTGAAAATGTATCTCTATTAAGGCAAAATTTGTACTTACAACCACCACCCCCTCCACCCACATGACCCCCTCCACCACTGCCATAACCTGAAAAGGAAGAAAAGACAGTAATCCGTGCAGCTATGGAGAGCATTTGTTTGGGGGACTGAAAACAGGGAAGAAAATATAGCTATGAGACCTCGGTCTAAATAAATTTATGGGAAGTTGCTGTTGGTCAGCGGTTTCATTACGGTTGAAATGCTCTTAACACTTTAACTCTAAGAGTTGGTCAACATGTAACCTCTCCCTAATTATCCCCACGTAATCCAGTAAATAGCCAATGAGAATACTCAAACGTACTAAGTGGAGGTTTTTATCTTCATCTAACACCAAATTCTCGTTACTAATTCTCAAGGATATGTGTGGCGGCCAAGGGGAGAATTAATACTCAGAACTTGCCGGGGAGTTGAAGAGTTAAACGGTGTGCACGGTAAAGGTCAAAGGTCAAAGGTCAAAAGAACCAACCTACTATCGTCTAACAAAGAAGCATTTAGCTGCACTAACGACGCCCAGGACTTGAAGATATCATGAACCCCAAAACGAACAGACATGCCACTAAACTAAATCATAATTATAACACATGCCTCTGACTTAAAAAGCCGAGAAACGATTATCACAGGTGAACTACAATTAAAGCAATTTAGAAATGAAGCCTGAAAAATTAAGCCTTAGATGTATTTGTTTCTGCTACCAACTTATCTACGAAGCTACATGTTGGATGTGAGGCAAAGTTAAGATGGTCCTTCGTTCCCGTAGCGAAAGCTAATCACGGTTGTAAAAAATAAAAGATCACGTTTCTAACTTAAGATGGCAAAATTAAAAATAGTACAGACATGATGAACCAAGAGAATAACGTGGATGAGGTGAGTAAATCAAACAACACAAAAATGGCATCAACAATCAAGACGAGTACCATAGAGAGATCGAATGCCGTTGATGTCGTCAGAATGGAGTTGCATGTTTTCAACGTATCCCGTATAATAAGGATACATAATTGCTCTGCGCACATCAGAATGCTCAAGACCCAGAGCGTGACCGAATTCATGGGTGGCAACCCACAGTAAATTTGTTCCTCTTGACTGCCCGTCTGTATATGTTTCATCTTCGTCAAAATGGGCACGGCCATCTGATGGAAAGAAAGCATGTGCTAAGACCTTTCCCGGCCCGTCAAAAGGGAAGTTGCATCTCCTTTCACCGTATACTCCTCCATGAGATCTGGATCCAAAACTTTGGAAATACAGAAGTATAGTTACAATTAGAGGTAAAGTACTAAGGACGCTTAATAAATTAAAACGAAAACGTAAATTGAATATGCTTACCGACTTAAAAAAGTTTTGGTCTAGCCTTTATCTGTTCAGAGTTTTGTGTTTAATATACAAATCTTGACGGGCTCCTTAAATTACTTTTTTCGCTTTAATTCCTGACTTTTGACAAAATTTTAATAGTCAGGGTGGGTAGGGACAGGAGGACTTTGGTTGTGTCACAATAAATTTATCTGATGCCCTCATAAGGCCCCGTATCATTCTTATGATCCTCTCCCCTACCCCTCCCCCCTTTGCAGTAAATTGACGGTCAATTTTCTATAGTCCCCCTTAATGCTCTTTTTATCATCAAACGCCCCCCCCCCCACCCAAAGTCCAGGGTGATAGATCATGACTGATCCTTAAGATTGTCGTGGCTGATGCCAAAATCGTCATTTTTTCCTTTACATCCTCCTACCTTATTTTAAGATCGGCATTGGAACTGGAGGATCTGGAAAAGGACAAGCCTGAGACATCAGCCCAGTATTGTAAAGCTCTTTGGAAAATGCGATCTTGTTGCGAATGAGGCAGATCTCTACCATGCTGGATAAAATACGTTAAATGTGTTTTACGCCACTTCGAGCCAGTCTTATAACGTCTTACGCGACTCCTAGCTGCCACATCATCAGGCATTCCGCATCGCGGTTTTTTCATAAGCGTTACTGTTGCACGATCGAGTCGGCCGGTAACCTTAAGTCCCGCAAAACGCTGGAAGTTCTTGATTGCAGTGTTCACATCATGATTTCCAGACCTTGAGGTCGAAAGGTAATGGTACTGGCTTAAGAAATTCTATAACAAAGACAAGTTAATAGGAAATAACGAGTTATCAACGAAGAAGAAGAATGAGGATTTTCCACGGAAACATAACTTCAGCTGTTAGTCAATGAATGGTATAAGTATCAAATATGTATGTAAATTCAGTGTATCTTTTTTGTAATGAGATTGTGATCCTTAATGGACAAAGACACGGTGAATAGTAGTTTTAGTGTAAAGAGCAATAACAGTCAGATCCTGGCGATGGTTCTAGGAATCTCGCGCGAGCCACTTGAAACCAGCGATTTTACATTTACTCTACCGATCGAGTTGCTCCTTCTCACCATCTTGTAAAACCAGCAGACTGAAAACGAAGGTACTTTTCAACGAGGGGACACTACGAGAACACGGTTAATTTGCCGTCGAGTTTCAAAAGGTCGACTTGAATCTTCGAGTGATAACAGAACATGGTGGCATATTTACGTTTGGATTATGTTTGATCTTCCACCTCACCACCTGTGGTAGACACGGACTGGTTACTGAGTTCGCTTGACAATAGAGTTGTAGAACCTAGTGATATTGGCTACATTTTGGGCTGCGCACTATACCTTAACAGCCCATTTCATCCACCCAGGAGTATTAATGGTGGCAGCGAAACCTTACAAAACACTTTTGGGTTGCTTGCCCACGGAAGAATGTCAGTCAGATAGAGTGTGAATGTACCCTTGAACCACCGAGTTGTTTTATACTCAGAAACGTGATAGGCTTAGGCGGCTGTGCAACTTGCAATCGCATACAGACTTTTCCTCTCTTATCCTATATAAACGCAAAAACAAGACGCCTTACCATAGCCTCTGTAGTATCATCTTCAGCGTGGGTCAGGGCCAGCGCCCCAAAGGAGAGAGCTAAAAGCCACAACATAGTGTTCGAGAAATCTCGAAGATAATGGCGATTCTTTTTTTACGTATTAGTTTTTTCATGTGTCATTTGTACATCTTGGACAGCTATGATAATACAGACTTCAACAAATATGAAATTGCTTTTTTAGAATTGAGCTTTACTTTGCTCAGTGTGAATGTGATGTAATCTTTCGAAATAAAAGTAATATCTATGTTTACATCAGGAGGAAGAAAAACTCAAACTGATGTTTGCACAACTGAATGCCTAAATTTCATATCTTTATATGTTTTTATACAAGAAGTGAATCGAGAGTGGATGTTGTTAGATATTTTCGACAGGATATCTGGTTCAAGAAGAGAGCTGCGCATTCCGGTATATTAAAGTATGGTAACGTCTGCAAGTCTGTCCGAAAAAAGATGTTTTGATCATTATTTCCTTTCCAGCAGTTATTTTAAAAAATTGAATATTGAAGACATATCACCTTCCGCAATATGAAATATGAAATGTCGTAATATCAACTTGCTATAAAGTTTAATCATTCGGTACAGTATGACATAGAAAAAAAGCCCCACCCCCTCCCCATTCACCGAGATGGAGGTGGCTAGTGGTGGATATTTACTGAGCTGCGAAGTGGCGACACGATTTCAATATATACTAAAAAAATAAGATAATACGACAGAAAAATATGGTTTTAACTTATTTATTCCTTAAAAACACTTGCAATATTTTATGGCACAAATCCCGCGTGAGTTTCTTGGAGTTGAATGGCGTAGGATATTCGGAGTTTGATTAGCCAATCAGAGCTCGCTTTCAACGCTTACCACTGTTTTTAACATATGCTAAAACATTTTATAACTCCAAAGATACATTGTTGTTTAATGTAGGAGTGACTATATTTTTTCCATATGTGAAGCAAACAAAGCTAATCGATATTTTTTGTTCCAATAATGCAACATTAATACTTAATAAGGAGATTCGCATTTTTCAAGGGATTTCTTGTCATAACGTTTCCCTCTCTCTAAGACTCATCAGAAAATGTTCTTCTAAGAGAAAATACCTCAGACAAGTTTAAAACGAAATTTCATATGCATTGAAGGGTAAGTTTTAACAGGTTTCAGCATTGGCTGCTTTTATTTTTGTCAACAGCTTTATGCTGGTATTAAAAATTCACGAAATTTGATATGAACTGAAGAGTGAATATCAAAAGTATTTAGCAGTTGCAGTTTTTATTTGATCAGCTTGATGTTGGTAAAAAATTCACTATGAATGTGAAGTTTTATTTCAGCATCTTTACACAACTGCACTTTCGAGGGAAGGTAACATGACATAATTTGATCAGTTTATAGCGTCTCTGTTCTTAAGTCTAACCAGCTGATACTGTATACAATAAGAAGATTCAATAAGAACCTTAAAAGTTAATCTAACAATTTTGCACATCTGGACAACTGAGAAGTGGTCATTTTGATTTGTTTGAACAGAGATTTAGCTTAAAGCTTATGTTAGGCATAAAAGAGTACCACGAGACCAGACGGTTTGCTAGAAGAAGAAGTCGACAACATGTGGTCGCTACCGCTCCTTGCCACAATCGTGGCATTAGGAGTCGTCCAAGCAGAAGACGAAGAATCATTTGCGCTGGTAGGAAGAAAGATTTATAATGAAGAGGATTTATTGGGAATCTTACCAGCTCTGAAAAAGCTGCTGTAAAAACCAGTTTCAAAGAAAGTATTAGTCAACTGTAACTAGGATGATTAACCCAACAGCTTATTTCCAGCTTTTAGCAAAGGAAATCAATGATACTCCATCAAGTTGGAGTTTTTCAATATCATTTATGACTACAAAATTATTTGAAAATGAAATATCTGAGTTCAATGAAAAAGGTTTGCATACATTTAAGAAATATGTCGCAGCTTTTTCTATAATTTACCGGCATCGTTTCAGGACTTGCGAATTTTGTTTTTATTTCGGAGAATCAGCCCCTTTGTTCCGTTCCAAACAGGAGATGCCACGGTCATTTTTAGGCGCGTGAAAATAGAATTTGCCGGGACTCGTACTCTTTGTTTAGCTATGAAATGATTTTACGTGCAAATGTGTCTTTGGTACTAATACTTGGTACTCCTGTAAAGCATGATTCCTGGGCGTGAATACGTTCTTTCTGCTTCCTTTTCAGATATTTTATCAAATTGATCTTTAATCTTACGCTAACAAATTCGGTTAAAACATATGACACTTCTCTAGTTTTTTACATGAGCCACTGAGTGATCATGTTTTTTAACTTTTATCGTAACAGAAATATCTCAACCAGTTCAGCTATCTTTCAATGTCAAGATCCGGCAACCATGATGTGAAGAAAGCCATCAGCAACTTTCAGCGTTTTGCTGGCTTGGATGTTACTGGTCGTCTGGACAGACCTACTCTAACTTTGATGAAAAAACCGAGGTGTGGAATGCCAGATGAAGTGGCAAGCGGTAACCGTTTTCGCCGCTATAAAACAGCCTCAAAATGGAGGAAGACTTCTTTGACGTACTACATCCAACATGGCCGCGACCTCAGCAGAGATCAGCAAGACCGAATTTTTGCTAAGGCGTTGCAATATTGGGCTGACGTATCATCGCTCTCGTTCAGGAGAGTGAACAGTGCAGGACAAGCTGATTTGAAAATCAGGTAAAGCGTTGTCTTCAACGAAAACCTTTTTATCAAAATGGTCATCTTCAGACAAAGACGAGAGTAACAAAAAATGATAGACGTATGTCTGCCTGTTTGTTTATCTGTCTGTTTACATATAAATTGCATGGTTGTTTATGGTCTATGTGTATGTTTGTTAATTTGTTCAGTTTACCTTTCCTGATTTTAGTTTTGGAACCCGAAGACACGGAGGAACCAATGCTGAGAGAACATGTGGAAGCACATTCGACGGCCCGGGTAGGGTTCTGGCACACGCGTACTTCCCCTCTGACGGCCGCGCCCATTTTGACGAAGATGAAACATACACAGATGGGCAATCAAGGGGAACAAATTTGCTGTGGGTTGCCACCCATGAATTTGGGCATTCACTCGGTTTGGAACACACCAACGTCAAAGGTGCAATCATGTACCCCTACTATACTGGCTACGTTCCCAATATGAAGCTTCACTCTGATGACATTGCAGGGATACGCTCACTTTACGGTGAGGGGGAGAAAACTTATCATAGCTTCTCTTAATTACAGTAGTTAACATTTTAGGCATTCTTTTAGGCCATGATGAAATACTAGCACGAATTTTGAAAAGCATGTGAGTTTGTTTTCCTCCAGAGCGGAATTTAATTTTCCGATATCTTTAAGAACTTTTCAGCAACAATCATAGCTTTAAATTCAAGCCATAGGCCTTTTAATTCGAAGATGATGATGATACGTGCGCCACAAAGATAATTTTTATGGTGCTCTATTTTACAACCTACAGTGATCAAGTGCATGGTCACGAGTGGGAGTGAAGTGCAATAGGTTGCTTCGTACATTTAGCAGAGTTGAGAGAAGTGTCTTACTGGCAAAAGGGAGGCAGGAGAACGAGCCCTGTAGAAGCCTTTTTCCATATTATTCACACATTAAAAGAAATTCTTTCATTTCTAAAAAGCTCAATAACTGATATTGCCCATTTGTGTCATCATCATATAGGATCTGGCGGCGGAGGAGGAGGTGGGGGCGGAGGTGGAGGAGGCGGTGGCGGAGGTAAGCATCCGGGAGAGGGGAGACATCGATCAATTATTCTGCCTTTTGAGTAACACGAAAGTGACACCCTCGCTAGGTCGTAAGGAGGGAAGGGATGGGCTGAAACCCTTCCTCGATTTTCGCCCATTTTCATTTTTTTTGACACAATCTCTTGGAATACTTTTCCCTTTGATAAGGATTATGAGTTAGTCATTTCAACTATGTACGCCCTTGGATACTGGTCTCGTAATCCAAAATAGCCGAACAGGTCTTATTTCGTTTTTGTCTCTAAAATAGATTTTTTTCCAAGACACCCCATTTCTGCTGAACCACTATTTCCAAAATTATCAAATCTAAAAGGGCTTAGATATAAACTGCTACTTCAAAATAAATCTTTCATTCGGTGGATCTTGAGAACTTGTAATACTTCACGTCAACAGAAACTGCTACACCATTCGCCTTTCTTCTCATAATACCTTCAGGAGATTTGTTATGAAATTTAAACCAAATTTTCAGCGAGCTATAATGACCAAGATGTGAATGGGCAGTTACATTAAATTTTCAAGCAGTGATTTCCTCGAAGAAATTGCACCCAGTCCCCCAAAAAAGTTAAGCTTATGGAGGTGCCCCATACATGTAAGAGGACCCAGTTAACAGTTTATTTCTGATTCATTCTACCTTTGGGAAACAGAAATGATAGCCTTTTTTTTATTTTCAGGCTGTGTAGACAAGGATCGACGTTGCCGTGGATGGACCAGATACTGCCGCTCCAACAGATATGTCCAGGCTAACTGTCGGAAAACATGCAGATTTTGCTGAACTGGTAGGTACGTGATCTGTAATGAGTTAGACCTTAGTCCGAGTCCGAGGGCAGTGCGACCTTGCGTTAGTCTGAGGGCAGTAAGACCTTGGTCCGAGGGCAGTAAGACCTTGTTATTTTTTTCTCAGTTCGTGAGCGGCAAGGTATTCTACAACTCCTGCAATCTGATTGGTTCCGAGAGCGGGCAGTATTCTCCCCATCCGGCCCGCTCACAGCGGGCGGTTTTTTTCACAACCATTTGTTAGGTTTTAGAAAAAAATAAAAATGTTATTCACTAGCCAAGGTCGGTCCGAATTGGGAAAAACTGTGCCCTCTGTCTTGTGTATCTTGGCGGTATCCAAGACCTTGGGCACAGTTTTTCCCAATACGGACCTCCCTTCTGGTGAATAATATATATGTCCGCGGGGAGGTTAGTGCTGCAGGAAGATTAGGATGACTGATTCAAAAAAGTGCAAAAATAAAAGTTCCAATTTTTTTGTTGGCTGTGCACGGTCTTAAACTCATCAGACCTTTCTCCAAGTCAAAGTTTGTCTTGTTGTCCTGTTTCTTCTATACTTGATGTACTCATCTAATCAGCGACCTTATCTGTTACGTTAGCTAGAGAAATCACAATAGAAGGACGAAATTGCCTTTGCGTTTAGATTAAGATAAACCAAGTGGAAATAATGAGACTGATCAGAACTGACGAGAGGAACCAGGCGTTAGATTTTTTGCTGCTATTTGTCTCTTATTTTCCTTTTTTTTAACTTTTTTATTTACTAAATTTATTCAATATCATAATCGTGTCGCTATTCTGTTTTTTGGTCTTAATGCTTTACTTAAAACACTCTTCTGATTGGCTTCTTTGTCTATTCTGGATACTTTGATAGAAAGGCGAAATTACTTACTTTCAGGATGATGTCAAACGTTTAAATTATGTTTCGACGAGTACAGGGCATAAAGTTTTTGCCGATAGTTTTTAATCATTACCATTTTATTCGATGCATTTTGTACAATCTATTTTGTTTATTTATATCATCCCTTATTTTATGATTTTTATCCCGATCATATAGGTACTCACATCCAAACTACAGGTATTTGAAAGGAACGACATCTGGAGCACCTTTTGAAATCATAAAAGTCGTTAGCTTTGACCATGAGTAGCACTGTAGCTTAGACGAACGAATGAATGATTAAACGGATTATTCAAATGAACGCAATAGGTCCTGAGTGCTTCGTATGGTTGCAATTTTGATGCTGTTCGTCCTGATATAGTATAGGCAAGAATTTGAGGCACAAATCGTCAAAGAACAGTCAAGTTCCTCTCTTTAACCCCATGCATTGCGCTTTTCGACCGTGTGTAGTAAAAAAACTGTGTTATCACAACGGCTTGTCAGAAAAATGATCAAGGACCAATGAGAACTAAATGTTTGTTCAAAACTCGGGACGATGCAGGCCAAGAAATTTGAGATTTGAGACTTCAAGAAACATTATCTTAACCCCGGAATAATTTTGGCAGCCAGTTGCGAATTTCTCAAACATTGACCGACCCAATATTTCATTGTTTCTATTTTAGTGTTTACTAAATAATTTTGCACAATTTCAAAATGATAATATAAAGCCGTAACTCATCCCCTATTTTAGCAAATATATCTACGCACTTAAACAAGGGAAATCTGTTATAACGAGTCTGTGCTAGGCTCTCGATCAAAGAATAAGGAAAGATTCTTGGCTCGAAAGTAGAGACGAAAGTGCGAGATCCTGGGCCGTATCAAAATATATCCTGAGTTCAAATGATTTCAACTGATCACCATCGAAGCTAATCTGGGACCCTGACCGTCGTCATTCACCCAGGGCTCTCTATGAAGTAACATAAATTCGCCTGTCTTTTTTCTCTTCTTAAGCAAATACTAAGATTTACCAAATGCAATTATGTATTTTTTATTGAGTTGTATCTGACATACTTCTACATCAATGATTTTGTAGAGTGCTTCTCACGCGACACTTAGTTCCGGCGTTCACACGTTACCTGCAAAAGAAAGCTCCCATCATTTACTAAGCAGTGAAAAAGTGAAAAAGAAAAGAGAAAGAAAAAAAGGAAGAAAGAAAGACAGAAAGAAAGGGAACCAATTAACAATTGAATGAATGAATTTGAATGAATAAATTTAATAACTGATAGTTGGTATACAACTTACAATTGAAACAGGACTTGGGGCACCAGTACTTCATATTATCGGGGTATATTCGGCAATAATCAGCATCCACATAAGGTTTGCATCCCATTCTGTCGCTGCACGTACCTGCATGGTATGTCATCATATAATTGACATCAGTTATGATTCCAAACCGAACCGGTAAATATCTCTGGTTATAACCCACCCATTAATTTTCGCGCGACTTTATCGGCTATTTTACGTCACGTGGTTTAAATTCAGTGGATAGTGATTACGCAATATCCCCATTTACGTTTATATTTGTTCTTCGATTAGTTCTGTCGAGAATAAGCAAAGCCGGTGAGAAAAGTCAGCTCAAGAGTTTCACTTTTCATCTTTTTTAGGTTATATGAAAGAAAAACGAACTCATTTTTCAGAGTCCATTGGCAATGACATTGATAAACTAAATGATTAAATAAATAAATATTATTAATATATTATTAAATAAATTATTATTAATTAACATTATTAATAAACTAAATAATTAGAGAGTTTCACTTTTCATCTCTATTAAGTTATATGGAAGAAAAACGAACTCATTTTGCAGAGTCCACTGGTAATGACATTAATAAACTGGTCTCTGATCTTGGCTGAGAGATTGTTTTCAAAATTTCAAATTTGCCTTCGAAGCTTGGCTTCTCAGCGAAATATTCATTTCTCGGACAATATCTCAGCCGCGGAAATTATCAGCGGATATACCAACCGTCTAAAGGGGCATATTTACTAGATAAGCTTACTCACCATACTAGTTAATGCAGATATGCCAGAGGACCTTAACACTTGTGTAAACACACACAATACATCCTGAATAATTTTAAAACTTCTCTATTTCAATACATTTAAGACTTTCAGGTTTTCTGATCACAAATTCAATCATGTAAAGTGAATTGTTCACTTACAATATGTTTTTTTAAGAACAGTCTATTATCTCAATACTGTTTAGGACAAGTATGCTTGAGGATCTTAATACTTCTATAAACACATACAATAGATCCTGGAAAGTTTTTAACACTTCTCTATTTCTGTGCATTAATAACATCACCAAACGACATTTTTTTTCTAAGCACAGTCTCTTACCTGAATCTGTGGGAGTAGGAGTAGTGGGAGCAAGGCTAGGAATAGGAGTCTGTACTCCACCACCACCGCCAGTGTTGGGGCCTGTTTTAAAGGAAAAGGACAATAAAATTTCAAGACAGTGTAACTAAACCTATGCGTTTTAAGGTGGCCTTCTACAGCACACGTACATTTCAAAAAGGGAAATCGTTAATGTGACAACCATAAAACTTTATGACTTATCTGAGCAGATCTTCCCAAGAAAACTTCTGCCACAATATTTTGTAGCAATCCATCAAATATTATGTACTCGTTGACTAAGTCGCTCTCTTTGTTTTATCCCGTCTTCTTTTAGCTTGCATCTCAAAGCGCTGCACGGCTCTCTGCCTCCCTGCTCAAGCCATCACGTATAGACGTCATACGAGGACTTTTGTCTACTGTTTATCAAAAAAGTCGCACGCGGGGAAGGCCGGACGAGTCATATGATCATTCAAAAATATAAAACTTTGCGCAAATTGCCACCCGAACAGGTCAAAGAAATAACATCCAGTAATAAAATCCATTATGAGCTTGACATGAAAATCAACATATGGAAATGACTCTTCTGAGTGGATCCGACGAGCATGTATGCTTTCCACCAATAAGCAGAGCTTTTACATGTATGTCGACTAACTATCGAATAGACGCTAACCCAATTACCCATCATAGCTTCTGGACTACTCAGTAGAGAACTCTTTAGCAATGGCTAACACCAGTTTCATTGAGCCATACGCAGCGATAACGTCCATCTTTCTCACCGCATAGTGATCTCCTACATCCCTATCATGGAATAATGTTAAAAACTAAAATCGCTTTGTACTCACCGTATAAATACTGTATCCTTGCAATGTCGTCAGAATGAAGCTGCATATTTGGTACATAGCCTGTATAGTAGGGGTACATGATAGCGCCACGGACATTAGAGTGAGCCAGTCCTAAAGAATGACCAAACTCGTGGGTTGCCACCCACAGAAGGTTGGTACCACTAGATGTGTCATGAGTAAACGTTTCATCCTCATCAAAATGAGCTCGTCCGTCAGAAGGATAGTAGGCATGCGCTAAAGTACCTCCAGCTCCGTCAAAGGGATAAGGACAAGTCCGTTCCACAGCAGTCCCCCCGTGACTGTACCGTCCAAAACTATGAAGTAAAAGAAGTGTCCTGTTTGCATGGAGGAGTTTATTGAAGAGAAAGCTGTCTTTGGTTATTGAGGTTAACCAATTTGTTCTCTGCTCTTGCCTTGGAGTTTAATGATGGTTGAAACAGTTTATTCCTTCTATGCGAATAGCGCAGCTTTTTTCCTCTTTCAATGTTTCCGTATTTATTTGCATGTGAATGTCTGTTTTCTCGTGTACGCTAATAGTCTTTACTAAACAGTGATCGTGTGAATAAAACATTCTAAGCTAAACATGAAATCAGCTTTCTTAACTCAGCCTGAGGCTTACAGTTGTACCTGTGGTTTGCTCATCCCATGACTCTTTCTTAACATTAACGGCGTAAATCGATGTACCTTATCTTGATGTCTGCGCTGTTGGCATCCATGACCTCGCTAAATGACAATCCGGACACATCAGCCCAGAACTTAAATGCTTGACCAAATATGACCGTTTGTTGATCCTAAGGGGGAGAAGGAGGAAATCTTGTCATACGTGAAGCACAAGCCTATTCATATATACAAAAGAAAAAAGGATTAATTTCGTGGGTACAGGTAGTTCTCTGAAATTACATTCCCTTAAAAAGCACTGTAAAAACATAGTTATCGTGCAATAGCATTTTCATGAAACCTTTCACCTCTTCCACCCCCCTTCGAGTGACTAGCGTCTAGTTTCTCATGTCTTTTCACTTTTGCTCCTTTATTAAATATTTAGATTGGAAGAAAAAGGAAATGAACGCCGACTCAAGAAGCTTTTTATGTTAAAAAAATTTACTTAGTACCAAAGGAAATGTGTAGAGAATAGAATGGAGAATCTGCATATTGATATTAGGGTGTAGTGGGTTGCTACTTACATTAGGCAGATCGTAGCCATGCTGCACAAAATAAGTCAAATGATTCTTTCTCCACTCTCCATTAGTAGCGTACCTTCGCACGCGTCTGCCGTCCTCAACAGGGTCTGCCATACCACATCGAGGCTTCTTCATGAGACTAACTGTTGCTTCATCGAGCTCGCCATTCACTGGGAGACCATAGAATTTCTGAAACCCTCGGATAGCGGTCGCTACATCGTGGTTACCGCTTCGTGAGGATGAGATGTATCCATAATGGCCTAGAAATTTCTAGAATATGAAAGTGGGTTAAAGTAATTACTCTGTACAAATGTAGTTCTTAATCTTGAATGTGAAAAATTTACGCTTTACGACTTTGACCAGGGAAAGTGGAAATATGCAGGCGTTATGTGTAACGACAGTGATGTTTCTTCCTTTTGACATAACTGAAAAACTATCCAATTTTTCCCCTATCTTGGACGAAATGTCACGCAAATACAATGTTTTTTTTTTAATCAGAATATTTAGATGCTAAAAAAGGATCAAAGTTAAGTGAGGTGTATGAAACTTCATGGGTTGTTTGATTATGGTCAATTATGGGTGTCAAGACTGTACGATCAAATCTCTTTTACACCTTTTTGAAAAAGAGAAAGAGAAGACCTCTTTCATCAAAAAATCAAATTTACAGTAGGTTTTGAAATTTGCAGACATCTTTCAGGAATCTCCTCTCCTCGTATTTGAGCAAGAGTACACGGGGCAAATTTAAAATAAAAGATTTCAAGACTGCGTCAAGCCTGCTAATTAAAGTAAAAACACTTGATTTGAAGCACCACTTTAGAACAAAAAAAAATACCCTTTTCATACCCAACGAAAAAGTTAGAAACAGTCATTAAGAAGGATATTTACCCCATTTTTAAGGGCTTCGAATCATTAGTATTGCATGGTAATAAGCCCTTCCAACTTTTAAAGGAGGCGTGTAATGACAGTAAGTGATACTCAAATGTAAGCCTATATTGAAACATTTTACGCCAAGTTTGCAAGGATTCCTTCACGTTTCTTTTTTCGCTCATTTGCGCTATCGACAAACGAGTCATTTCATACCAAGAAAATGAATCTTTATGTCTACATACCAAGGCTATAGTTTGGTCATCTTCACAAGTAACAAAATTGACGAGAAAAGGCAGAAATAATGCCAAATGCAACATTTTCGTGAAAAGTCTGTGGAAGGCTTCCAACAGAATTGAGCCTTCTGAAATGTGGTTTAAGTATCTTTATCTGGGGCAGATGTCTCACTAACGAGACAATAGAAACAAATACTACCTGGAAAATGTTTTGACTGTTCAGCAAATAATTTTTTTGTTAATTTTAAGACCTATAGAAACAAATTCCATAGTCTGTTGTGTTAGGTTATCAAAGAACTAATGTTTAGATGACCTGTTCATACAAATGTTTAAATGGATGTTTTTGTTTTGGGTTTTTCTGAGGTTCTCGTTTTCCAGGTCTTCTTCAAACTTTCCCTGAGCTTTCTATTGGCATAAATGCGAAACTATTGTTTATGAGTATGTAATCAGTTCCTCGTTCTGCGAAATGTTTCTGCAGCTTAACTAATAACGATGTTTGCTCATGAAGATTTGACAGCAAGTCACTCAAAATAATAATAGAGAGCATTTATATTTTTTACGTCTGCGGCACATGGCAAAAAGCAACATTTAAACTTCCTGTCATCTGTTTTCTGCTGTTTGCGTTGTTAGACGTAAACACTTGCTATAGTTTTGGACAAGAGATTGTATGCTAGTTTTCTACACGAAAACAAAATTCATCAGCGTTCCATTGTTGCTTTTGCTGCATATGGATGTAAAAGCGTAGCTAAAGGTCACCAATATCTGTTATGAGTAATCAGGATCAGTAATAAATGATTTTCGGTAGAGTGTTCAAATTTAACTTGAGATATAAGCGATTATATTCAGTGTGCTGCCTACGCACCGGGATCTGTTGCTCAGAAAATGCGCTCAAAAATCGAGCTCTCATCTGCTGATCTGCTGATCATCGACCATTTGAAAAAACGACACCGACTCTGACTTCGTAATTTAGTTTTTTTCGCGCTTAATTTGCCAGTCTTTAGGGGAATCATATGAGTTTTTTCGTGACACAACCTGAAAATCCTTCAACCCCTTCACCCCTCCCCTTCCGGCGTTTCATAATGACTGGTCCCACAAAGATATTCGTTTATCACGCTCTTAACAGAGCCAACACACAATTCTCCCAGTGATCTTGGTTCACGAAGGGAAGCTGTTCACTGATAAGTGTTAACGCTAGTCAATGCTGTACGAACCATGTTATGAAAAAAAAAACACTCAGGTCAGGTGAGCTTCTAATACAACTGCATGTTCACATGGATTGCTTTGCTTCGAAGTGTTCCCTGAGTGTTTTATGTTTCAAGCCTTGTACAAACCTAATTTCAGCTTTTTGTAGAAATGAATGAAGCGCTATTGTCTTGAATTGCGTATTAAAATAATGAGAGCGAGTAACTGTCTAAATAAAATTTAGGAGGTTCAGAATGACGCTTGTGGCAAACAGCAGACAGCAACAATGAAACTTCTTTTCTCCTGTTTTCAGCTGTTTATGCACAAAAAAGGAACAGTTTGCATTAGCCGTAAGTAAAAAATCTTTGCTGTTTTTCTGTAGAGATTAAACTTGTCTGCGCCACAAGTCTTCTGAAGTTCAGCCTTTTTTCTATGTATTCTTCTCGAAAAGTAAAATAGAAATCAGAAACCTCGGAGGGATACCATTCTTTTAATCTTTTACACCCTCATATCAATATGCAATTCTCCATACTGTTCTCTCTACAATTCTGTAAGTGCTGACAAGGAGAATTTGTTTAGCAACTGAGAGCTTTTTTAGTTCGTGATCATTTCTTTTATTCTCGTGACCTTAATGTGTGATTCAGGAGTGATAATTTTTGAAGAAAGTACATGCTTATCACTTAGAAAAGAGTCAAAAGCGAGAAGCAAGTGAGAGCCATGTAGAGGCGAGAGCCATGTGACTGTTAACTTTGCACGGCTCTCTCTTCTTGAAAAAAAAGAACAGAAAAGGCCTTTACGTAGACTAAAACTAAAACGTCAAAAGGAAGTGACTTATGGCTTGAAGTTTGCTCTAAATAATAGAAATGCGACCGAATGGTGCTTTTTTGTGAAAACGAATTAAGTAGCTGACTAAAAAAGCACCTAATAAGTATGTCCAATTAAAATCCTGTCATTGTGAACGCGAAAGATTGCCTTCTGTGACCTTTGCATCTTGAACATTTAGACAAGCCCCGTTAATAAATAAGGTCGCACACTACCAAATTATTTACGATGCCAAACTTTATTTCGTAATTCATTGCTAAGTTACTTCAGACATAATGACAAACAAAGGCTGGGAATATCGGTAAAATCTTTGATTTCACTGCCTAGACATGTCACTGACCTGCAATGAAAGAAAGGAAAAGAATGAGACTGAGGACAGACCACAATGTCCAAATTCTCTTTAAATTTCATTTGCCAATCCGATATTGATGCATTCTCAGAACAAATCATATTGCGCGTAAATCATGTTTCGAGTGGGTAGTACCGTATTTAATTTATCACTTAACAGGTCGGCTAGTGATTGTCTTCAAAACTGAAGTCCAGGAGTTCACCCTAAGCAAATTTTCCCTTCTTTTTTTTCTTCTTTGTTTTAACTTTAACGGGCACTATCTGCACTGTGCGGATACTACCGCTAATGCATTGGTTGAAGAAGTGTATTAAAATCCAGAAGAATGTAAAATGCAAGTACAGAAAGGTCAACAAAAATGAAAGCTCTATTTTCCTCGTAAATGCAAGGGAGTTTCTTAAACGACTGATTAAGCAATCAGAACTCACATTTAGAACACGACTTCTCGCACCAGTACTTCATATTGGAAGGGTAAGCGTCGCAATAACCAGCCTCAACATATGGTTGGCAAGATGACGCCAACCTATCATCGCAGTCAGCTTCATTGACAAAAAATAAGGTATTAAAAAAAATCAATGATAATTTGAATTAACAAGGATTAGCCAATCTAATTAACTATTTATCAGTAACTTCCTTGCGGTACTTTAAACAGGAGTTTCTTGACTTTTGTAATTAATTTTGTCATTAACCTCCCCAGGTATTACGCAGACTATGTTTATATCTGCTGGAAATAAAGTGGATCAAACTTTCATGGTCGTATCATATGCACTCATCGTGTTCACTATGTAAAATTCATATGATCTCTAACAAATTACAAAGCCGCACAAGAATGTTTACACAAAATACAACACTTTCTACAAAAGCGCAAGGGCACGAGGTAAGATATTTTCGAGACAAGGAGTATGTTTGAGTTCTACCGCATTGTCAAACGTAAATTTTGTATACAGCTACACAAATGTTTTGTTGAGTGAAACTGAGTGAAGGATGGGATGAAGAAAAGCTTTAGTTTAAATATTTTTAACTTAATTTATCGCTCTCAGCTTTACAAACTTAGTGAGACATGCTTTCAGTTTTAGTTTTTTTATTTTTCTGAGATGTCAAGTCCTCAAGCTCTTCGAGAAGCTCTGTGTACAAAAATTTTTTGCAGTGTGAAATCGAACGCAAAAAACCAGCACTATGTCTGTTGGTGTGGATATCACAAAGGAAACTTTGGAAAAAAAGGGTCCTTGCAAAGCGCAGAAATTTCAAAACAGAGTTTGGGCTCTGATCTCTCGTGGAAAAAGTCCAATATATTTTGAAGTCCTCCTTCTGTTACGATTTGCAAATCATCCTTAAATTTTGAAGGTAACTGGCTCTTATTTATGCTGTTGTTATAATTTATTTGAGAATGTGAAACATTTTTTTCAGGAGCAATATCTTGGACATATAGGCCATGCTTAAAAGATAGGTACCATTAGATAGCATCATATATATGCTACACTTCGTGGGTTTTATCATTACGTCCGGAATGTTATCGAATGACTGGTATTTGTTTTACTTTCAATCAATCGTTCGTCTCAAACGGAAAAAGAAATTCAGCTTAGTGACTGACATCTGGAGGGGTGATTTCTTTAGTAGGTAAGACTGTATACGATTTGATAACCCGTACTACATGAACCAATCACAATTCTATAAATGCGATATCCGAAGTTGAGAATTTAACAAATAGCTCTTTAGTTATCATAACTTACAAGGTGGAGCAGGGGTCTGGCCGCCACCTCCAGCATCAGTACCATCGTTTGAACCTGTAACGAACACAACTCAGTGAAGCGTTTAAGAATCAAACTACAAAACTTGTATCTTGAAATACTATAGCTTGTTTTTAAAAGCACGATGATCATGACAGCGACCACTTTAGAAATTTCAGTTTCAAAATAAAAAGGTTTCTTGAAATGAATTATCGTAATCACAACCATCATCAGTGTTATCAACATCAAAAACATCGTTATAATCGTCAATATTGAGAATTAACATTTGGCACTCTCAGTCATTGAAAATTTTAAAATCCTCACTAAAGACCCATTTATTTTGGAAATACCTCCTTGTTTAATAGGTTTAGTCTCAGAGGTTCATGATAACCTTGATCACACCCATAGAAATTATATTTAATCCACTGTAATTGGATCTTGTATAAGTTGTAGACATACATACTTGATGTTTTCTATCTGTACATGTCGATAGGGAACTGGTTACACTTGAAAAGCATTGAGATTTATGTAATGCCATAAATCATAATATATTATGAATTTAAAGTAATTACTATTAACATCATCATCGAATATCACATTTATTATTTTTGTTATCATTAGACAAAGTAACTCTGTTGATAGTTTTAAAAGGGCATTGAAAACGTACCTTTTTCGTGAGAGCTCTTTCTTTTAGTTGTAAAAAGCATCGAGACATTTATATGTAGAATTCGTTCTTAAAAACTCTAATTATTATTGTTATTATTACTATCATATAAAGTGTGATTATTACTTTTCGTGGGTGCACTTCTATTCTGACCATAAGAGAAAAATAGTTTACGATGAATAGCTAATGTTGAAAATCCCTGCTCATTACTATTGGAAAATAGAACAATTCAAGCGCACATCAGCCAATATCAGAAAAATTATTTCGAGTATGAAAGCGCTAGTGATCATAATTCTTACCGTATAGATATTGTATCCCTGCAATGTCGTCTGAATGAAGCTTCATATCTGGTACATAGCCTGTGTAGAAGGGATACATGATCGCACCCCGGACATTTGTGTGGTCAAGGCCAAGGGAATGTCCAAATTCGTGCGTCGCCACCCACAGAAGATTGACGCCATATTTAGTGTCGTGTGTGTAAGTTTCATCCTCGTCAAAATGGGCTCGACCATCTCGAGGGTAATAGGCATGCGCCAACACACCTCCAGCGCCTCTGAACGGATAGGGGCATATTCTCTCTCCATTTGTACCATTATGGCTGTACGTTCCAAAGCTATTTCAAGAAAAATTATCAACGATTTCTAATTTCGTCATTCGTAGACTACAACTTCTTTGGCAAATTCATTTCCTATAAGCGATTTTGGTAGGCTTCGTCTGCAATGCGGTTTCATTTCTTCACTACTTGGTAAACGCATATCTTAGAGCCGAAAAATAGTCCATTTTTCTCTGGATTGGCTGAAAAAGATTATAACATACACCATTCGCGCACATGTATTTTGGTTGAGTAGTGAAGTTCTTCTTATCTTAATTACATGGAGGTGATCCATCAGATAAATCACAGTCATATCTAACTAATCTATAATCAGCTAAACTCGTGTCTAGATTACCTTATTTTGATGTCAGCTTCACTGGGACTTTCAACTGATCTGAATGATAACTTGGAAACGTCAGCCCAGTACTGCAGTGCCTTAGCAAATATCTCTTTTTGTTGTTCCTGAGCAAAGAGTTAGATTTCTATGAGTTGTTTTGAATTCATAAGAATTACAGGATTTTTAAAAAATATTCCAAAACGGAACAGGCTTGTTCGAAAAAGCTGCTGGCTGTATACTCCTTTGATAGGCATAAATTGATCGCAGAGAATTGTGGGAACATTCAAAAAGGTTAAGAGAGAAACGAGGTAGCACATTTACGAGAGGGTGTCGGGATAATTCACTCTTTTTCAAAGTCATGAATTCAAATAATGTTTTGTTGCATTTTCTTCCAAAATATTCTGCATAAGCCATGTCTTTTTCTAATTTCTGTTTGTACTTGCCTCTCTTTGTGTTCTTCGGGGTTTTTTATGTTTGTGTATTATTTTCTGTTTGCTTTTATTTCTCCTTGGCTGATGCCGCTTTTTGCTTTTTTTTAAGGGTAAGTAATAACTCACTGTCATAAAACGCCTTCCAATGAATGTCGTAATGCCAGACCAACCAAAAGAATCACAAAAGCCAATCAGAAGAAAAGGAACATCACAAGGAGCGTATGAGGACCCATAGAAGGGTGAAAGTTTTCTCGATCAATCAAAATGCAAACTTAAGCAAATCTAATGCAATCTCGTATTACTTTCTACACTAAATTTCGCTCAAGATTCTCGTTGCATGGCTTTGTTTAGTTATTTCTATGATCTGATGGTAAATGTAACCCCGCCCCAAGTAGATTTTATTTACCGCTGGTAGATCCAGGCCAGGTTGTACGTAATACGTTAACTCAGTCTTGTACCATTTGCTTCTGGTGACATATCTTCGCTTTCGAGATTCTCCAGTTGGATCAGGCATTCCACAGCGCGGTTTCTTCATGAGTCTAATTGTCGAGTCATCGAGTTTACCACTGGCTGGAAGGCCAAAATACTCCTGGAAATTTCTGATGGCGGTGGGTACATCGTGGTTGCCGCTTCTCGTGTGTGATATGTACCCATATTGGTTGAGGAATTCCTTATTTTTGAAGGAAAATGGAATATTTTAAGGAGCCATTTATATCGTTAGCGTTTCTCTGCAATTTTTTCTTTTTGCTTCGATTTGGGAAGAGTTATCTAAGTGCTGCCGATGCATCAAGCGCCCTTCTTATCCTTATTTTGACGCGCTAATTGGACGATGTTGTGATAAACTAAAAGTAAAAATTTAATAGGTACGAAAATGACTAAAAATCCAACAAAAATTGCAAATGACCAACTGAAAAAATTGACCATTGACGGAATAGATAATGAGCACAAATCAAAATCTGATTTTTACTAAACTGATGTTTGATGTTTTATGCATCTTTGAAGACATGAAGGCCTTGGGCATAGGAATTCACAAAAAATCTAATATCAAAATTTGATTTCTCTCAGGGAACACTGACAATTTGTTAATTTTCGGTACCCTGAATAGTTCGGTGATGACTGAAAGAAGGATATACCAGAAGAGGAACAAGAGTTAGGAAATTTTCCTTCGTACGTGATTAGGTCAAGCATGATCTCCTGCTTAAGTCTTAAAAACTCAGTTTGATTTCGAACTTACCAAGCCCTCAGTTAGGTCATCATCACCGACACAAACTTGAATAAAAAATGCTACTAGAAGCGCGACAGCCAACATCTTTGCAACTACGCCGCAGAAAATCTACTAAATCACTGAAAAGAGTGAGCATTTCAAAAGTGGCTTGCTATTTAAAAGGGCATACGGCAAAGAAGGAACCTTGAAAATGTCATAAAAATGGAGAGAGAAAAATTGACTACGAAAACTATTTCTTATTGTATTTTATAGAGCCACACTTCAAAATACATTTCCTACTGTATGTTGCGGGTATCAAATGATTCTCTCCGACCAGCTTAACAAGTAAAAGTGCAAGTTAATGTTTACTTTAACATGAAAAAAAAAATCTGTATAAATTGCTGTTACAGCTACTCAAATAAGTCTTTTGTGCGAGATTCCATCTTGTTATTTTCTGAACAAAACTACTATTACTTCATTGTTTACGACATTCTCTATTGACTTTGCGTTGAGTCCCGTTTAACTCATTTTTGCCACTTGCTGCGCAAAATACAAAATATAAAACGTATGATGACCAACCCAATACACTAACTCTCGGTAACAATAATGTTCTTTAGCGGGGAAAACACCTCTTGGCAGTTTCATGGCATACATGTGTACCCCTTAAGATTTTCCTGTTTGGTTTCCCGACAGAATTTTCATGTGCTCATGATAAAGAGATTGATCTACAATTTGGGACGTGATCAAGTCAGTGTAATTAAGATTATGTTTGATAGTTCCATTGTTTGCATTTAACTTAACAAGTGACATTTGAAAATTGAAAACCGTTCGATACAATTTAAAAGTATTCCTGTTGGTCACGAACTTGCTTTTTAACATCGCATTTTTCTTCCGGAAAAAGGGGTCGATTTTTTCGGTAGGTCACACAATTAAATTTGGAAACTTAGATCATCATTTCGCAGAAGTTGCTAGTTTTACATCGCTGACGAACTCGCCTCGTTTCTGACACTTAGCGCTTATTCTCGCCGATAGTTTTAGTCGTTTGTACATGTGGAACAGATTTTATAAATAAACTGAATAAGGTTTTCGTTTTCCTTACTACTTCAAATTACTCGTAGAGTAGCAAGCGACAGCCAAGAAATTCGTTAAAATCTCGATGCAATGCAAACGTTTCAAAGAAAATGTTCTCAAAACTAAATAGCGCAAAACTATCTTAATAATTTGTTAGTTTACTTTGCGTTATCAGTATAATTATTGTTATGACTATTATTATTGTTGTCATTTGTTTTCTAAAAGTCTACCAAGCCTCTTATTGATTGACTATTCGAATGTCTTCAATGAAATAAAACTGATAAATCATGATAAAAGTAAGTAATGGTAATAGGACTGCGTGGATTCGTATTCGGTCTGTAATCATACAGGTGATCATCAAAATCGGTCGACCACGAAGCAGGAGTCCGATTTGTTTATTACGACTATGATTACAGACAGAATTGGATGACACGAAGTCCTATTACCATTTAATCAATAATGCATGACAAAATTGGGTAAAAAAAATAGCCATGTTGTATACGGTTTCATAAAAAGCAACAGTTAACTCGGCGAAATGTGCGACAATAGCACGCGTACATGATGCGTAATGTCCAATTACATAAGCATGACGAGTACAGAGTCCTCTCAGTGCCCAAATCGAGCTGGTGATAACCAATCACGTCCGGCAATTATGTTATAGTTTCATTTGTCGGTAGTACTATTGATGAAACCAAAACGTTTTCTTGTCTCCTACATCATTCTCGCGGCGCATTTTGATTGTCCAATGAGCAATAGAGCACAAGCACACATTGGTGATTAGGCATGTGATTGTAACGAGTCTGAATTCTTTTTTTACAATCACAAACGGTACTTTGAATAACAACATGAAGATATCAAAATTCAATTAACAAATCTGACGTTTTGAGAATTAGCACTCCGCCAGACCTAATGACAAAGGAAGAGGGCATTGGGGTCTATTATAGACCGCAAAACCGCGAAAAATCGATCAAAACCGAAAACTGCATGCAAAACCATCAAAATCGATAATTTTTTACATCCCAGTTATCAAAACAGTGACAAATGGAGCATACAGAGGTTTGACGGCTATTCGAGATTAGTAGAGGTGCATAATTGCCGCTCAGATCAAAGAGAAATCGGAACCCAAATAGGAAAAGTCGAAAACCAAATCCAAAGACCAATTCGTGTTTTTTAAGAAAACCGAAAGCAAATGCTAAGAAAACGGAATCTGCAAACCGGAATGAACACCAAAACCGAAAAACTGATCTATGAAAAAACCAAAACCGCGTAACCGAAAATGCCCTCTCATAAAGGGCTGACGCTCGAGACGTCAGCTCTAGACACTCTTTACGGGGGCCGATTTACATCCTCAGCTAAGTTGTAATAATGCACCCCCTCCACTCCCACGACGCAGCACCACCACAGTTTCTTTAAAAACTTGCCCTCTTTATTCAATTAACAGATATTAATATTGTGAAAATGAACACCAGAACAATTGCTGTAAACAACCTTGTTAGTTTATTTAGGACATTGCCCCTCGGACTACTGCTATCGTGTAATGGAAGACGTGTACCTGGGTATACTCGCTTTTATCATCAGCTTGCTGTATGGATGTTGTGGTGGTGAAGAGAGTTCGACAACTGATCGAACTATGGATCAATCAATAAATCAATGGATCAAATTAAATTTAAATCACATGAATTTGCCAAGCGACCGCTTAAATGGATTTAATAAAATTACAAAGAAAGGAAAGGAAAGAATCTATTGTGGAATTAAAACTATGATAATTAACATTTTTTGTTTTTGAAAAATTGGTAGAGAACGAGGCTTAAAAGAGAGAAAAGAAATGTAAATGCTTTGTTGGTTGTGTTGATATTGGGTCCGGCTTTTAACTAGTTAAAAAAAAATAATAAATAACAATCGATAGGGGACGAATTAAGATATGCCTCTTTCGACTTATACATCTTTTCACAGACCAAGATCATATATTTCAATGAATGAGACTACATAATTTGATAATAGTTGTTTCCTTTTAGTTTTCACAAACGGGAGATCCACAACTATAGAATCTCCGGTGAATATCACAAATCAAATAATTCCTTTTATATACAAGACGTTTTTGATAAGCCGCCCGTTTTACTCAGTTGTTCGCCTTATCTCTTTAGAGCCATTATCCAATGCTGAATAAACATGTGCCAGTTTTGCCTGATTGCAAAAATGAACAATGCTTCAAAAAGGAACTGAAGTAAAAATACACCTCGTTTGATCCGCTGGTCGAATTAATCAATAAAAAGAATAGTGCTGTGATTTTTTTTTCTTTTTTTCATAACCAATGGGACTGCTTATTTATTTTGCAAAAAAGCTGAGTTACAGCACCTGAAAGCTGAAATCAGGAGGTTTCCTTTACGCAAAGTTATAACGTACTACATTCTATCACTTTCCTCAAACAGAGTGAAAGTTACTGATGATCATGTGGTTTCATCTTGTATTATTTGTGACCTCAGTCATCATTCATGGCGCCTCATGTGAGGAGGAATCAACTGATGGTGAATTTGCAATGGTAAGACTAGAATGACTCCATAAACACAATGCAAAGACTTGACTAAACCCCACTGAAGCCGACTTTACCCGATTTGTGCTGTGCATTGTTTCATGAAAATCCAAGTGCTGTATTCTTAAGACATGAGGTTATGCCAAAAACGACTCACTATGAAAAAAAGCTTCATAATTGTTATTCCTCCGTTCTTTTCCTATCAACCAGTTTTCTAACTTAGGCGGGTATTTGCTGAATTGAAATTCAACTTCCCGTGACTGTTAATGTTTATTAAGTAAATTTCTTTTTCAATTGTTAAAGGGATAGTCTTGATATGGTTTTGTAAACGGATATAGCGTGCTGCCACGGGATAAAAGGCCAAAGTACATAGAAAATTCTGACTACGCGTTTGAAATCGTGAAGAGCAATATCGACGTTGTTTGTTTGATGTGCTCCGACTTTCAGAAGTACCTATCAGACTATCACTACCTCTCGCCGAGCAGATCAGGCAACCATGACATAAAAACCGCGCTAAAGAACTTCCAGAAATTCTTTGGTCTGCCTGTGACTGGCGAATTAGACGAAGAAACTTTATACCAAATGAAGAAACCACGATGTGGGGTCCCAGATGTTGATGAAAATGGCGGGCGTTTGCGCATTAAACGATTCAGTACATGGGGAAAGTGGCGTAAAACAGATCTCAAGTACTACTTGTCTTTTGGCGAAGACATGTCAGAAGCGGATCAGGCTAGAGTTATGGCTCGGGCATTTCAAATGTGGAGCGCCGTGGCATCTAAGCCGAAGTTTACAAGAACTCTTTCAGTTTCGAATGCAGACTTCAGAATCAGGTTTACTGTCATCAATTTAACTTCGCATTTATTCGTCCGAGCAGTTTTTCATTCATCCATTTATATTCTTACTGTTATTCATTCAATCTCTCTTCCTCCCTTTCCTTCATTTTCCTTTCCTTCCTTTATTTCACAATCCATTTTTTCACCGCATCGATCGATCAATCGATCATTTATTCAGTCAATCAGTCAGTCAGTCAGTTTAGTCAGACAGCTTGTTCATTTCTTCGCCTGTCTGTCGAGTTTTTTTTTTTTGGTCATTTTCTTCTTTTGAGCTTCGATTGGTTGTTTCCATGAGCAACTCTTTTCTTTATGGCGGTTTGTTTTTGCTTGTTTGGTCAGTTGCTGACCTTTAAACTTGGTTCCAATTATTTCCATGTTCCGATAAAGTTCCAAGTTCCAATAAATTTCCATGAGCAACTGTTTTCTTTATGGCAGTTAGTTTTTGCTTGTTTGGTCAGTTGCTGACCTTCAAACATGGATTGTCGTTGCTTTTCTGCCTGGTGATTTTAGTTTTCTGAAACAGGCTACAAAATACACACAATGCTGTGCTGCATAAATGATGCAAATTAATTTCGCCAAATTTTATGCGCTGTTGTGACTGAAATTTCGACGACATCTGAAAAGAAAATTACACCCTGTTAAATTATCGGTGTTTGCATATCAAAAAAAATTTCTTTATCACAAGCTACTGACTGGTGATTCATTTTCAGTTTTGGTAAAAGAAAGCACTCTGGTGTCCCAGGCGAAAGGCAGTGTTATTCCGACTTTGATGGTAAAGACAAGGTTCTGGCTCATGCTTTTTATCCACAAGATGGTCGACTTCATTTTGACGATGATGAATACTTCACCGAGACTGGTTCATGGTGGAATGGATCACAGAGCCTACTTTATGTTGCTGTGCACGAGATTGGTCACGCCTTAGGACTTAGACACTCTGACGTGAAGGGCACAGTGATGTGGCCGACTGCAAGCCGAGGTACACCCAAGCTGCATCAGGACGACATTGATGGGATAAGGTCGCTCTATGGTATGTGGAAAGCTCTTAAAAAGGAAGTTGATTGGGAAGTTTTCTCGCTTCTTTTAGCAAGACTGAACTCTGTAATCGATAACTTAGATACCTACTTCAGTGGATCTTAGGGCAAGTTTTAAAGCGTCGAAAGTAATCTTGCATTGCTTTGGTTTGACTTCACATCTCCCTGTGATTGGTCCAGAAACCGCGCCATCCTCTTAATCAATCACATGCAAAAGAAAAACGATTTGCCCATCAGCGCTTTTCCGCGCTTCAAGCACCTTGCTTGTTTTCCTTGCTTGTCGAAGTAATCCTAGATTGCTTTGGTTTTACTTCACCTCGCCCTTTGATTGGTCCAGAAACCTCGCGCCATCCTCTCAACCAAAAACGATTTGTTCATCAGCGCTTTCCTGCGCTTTAAGCACCGCGCTTGTTTTTCTTTTCGAGTCCTCGTTGGCCAATGATGATGTAACCTTTGCTCTGATTGGTCGCTGAGATTACTTTTGTTTTGGTTTAAGACGCTCAGTTGAAAACAACTCTAATGTCACGTCCAACTTCATAAAAGAAGTGAGAAAAGTCAATATATCAGGGAACTTGACGATCTGTGCTATGCAAAAAGCCTAATTCTATAAAGCTGTTTTCTTTTGCTACGAAAAAAAAGTCATTGGCATCACGCTACTCAGCGAAGTTGATCACTATAAGTTTCAACAGTGATTGGCTGTATTAATGTGGTTAGAAAGATTTTAAAAGTGTCCAGTCCGTTACATATGCAGTTTTTGTCTTTCAGGGTGATCCCATAAATGATATCAAGTCACGACAGTGGAATGCGAATTCACTTAATAAAATACATGATAAAAAAATTTCGTTCTTGATGTTGAACCCTGCATTCCTTTTTTTTTTTTTTCTTTTTCTGGTGGAAAACTCATATTGATATCCTATCACTTGGTTAGCTTATAGCAGTTAAAACACAACACCAAACAAATCTACAGTCATGAAATTAGGAGATCCTCGCAGCTAAGAACACGACTGAAACGAGTAGTTGTAAATAGCTGCGAGGATCTCCTAATTTCATCTCTCCACCGCAGTGCAAATATATGAATTTTCATATATCTAAAATCTTCAAATCTACAGTCAGTCGGATACAATGGGTCAAGGTCGTTTTGAAAGACTGTCTTCGTTTTTGAAATCAATTTATTCTTTCCGCATTCTAAGTTTTACACCTTTAATCATGTTGTTAAACGAAGCTTTTTAAGACCCTTTACACTCCAGCATCAGTATTCATATTCTCCAACACTTCTCTGTACGTTTCGTTCAGTACTAACAAGAGGAGTTCGTTCAACAGTCTGCGCTTCTTAGGTTGGCGATCATTGACCATTAACTCCCAAGATCTCTCTAGCAAGTCTCCTTATTGTCTGCCATTCTGTTCTTGTGATGTTAGTTTTCAGAATTTGGTATTGGATCCACTTATATAAAGGCAAATTGATATTTGTCTTTATTTTCGTCACTTGTCTGCTTGATATTGTATTGTTATTGTAAGAAGAAATTCTTTTCTGGTCACTCATGGGAGTTAAAGGTTAATGAATGATTCAGCAGTACGACTGTTAGGAGAAATAAGATGCTGGTCACTCTTAGGGTTAAAAGGGTGAACCACTTCGGTACACGAACTGACGTGTTTCAGTTGAGCCACAATGTATCATAGAACACCAAGCGCCTTGCATGTTAACAACGATACCAACGTCTACACTAAGGTCCCACAATTCAATCAAACGTAAATTCTACGCCCGAGTGGCTCCTAGGAACAATTGTTCCACTAAAAGCTCACTTTGTGGTAAAGCAAAGTTATTGAATGCATCCCTGAGGGGAGGCCCAGTCGTTGGCAATCAAATAGGCTTTAGGAGATGACGTTTTTAGTTACATATCCATGGCTATATATATTTACAAACACAAACGTAAAAAAAAAAAACTGAAATTATCAGGAAATATGGACAGACGACGCCCAATATCTAAATGCCAAATGCTGAACTGCTAAATGAATCGACCACATTTTAAAGCAACGTCCCGTTCAGCTGCTGGCAGTACTCTCAACAGTAACAAACAGATACCATGTTTCCGTGCCGTCTTTCAGTAACAGATCACGGATGACGTCAAAATGCGGTAGGAAAAAAAAAAACAAAGTAACATGAAGCTGAATGTATCACTGATGTTTCACAACATGTTAACCCTTTACCCCCAAACATCAGTATCAATATTCTCCATACCATTCATTAAACATTTACCAAGGTGTTGACAAAGAGAATTTTGTTTAATAATCAATAGCCGCTTTAGTTAATGATCATTTCTTCTATTCTCATGACCTCAATGTTTGTTTCAAGGGCGATATTGTTGGGAGAAATTAGATGCTAGTCACTCTTAGGGGTTAACGGGTTAACGTCTTTGGTGATCTATGACTGAACAGAAGCACGGCAACCTGGAATCTATTTCACTTATATAGTAGAGAAGCGAAATGTGTCGATAGTGATGTCATTTATGCGTCCGTACTCTAATATCATTAGTAAAAAGCAATCAAAATGTAGCTTATTATATAAATCCTATTGACTAATGATCGTATCAATGACTTTGGATACTCCATAACTAAATTAAAATTACAGCAAACAAATTAAGCAATGAACAAAATGAAAATAAAAAGTTATAGTCGCTAAATAAAGGTAACCGTTTCCAGGTAGTACCATGCAAAAAGATCTTCCCACCATCTTGCCTAATCACCGGGAAGCCAAATACGCACAGCGACAAAAGAAGAAAATTTGGGACAGTTCGCTACAAAGAAGCATTCCTTCCGCTACCCAAAAAAAACCTACCTCCCTCCTTCGCCCCATGCTATTTTTGCGTCCGTTTACTATCAATACGCCTGGTAAAGGCCACAGTGGCCGACATTCAGATGCCATATCTATTCCCCTCTATCAAAAGCCGCATCATAGGCGCTTCTAGCATGCGCATGAAATTTACCTCAGGAGTTCTTGTTTTCTCGAATAAAAAGAACTAACCTTCTTTTAGTTCACCGGTAAAAGCAAGCAGCGATAGTGTAGATTCCTTGGTCCTGTGAGATTTTTTCAGTGTTTTGCTTTTCCCTTATCTTAAAACTTGAACATATCTTTTTTGAGTTTTTTAAACACGAAAAAAACTTATATCCGGCTGCAAACAACAATTTTCGGTGGTTAACAACGATAGTTGTTTCAAGGTATTACTATTTCAATTGTATACCGGAAATCTTACTGTCTCTTTTTCCGTTTTTCTCACTTTTTGCAATAGGTCTTATGACCCAGTTCCCAAGCAAACACTTGGCACTCACGGCTGCAGTAGACCTCGTCACAGTTTCCACATCTTTTCAACTTGTCCCCTTCTCCACCAACACAGTTGCCACAGCGACGGATAGGTTCTATGCCACATGTACTGCGGTACTTGACCATAATCTGGAACATATGAACAAACATTAGCGTTGCCATTTCACCAGTCATGGAGAGGAAGAAATAACGGCAAAACCACAAGAATCACGATGTGTTCCCTTGTTGTATTAACTCTTGGGCTCCTTCGAGTGACCAGCATCTAATTTCTCCCGACAATGTCACCCCTGAATCATACACTAAGTTCGCGCGATCAATGGAAAAGAAGCTCTTTATTGTTAAACAAATTCTCCTTATCAGTGCCTAAGGGAATATATGGAGAACATAATGAAGAATATGCATACTGATATTACGGAGTAAAGGGTTAACAATTTCTTACAAATAAATGGAGAATTCCAACTACCCTAACTGTGTCTCCACCCCTCGTTATCAAGGAGGAACTAGTCTTTGCGCAGCTTCAACACGTGATTTGACCTCTTTCATCACAGCACTACCCTGTGAAACACGCGCCACCTTTAGCTTAATTGGGCGAGCAAGGAGGAGCGCAAGGGAGAGGGTGGGAGAGGTGTATTTTGTTCCTCTTCTTCCCTCGCGCACACCTCGCACTGGCGTCGCACTAACAACTACCTCCACTGGCCGGGAAAACGCTAAAATTTACCCCTGTCTTCTGGCTACTACTGCACAATCCCCGCTCAACTGCCAAGACATTGATATCTTTCGTAAAGATAATAATGCATGTTTGTCATTCTCACCTCCCAGTAATATGACTGGAAATTACTTTCACCGGGCGTCTGGTTTCTCAGACAGTGAGAAATATCATTCAGTGCTCTGAAGAGATAGCCTAACTCCATCCATGCTCTAGAGCGACGGAACATAGTTTTTAGAAGTATTTTTTCGGACTCATCGTTGTCTGAAAATAAAAGTTTAGAGAAACTTAAATATTAGTCGAATTAATGCTTCTAGTCGACGATAATTTACTGTCGTAATTATTCACCGACCTGGGACACACGAGCTTGTGTTAAATTTATGTCAATATTCAGTAGTTTAAGACCTCACAGGCTGATGTCTATTATTAAATGGAGCAGATCTTCCACACTTTCACCTTGTAAAGGACTATAGTAAAGGGCAAGCAGAAATATGAACGGAAACTGAGAAAAAAAGGAAAAAAGGAAAATAAAGAAACGCAAAATGTCAAGAAAACAAACGAACGAGCCAACATTAGTTATTTGCTATGCACCTTCAAGGCACCTTGCCATTGCTTCGTTACAGTCCTTCAAGGCACTCTCCCAGTCAGAGTTATTCAAGTGGCACTGCGCACGGTTACTGTACAACACGGCTGGTAAAACCCACCTGGAAGGAAAAAAAAAAAGATAAAAAACGACTGAAGATTTCGCATGCCACTCTCTAGCTCGTCAGTTTTCGGCCAGGTATGAAAGTCGATGACAGATTAAGAATCAATTAGTAAAATAGCTTCAACTCAGGAGCACCAGTTAATCCTGTGGTCCCAAAGGGGACTTTCTCAATTACATACACATATAATTCGTTCACCTAAGCAGAGGTGATCATTGGCATTAATTGGGTCTCTTGACGCAAATTATGACTTTTGCTTTAGTTCTCTCGTCCTGACGATGAGATTACACTATCTGACAGCCTGACGAACTCTATCTTCATGCTTCCCCCTCCCCAACACACCCAGTATAAAATCGGGATTCTCCTAAAAGTCTGCCATACAATTCTTATGATCTTCGTTAGGAGAATTTGGTATTGGATCAACTAATAATCCCCTAATGGATACTGCTATTCATTCTTATTACTAGTCTGCTCGACATAGAATTATTAATGTAAGGAGAAATTCTGTCTTGGTAACGCATTGAAGTTTAAGGGTTAAACTTAACGTAAAAACTAAATTTCATCAAGTTCGCCAGGAGCTGCTTTCATGCAAACTACTTGAGTTGAGAGGCGGACTATCCTGAGTTTAAAAACTGTGTTTAGGAACACAACGTAAAGACCATTGCCGTCGAGGGCAGACCTTAACATGAATCTCACGACTCCATAAACGAAAACTATTAGTTTCTCCACGCGTTGGAAAACAAATAAATTTTTCTTTACCAACGTGATCCATCTTTTCTAGCATTGTTCACTTCTAAGCAGTAAGGAACACAGTTCAATGCTTCGGTGTAAAGTTTCACTGCTTCGTCAAACGAGCCCTGTTTAAACTTTTTGTTGCCTTGATCCTTTAGACTTTGCGCCTGATCTTCGTCTAGACGTGAGAAGAATTCAATACGCTGTTTGCTACCAAATGCTACCTCCTCTTCTTTCCATTCTCTATAAAGAGATTTCCAAGTGGGAAAATGTTAATTCCAAAAAAATTTACCTCTCTATCACGAGGTTGTATCTTAGAACCGAGTAGCACACATTTCCCTATCGTGATCGCCCATTTCTGTACCACTATGCGATGGGGAGTAATAGCATTCCCACAACAAGGAAAGCCTGTCCATCGCAGGTAACCGCCCAAGATTTTGTCAGGTTTCCCAGAGAGGTTTTTGGTACCCATTAATACTCCTTGGAGGTGAAGAGCACCGCAAGAGTAAGGTGTTTGGCTCAAGAATACGAGATATGTCCAAAAATGCGAGCAGTAACGAAATGGCGAAAATTCGTCAAAATCGTTAAATCTGCCAAGATAATTTCGCTTTGACAAATCTGACTAAAATTCGTCAAAATCGTTGACTCTGCCAAGCTGATTTTCACTAAAACAAAATGGCGAATCTCCCGTTTTCGTTACTGTGTGCTTTTCTGAACATACTGTAAGTGAAGAACACAACACGATGACCTTTGCAAGATTCAAAACCAGACTACTGCTCATGGAACCTGACGCACTGACTATACAGCCACTATAACCTGACTCTGTAACCTGAGAGCTTCCATAGTATATGAAAAAACTGGTTCACCCTCTCGTCAACAGCTTGTAAGATCCAACATGCTTTACATCTAGGTATTTACAGCTAGTTATCAAACCACCTTGAAAAGCATTGCAAGTGATGACCGAACTGCAATTGAAAACATTGCAAGAAAAAAAAGAGGCTCTGAAAAAAATGCAGCCCTTAAAGGGATTGCACCTCTACCTTCCAAATGTTGTAAAGGTGTTATTACCACCTGAGCTACAAAGCGAAACGAAGCCTTACATTGGGAGTGTTAAGATGGGTTCATTGTTCCCTGAAAGCAATCTGATCACCAATAGGGTTTAATAAGTGCAACACCTGTGAGCAGAGGAAGGCTGTTGTAATCTAAATCTTGACTTACTTTTCACAGGTACGCTGCAGGATTTTTTCTATCTTTTCAGCAATTTGGCGAGAAGAATGCTTTAAGAATAAAAAAAACCACAATCAATGGATATACTGATGTACATAAGTGTAGTCTATTTAAGACAGCATAGGTAAATGTTACATTTTACCAATGTCCATTTATATGCAAGACTCATACAAAGTCTTCAAATTTGGCTGCTGATAATCGATCATCTTTGACAATTCGTCTGAGATTTGATAAATAATGTAAATTCCAGTGCTGATACCTGATGGTAAGTGATGACTATGGCCATACTTTTTGGAGTTACACCACACTTTATTAAGTTCTTAGCCAGGTCTTCAGACTCTGCCAGGTTTGCGATGGTACGTAGAGCTGGGCCTTCAATCTGCAGCACATGAGAAATTATTGAAATAATATGCAAACCCCTTCTGATTCACTCATGTTTGAATTGTTTTGGACTCAAAATGAAGAACAGTGAAAGCTCCTTCACACCCCTTTAAAATGAAATTCTCCTTTTCAAGCTGCCATGCATTACCTCAAAGATAAGGACATAATTTGGTATTAAATCAAGATAATGTATTTCTCATCGCTTCACTAGAAGGTATTGGTATTGTTGGAAAAAGTTATAAATCGATCAAATCTCAAAGTTAAAGCCAGAGAATGCACTCTGAAACAACTAGTGCTGGCTGATGAGAGAACACAAAGTTTCAAAAATAGAATCTGAATGGAGGTTCTAGACAGAAAAGAAAATGCCAGTGCATCAAAAGTAGAGCATCTGGTATAAAAGTGTATGTCCAGAAAGCATTGACTATTCAATTAGAACAGAAGGAAAGAAACCTAGCAAAAAAAGGAATGGTACATGTACTTACCTCCTTGTGGAAAGAGAACATGTATCTTGCAAGAGCATGGAGAATTTCCTGCAGCAATGTTACAAAATGTATTAACACAATTGAAACAACATCTACAAAAATTCTGTAGAGTACAGATCGAGAAAATGGAGCACAGTTTCTACAGTTACTGAAAAGTACATTCTCCACTGAAAGAAAAAGATTAGCTGAGCATTACATGTACCATAATAAGATTTGATCTTCATCACCCTGTTCATATCAAGATAACACCTTTAATTAGTTACTTTTGGTTTGTATTTGAGGACGAAGAATGAACATTGCTGGTCAGTAATTCACAATGGTTTCACAAAGTTAAACATGAAAAGAACTGAACATTTCGCTACAAGCAGTTGCAACATTTAGGTTCAGCTTTGCATTTACCTCACTCTCCAGTAATCTGTTTCTACAGCGACCACTGTGTGTGGACAGTTGCAGTATTGTCTCCAAATATGAATTTAGTGGTCCATTGTCAGGCAAAAGGACTGCAGAAATTTAGAGGGAAGAAAACATATTTTATCACTTGAGGAATCCTTCTTCATCATGATAAAGAACAATCTCAACTACTGAGGATTACATAATTCACAGTCATATTTCTTTAAAGAAAAACTAGTAACAATCATATAAGAGGGTCATCAAATTGCTGGGTTGAGACAGCAACTAGCAATGGATTGGACTCATACATAACAGCACAACAATTTATTATTCTTATTAAGACTTTATTATATGATCTGAGAATCATATTTAATGCAAACAAAATCTCTGACAATCCTTTTAAGTATTAATATTATAAGCCTACCTCCCCATAATTGCCATTTCCAAATTTAGGGAATCATACAACTGAAAGTGCTAGTGCTCCATCTGCAAGTAATGCCACTAGCTTTGCAGGTTCTTCCCCCCCCCCCCAGTACCATCATCATATTCCCCAGGCAATTTGCTGAAACAGGACAAGATTTCCCACCTTCTGAAAGAGTTTATTCTGGCTCTGTCAATTAGGGGTTTTACCCTGCATTCACAAACTGATGACCCATTCATGTGCAATATCAAATTGTGATCTACTTCAAAAGGAGTGGAGGATGAAAGTTTACATGTTTCCCTGTCTCTAATATAATTAGAATGTCTGGCTACCATATGAATGCAAATTTTATCTCTGAATGCCAATGATTAAAAATTTATGACTATTCTCATTCACATTTAGAAAGAAAAACAATATTTATTTGACATACTTCCATCTTCCAGGTATCTAATGATACCATTCACATCCATCAACTGCCAACATAACTCCTCACTCAGGCCCAACATACCAACAACCTTCATGCTCATTGCACTCATGTTGCAGTCATTTGCAGTTATTGCAGGAGTTTTAAACCGTTTTATCAAGGCCTAAAAGACAAACATATCTAGAAATTTCACCTGTGCCTGAAGTTGGCAAACCACTCCATTTAGACAACATGTATAGCATCTACCTAAGGCAGAGTGCCAACTCTTAAGATAATATAAAGATTTATCTGCCTGGCCCTCTACATTTTTTCATTCAGATGTGGGGTACAACTGTACAGTCTAAGGGTACTTTCTTATTCTTATTCTTTAACTGTGTCTTATGCCACTGAGATGTCTACCGTGTCTTCTGCTACTGAGGTGTCTACCATGTCTCCTGCTACTGAGATGTGTACAGTGTCTTCTGCTACTGAGATTTCTATTGACTCTCTTCTGCTACTGAGATGTCTGTTGACTGTCTTCTACTTCTGAGGTGTTTATTGTGTCTCCTGCTTCTGAGATATTTGCTGTGTCTTCTATTACTGAAGTCTCTACTATGTCTACTGTTGCTAAATCTACTGAGATATTTACTGTGTCTTCTGCTACTGAAGTCTCTACTGTGTCTACTGTTTCTACTGCTACTGAAGATGTCTAATGTATCTTCTGCTACTGAGATGATTTAGCCATCAACTTCAAAAAGTTCTTTAACCTTTTTAACTTTCTGACCACCCATACTTCTGCATGCAGCTTGAACACTTCCATTTATGTACACCTACATGTACATTATGTACCAGTACAGCTATAGCAGAAATTTAACTCATGAATTCTACAGTACACACATGATACTCAAGGCACCAAAAACAATTTAAAGTTCTAGTCTCCTAGTAGGTATTTCACTTTATGCAACTTACCTTTAATATTGTTTTATCTTTATAAACAAGTTTTCTGTATTTATCACTCTGTTCTGCAACCTTGAAAGAAAATTAATATATCAAAAATAAATTTTGGTATACACATAACTTACAGTTTGCAACATTCACCAGCTCACTTGCTTTTAGCATCATGAAGTAAATTAACACCACTTTGCTCGAAATTTGCATCAACCTTTCGATCCTTTGAAGATATGTATAAAAAGCCAGATGCTATTGGTGCCAGAGCGCTCAAGAAGCTCTATGAGTATTATTTGGATACCTGTGTTCAGTGAAAACAAAAATGTTTGCCAACCTTTAGCAAAATTTGAGTTTTGAGACTACACACAGTTGTGCAACACTTCATTGCCATCATACAGGTGTAGGTTATCTGATATATTTTTCCAAATTTGAGGGTTTCCAGCTCTACCAGCACAGAACATAATTTTAAAGATTTTAAAAAAATTTATAGTAATTAAAAAGTTATCCCCTTTAATACTGTACTCCTACCTGTAGAATTACTATAGAAGCTGACATCTGCATTTTCCAGCTCCAGGATCGTAAAACATTCAATTCTCTATCAGCAATGGAAGGAACGGTGAAATCTTTGAAGTTTTCTTCAGACTGATCATATCGATCACGTAAAACACGTTTTTCATATGGCTGTGCTCCTCGCCTATAGGCTTTGACAACCATTTTTTGACAATTATCTTTTGAAATCAAGTTTCCAAGCTTTGGGAGTGCATTTAATGAGATGATTTTGTCACAAGTTTCACGGTGTAAACAACTCAAAGTTTTTAACGCACATACTGCTGGATAACATGCTAAAAGATCAAGGTCAGCATCACAGAAGTCCAACACAGCTTCTACAGTATTCAATTCTGTAATTTGTGATCGGTTTGTCTGAGTATATTGAGGAAGAGTCAAAATGTGTTTCAAGACTACCAGGCTATTAAAATATCCTGCATTCCAAGGTTCACTGTTCTCTGTGCACTCATTAGGAACACGTATCCACAGAAGTCTAACCACAAAGCTGAGAAGATTTGAGCTAATAAGGACACTAAGAACCAGTTTTTTCTCAGGACTTCCAGTTTTCTAAAAAAAAAGGAGGAAAAGACAAAAAAGTAAGACATCAATAACAGGGGTTTCAATAAAAGCTAGTTATCAGCATTCTACTGCAGTCTGTTTAGCCTGTGAGCAGTGTCATGGATACCCATAAAATCTAACCGATTGCTCTTCTTTTCCTATTAGCTGTTCATTAATGATCATTTAATAAGTATATTACAAACTGTGAGCTTCAAAATTTTCTGAAAGAGTTACAAAATAGATAAGAGGCTGGGAAGGTATTCAAAGTGCAATTCTGCCTACAGTATCTAAGGAAAAACTTTTTCAAAAAAAAAAATTTTGTGGTCAATAAAAATTATTATGATTGGCACTCCTTTCAAAGCCAAGAATGCTAAAAATTAAATGCCCCCAGATTCCCCTTGGATAATGAATAATGAATGAATAAGGGCGATGCAATAACCTATTAGTTTCCTAATGTACAGCCCTCAAAAATAAATTTCAATATATATACAAGAGAAATGATATCTAAAGTAGAATAAACTATAAACACGCAATAAAATTCTAAAATCTAAATTGACTAAAAACTTAAAAACACATAATTGTAATCTATAAATTGATAAAAGAGAGTGAAATATGTACAAAATACTCAACAGGGGTTGTGGTTGGCATTATGAAGAACATTAACAATGAATACAATAGCAGCAAATTGAACACAGTAGATCCTCTAAATGCTCAGAAGAGGATAGATGTGAGAGAAATAGATTTCATAATTTAGATTTGAGAGAGGAAGAAGTAGAGAACTCTTTTAGGTCAGAACTGAGTTCATTGATGAGTTTAGTAGTACTATAGGCAAGTGTGCATTTCCCAGAGTTACCATGTGGGTATAGCACCTTTTAAGTCATAGAGAGAGGCTCTTGTATAACAGCCCAAAGGTCCATGCAAATCAGAAAGAAACTGAAATCTGTTCCTGAGGCAATTAGAAGCATTTGTATTAAGGAGAATGCTGAAAAGAAGAAAAAGTTTCCTGTATTTAATGAGATCAAAAACGGGGATCCACTTCAGTTTCAGAAACACAAGACACAAGAGTTATAGAATCTTAAAGCAGAACCAAAGTTAAGATAAGATTTGATACCACGGAGAAGAGAAAGCTTACTGCTAACCATGCAGCAGATTGTATTGATATGGTGCTCCCAAGACATGCTACCATCTATCATTACACCAAGCAACTTGGCATGGTCCCCTTGCTCAATATATCTACCACCTATCTGGACATTGAGCACTGAGCTGGTTAGAGTACTTACTCTTACAGAGTCGTAAGGAGTACAGATTTAGTTTTAGAAGTGTTGAATGACGATTATTGTCAGCCCAGGTAGATACAGTTCTAGCAACTTCATTCAACTGAGTGTTAACGGAAGTAATAGAAGGCCCTCAAGGAAAAGATATTGGCAAAGTGCTCATTATAAAGGTAGGCAATATCATAATAATCATGATAGTTCTTATCGTCAATGGTTGATGATTTGGTAATTTGGAACATTTGGAGGGTGCAAGACTACAAATAATGCACCAAAGATTTTTACGATTTTCAAGGTTGTTGTTGAGTTTCAGTAAAAAGAGCACTTGGCATTACGAATAAGATGGAACTCTCTATTGCGTGCAGAACAGTAGTCACGCCAATTTAGAGCATTATTTGTCAAGGTTTCTTTTTGATGCAGATGGTTCCACATAGCAATTGCAGCTCAAATTTCATTGTTGAACTATTCAGGTATGAACTCCCTTTTGACATGCAAGGAGCAATATCATCATTTAACCTTGAGCTCAATTAATTACAAATGTACCTTATTATAATACTGAAGCCTTGTCAGATATTAGGATATCTCAATTAATGGAAAATGCCCATTACATCCTCCAAGGTTCAAACAGACAACCAGACTGATTCTGTGTTGTTTTGTCTTCTTGCAATAATTATTCAAGCTCTTTGATGTGAGGGCTATTCAACACAAAAGTCACCTTTGGTGAACTCTTTTAAAATTCTTCTTCCAGTTAGGTAATCATACCAATGAATGGGTACATTATACATAGTAACAATATCACAGCCACTGTAAAACTGAAACCAATTTCTTGTAATTCGTCATGCAAATACATGTATATTTAAACAATTTGCAGTACGTAACTTTCGAAATGAAGAGACCACACATGCTTACATCAATGGTTCACCATTTCAGTTTCCACATTCTGTAGTTGTCTATATTTAATCATGGTTGCATCTCAAAAGGAACGCAAAACATTTTCTCTTTATTGTTCGAATATCTTCAATTGAAAGCTTATGAACCTATCGTTGGCTAAATCTAGATTACTGGTGGATGATCGGCACAAAAGAGAGTTTTGCGTTTTCTTATGTTCATAAAAACACGCTCTGTCTAAAGGAAGAAAATCGACATAAATCTTTAAAAACCGCTGCATAGTAAGGCTAACAGATCAAACGTTCCTTAGTTAGTTTACATTCGTGTTGTTCATGAGGGTCGCACCTTCCATCGGATTATATTTAAATTTCGCACAATCATAGATTTCCAGGAACTCTGAAATCCATCACCTAGTATCGCAGAGAAAGTAAATTATATAAATCACTTCTTAGTGAGATAAAATATGGAAATATTTTCCTCTTAAAACTTACCAAGCTTGGTGGATTTTCAACAAGCTTTACCATTTCATATACGGCCTTCAGCTGTGCTTCGCGAAGATTCCAATTTCGACGGACGGTCAATTCCACCGCTTCGGTAGGGCTTTCTCCTCCCCCTAAAAACTTGAACAAGTCAAGAATCTTCCTTTTCTTCTTCTTATCCAGTGATTCTCCAGTTTTGAAGTATTCTATAACGCTTATATCGACCGATTCCTCGCCCATCTTAGGACACCTATCTATTCATCAGTTTAGACTTAATCGTTCCTTTACCAAAGCCAAGTCATGAAGGCAGCCTGGGGATGATTATCACATTTTGGCCTCGTTTCCAAGTTCGCAGGCGAACTCGCCATTTATGTTGAACAAGCGGGAAAGTTAAGTGTCGGGACCTGGTGGTTCCTCTGTAAAAAGTAAGTTTAATTACTGTAATCGGTAGTTACCCAAGCGATTTATGTTCTCAGAAAGTGGTTAATAGTTTCTACATCATCTTCATCGAAAAAGAGGGAAAGAGAAGAGGTAAATTGGGTGGAAATATTTTCCTCTGACGATGAATTTCAAGGAAACTCAACTTCCAGAAGCGCGCGAACCTGATAATTCTAAGGAAATTTATGTTTGGAGGTCCTTTTTTGTTCAAAAGGATGCCAAAGACTACAAAATACGAAAATTGAGATAGTTGTGTTTTTAGATGGGGCTCAAGTTATAAGTCGGGCACTGAAACAAGTTTTCTATAAATGTCACGTTTCCTCTTCAGCGATGCATTAATTATTTTGAGCTGTGTTTTTGTATTGTCTCTTTCATGTTCTTTTATCCTTTCTCACATTGATCCCCCAGTTTCACCGTTGTACACTTTGCCGCATTCACATGGGATCTTGTAAACAACACCGTCTTGTTTCGATGGTTCCAGGGTGTCTTTAGGTTGTACTAAGTGAGATCTAAGTGTTGTGTTCAACTTGAAAATTGGTTCATATGCCTTGATGTTGTAGGCAGCAGCAAAGAACCTCAGATACAACCTTTATGTTAGGGAGAATGTAGGATATAGACACGTGTACATTTATACTGAAAATATTCATGGGGTTTCATCAGCATACCAGACATTACACACAGTCCACACACAAAGTTTATGTACCACCTACATGTGAAGCCATATAGGGATAGGAAGTTTAACAATGGTTACTGCCATCCCATCCAAAGAGTATAAGTAATACCCTTTTATTGCTTCATGGTCCTCAAACCAGAATAAAATATGTTGTCAGAATATTGGCCTCTTAACCCTTTAACTCCCAAGATTTGGTTGTTAATTCTCCCATCTAGCTGTTACACATTTCCTTGTAATTTAGTTACCAGAATTTGGTGTTATATCATGATAAGCTCTAACTGATGAGTTTGAGTAATCTCAGTATGTGTTTGATGGATATTGTTGGGAGAAGTTACATATAAATCACTTCTGGGAGTTAAAGGGTTAATTGCAGATTGGGAGAAAAATGATCAACTGCTGAACAGATTGTTTATTCATAAAGCAGCTGGATCTGATGGTCCATATCCTCTGATTTTGAAAATTCTTTTAGAGAATGATAATGACATGTATGTCAATAACAATACACCTATTTTAGTGGCAGTCTCAATTCTTCCTGTGTCCCCTAAAAGTGATTCAGTGAGAACAGAGTTTTTCTCTTTCACTTTTTTGGTCAAGAAAATTTTCTCACAAACTTAGTCACATAATATAAACATGGCAAAGTAATTTTAAACAAGATAAATTTGGTTTTTTAAACTTAGTTGATATTGTACTGTAAATTGGCAACTGTAAAGAGGTTTAAAGCTTTGATACTTTTCAGGGTGGTCAGTTTGCACTATCGATTCAGTTGATAAAACCAAAATTATCTAGTTATACTCCCCACTGACACAGCACCACAGTCTCTTTAGAAACTTACCCCTTTATTAATTTTAAACAAATTAATGGGGAACTATTGTTATCCTTATCAAAATGACACTTAAAAACTGTGCATGTTTACACTGTAAGATTTCACTTGCTTCTGTGAAAACTCAGAATTCACTTTTAGGAATGGAGTTGCAGCAACACATATTTACTTACTGTATTTTAAATATTTTTTCAGCCTGCTGATATTGACTTTTGTTAATTTTCATAGGTTTTCAAAATGTATTACAATCCAGAGAGATCTTGTGGAGAGAAAGATCTGCAAGATAATGGAAGATGTGATTTAGATGAGGAAATTTGTTCTCACCTATGTGATTACTATCCAGACTGGAAATCTCCCAAAGGCACTCACATGGTCCCTCGCTCTTTCATATCTAAGGCAAACAACCCAAATTTAGGGGAAATTACAGAAAAACATTTCTTTGACATTTTGAAAGAATTTGGTGAAATTAAGAAGGAACCCATGTTTGTTATTCATTCCTATAAATTTAGTGAGTACATTCCCATGTGGCAGTCTGGTAAGATATCAAATACTAAGATGTCAAATTGGGTAATAGGTGAACATGACTTTGTTATAGTAATAATGACAATCTTTAATGAGGAAACTTTTTCACTAAAAAGTGGTTTACAAAAAGGACCTCGAAAATTAAAAATTAAAAATTTACAATGAGTAAAAATGCTAAAAGATGCTACTAAAAACTAATGTATCTTATGTGTAATACAAAACTTAAATCAATGAATTAAAAATCTGACGCTTCAAAATATTTACATTATCAGAGGCTCGTATAGTTTTGTCCAGCGAGTTAAAATCACTTACAGCATGATAGCCAGTTCTTTGTTTGCCCCAGTTTCTTTTAACGGATGGAATTTTGAGGTTTGCTTTATTTCTTGTGTTGTAACTATGCTGTTCTTGCTGAGTGACTAATGTTAGTTCGTGATGTGTGAGACCATTAAGACATTTATATACATGTACGCATCGGCGCTGGAAGCGCCTTTTTTCTAGTGTTAACCACTTCAGTGTAGTTAACGCATCAGACGCAGAGGAATACAGTGGTCGATCTAATATTATTTTAGCCGCCTTATTTTGAAGCACTTGCAAACTAGACATTAAAGTTACATTATGTTTGTCTCCCCAAACTAAATCAGCATACTCGAATAAGGGCATAATAAGGCTTTTATAAAAAAGGATGCGCGCCCTAAACGGTAACAAATGCTTAATGCGTCTAAGTAGGCCAAGCCTTTGATTAACTTTCCCTGCCATGTATTCGACATGATTTGTCCACGAAAAAAATCAGACGATATTAAGATTCCAAGATATTTAAAACAAGTAACATTGTTTATACAATGATCAAAGATTGAAACAGTTAGAGCTATTTTCCTCTGTAACTTCTTGTTACTGCCTATAAGCATGCATTTGGTTTTGTCCAGATTCAGTGTTAACTTATGTTCATTCAGCCATTTCGCCACAGCCAGGAGGTCTTGGTTGAGCTTTTCAGTCAGCTCCTGAGAGGAAGTCCCATAGCAGTAGATCACCGTGTCATCTGCATAAAGTGATGCTTGACAGGCATCTAGAACGCTTGGCAAATCGTTAATGTAGATGACAAATAGCAGAGGACCCAGAATACTTCCCTGAGGGACCCCATGGGTAACTGGCAATTCATCAGACAACTCATTCCCACAACATGTACGCTGTTTCCTGTCAGTAATGTAAGAGCGGAACCACTGAAGCGAGTTCTCACATAAACCAATTTTGGAGAGCTTGCGTAACAAAATCCGATGGTCCACAGTGTCGAAAGCCTTGGTTAAATCCAAAAACACGGCCCCACACAGTTTACCTTGTTCCATGTTCAATAAGACTTCATCAGCAAATGATGTCAAAGCAGATTCAGTAGAGAGCCCCTTCCTGAATCCAAACTGTTTCCTTGTGAGAAGGTTGTTAATAACCAAGTGCTGGTACAGCTGGGAATGCACGGCTTTCTCGAGAATTTTACTGAGTGTCGGTAAAATAGAGATAGGTCGATAGTTCGATGCATTTGACCGGTCGCCTGATTTAAACAAGGCTGTAATTTTTGAACATTTCCACAATTTAGGAAATTTACCAGTAAGAATCGATCGATTCAACAGCTTAGTGATGGAGGGAGTGATTGTATTAGCAGAGCTCTTGAGTAGTCTAGCACTAATTTTGTCCAAACCAATTGCTTTGTTTGTCTTCAAAGAGGTAAGCTGCTGAAGCACAAACGATTCCTCTAGTTCAGTTAACTGGAACTGAGACAACGGTTGTTCTAAAACCAAGTTGCAATTCGACCAGGTAGTCGTTATTTTGTCAGCTAGGCGCTTGCCTATGGATGCAAAGAAGCTATTCAAAGCAACAGCAATGGATTTGGAAGTGGTGTGCTGAATGCCATCGGAAATGATGCACTGAACCTTTTCTGAGGATGAATTACGATTGCATGCTTCGTTTATAGCTTTCCACATTTTGCCGTGATCTCCTCTGGCTTCCTCGATCATTTCGCAGTAATATTTCGACTTAGCAGATTTTACTAATCGGTTTACTTTGTTCCTCAGTTTCCTGTAAGTGTTCCAGTGCTTTTCTGAGTTCGATTTACGTGCTTTACGATGATACCAGTCTCGATCTCTCATTGATTCGCTAATTTTGCTATTCATCCAAGGAATAGGTGTTCCCTTCACACGTCGTCGTTTGACAGGTGCATGATCTTATCAAGTACATCATGTCCATGGGGTTGTGTTTTTCCAAGTAAAAGCAACAAAAACTTCAGGTGGTCATCATAAAGCTGACAGTCAGATTCAAAAAGACAAAGTATCCTTGGAAAGATTTTGCCAAAAAATGATGGAAGCTGGGATAATATCCAATAAGCGAGTGGGCAAAATATTCGACAAATTCCCAGCATTTGTGGTATTGCCAAATACTCAGCGAGGTCAGTCACTTTGTGCACAGGACCATGTACTTTATCAAGAGGACTGTACCAATGCAGAAGCATTTTCTGAATGGTGGTACGGCAAGTTCCCAGTAAGTGAAGAACATTCAGAAATTGATCAAACCATCTATGAGTACCTGGTAATGAGGTGAGTGCTGTATTTTAACCAACCTGTTACATCTTTTGGAAAAACGGAAATAGCATGCCAGTGTTTCACACTTTCCCCATAAAAGTGTACATTTTCTTAAAGCTTGATAAAATAATGTTAATGTTGTTTTTGGATGTTAACTTACTTAAACAGTTTTGGCAGAGCTTATTTTTTCATGCAAGACATTTTACAACTAAAGACAGTTTTATTTGACAACATTTTAAATCAAAACCTAATATAGTTTTTCATAGGACTTGATCTGCACGTTTTAAACTAAAAAACTGTGTTTAGGATTTTCTTGTTTCTTCTTGTTTTTTGGGGAATAGAGCATCTACACCTTGCTCAAGAATGCTAGTCTTAAGATAAAATATGACAACGGGTAAAATATAGAAGGCGCATTTTTTCACAAGCATTTGGTGTTATCTTGTGCTGCATGATTGTCTCAAAACACCAGTTATCAGATATGGTTTGATTGTAAATTACATGTTGCTCGCTTTCTATTACTCTCAATGACAAAAAAATGGAGCACAGAGGCTAGACAATGTTGATTTCTTGACATGCACTGGGGTTTCATACCTTTCCATCCATTAGTCTTAAAGACATTGCAAAACAATTGCTTCTTATTTGAAAGAATTTAAAAAAAAAACAAAAATGGTGTTTATATTTTTTTAAATATGTTCTTTTGTTTCCAAGATATCCAAGTTTTTGTTTCATGCTAATGTGGAATGTCATGACATCATAAATTTTGATTAAAAAAGATTAATCAAAAGATAACTTTAGAAATGTAAATGACATATTTTGCAAACTTTGCTCAAATACAGGTATTTGGGAGAGCATAGTAATTGTTAGTACTTATGCACATTAAATTTGAATTCTTTTAATGTGTGGACTCTGATTAATATTGAGGATTGTGTGATAGACATTAATGATTATAACCATACCATACATTGATACAAGCATGAGCCACTGGTTATAATAAACAAATTGCACATTAAGTGTCTGACCATGCATGTTAACATGAACATAATGTCATTTTGTACATTTTTTCAATTAGATTTGTTGGCATGGTCCATGTCAGTCCACTCCTTGACAATTGCTTTAACCGCATTGAAAAGACTTTGATGTTCAAAACAGTAGAACAACTGGAGTTGCTGGTTGGTCATTATCCTCCCAAACTGTGGATTAGGGGTCCAGCTGGAAGTGGCAAGACAATGCTATTGCTGGAGAAGGCAGAATCTTTGGCAAGTTCCATTCTAGAGCATAGAAAAAAATCAGAATATTCTTATTGTATGCTTCAATGCTGTGTTATGCAAGAAGTTACAGTCAGTGCTTGAAACCCATCTAGTAAGGTCTCCTGGTCTTAAAAGTGTGATAAGTAACTTCTCAGATGTTAAAACATTTTCTAAACTTATCATTGATGTTACTGGCTTACCCCAAATTCCATTAAGTAGAAACGAGAAAGAGGCAGCTGTTAGCTTTGCCTTCAAGCTGCTCTCAACCCAGACATCAGATTTCTATGGAAAGTATGACCATATTTTGGTAGATGAAGGTCAAGACTTGTTTGGAAGTAAGTGGCCAGATCTTCTTGAACTGATGCACAAGAGCTCTGTGACACCTAATTTCAATGAAGAGGCTGAGTTAGAAGATTGGATGAAGCCTATTGGGTTTTTCTGGGTCATGTATGACACAAATCAATACCTATACTTCTCTAAAGAGCTGCTTAAATTGTTCTCTGGATATCTCCAAAACAGTGCAGAGCTCAAGAAAGTGCTTCGCAACACAGGAAATATTTTTAAGTAGTCAGAGAAGTACTTTAAATCATTGATGACATCTGAAAATGGCATTACACTTGGTCATCATGAATATGGCTTACCAATCAAATGGGATACTTCTCTGGAAAGCAAAGTGATCTCAGATGACAAAGGTGCCAGCACAATCATTCCTCATTTGAAAGATCTACATAGAGAACATGTTCAAGAAAGGGACATTTGTATTCTTGTTGAAACAGTAGCCAAAAGGAAATCTTTCAGCCAGGCACTTTCAAAAAATAACGTTAAACCTAAACTGCAGACAACTTAGTTGAGAAGAATGACAACAAGATTGTGGTGGAAAGCATTAGGTGCTTCAAGGGCCTTGAATCTAAAGTGGTCATCTTGTATAATCCTCCATACGAAGATGATTCAGAAAGCAATGGATGTGCTAAAGAGTTGCTATACACTGCAGTATCCAGGTGTTGTTGTTATCTCATTGTCATAACTACAAAGGCTGGTGGTGAGGCTTTAATTTCAGCTCAAGGGATTCAAGAGATGACTGACGATAGAGCACAACAGGTTCCACAACAATTTCCAACCTCGTCACATTTGGACTCAAACAGGGAGCCATTCCAATCCCCAGTGGACATTGATACAGAGTGACTCACTAATTGTGATCAATCTACATATAAGTTGTCACACTTCCTTTCTAGTGAGGAGGTTATTTAAGGTGATCAACTGGTGCAAATTTTCCTTTTTATGTTAAAAGTTAACTTGCAGTTGTAAAATGTATCCACTACTTGTGGCTATATGATTGCCAGTATAGAATAATAACCAATGTGTACTACAAACTTGACAACCGTTTGCCGACAGTCGTACTGAAATGATCAGAGTTTTTACTGCTTATCTGTTGCCCGGATTTATATATGCTGTATTCAAGGAAATTTAAGAAAACTCGCCATAGAAGTAAATGAACCGAAAATTATTATTGAACTGTTAAGTTAGGATTAGATTTCTCGGTTACCCAATGGAGTTTAAAGCATTTGTAATTAGGCTTGTTTTAAGAACCCCATAGGTTCGCGTACATCCATTCTTAGCTCTCACGGGCATTTATTTCGCTTTTGTAGTTCCTTCTATTAATTATGAGATTGCATTTAGTGAGTAGAATCTTTGAACGTATAAATTTGATTTCAGATCGAATAAAATTGCTATAATACGATTGCGAGTTATTCTTCGGTTTGGATTCTTCTTTTTCTATCGGAACATTTGTGAGTTGTCAGTACTCAGATGGCCCCTCAAATGACCTGTTGGTGTCAAATGTTCCCGCTTTTCTAAGTTTCTCAGTGAAACTGAGTTTCCATCGCAGGCTATACTAGCATCCACTTGATATTTCGAATCTAATAATCGAGTACTTGTTCAATAAGTAATTGTTTTAAGGTTCCTAAAAAATTGGTTTTAAAACAATTTGTTGGCAAGGAATGACAGTGCACCAAAACTCTTAAATAAAGGGGTAAGTTTCTAAAGAAACTGTGGTGCTGCGTCGGTGGGAGAGTATTGCATGTAATTTAGTGTTAACAACTGAGTTGAAAACGTAAATTAGCCACTACCCTTTACGGTGGCTAATTTACGTTTCAACTTAGTTGTTAACACTAAATTACCCACCAAAACTCTTAACCTACTTCCTAACCCATATTAATAGAAAGGTGCGGTTACTGTACTTAGTAATTGTTCCACCACAATGGTCTCGCACAAAACAAACTTAGACACCCTTTGAAAAACGTTCTCTGGTCCCCTGATAAAGGATCGTATCTTTTTCGGAACCTATCTGACGAAATGACGCGAAGAGAACAGTCGCTGCGGCCTCTGTCGTAGCAATGTCACCCGCTACCTAAAGATTTGTGCGCGCTGAAAGTTTTACGTAGCATTTCGCGTAACTGAGTTGCGTGTTTATGACGCAAAGTCGCAAGGACTTTTAGCAGAGATTTTCACAACCTGAGTAGCGAGGGTTTTTTCATGTTAAGAGATGGGTGTTTCTCTTTCACGTTCATCGGGACGAACAGCTGAAGCAAAGTATATTCATTCCATTGACACCAAAGAGTCAAATGGCGAAAATGATGAATTCTTGAACCAACGCACGAAAGGAAAAACAAGCAAGGGTAGAAAAAGCACATCAAAACGGACCGAAACAGCATTTTTCCAATTCAAAGCAACGAAAAGCAATCCATGGGATATATTTGATAGCCTTGATACCATAGTCTCCAGGAAATCTGTCCCGTTTGCTGCCCTTCCAGATGATAGCCCTCAAGCTTTGGCGGGCTCGGTGGTTGGTGACGAGGATATCACAGGTAATCAGTCCAAGGATGGAGCTGTCACACATAGCACAATCGGTGATACGTTCCTTGAAGATTTCGATGACAGGAATTCAACAAAGGAGTGCGCGGAAAAAATGACGGGGGCGAAAAACGGAGAAATCATAGCGCAAAGGATGACACCACCCTTAAAGAATGACGAGACCCGCCGCAACCCTCAAAAGCTAAAAAGTACTGCGCATATCCTAGTGCCTCTATCTCGTAGAAACTGTGCGGATGGAGGAGGAACTAAGTGGGAAAGTGTGCCAGACCAGACCACGGAACAACCCCATAGCGAAACTGAAATGGTTTACCCCAATAATGATTTCAGGGAACTAAACGGCAAAGTGTACCAGATTTAACAATGATACGGACCGGTAGCGAGACCGGAACAGTTTGCCATAGTGACAATTATCGTGCTTAACCTTCATAGTTTTACTCTTGCAAAATGTCCTTGATCTTTCTTGAATTAAAGAACGTAAATTAGAAAATGCTTAAAGCTGATGCATTTAAGTGATGATGTAAAAACATGTTGAATTATAGGAAATTTGGTTGCCTGGCCACTATTAGTTTTTGTCTTCTTAAATCCTCAACCCGGTCCCTCCTTCATTGTTACTCCATAGGAAGCTCTCAGTCGTGAACCCAAGTTTCCCCTATCAAATTCTCAGGGGTTCGGCTTCAAATCTGAACACATTTTTCTTCCTTAGCCGTTTCCAGCGCTTCCTTCCCAGCCCATAAAGCAAAGATACACGGTGGTAAAATAACACTGATCTTATTGCACAACACCCAATTCTGGCATGATAAGTGAAAGCCCTGTAATCGAATCAAGCCATTTCAACTTTCTGTATTTTCTCAAGTCTACAGAGTACACGTTTTCTACGTCCCAATATGTTAACCCTCCACTTATCTTCCCGTAGAGACCGGCTACCGAAGCACGCGAAGAAGGGGGTAGTCCGTAAACGCCTCAGGTTGCCCTTATCGTTACTCACGTACTAAGCTGCCTCTCAAGTACTTTTATAGGGAGTCTCAGCTTCTTCACTTTTAAAATACAATTCATCCTCCACACTGCTGAAAATGGTAATACAAGAAGTAGGGTTGATACAAGTACCCAACCGAAAGAGATGGTTGCTTCAGAGGCTTTATTGTTTCCTTGAAAATATTTTACTTAAATTTCAGCTCTGCATTGGACATAGTGTTCTGAAAATGTAGTACAGTACAGTCATACAGGCAAGAGGGAATCTTCTCATAACCCTACTTCTTGTATGTACAGGTCCTAATGACCCTTCAGTAGTCGGAAACAATATATTAAATACTTGGAGGTGAAATTCAAGTACGCAATCTCAAGGTTTATATTTTTATTCATTATTGTGCTATGTATAACAATAACAACACACCACTCGTTTGAATTGATGATATTAGATTTCTTTATTCCAGGTTTTAAGAATTCAAATGGACAGATACAAAGTGTCCTAGTTTCTTTACAGTTTAAAACCCTTGTCCAAAACTGTCTTCAGCTATCTTAGGATAAAACCTATTTACCAAAAATTATATTGGTCAACAAATTGATTTATTGATAATCATTAAAATAAAATGCACAGAGGGGAAAGGACAACTTTCACACCACCATAGTTGTAAAGAGATCTATTGCAGATAATCTACAACACAACAGATTTTTATCTCTAAATACATGTAACTTCTTAAAGTGGCAGCAGATGAGAAAGATATGTAGAACACGGTAACCAACCAAAAGCTACAGATCATTCATCACAAATGCTGCAAACTTTTCAAGGTCATATATGTGCAAGGGATTAAACAGTGATTGTTGAACCTATTCTTGGGCTGTGCTTCACCAGCACTGGGTGTCACAGGCAACTAACTACTGTTTTGGAAACCCCATATTTCTAAGGGGGCACCTGGTTATTCCACTGAAGGGAAGATCCAGGTGGTGGTTTCACGGTGTAAATTGAAAATGTGTTTTTCAGCTGTCATGGTACATTTCAGAACTGCCTCTGGGAGCTGAGAGGACAGTAATTCCCTTGGTTAACAAGCAGAAAATTCTTTGCTGGCTATGTGTTATTACATGAACACAATAACTTCTGTGTATTTTATAATTTTCCTCATTCTCATCATCTGAACTTTAACAGTGTATTACAAATTGAAGATAATTAAATACTGTTCACTCTATAGAATCAAAATGTTAACCTACATGAAGATAATGCATGATATCAGTAGTAACAACAGCCATGTTGACCCCGATAACTCATACTAAAGCAAGAAAATGGTTGGACAGAGAAAAAGTTCCCCCAAATGAGTGACCCCTAAGTGAAGTATGGCTTAAACCCTTTGAGAACCAGAATTAATCAGTATCTGAGTACTTTTTATATCAGCTAGTGGGAAGTAAATGGATGAAAGGATGGTATAACACCTTTGGAAGGGAGCATAACTGATCGAGTTTTCAACATTGATTACTTCAAGTTTGTCTACTGAGCTACTGTCATGGCAATTAAGCTCTCATTGGAATAACGAGACTTTTGATTGAATTCAGCAAAGCAGCCTGTTTGCAACAAAAATATACATGTACTTTAAACATTATGGCTGCTGACCAAAGCAAGTTAATTACTAACCACAAAATATAGCAATAACACTTTTTCTATTTACTGTACTTGAAATAATTTTATAACCTTGACTATGGCTGCTAAAAGAATTCATTCACAGCCTCACTGACCCAAATTAAAAGTTCAACTATACAAATATCTTTTTTTTTCTACTGAGCTCCATAGACACTCTCGTCACTGTATGCTATGTAGAGGAAGAAGTCTTTTTCATGATGTTCTTGGTAAAGCTGACCCATTGTTGCACTTGTGGGGGGGATGACATTGTTCACAAAAAAGAACAAGGCATCTTCAGGTCTGAGATGAATTCGCTTCCGAATAAGGAAGTAAAACTGTCCAACTATGGAAGATAAAAGTAAAAACACCAATATTAATTTTCACATGACCACTTTTCCTGTCACAGAATTACATGACTTTCTACGACTAATGATCAGTATTAGTTTATTTGTAATGGGTAAAGAGACATCTGGTCAAGGTGTCTCTTGTTTTGTTGTTCTGACAAAATTTTCAATTATTTCCTTTGGTTTTCCTGGAAATAACTGTTTTCCAAGACTTCTTCTAACTAGAACTAAGTACATGCCTTCGTAACCAATAGAAGATGGGTTGGAATGCTGAATAACAAGGCTATGGGACCTTCATTTACTTTGTCAATGAGTTTCACCCACGCCGAGATGTAGCTTGTAATGCAGGAAACTTGCATAAATTTGTGTGATTAGATTTCAAGTATTAGGACGTGGAAGTTCCTCTGTGAAAAAGGTAATTTTAATCACTGTAATTTGGTAGTTACCTGAGTGGTTCATGTGATCAGAAAGCGGTTAATAGTTTCTGTATCCTCTTCATCGAAAAAAAGGGAAAAGTTAAATTGGCGGAAATATTTTCCTCTGACGATGAATTTCAAGAAACCTCAGCTTCAGAGGCGCGGGACCTGACAATTCTGGAACATTTGGGTTTGGAGGTCCTTTTTCGCTCAAAATGATGTCATAGGCTACAAAATTCGAAAATTGGAATAGTTGTGTACTTAGAAGAGTTCCAAGTTAAGTCGGGTACTGAAACAAGTTTGCTGTATATGTCATGTTTCCTCTTCAGCGATGCATTAAATAATTTTGAGCTGTGTTGTGTGCGAGGAAAATTGAGAAGTGGCTTATTTAGGACGAAAACTGGTCCATCTGATTATAAGAACGCAGCTTGCTTACCAAACAATTATTTGAATAAATTAGTTTCGTCATATCCGCTGCGTTGTCGGTTTGCGGCAGTGAATTCATAGCATGTTATGTACAAGCTTGTGCAAGCCAAAGGGAATTCCGTTTTATCGTAAGATTAAGGCAGCCAACAAGGCGGTCAACAACTGAAATTGGTATTATTAGGGATGAAGCTTTAGCAGTAAATCTGTTGAACCAAGCATTCTACCAAATGACCACACAACTCCAGGGAGGATTTTTGCCCTATTTAAGAAGACCTAGATTGTGGAAACATTTCAAAGTTTTAGAAGCATGAAGCAACTAAGAATTCTACTTTTTCTCATTGGATGCAATGGTAGTAGCCATTGTAAAAGAACCTATCACTCAAGTATAAAATAAAAAGGACAATGTAGTGAAAATGACAGGGACACCAAGCTTGTTTGCCCACTTAGCCCATTATTCTGCGTGCTCCACCAAGCAGCAAATGTAATATAATTTTATGATGGGATACAACATTTTTTAACTTGGAAGACATGTATCAATAATCCCTTACTCATCTTCAGTTTAAGTCAAAACAAAACAATACAAAGTTGATTTTACAACTTTCCACAAAATGCCTATTGGTCATGAGCACAAAAGAAAACATAGCAATCAAGAAGGACAACAGGCATTAGAGATCTAAGAATTCTTCTGGCTATCATACAAAATTCTTGGACTAAACTTTCACTTCTTGAGCTATTTGTATTTCAGGCAAAGACAAGATATAATTGTTGTGTTACTCTACATAATTCTTTGGCTGCTAATTTCTAAAACCCTGGATAATGTTTGAGAAATTACTAAGTTTAACTCAAGTTATACTGTTGGTCATTTAATGCACAGTTGCTCTCAATGAAGAAATATACTAGTTTCTATGGTCTCAAGTTGGAAACTGCTTCAAGAATGATCCATATTTGTAGGATTGAGAAACATGTGCCTTTATATTGAAAATAGTTGTAGGGTTTTATCAGCATACTGGCATTACACACAGCCGACATACAAAGTTTATGTACCACCTACAAGTGAAGCCATATAGGGATAGGAAGTTTCATAATGGTTACTGCCATCCCATCCAAAGGGCACAAGTAATACCGTAATTTCCGGCCGTTTACCCACGAGTAATCTGTTGATTTTGCATTAAACGCGTGCCACTGCGGGTAATGGGGAGGTGCGGGTTATGTGACAATTTTAAAATCTACCGGTAGTTGAATTGAAAAAAATTATCACCAACATGCGTTTCCACCTCTCAAATGAATTTTATTGTATAAAGAGTGCCACAAAGCGGCACCAAAACATGATGCCAACTCAAGTTTATTTCACGCATAATTAGTTGCGTGACGAACAACAAAATGTGGCCACAAATTCGCATTCTGTCAAGTATGAAACGTTGAGATTTGGACGTCGGCCGCTTGTGTTTTTACTGTATAATTTTATCAGTAAAGTACATGCTAATATTGACACAGAATTGTGCATGCATCTAAATTTCTTTGACCTTTAAACTCGACAAGGATGCTTTCAAGTTTTCGAAAGTTAGAT